AAGGAAGGGAGAATGGGCACGTTCGAATTGGTTAAGGCCAACGAGTTCAAACATCTTCGTCCTCAGCCTGATCACTGTTTGAACTCGTTGAGCGGCGCCGCTCGTCAACCACCCAGATGGGCGCAACTGCGCCACACATCAGCCACCCAGATGGGCGCAACTGCGCCACACATCAACCACCCAGATGGGCGCAACTGCGCCACACATCAACTTGCGTCGCAGTTGCGCCCATTTGGGTGCTTCCACGACGAGAAAATGGGCGCGTTCAAACATTTTCCTCCTCAACCTGACCAGGGTAAGCATTGCGTCCTCCTCCCGTGCCGTGCCACACATGTGTATGCGCTGCTGTCCCTTGCACCATCTGGTAACTGGCGTTGCAGGGGATTTTTCAAGAATTATCAGAAAATCCCCGCAATATCACAAGGGTAAGCATTGCGTCCTCCTCCCGTGCCGTGCCACACATGTGTATGCGCTGCTGTCCCTTGCACCATCTGGTAACTGGCGTTGCAGGGGATTTTTCAAGAATTATCAGAAAATCCCCGCAATATCACAAGGGTAAGCACTGCGTCCTCCTCCCGTGCCACACATGTGTATGCGCTGCTGTCCCTTGCACCATCTGGTAACTGGCGTTGCAGGGGATTTTTCAAGAATTATCAGAAAATCCCCGCAATATCACAAGGGTAAGCATTGCGTCCTCCTCCCGTGCCACACATGTGTATGTGCTGCCGTCCCTCGCACCGTCTGGTCACTTGCTTGCTCATCTGGCGCAACGGTGAGGGCAGGGAAGGGAAAAGGGCAAAACACTTTCAGCCACCCTCCTCCTCCTCCTCCTCCTCCTCCTCCTCCTCCTCCTCCTCCTCCTCCTCCTCCTCCTCCTCCTCCTCCTCCTCAGTCACCCATATGAACATGCAAACAATGCTTCCCCTCCTAGTGCAACAAGGCGAGGGAGTAAGGTAAGGTGAATAAGCATGCTCTGCCAACCACAAGGAAAGCTAGCCGTCTCACCTTTCCGGGGGGTCTGGGACGGCCCGATTGCCTGGAACTCAGAGCGTGTGAGGTGGGAGATCTTAAAGGCCCACCTCACTCGCTCACTGATAAAAAAAGCCCCACCCTCTCTCACTCACTCGCTCACCTTTCCGGGGGTCTGGGACGGCCCGATTGCCTGGAACTCAGAGAGTGTGAGGTCCGAGATCTTGCAGTCCAGCTGCAGGGGGGAAGGGACAGGGTGCGGGAAGTGGGATCGATGGGGGAAGGAGGGGATGACTGCGAGAACAGAGTGAAACTCAGACAGTGTGAGGTCCGAGATCTTGCAGTCAAGCTGCAGGGGGGAAGGGACAGGGTGCGGGAAGTGGGATCCATGGGGGAAGGAAGGAGGGGATGACTGCGAGAAGCGAGTGAAACTCAGTGAGTGTGAGTCCGAGATCTTGCAGTCCAGCTGCAGGGGGCAGGGGGAGGGAGGGAAGGGTTGGGGAGAGGAAAAATGGCATGTCATGTCAGTGAGTTGGCTCAAAGGCCACATTGGCTTGGCTGGGCCCATGAACCGAGGCTCCCCATGGACAGAGGCTCCCTGCAGCTGGACTGCAAGACATTGTGAGGCCATGACCGAGGTTCCCCATGGACCGAGGCTCCCTGCAGCTGGACTGCAAGACATTGTGAGGCCATGACCGAGGTTCCCCATGGACCGAGGTTCCCTCGGCCACTCGCATCGTGTGGCTTTAACTGAAACTCTGTGAGAGTGAGGTCCGCGGTCTTACAGTCTGGCTGCAGGGGGCCGCGGGTCGGGGGAAAAGTGTGGGGGAGTGGGGGGAGGAGGAAGGGCGTGCAGACAAGCTGTAGGGAGTAGGGCGCCGGTGGGGGGAGAGTGGGGGATGAGTGGGGAAGAGTGGGGAAGAGTGGGGAAGAGTGGGGAAGAGTTGGTGAGGGCGGGAAAGAGGAGGAAAGTCGTGCGTGGGGACGTGTGAAAGCAAAGATACTGCTTCTTGAGACGCCTCAAAACTAAGAGCAGAGATATTGAGTGTGTTGCTAAGATGGTCTTACCCCGTCTGCAGTGAGGATGTGATTATCGTGAAAGATGACTGGGACGCCGTCCTTAGTCACCTGCAGTACAGTCACACCGAACCGAAATCAAGCACGGAAGCATGAAGAATCAGAAAGAGTGACAGAACGGACTACTGTAGACACAACACAAGTCACTCTTAACTGGCTAAGAGACAACGATTACATAGACCAGACACAAGGGAATTTCAGAGGATCCAAAACATCAACACATATCACCGGATCTAACCTGAAATGCGCCACTCCGCACCAGGCCCAGCCACCGTTCACTGCTCTGCATCTTAACTCAACGAATCGGAACCCAACCCACCTGTACGTCGAACTCCACAAAGTCTACGCCCAGTTTCGCCGCTCGGTTCATCGACAGAACCGTGTTTTCGCGAATGTCCGGCGAGGCTCTACTAGCTCCCACTGCTGCAGAGGCTGTTTCTGTTCCTGAGGTGGCAACCGGGGGAGGTCGGTTCTGCCCGACGCCTCTGTGCCCGATGAACACGAGCCGCGCGTGACCGGCTACCGTGGTCAGACCGGAAAGGGAGGACATGGCTGGAGGACAGAGTTGCGGAGGTACTGAGTTAGGAGGAATGGTGAGTGGAGCAGTGTGGACAAGGGGTGGAGAATGGTGTGTGGGAAGGATCACTATTTTTCTAAAGCGGCGGCTCTAACTTGGGATGGCAGACTCGAGAATTGCTGCTATTCTTTTGTTTTGGGCTCCAGGGTCGGGGGAAATATGCTCCTCGGATTCCGTTCTCCATATTGGCGGCCCACCTTGCACGAACAAATATATTTTTGCCAAGTACCTTTACATTTGATAACATTTAGAATAACGATCAGAACAGCCTTGTTTTGAGCATACCACAAGATTCATACATATCCATCTTATGTTCGTTAATAAGATAGATAATCTTGCGAATGCGAATTCACACTGTGATACAAATAAAAAAAGTGAACTTGCACAAATGCCCAAAACTTCGTTTCTCAACGATTCTGATAAAGTGCAATGAATTATAAGGTTCATGCTAACTTGTGTGGGTGAAATTGCTAGTAAGAAATGTCAAAAATAGGAGTTAATTTCTTCAAAACTCTAGTGTAACGGATCGCTCCGACCTGAGTATCTTTTCCTCAGGGAACGTACCGGAGTTTGCCGCCATTTTGTCCTCCCGCCCCGCACTTTCAGGGAACGTACCGAGGCGCAGACCTTTGCCTCGCCGGACCACCGCGTCGCCTCTGATAACTTTTGTCAGAAATAGGCGGAATCTGGGCCATCGATATCCGATCCGAACGTCCGTGCGCTGCACACCCACTCAGTTTCAAACAGCCATCCCGCGCCGCGAGCCGACGAGGTCTAATGATCATGCTGAAATAGGCTCGTCCAGTTCTGGTGTCACGAATATGTACCTCGTCTCAATTTTCGGGGGACTCATCTCTTGGAGCAACCGTATGCTGAGGTGATTTTCTGTGCTCATTTCTTGTCTCATTGTTGAAACGCGAAAAGTAAGACCCTGCCTCCACGGACCACCACACGCAATGTGAAAGGTCGATTCGACCCTACGCACGCGCCCAGCTGAGTTGCTCGCGACTCGATCTGAGCAGAGCTTGCTTATTGCTGCCAATTTTTCTTCCTGACAGCAGAGCTTGCTGTCATCCCTAACTCCTCGCACCCATCTCACAAGCTAAGACGGCTGCGCTTACCATTCTCCTTTGCTCGAAACTGGCTCTGACACGCTTGCTGCAGGCCATAACGTCTCTGATCGACAGAGCAGTTGATGTGTAGCTAGAATGGGTCGTCACTCGCAAGAAACGAATGAAAGAACCAAGGATAGGCGGGGTCCCATTGGGTATGCCAGTGATAAGTTCTCAGTGCCGCCTTACAACCGACTCCTGAGCTTTCAACCCGTGCCATGCGATGTGACTCCCTTTGGCTCCAGGGACAAATTCTTCGCGGGTAGAAGTCGTTCAACGAACCTGACTAGCTACAGTTGTCGATTTTCATCGGATAATGTATGTGCGACGCATGTAGCGACTTATCACACGTGGCGTAGCTGATCCTCTCTCGCCTCAGTGTTCGCTGGATTCCTAAATGTGGAAGCTCCATTTCTGAGTCGATAACTCAAAGTATTGACCTCACTCAAGAATACTGGCAGCAATCTCGCTCGCTCGCTTGATGAAGTAGTTTTCCCGGCAAGTCTCGTGCCGCGCAGAGATAGTCAACAGATATATCAGTAGACAGGAACTGCAGCATTCGGTGCCGGCCTAGTTCTGCTGCTTGGTCTGAAACACCTTCACATATGCCCAAGGATTATAATAGAGGACTCACGCGCAACTCGTTAGAAACGAATCTCAGAGATCAGGAAGTGCATCGTCCTTTGCGGTGGAGCGAGTAACACAGCAAGAAAGTGAGTTCTGAGTATACTAAAAAGCCACCTAGCAACTAACAGAACAACGTCAAGCAGCGCCATGCGTATAGTCGTGGTGTCCTGAGCTTTTAGTAGCTTCTCTTACCTAGTCGCCGCTGGTCACTTAGGCAATCAGCCACTAGTAGAAAGCAGTAGATTCTTTCCTGGTGGAGAGTACTAGCAGGTGGCATGAGTCCGTTGCAGGACATAACACAGCATCGAAACATGGCGGCATCGCCGGTCGACTGGACCTCGCATCGTCCGTCTAATACGCGGCGATCAGACGACTTCACCAGTGGTTCTGGCAATGACATGGAAAAGGCAACCTCCGACTTTCCCGAGTGCTCTGAATTTTCCGACTTTTCCAACTGTGATGAACATCTCGACAAACGAAGCGGCGTTACAAAAACGCACTTGAATTTTGATGCGTCTCAAATTACTGGTAGTGGTGGCGTCGAAACGGCGATTGAAAACGACGACGCTCCAGGAAGCCATTCCAAACGGCCGCGAAAGCCGCCGTCTGGTCTGACCGGAAAGGAGAACAGAGACGTGATGTTCGGAAAGGAGAAAGAATCGACTGACGTCGCGTCCTCGGCGTTAAAATGGAGAGTGTCGCGCTTCGTGCTGCCGTACCTGCCGCCAGGATACAGGGAGCTTCCGGTGGTGCCGACTGCGGGGAGTCGAATGAAGTCGTCGCAGCTAGTGCACTGGATAGGGCTGCTCGCGCTCTTCACCTGCGCGTCCACCTGGCTCCTGGTAAGGCGATTGACTGCATGACAATGTTCAGGTGTGCTTTGAGTCGACTCATCGTACACCTGCTTGGTTCCGGTGCTGCCGACTGCGGGGAGTCGCATGAAGTTGTCGCAGCTGAAGCACTGGATAGGGCTGCTCGCCCTCTTCTCCTGCGCCTCCATCTGGCTCCTGGTATGTCGCATGCGTTTGGTGGCTCGTAGTTACTCGTACCACCCATCATGACTTTCATAGTGACGTTCATTCCATCCCTGCTGCTCTTGCCATTGACTTCTTCTCACCTCACTTCCTGGCTCCTGGTACGACCTTGGAGACCTCTTCTCACCTCATCTCAAAACTCCTGTACCGCCCCGCCTCATCCTCGTCACGCCCACGTATCTTCGCGCGCGCGCCTACGCATCTCATTAACAGCCTGAGCCCATCCTTTCCTCCCCCCCTGCCCCGTCTTTCCCGCAGGCGCCGACGCTCTCTTGGTCTGTTTCGAAACCCCCGCCTGTCCCGCCCCGTCTCATCCTGGTGACGCCGACGTACGCGCGCGCGTTCCAGGCGGCGTACCTCACGGAGCTCACTCACACGCTGCGCCTCGTGCCGCCGCCGCACACGTGGATCGTCGTGGAGAGCGGGAATAAGGTAACTTGCGGGTGCGGGGTGCGATGCGAATGCGACTTTCGAGACGGCTAAAACATGAGACGAGTTTTGAGGCGACTCAAACACCCCGTCTCCACTCCCCTCCCCCTCACATCCCACCTTCCTTACATTCCGCCCCTCGCACGCGTGGATCGTCGTGGAGAGCGGGAATAAGGTACGTTGCGGGTCCGGGATGCGTGTGCGGGTTTTGAGGCGGCTAAGAATGAAAGGAATTTTGAAGCCCCTGAAACTTTGCCAGCCCATCCTACACCCCTACACTCGCACCTACACTCGCACCCCACCCCCCTCCCCCCTCTCCCGCACACGTGGATCGTCGTGGAGAGTGGGAAAAAGGGACGTTACGTGTGCGGGATGCGAGTGCGGCTGTTGAGGCGGCTTGGTAACTCTTTGAAATGACAGCGATTTGGGGACAGATTTTGAGTCCTAAACTCTCGAATGCTAGACGTAGGAGTCTAGGTTGTTAGAGGCTGCTCCTGGCATGCACGATGCTGCTGGAGTGCGCTGTAGGCTGCTGCAAAGCAGGAGACTCCCCTGCTCCCAGTCTTACGCCCTTGTGCAACCCCTTGTGTTGAACATCGTACGGTGCTGTGCTGCTCGGCTGTTGCGTGCAGACGGACGAGACGGCCATGCTCCTGGAGCGGACGGCAGGCTACTGTGCAGCAGCGGAGGCAGGCGGGTGCCGGAAGCAGCTGCTGTCGTGCTTATTATTGAACAACCTGATTGAATCCTTGTTGATATCATATCCTGCTCTGCTGGGTTGCCTGCAGACGGAGGAGACGGCCATGCTCCTGGAGCGGACGGCAGGCTACTGTGCTGCAGCGGAGGCCGGCGGGTGCCGGAAGCTTGAATACGTTCATATCGCCACCGAGAATGTAAGTTGGGGGGTTGGGAATTTCAAATTCAGGGGACGGAAAGAAAAGAAGAAGAAGAAAAAATAAGAATGTAGTGGTGATGAGTGATTGGCAGTGGTTACCTGGTGTAAGGGTTGGTGGAAGCCAACGTGCTGCGGAAGAGCCTTTCTTCCCTGCCCCTCTCCTCACTCTTTCGCCCGCTCTCCACCACACCCTCCCCCATCCTAACCCTCCCTTTACAGAACGAGGACCAGCGGTGGTTTCGAGGTGTCGGCCAGAGGAACCTAGCTCTAAAGTACATAGAAAAGGTCTGACTTTTGAGTCGACTCGAAGACACCCTCCCCCGTCCTAACCCTCCCTTTGCAGAATGAGGACCAGCGGTGGTTCCGAGGTGTCGGCCTGAGAAACCTAGCTCTCGAGTACATAGAAAAGGAAAACCTAGAGGGAATCGTATACTTTATGGATGATGATAACTCGTACGCGCTGCAGCTGTTTGAGGAGAGCCTTCCTCCCCTGCCCCACTCCCCACTCCCCTCTCCCCACTCCCCACTCCCCACCCCTTACAGTCTGCTCTCTTCTGCCCCCCTCTCCAACACACCCTTCCATCCCCGCCCTCTCTTGCAGAACGAGGACCAGCGGTGGTTCCGAGGCGTGGGGCAGCGCAACCTAGCTCTCGAGTACATAGAAAGGGAGAACCTCGAAGGAATTGTGTACTTTATGGACGACGACAACTCGTACGCGCTGCAGCTGTTTGACGAGCTAAGGAAGATTCAGCGCATTGGTCTGCTGCCGGTGGGGTTCCTGTTTGGGAAAGACAGCCCCATGCGCTCCTACGTTGGCCGCCCCATTGTGCGGGTGCCTGTGGAGGGCGGTGAGAGGCAGAGTGAGAGGGAGAGTGACTCTTCTGCAGAGGACAGCAGCAGCGGCAGCAGCAGTGGCAGCGGCAGCAGCGGCAGCGGCAGCGGCAGCAGCAGTGGTAGTGGCGGTGGCAGCAGCAGCGGCAACGGTGAGGAGAAGGAGCAGGTGGCACGGGCGCGGGTCGTGGGGTGGGAGGCGTATGGCCGCCGCGTCCCCCTGCAGCGAGACCCCGAGGCACGGCGATACATCATGGACATGGCTGGGTTTGCGTTCAGGTGAGAAAAGGCGTGATTCGCTCTCAGTTAGGAACCAAACCTTCCCTCTTCGCGCCCCGTGCTGTGTGTGTGGCACCGAGACGCGAAGTCACTCGTTTTTTCCTGTTGAAACGCAGCTCTGAAAGAACATGTGTCACTTTTATGTGGGTGTGCTAACACTCTTCCCTGTGTGCCCTGTGGTGTGTGCCCTGATGTGTGTGCCCTGTGGTGTGTGTGTGCAGCACGGAGGCTCTTCGCAACGGCACGGTCCAAGGAAAGAAGCAGCCCATTCGCTTCCGGCCTTCAAAACGCGGGTAGGCCGACTTAACATGGCCTTCACATGGCCACATAGATAGCCTTGACATGGCCACATAGATGGCCTTGACATGGCCACATAGATGGCCTTGACATGGCCACATAGATGGCCTTCACATGGCCACATAGATGGCCTTGACATGGCCACATAGATGGCCTTCACATGGCCACATAGATGGCCTTCACATGGCCACATAGATGGCCTTGACATGGCCACATAGATGGCCTTGACATGGCCACATAGATGGCCTTGACATGGCCACATAGATGGCCTTCACATGGCCACATAGATGGCCTTGACATGGCCACATAGATGGCCTTCACATGGCCACATAGATGGCCTTCACATGGCCACATAGATGGCCTTGACATGGCCACATAGATGGCCTTCACATGGCCACATAGATGGCCTTGACATGGCCACATAGATGGCCTTCACATGGCCACATAGATGGCCTTGACATGGCCACATAGATGGCCTTGACATGGCCACATAGATGGCCTTGACATGGCCAAATAGATGGCCTTGACATGGCCACATAGATGGCCTTCACATGGCCACATAGATGGCCTTCACATGGCCACATAGATGGCCTTCACATGGCAGATCATGGTGGTGGGACCTGACCCATTGGTCTTCTCCCATTGCCAGCATAGCAGCATTGACAGCATTGAAGGTTCCTTGTATGCCACCGTTACTCGACATGCACGCATGCCCTCCAACCTCTCCTCTTTAACCCATGGACCCTTCCCTGGCAGGTTCCTCGAGACTGATTTCCTAGAGCAGCTGGTGACACACGAGGACGAATTCGAGGTGTTAGCAGATGGGTGCAGAGCGGTGTGGGTGTGGCACAAGCACATGGAGGACCTCTCCTGGGCCAAGTACCCTGAGGATTGGCAGCCCGAGCAGAGCAACCACCGCATTCCCACGTATGACTGGGTGAAGAATGACTCGAGTCACGAGGCGAGAGCTGGGCTGATCGGGGGGATTGCTCGCGTGGCGAATGTTACGTTACCGCCGAGTTTTGAGGAGATGAAAAGGGAGGAGGCCATGCGGGCGGGGAGGGTGGAGGATGGTGGGTCGGGGATGGCAAATGGGCAGAAGGTGGATTTGAGGCGCAACGGGGGAGTAGCATCAAGAGGGGATTCAGGGGGGAGGAATAAGATGCGCGGGCGGCGGGAGGATGGAACAAAAGCTGTACAATAAGCAAGGAGAGGCATGCAACCGCCAAGAAAGTAATGTGCATGCCTTATTGTGTTTTTTCCCAAGTATACTAACCAGGTTTGAAAGATGTCTAACGCACATGTATGGTGCACTGCCCAGTTTGGTCGGTATTCACACTTATAGTGCAAGTGCCAGGGAGAACGGAAACGCTTAGAATTAGTAAATAGATTGATGTAATACAAGAAAGGCAGTATACAAAGTATAGCCAGGGTCTCGGTCATTGTGGCTACCTTTGAGAGTATTCACAATTTTCACATGCCAAATTCAGCAATGTAGTGGCTGAAAGTGTACCTTATTCCAATCAGTTGATGCGCTAATGACAACCTCGATGTTGGGTGAGCTTTAGGGGACAGTCCGCGATGAGATTTCCAGCTCCTCTACCCCTTGCACGCACCATTTTCATTTGCATCTCAAATCTCGAAAGTGTGACCCGAACATTCCGGTACTCTACGTTCTGGAACGGTGAATCACCATCTAGCACGGCTGAGTAGGGTAATCGGCGAAAACGAGCGTTTCGACCACCACTCAGGACGGAATCATTCAGGTTCAGGCTTCCTCGTCCTGACAATTGGGAAGTGAGAGGTCTGCTCGTCTTCTCCCTCCTCCCACTTATCTCAGATTCGCACGCTTCCAGTACCAAACGTGCTTGTCTGATCACAGCTCTGGTCGTCCTTCAATCCGTGAATTGTCCCGACGAACTTTCAGGCGCGTTCCGTCCGGGATCCGGCTGTCCGACGGATCGATCTTTTAATTTCTAGGTTAGTCTCTCAAATCTCCTTTTCGGGATCTGTCCGAATTGGATCGTATCTGTTTCAAGATACTTTCTCGATAGGTCAGTTTTACGAGCACGCGGGATTCTTTTACTCGCCATCCTTGTCTTCACAGATGCTGTGTGTACTGATGGGTCACGTACTAATGGTGGACTAATGGTGGACTATACTGACTCTGTCGTCTTTCGTTTCTCTCCGCGTTTATCCCTTACGTGCTTCCTTTCTGCGGATCTAGATCGTTTGATTCAGATAGCGTTGAGCGCAGATGGCGACAAACGGGCTAGAGATTGCCGGCGAGCGCATCACGGGTCAAGACGTCCGAACACAAAATGGTACGAGTCTGGTTACACGAGGCTCATGACGTTATGTGTGCGGTTACAGGTCTGTAAGAAAGCACACGGAAGGATAGTCCGTAACTTGGGATCGTAGATTTCAGTGAGGCGATTTTTTTTGCGTGCCTTTTAACACGTGCTCGACTTTAGCGTCATCTTCTTAGCACGCTTTGACGTCTGTTCGTGCTGTTTTTTCGCACACTTCGTGTCATCCTCAGCGATGCGTCGTGGTTGAGAGTTGTGGTCGAGGGTTCAGGGCTAGAGGTACAGCAACGCAGTCATTGGGTTCCTGATTATATGGTACTGTTAATGCTGGGTATATAATTAAATCCGAACGGGAAGGAGGGGGTGGGGGGTGAGAAGGAAGGGTTGTTTCCGAGCTGCAACCTGGTTTATCGTAAATACTCGCCCGAATGTTGTTTTTTGTTGTCATATCCAACCAAAAGTCATGCTCGAAATGCCGTTACTTGTCAGCGTTGTATGAGGAGCTCGCTGAACGGTCCTTTCTCCGTTCTCCGTTCTTCGTTCTCCATGCGCGAAATGCCTCAATTCCTGATCCGCAGTCACCGCGTGCATGGCGATAGCCAACATTGTGAAGAGCTCGCTGGGCCCTGTGGGATTAGATAAGGTGAGATTCAACACTTTTCACAAATCGCCGGGCCCCGTGGGATGGATAAGGTGATATCGCTGGGCCCTGTGGGATTGTTCAACCTTCAGTGAACTGGTTGCTCTCCTCTTGTCGTTTTCCTCACGTATCTAACTGGTCCACGCGTCACTAACTTGAGGCGGATTTGCCTTCGTATCCCCCTACTACTTTCGTCCTTTGCCAAATGGTTTTCCTTTTCACCCCGGTTCCCCCTGCATCCCGTGCCTGTCAGATGCTGGTGGACGATTTTGGTGACATCACCATCACCAAGGCGAATCCTCATTCCCGTTTCAACCCGGTCCCCCCTGCATCCCTCGCCTGTCAGATGCTGGTGGACGATATTGGTGACATCACCAGCACTAACTTGAGGCGAATCCTCATTCCCCTTTCACCCCGGTCCCCCCTGCATCCCGTGCCAGTCAGATGCTGGTGGGTGATATTGGCGACATGACAGTCACCAAATTCAGCCGTATCCGCTGTTCGCCACTCATCGGTTCCCAATCGGTCCCCCCTGCGTCCCCTGCGTCCCGTGCCTGGCAGATGCTAGTGGACGACATTGGTGATATCACCATCACCAACGACGGAGCCACCATTCTGAAGCAGCTGGAAGTGGAGCATCCTGCTGCCAAGGTAGTGCTCGGATGAACTAGCGCTGCCGGTAGGGTAGTGTTATATATAGTGCTGCAGCTAAGGATTCAAACGCTCACCATTCTGAAGCAGCTGGAAGTGGAGCATCCTGCTGCCAAGGTAGTGCTCGGATGAACTAGCGCTGCCGGCAGGGTAGTGTTATATATAGTGCTGCAGCTAAGGATTCAAACGCTCACCATTCTGAAGCAGCTGGAAGTGGAGCATCCTGCTGCCAAGGTAGTGCTCGGATGAACTAGCGCTGCCGGCAGGGTAGTGTTATATATAGTGCTGCAGCTAAGGATTCAAACGCTCACCATTCTGAAGCAGCTGGAAGTGGAGCATCCTGCTGCCAAGGTAGTGCTCTAAGTAACTGGCACCGCATGTAGGGTAGGGTAGTGCTCTGTTCATTGTTTCCTTTGAGCATTCAAGCGGTCACCATCTTGAAGCAGCTGGCTGGAGGTGGAGCATCCTGCTGCCAAGGTACTGTTTTGTACAGTGCAGCATGCATGGTGGCGTGTTTCTTGCTGCTGTTGCTTTTGAAATCCCTCAACGGAATCTCAGCGAGATTTTTCAGGGAACAATACTTACACGGCCCGTTTTGAATCAGGTGAAAGTAGAGATTGCTGCAGCTAAGGTAACCCTTTATGCCTCCCCCTTCCTCCTTCACTTCCTCCTCCATCCCTCCCCCCTCTCCAACTCTCTCCCCTCCTCGCCCGCTCCTTCCTCCGCCCTCCCCCGTTCAGGTGCTGGTGGGTCTGAAAGGGCTACAGGACAGGGAGGTGGGGGACGCGCTTTGAGGTGCCGCAAGCATCTCCTTCACTCTTCTCCCTCTTCGCCATCTTCCATCTCTCCGCCTCCCCCTGGCCGGTGCTGGTGAATTTGGCAGAGCTGCAGGACAGGGAGGTAGGGGGCGTGCTTTGACGTCCCTAGAAGGCAACAACCCCCACGCTTTCCCTCCCTCCTCGCCCGCTCTTTCCTCCGCCCTCCCCCGTTCAGGTGCTGGTGGGTCTGGCAGAGCTGCAGGACAGGGAGGTGGGGGACGCGCTTTGAGGTGCCCTGCAGCAACCCCCACCCAATTCTTCTTCCGCCGCTTCCGTCTATTGTCTCTTACTCCGTCCACTCTTCCTGGGCAGGTGCTGGTGGATCTGGCAGAGCTGCAGGACAGGGAGGTGGGGGACGTGGCTTATGATGCCTTGAAAACAACACCGCCACCCCCCCCGCTTCCCCCCCTCCCCTCTCACCCCACCCGCCCCTTGCCTACCCTTGTCTGCCCCTGGCAGGTGCTGGTGGATCTGGCAGAGCTACAGGACAGGGAGGTGGGGGACGGAACCACGTCAGTCGTCATCATTGCGGCCGAGCTGCTCAAGGTGCGGGTCTGCCTGTTTGCGCAGTGCTGGGTGCTGGGTGCTGGGAGCTGGGTGCTGGGTGCTGGGTAGTGCGTAGCAGGTAGTCGAGGTGAGGTGGGGGACGGCACCACATCAGTCGTCATCACTGCTGCTGAGCTGCTCAAGATAACGGCCTCCATATGTGTGCGCCTGTCTGCCTGTCTGCCTGTCTGCCTGTCTGCCTGTCTCCTTGTGTGTCCGTGACTTCTTAGGTTCCATTGTCCATTTCGTTTCCCCCCACCTTCTCACCCTGCGCGGAGCACGGACGACCTCTTGTGGTGGTGCGACGATTCCTGAGGCGCCTTGTACAGCACTCACCCCTTTGCACTCCTCGTCTTTACTTGTTTGTGTGTTGTGCGTGTGAGCAGAGGGCGGACGATCTCGTGCGCGGTGCGACGATTTCCGAGGCACCTTATGAAGCATTCACCCCTTTGCACTGCTCTCTGTTGCTTGTTTGTGTGTTTTGCGTGTGAGCAGAGGGCGGACGATCTCGTGCGCAACCGCATTCACCCAACATCCATCATCAGCGGGTATCGAGTGAGTGTGCCCCTTTCCCCACCCCCACTTTCTTCTGTGGTTAAGCCTGAAACTATGGCCTTATAACCCAATAACCCATGATTGTAGCTCTGGAAACCTAAACTTCAAGCCACAACACGGCAAACCCAAAACCCTATCTCCGAAATTCTGAACCCGAAACTTATTTTTCCAAACCTAGAACCTGAGATGATAGCTTCCCAAACCCAGAAACCGAAGAACATAGTTTTTCAAATTCTAGAACCCAAGGCGATAGCTTTCCAAACTGAAACCCAGACCATAGCCATTTTTACCCTGAAATCACGACCATCCCTTCCCAGACCCAGAACCCAGATGGTCTTCAGCTGCCATTTCATCCAGTTTCTTTCCTCTCCCGCTCTCCCTTGAGTTCACTTTTGAGAATTCTCAAAAGTAAACCCAGATAATCTTCAGCTGCCATTTCACCCAGTTTACCTCCTCTCCCGCTCTCCCTTCCTGGATCGTTTTTCTGTTTCCTCACCCACCCCCCAACCATCTCTGGTGGTTCACTGCAGCTGGCGATGAGGGAGGCGTGCAAGTATGTGGATGGCAAGCTGGCAGTCAAGGTGAGTGCCGGTGACATATGAGTTGAACCGTATCGAGTCACTGCAGCTGGCGATGAGGGAGGCGTGCAAGTGTGCGGACGGCAAGCTGGCAGTCAAGGTGTGTGCGGTAGACTTCAGTTATGGCTTCACTCCACAGTTATGGGTTATGGGTTCTTTCAGTGATGTGTTGCCTCTCTTCTGCCTGCCCCCTACAATCCCCCTCCTCATTCTTTCTCTCCTGCTCTCGCCCCCTTTTCTTGCATTCTTAGTTTGCTGCTGCGTGCACGCAATCCCGCTCTGCCCTGCTCCCCTGTTCACAAGAGCAGGTGGAGAAGCTGGGCAAGTCAACGCTGCTGAACGCAGCCAAGACGAGTATGGCCTCCAAGATTTGTGACTGCACATTACTGACGCTGAGTCGCTGACCCACTGCTGGTCCCACTCTCCTTCCTCTCTACCTCTTCTGCCTGTGGTGCCCTGTTCACAAGAGCAGGTGGAGAAGCTGGGCAAGTCAACGCTGCTGAATGCGGCCAAGACGAGCATGGCCTCCAAGATTGTCGACATGGACAGCGAGTTCTTTGGCAAGATGGTGGGTGCTGTGCTGCTTGTATCGAGTCTGTGCTTGTAGCGAGTATGTGCATGTCTTAAGCCTGTGAATGCAACGCTGCTGAATGCGGCCAAGACGAGCATGGCCTCCAAGATTGGTGACATGGACAGCGAGTTCTTTGGCAAGATGGTGGGTGCTGTGCTGCTGCTTGTATCGACTCTGTGCTTGTATCGAGTCTGTGCTTGTAGCGAGTGTGGGTCTATCAAGTGTGTGCCACATATTGAGTAGGCGCATGCGTTGAGTTTGAACTTGCTGGTAAGGCTCCACAGATTAGTAAGGATTCCCTCTTTTCTTTGTTCTTCTTCTCGGCTCCCCTCCCTGTTTATTCGCGCCTCTCCTCGCCCCTCACAGGTTGTGGACGCGGTGCAAGCTGTGAAGACGACGAACGAGAAGGGCGAAGTCAGATACCCCATCAAGGTGCGTATGGCAACTTGACAGTGATCGAGTTTGAGGATCAGTTGGGTCTGTCGCCATATCTGGCAGCAACTTTCTGTGTAAACACTTGTCGACGCGATTCACGGTTCATAACGAGAAGGGCGAAGTACAGATACCTCATCAAGGTGCGTACACCAAAGTGACGATGTATGTTCTTGATCAGTATGATGGATGTCAATGTAAGGAACCGTTGTATTCATATGCCGGTCGCATGATAAGAAAATTAATGTTTAGCACCACATATGGCACTCTCTGTGACTTGCACACTGCAGCAGGGTAGATGTTGCATCAATGACTATGCGCTCGTCACGAGGCGGGCCGGCGGCCGCCCAGTGCATGCCCCGCCCAGGTGTAGAGAGGGTGTTTTTGAGACGCCTCAAAACACCCTCTCTACACGTCACGATGCAGGCCGCCCAGTGCATGCCCCGCCCAGGGCGTTTTCTCTCTTGTTTTGGCTTCTCTCCTCCCTCGTTCCCCTGCCCCTCCTGCCCCTCCTGCCCCTCCTGCCCCTCCTGCCCCTCCTGCCCCTCCTGCCCCTCCTGCCCCCTTCTGCTGCTCCTTCTCCGCTGCCTTGCTGCTCTCTTGTTCATCCCACTTTTCTCCACCCCAGGCAATCAACATTCTCAAGGCGCATGGCAAGAGTGCGAGGGACAGTGCGCTGATCAACGGCTATGCGCTCAACACCACGCGCGCCGCCCAGGGCATGCCCCGCCGTTGCAGGTTGTTTTTGAGAATTCTCAAAAACGACCCGGGGCATGCCCCGCCGCGTGGGGCCCGCCGCAAGTCTTGCTCTCTTGCTTTCACAACCCTCCTCCCTTTTGCCCACCTGCCCCTCTTCTGCCCTTTTCTTCCCTCTTCCGTCTCTCTTCCTCCCCTCTTCTGCTGCCCCTTCTCTGCTCCCTTGTGCGTCCCACACCCCCTTCTCCTGCACCCCAGGCAATCAACATTCTCAAGGCGCATTGTCAAGAGCGCGAGGGACAGTGCGCTGATCAACGGCTATGCGCTCAACACCACGCGCGCTGCCCAGGGCATGCCCCGCCGCGTGGGGCCTGCCTGCACGTCCTGCTGTTGCTCTCTTGTTTCCACAACCCGCTTCCCTTTGGCCCACCTTCGCCCCTTCTGCCCCTCTTCGGTCGCCCCTTTTCCGCTCTCTTGTACGTCCCTCACCCCCGCCCTCCATTCTCCTCCCTCCCAGGCAATCAACATTCTCAAGGCGCATGGCAAGAGCGCCAGGGACAGTGCCCTGATCAACGGCTATGCACTCAACACCACGCGCGCCGCCCAGGGCATGCCGCGCCGCGTGGGGCCCGCCCGCATTGCGTGCCTGGACTTCAATCTGCAGCGCACGCGCATGCAGATGGGCGTGCAGGTTCTGGTGACTGATCCGAAAGAGCTGGATAAGATCAGAGAGAGGTGCGTATACAGTGAATGATTGAGTGATTGAGAGATTAATTGTGTGTGAGTGAGAGAGGGAGGGTGCGGTGATGCCGAGTGGGAAGTGGGGCTGGAGGAGAGGAGACACATAGCATAGACAGGGAGGTCGCTTGCTGGTGGTTATGCTAGGGGTGTGCTTGTGGTTACAACGGTGTGTTGCGGCAGTGCTCTGTGTTCTTGTCTGTGCGCGTGGCAGGGCGTAGGACATCACAAAGGAGCGCATTCAAACGATGCGCAAGGCGGGCCATGTGCATTGGTGCTGCTGCTTACAATCAGTGCTGCTCTCCTCTGCTCTGTGCTGCTGTGCTTGTTCCTCGTCTCAGGGTGTCGGACATTACAAAGGAGCGCATACAGAAGATGCTCAAGGCGGCATTGAGTGATGTGGTGGTCACAAGCTGTGTGTCATTTTGTGCTGCTCTTTGTTGTGCTTGTTCCTCGTTTCAGGGAGTCGGATATCACAAAGGAGCGCATTCAAAAGATGCTCAAGGCGGGTGCGAATGTCATTCTCACCACCAAGGGCATCGATGACATGTCGCTCAAGGTGAGCTGTTGTGCTGACGTGTCACTCAAGGTGAGCTGTTGTGCTGACGTTGCGCTCAGGGTGAGCTGTTGTAATGACATATCACTTGTCACTCCCAGCGTGAGCTGTCATGGCCGATGCATGCAGTCTCCCTTTGTCCTGTGTGCATCGCCTTGTCCTTGACAGTGCATGAGACTGCGTTTACCCCATGCTGGTTTTTGAGAATTCTAAAAAACCAGCTGCGTTTACCCCATGCTCCTTGCCCTTCTTCCTATTTTCCCCACCCTGTCCCCTTCACCGCACGTCCCCACCCCCTTCACACCAGCCTGTCCTCCCTCCCCACCTTTCCTCCTCACGCCGTTTATCTCCCCACTCCTATCAATTCCCACCATCCACCAGTATTTCGTGCGCCATTGCAGGCGCCATTGCAGTGCGGCGAGTCAATAAGGACGACCTCAGGCACATCGCCTGTCTCCCGCTTCGTGTCTCCTCCTCCCACCTCCTGCCCTGCCTGTCGTTCCCTTCCTTCCCTCGTCCCCTCATCCACCAGTATTTCGTGGAAACAGGGGCCATTGCAGTGCGACGGGTGAAGAAGGACGATTTAAAGCACATCCCGCCTGTCTTTCCCCTCTTTTGAGTCACTCGTTTCCCTAACCCCCCTGTCCTTCCCTCTCCCATCCATCAGTATTTCGTGGAGGCAGGCGCCATTGCAGTGCGGCGAGTCAAGAAGGACGACCTGAGGCACATCGCCAAGGCGTCTGGCGCCACTATGGTGAGACAATGGGGGGGGGGAGGGGGAGGTGAGGGGTGCGATGGGGACGAGGGGGGCGAGGGGGGAAGTGGACATGTGAGTGGGCTTGGTGTGGGTGACTCAAAAAGCGTTCAGCGTCACCAAATGGGCCCTCCTTTCTCTTGCTCCTCCTCCTCCTCCTCCTCATCATCATGCATCGATCAGGCTTCCCCCTTTCTTCACCTCTCGTGTTCTCCCCACCGCCAACCTCCTCTCAGATGCTCACGTTAGCGGACATGCAAGGGGGATACAGACGTTTGACCCGTCCATGTTGGGGCAGGCAGAGGAGGTATACGAGGAGTGTTGTCTAGCAAATAACACATTTTACCCTCCGATGTTTCCCCTCTCTTTCACCCCCTCTCCTCTCAGATGCTCACGTTCGCTGACATGGAAGGGGGAGAGACGTTCGACGCGTCCATGTTGGGACAGGCAGAGGAGGTGTATGAGGAGCGCGTGGCAGACGACAACATTCTCATCTTCAAGGGCTTTAAGGCTGCTAAGGCGGTGAGTGATTGAGGGCAGGGAGCAAGGGTTACAGAGGTAGAGGGTTGCTGGGGCAGGCAGAGGAGGTGTATGAGGAGCGCGTGGCGGATGACAACATCCCCATCTTCAAGGGCTTTAAGGCGGCTAAGGCGGTGAGTGGATCTAGAAGGTTCAGTAGAGGGGTCACAGGGCGCACACTGGGGCACAGGGGACACAGGGTGTTTTTGAGAATTCTCTAAAACACCCCACACTGGGGCACAGGGGTCACAGGGTTGCAGAGTTAGAAGGCTGCTGGGGAAAGCAGAGGAGGTGTATGAGGAGCGCGTGGCGGATGTCAACATTCTCATCTTCAAGGGCTTTAAGGCGGCTAAGGCGGTGAGTGGGTGGATGGGGAAGGGAAAGGACGAGACACGGGGGGTCCGCAGGGGTGAATGGGTAGAGCAGGGCAGGGAAGACCACACACCCACTGCGGCAGGCAGAGGGGATGCACCAGGAATGGGCACAGGGGGATACGCTGGCCGTTATGTGGCCTATCCCATACCACTGGCCACGCTCGATGTGAAGCCTGCACCACCACCATCCACCTCCCCCATCTCCCCAACCTCTCGCCTCCCTTCCCTTCAATCCCTCCCGTCCCGTCTTCCCCTTCTATCCGGCGGCAACCCTCATCCTCCGAGGGGCCAACGACTACATGCTGGACGAGATGGACCGCTCGCTGCACAACCCCCATGACCTGTCCCTCTCTTGTCCTGTCCCGCGTGTGGTCCCTGTCACTTACCACAGGCAACCCTCCTCCTCCGCGGAGCCAACGACTACATGCTGGACGAAACGAAATGGACCGTTCCCTACAGTCGGTGACGCCCTGTCTCCTCCCTCCACATATCCCCACCCGCCCAGGCCACCCTCCTCCTCCGTGGCGCCAACGACTACATGCTGGACGAGATGGATGGATCGCTGCATGATGCCATATGTTGTGTCAAGACCCACTCACCCATCTTCCACTGTCCCATACCATACCACAGGCAACGCTCCTCCTCCGAGGAGCTAACGACTACATGCTGGATGAGATGGATCGATCCCTTCACGATGCCATCTGCATTGTCAAGACTCTCACTGTCCCATCTCCCCCAATCTCCCACTGTCTCTCCGTGACCTGCATCTGCATTACAGGCAACCCTGCTCCTGCGAGGAGCCAACGACTACATGCTGGACGAGATGGATCGCTCCCTCCATGACGCCATCTGCACCACCAACCCACTCTCCCTCATGTGTCCTCTCCCACACTGCAGGCAACCCTGCTTCTGCGAGGAGCCAACGACTACATGCTCGACGAGATGGACCGATCCCTTCACGATGCCATCTGCATTGTCAAGACTCGCACTGTCCCACTCCCTCAATCTCCCTCTGTCCCTTCCATGACCCGCCTTCCTTTACAGGCAACCCTCCTCCTCCGCGGAGCCAACGACTACATGCTGGACGAGATGGATCGATCACTGCATGACGCCATCTGCATTGTCAAGCGCACACTCGAGTCCAACTCCGTGGTAGCAGGGGGAGGCGCTGTGGAAGCGGCCCTGTCAGTGCACCTTGAGAACCTCGCGACGACTCTTGGTTCGCGGGAGCAGCTGGCCATTGCAGAGTTCGCAGAGGCCCTGCTCGTCATTCCCAAGGTGACCCACCTCTCTGAACCACCTCCTCACTCTTACAAGCGCCGAGTGCTGTTTCCCGGTTCAATGCGGTGCTGTGTGTGGGGGGAGGCGCTGTGGAGGCCACCCTGTCAGTGCACCTGGAGGACCTCGCCACCACTCTTGGGTCCCGGGAGCAGCTGGCCATTGCGGAGTTCGCTGAAGCCCTGCTCGTCATTCCCAAGGTGAGAGCGGTCCACCTGGGGAGAGAGGAGGAGGGGGGGGCGTGGTGGAGGCGGCGCTTTCAGTGCACCTGGAGAACCTCGCCACCACTCTTGGGTCCCGGGAACAACTTGCAATCGCTGAGTTCGCTGAAGCCCTGCTCGTCATTCCCAAGGTAAGAAGGCCTTTCTACCCAACTCAGTCGTTGCAGGGGGGGGCGCGCTGTGGAGGCGGCCCTGTCAGTGCACCTGGAGAATCTCGCCACCACCCTTGGGTCCCGGGAACTACTCGCTATTGCTGAGTTTGCTGAAGCCTTGCTCGTCATTCCCAAGGTGAGAGAGGCTTGGTAGTTCCACAGGTAAGGGTGCTCCCCTGTCTTGCTGTGGAGGCGGCCCTGTCAATGCACCTGGAGAACCTCGCCACCATCCTCGGGTCCCGGGAACTACTCGCTATTGCTGAGTTTGCTGAAGCCTTGCTCGTCATTCCCAAGGTACGTGTGTCCCTCTCGTGCGCCTAAGGTGTGCCCTGTTCAATGCCTAAGGATGCCACAAATCTGGTGGCGAAGCTGAGGGTGTACCACCACGTGTCGATGGGCTTTAACCCTGAGCTCCTTCCTCCCAATGCCTCTCCACCCGTTGCTGCTCGCTGTGCTGCTGCAGGTGCTGGCGGTGAATGCTGCCAAGGATGCCACAGACCTGGTGGCGAAGCTGAGGGTTACCTTCAATCTTACCATTTACCCCTTACCTTCCCTTGTACCCCTTCTCTACGTGCTGTCCCTCACTCCATCAGGTGCTTGCGGTGAATGCTGCCAAGGACGCCACAGATCTGGTGGCGAAGCTGAGGGCGTACCACCACATGTCGCAGACTAAAAGCGACAAGCAGCACTTGGCAGAGTGAGTCTGGGGTGGGGTTGAGTTGAGCTGAGATTCGCGAGAGACTTTGTACCCCAATGAGTGTGGCTTACCATGTTTTCCAGTCAACTTAAATAGTGATTTTCACCATGCCAGTACATATCAGTCACTTTGACCATCACGAGTGTCTCATTTGTTGTACCACATGCCATATTTGTTTTACCACATGCCATATTTGTTTTACCACATGCCATATTTGTTTTACCACATGCCATATTTGTTTTACCACATGCCATATTTGTTTTACCACATGCCATATTTGTTTTACCACATGCCATATTTGTTTTACCACATGCCATATTTGTTTTACCACATGCCATATTTGTTTTACCTCGTGCCATAATTTCTTTACCACATGCCATATTTGTTTAACCACATGCCACATTTGTTTTACCAAATGCCATATTCGTTTTACCACGAGTCATACTTGTCTTACCACATGCCATTGTTGTCATTTCCACTCCCCCTTGTGTCCTGTGAGGCAGGTACGGCTTGGATCTTGTGAACGGTGTGCTGAGGAACAACGTGGAAGCAGGAGTGCTGGAGCCAGCCATGAGCAAAACCAAGATCCTGCAGGTAGGAGGGCTGTGTTGCTTTGCTACGGCCTGGATCTGGTCTGGTGAACGGTGTGCTGAGGAACAAACAACGTGGAGGCAGGGGTGCTGGAGCCAGCGATGAGCAAAACCAAGATTCTGCAGGTGGGGCCGCGGCTTAGCTCTGGTATCCATTAGGTATGGCCTGGATCTGGTCTGGTGAACGGTGTGCCGAGGAACAATCAAAGAGGAGGCCGGAGTGCTGGAGCCAGCTATGAGCAAAGCCAAGATCCTGCAGGTAGGGGGCCTTACTGGTGCTTTGTTCTGCAGCAACAACTGCTGGTATTGATCAATTCCGGTTAAGGCTTGTACGATCTGGTTTGGACCTACCTGGTGAACGGGACACCGAGGAGCAACGCGGAGGCGGGAGTTTGGAGCCAGCTGAACATTTGTCGTGGTTTTGGTCTTATGCTGGTCTTGTTTTGGTTATCTGTCTATGGTCCTGAGCCTGCAATGAGCAAAAGCAAGATCTCCTTTAAGGAAAGTCTTTCTGTGTCATCGACTTGGTCTTGCCTGTTGTGTTTGTGTTGCATAACTCGATCACTTATTTCATCTTCCCGATTACCATGCATTCCCTCTACAGTGCTTGCCATTCCTCGCTTTGTAATCCTGCTCCCCCCCCCCCCCCCCCCCCTGCATATTCGCCGTGTCCTTCCTCTTCCCCTCTCATTGTATGCTCGCTGTGTCTTCTTCTCCTCTCGATGCAGTTTGCCACGGAAGCTGCCATCACCATTCTCAGGATCGACGACATGATTCGCTTGGCCAAGGCCCAAGACGGCCCTGAGGAGTGACGCGACGTTAGCATTAAATTGAATACCACCACATACACAAACTTTTGTGGCGCCTCAAAAGTCACTGAATACCATCACATACACAAACGCTATCACGTTGGTTGGGTGGGTATCCTAGCATATGGGTTGGAATTGGAAAGCACTGTGCTCAGTGCAGTTTTTACAACCAAAGCTGCCATGCCATCACCCTTTAAGGATAGACGACATGATTCTGATGGCCAAGGCCTAAGATGGGCCTTAATAGTGATGTCAGCTTTCAGTCTGCAAAGGCCGGATTTGGTTGCTGCTAATTAGTTGTTGTGTGCCAAATGCCGTTGGCTGACTTTAATCAAACTATTGTCGGTGTTCTTGATTGTTGTAGCAAAAACTACTCTTAACGAATCCACTCGAACCGCTGAGGCTTCAGGACTAGTCAAGAATCGTTACAAGCACTGTCTGTGTCACGCGCCGCTCCCGTCCCGTACCATTTGCCATAGGGCTGGGCGATGTTGGCATATCGAATGGTGGCCCCGCCGAAACATTTTTGTTTCGGGACGGATGTTCCACGAATAAACGACTTGTAGTATTGGTGTAGCATGGACACTCGCTGCTCTGACGATGTTTAGAAGCCTCGTATGTTTTTGCTACCGAACCTTCACGCAGTACTGAATGCAACCTGTAATTTGTTTTTTTTGGGTGCTCACTGGATTCGCCCTCACGCTCTCCCTAGTCCTGTCCTAATCGCCGAGGGGCAATAAGCCCCTCTGCGCTCCGTGAAACAGCCAATGGTTGGGTTGAACATTTCGCGCTTCGATTTCTTCATCCATAGAATCGAGCCGCGATAAGCTGACCTGCGTGTCACAGTTATCTTCCGCCCTCCTTGTGACGACTCTTACCAAACCGAAAGCCCTCACGGCGCTCACGCCCGACGCCCTTCCTAGCGGTGACACATAAATCCACGTTCTAATCACCATAAATCATCAGTTGAATCACCATCAGCCATCAGTTCTGCTTACGCTTCACCTCCACCATTCAATCGATCCTAGACAGGACATTTCCTACCTCTCCCTTCCATCCTGCGAGTAGTCCGTCGACTCTTTGTGAGCTCTTTCTCTTCACGAAAATGGAGATTGGTTGGGTGAAACGCGCGGCCATATGGACATTTGCCGGACTAGGCCTCGCGCTCGCCGTAATCTCCTGCTGCGAGATGGCTGATAACTACCTCGTCCTTTCCCACCCCGGCGCTTGCATCGCTTCATCCAACGGAACCCACTGCGCGGCAGAATTCCGCGTGGCGCGGAGATCCCTAGGCGTCGTGCCGCAGACGCCGGAGCAAGTCACCGCAGCCATGATCGCAACGGTACAAGCGCAAGTCGCAGCGCTAATCGAGGCGGCCGAGGAAATTAAGACAAACAACGTGCGGGAAGACCATTTTACAAATGCCATGGCGAGGAGCTGCGCGCGACAAGCTACCATCGCGCTGCGCTACCTGGGGCAGGCGGGGGATGCGGTCGAGGCGGGCACGAATCAGCGTGACGTGCCGTACTGGTTGGCGGCCGCCGATACGCAGATCGACAACTGCGTTGACGGTTTCCAGACGTTTTCACCCGCGGCGCAAGGCTTCCCCGCCTACGTGCACCTCGAGGTCCGTTACAAATTCTTCAATATAAAGAACTCGGCTGCTTTGCTCGCATGTGTCGTTATTTTGCGCCGAGGCTTTCGCACTTGCGTTACTTTACCATGAAATAACTTCTGAATCCCGGTCCCCACTTCTCCCTCTCCCCCACGTCCCCATTTTTCCTCCGCAGTATACGGCTAAGAAGGCGGGAGGAACGCTTGAAGCACTCGTATCCATCACCAACGCCGCAGCCAAAGCCGTCGCATCCGCCGATACTAGCGTCGCATCAACGGAGGAGGATGTCGCGCCCGTGCGCGGACGTCGCATGGCCGTCCGATCCAGTAGCTCGGGATCCGCGGGTAACGGCGCGATGGACTGGCTTGAGCCGGGATTGTACGAGCAACTTCAGGAGCTTCAGACGAGGCTGAACGCCGGATTTGCCGCTGCGGCCGGGGAGGATTCGGAGGGCGGTGCTACTTCCAGAAGGCTTCTGTTCCACCACCACCACCACGACCATAACAAGAAGAAGGACAAGAAGAATAAGAAGAGCAGCAGCAGCAAGAAGAGCAGCAAGAGCAGCAAAAAGAAGGCGTCACCAACCGAGGGTCCGATGGTCGTCAGTCCGTCTCTCGCCGCCAGCGCGACCGTTGGATCCGGATACTCCAAGATCCAGGACGCCGTTGATGCCGCTCCCGGCGGCACGCGATTCGTGATCTACATTCCCGCGGGAACGTACAAGGAGCAGGTGTTGATCGAAACGACGGACATCGTTCTGATTGGTGCGGGCGCGGATAAGACGATCATCACCGGCGACGCGAGCTACGGCAGCGGGTCGGGGACCTTCGAGTCCGCTACAGTCGGCGTGGATAGCGACAGGTAATGCTGCCCTTTCCCTTTTCTGCCCGTGTATCTCTCCCCAATTTTAGCCCTTATCTCTCTCCCCCGCTTCTGCCCTTCTCTCTACTCTCCCCTTCGCTTCCTATCTCACTCACGGCTTCCCGCCTTTCTCTTACTGCCCTTGCCTCATGTACCGACCCACCTGGTAACCACATGTCAGGTTCGTCGCCTTCGGAATCAAATTCGAGAACACGGCAGGCCCCGATAATCACCAGGCAGTTGCTTTCCGCGCCACCGGCGACCAATCAGCTCTCTTCGACTGCGCGTTCGACGGATCGCAAGATACATTGTACGTGGACGCGGGGCGGCAGTACTACAAAAACTGCTACATCGGCGGCTCGCAGGATTTCATTTTCGGCGACGCGGCCGTGGTTATCGACGCGCCGAAGATTCAGCTTCACCCGAGCCCGTCGTTCGGGACTCTGACGGCGTCGGGCCGCGCCAAGGATACCCCGACGGGGATTGTGATTCGCGACGCTGTTGTCTCGGCGGACAGCGGCACGACCAAGGTGTATCTGGGCCGTCCGTGGAAGAAATGCGCCTTCACCGTTTTCATCAACGCCGATCTCCCCGCGGTACGCATTCCTTCTTCCTCCCTTTCTGTTTGCTCGATTTCCGTTTCTGGTTCCGTTTCCGTCACTCCTCTGAGAGTAGGCAATGAATCACTCGAACGAGCGGTTCGTATCACTCCCCATCCACCATCTCAGTGAGATGGGCGGATGGCTATGGTAGAACGAGGGCAGCTGCATGTTTGCTTACCTTATTGCCACCTCCTTCCCATTATCCCTATTTACCTCCCCCGCCGTCTTCCCCAGGTGATCGAGAAGGACGGGTGGCTGTCGTGGAACGAGGGCAGCTGCATGTTCCTGGCGGAGGCGGGCAGCAAGGGGCCGGGCTGCATGTCCACTCACCTCCTTCCTGTCCCCTCCTACCCCACCCCCATCCAACCCCATCCACCCCCATCCCCTCGCAGGTGATTGAGAAGGACGGGTGGCTGTCGTGGAACGAGGGCAGCTGCATGTTTGCTTACCTCCCTCTCACCTCCTTCCCGGCCCCCCACCCCCCGTTCCCCCATCCCCTGGCAGGTGATCGAGAAGGACGGGTGGCTGTCGTGGAACGAGGGCAGCTGCATGTTTCTAGCGGAGGCGGGCAGCAAGGGGCCTGGCGCTGCGTCTTCCCGCGCAGACTGGGTTGACCCTGGGATCATCACGGACACCACAGGATACGACGCCAACACCTTCACGCAAGTCAACAACTGGCTCACCTGGTCGGGCTAGTGTTTATCTTAGCGTTTTCACCAGCAGCAGCAGCAGCAGCAGCAGCAGCAGCAGCGGTAGCAGTGTCCGCGGCAGCAGAGTTTCAGTAGTGGTCATGAGCACACTTTGTAGACAATGACTGTAGCGTAGAAGCGCCAAACCAGTTCAAACAGCTGGCTCAGCTGGTCGGGCTAGTGTTGATGTTAGCGTTTTCACCAGCAGCAGCAGCACTCCCGACACGAGCACCTGGCTGTAGAAGCGCCAAACCCGCTTAGGAAATCAGAGTTTTCTTGACTCAGTTGCCCAAGTTATTTGTGCTGTTTTGTCGACTTGTGTAGTACCAAAATATCTGTATAGAATAATAATATAAATTACATGATGGTTATCGGGACTCCCTCCCTCCTCCCCCCCTTCTTCCATCCCTCCCTCCCTCCCTCCCTCTGGCTCCTGCTCTCTCCTTGCCCGTGTAAGAAACTACCGTGTGCGCCATGCTCTATGCCACAAGCATCGTTTGCCTGCTCCGTTTGCCTGCTCCGCCTCGGCAGGGCATCCCCCGTTGTATTTGCCCTGGAGTTGCCATAGCTAAGATGAGGCCTGGTCAGCTGTAGCTAAGATGAGGCCTGGTCAGCTGTAGCTAAGATGAGGCCTGGTCAGCTGTAGCTAAGATGTGGCCTGGTCAGGCATTGCAGAACAACGCGGTGATGGTTTGAAGTAATTGCGGTGCGAGTGTAAATGGGTAGACGGATTGAGCACCCCATGTGAAACGTTTCTAGCTGGCCCGCAGCAGAAAGAGGTGTGCAGCTGTAGAAAAGGGGGATGTGATGTGAAGTGTGCCTGCAGTGTACGCAGTAGTGAAGCGTCAACACAATTTTCACGGTACGGTATATGCTGAACAATTGAAGAGCTTATACATGATGTATAGCTGCACCTACGACGTGGGTTGCTCACACATTGACCAAGAGATTAGGTGGGGTATTCCTTCCCCGCAACACGCCCTTTGAAATTCATAGCTGCACCTACCACCATGTGTATTGCTCTCACGCAGTGACCAAGAGATTACCTGTAGGTACCGAAGAAATGGGAAACATAACATAACTGAAACAGGTCGTTGCTCTTAAGAAATGGGAAAAATAGGGGACTTGCCATGTTCTATGCTTTTAACATCCCTGAAAAAGGTACCAGAACGAAACAAATCAATATTATTATTGAAGTTCCTGGGAACCAAAATTCAAGTTACTCAAAGAAGAAACTAAGGGTGCGTTCTTGGCAGTGTCATGCCCTGACACAAGGCTATTGACGAATAAGAGCATTCCATCTCTGTAGACATGCTCAAATCGTCACCCCACACAGCTTTGTGTCAGCAACTTGACACACCAGCTAAGAACGCAGCCTGAGTCTCTTGGAGCTGAAAAAATAAAAGAAAAGGAATGAGCGGGAAAAAAGAAGAAGAAAAAAGAAAATGCACGGGCGTGCGGACGAGGGAATGCGTGGAGAGCCGAACGTTGATCAGGTTGCCTCGCTTCCCTCCGCCTTGTTACTCTCTCACGCCTTTACAGTCACACCCAATCTGTTGTCTCCAAAGTGAACTGGCCTACCTCGTTTTCAGCTTTCAGTATTGTCACACCACCTTCTTAGTCACCCCCAGAGCTGACATTGTCCCGAGGCTTGTTTCAGTCACACCTTCCAGTAGTGACGGCACCTTGACATGTATTACACCCTCACTGAAAAGGGTCCTGACCACAAGCCAGCCCATCATTTTGCTTTCTCCATCTGGCTCTTTTTTGTCACGCCGTTTACTGTCACACGATGATCCGACGCTGCAGCTGTGAGGTCCGTTCGGCACATGGGGCAGGTGGTTGTGGCGGCAAGCCAGTGGTCGATGCAGCTGACATGGAACCGATGCGCGCAGGGCAACGCGCGGACCAGCTCCCCCTCGTTATAGTCACTCAGACACACCGTGCACTCCTTGCTCGCCAACGCGAGTCCCTCCAGCTTCAAGAGTTTCCCCGCAGCACCATGGGTGTGGTCGGCAGGTGGAAGGTGGCGAGGAGCAGGAGGAGGAGGAACGCAATACGGCCTGACAGGGAACGACGCAAGCCGCGATGGGTGCAGCCCGGAAGGGGTGCGGACCGGCACTGATATAATCACACTCGGTACAGTGTCAGTGTCGACTAGCGTTGTAGACGAGTGGTCCACGTGGCTTCCAGCAGCGCCATGGCGACGAGGACGTGTCCACTGGAGGAAAGGCATCACGCGGCGCGAGGAGTCGCTGAGGAGTCGCTGAGGAGTCGCTGAGGAGTCGCTGAGGAGTCGCTGAGGAGGCTTGAGAGCCCCAAGGCGCGAGGAAGGGTCTGAAGTAGGTAGTAGTGGTTAGGAATGTTGGTACCAGGAGTGCTACTTGGAGTATTATTAGTAGCGGTCTTAAGTTAGTGGTGCTCGAAGGGTCCCTCCAAAGGAAAGGGTAAAACAGGAGAAAAGGTGAGGCTTATACCCACTCGGAGCACTATGAGTCGACTCAAAAGCAGACTCGGAGTACCAGTCCCTACAGTACGACTCAGATTAGGAATGAAGAGCAGCAGAGAAAATCTCCTCGTTTTTAGATGTCTCCTGAACGAGCAGTCGCTGCGGGATGACTGGAGTGACGTGGACGCTACTTTCGTTGGGAAATGAGCGACTCGCTCGGAAGCCACGAGCGGGGAGGCCACGAGAGGAGCAGGTCACGAGCGGAGGAGGTGTCATGTTCATCGTTCGTTGCTAGAAGTGAACCTCGCTGCAACTCGTAGCGTCGATTCCTCGCCTACAGCACGTCACGTGTGGTGCAAACGAACCTACCCGTTGGAAGGGATTTGCTGGCGCCATCGGCTAGTCGCCTGCTTCGCTGGGCGCGTGTGGTGTGGTGTGGTGTGGTGTGGTGTGGTGTGGTGTGGTGTGGTGTGGTGTGGTGTGGTGGCGAGGCGACGACGACGACACGAGCGGCCGTCCGAGTCGTCTATCCGCTCAAGTCGTACAGTACATGTGTATCCGTTCAACGCAACCACCGCCGTCCTAGAAAGAAGTACAGTATTTCTAGCTTCAAGAAAAAAAACGACCCGGCATAGGCCCATGTGTGTGCATCGTTGCCCCGCCCGCATACCTGCCTCGCGGTCGTGTCGCCGTTGCACACGGCGCGCCGACCGGCGAGCCCTCCCATCCCTGCCTCGTGGTCGTGTGCGGTGTGAGGGGGAGTGTGGTTGGGGGAGTGGGTGTGAGAGGGAGTTTGCCAGAGGCAGCAGAGCGTGGGAGGGAGGAAGGAGGGGTCCAACCCACTTGGATGGTTTGAAGGGATTGAAGCGAACGAGGGCAGGCACTCCGGCTTTAACTGCCAGCGCTGCGAGGTGCTGGTTCGATACCAGGCCCATGCACTGGAATTTCAAGTCATTGTATGTCAACCCCGTGGGACGTCTGTTGGAGACTGGTGGCAGGGGCGACTGCTTCTGCTTATGCCCACGCCCACGCCCGTTATTCTGCTGCTGACGTGGCAGCAGAGTGGAGAACAGGTGGCAGGATGTGGCGAGCTGCACACAGCTGTCACCGAGGATCTCGTCATTCTCGTAGGTGCCGACGCCGGGGCATCCCAGGGCGCGCAGGAGCTGAGAGGGGGAATGGGAGAGGGTGGGATGTTGGTGGGTGGGAAGGGGTGGTTGAGAGGCATTGATGGCTGGCATTGTTGTTCCGGCACCGCTCTCTGTTGTTCCGGCTGGGGCAGGTGAGGGCACGCAGGAGCTGATGGGGGGTGAAAAGGGTGAGGAGTCGTGGAGTGAAGGGAGGGTGGGATGCTGGTGCGTGGGTAGGTTGGGTTGGAGCGCAACGGTTAGGGTCCTTGATGCCGAACAGCACTTTGTGTGATGTGGTGCAGTGCAGTGCAATGCAGTGCAGTGCAGTGTGGTGGAGTGAATTGCAGTGCGATTGAGTGCGGTACATTGCAGTGCAGTGCACGCAGAGGCGTGACTCACAATAATAGCAGGAAAATGCGATCCTTGCTGCACGTGCAGCTGCGATTCCCTGCTGTACCCGCCACCAGTGCTGCCAAAACTGCCGCAATTCGCCTTGCCTTTCCTCTTGCGAGAACTCTTGTTCTTTGCCCTGCCAGTCGCCTCACAACTCCCGTGACTCTCACACCCATACTGCCTCAAAATGAACCGCCGAATGTCCCGGGCAGTGAGCAGGCAGTCAAGTCGGTAGAACAGCGAGGGGAGCAGCGAGGCAAAGAGCACGTGCTGCAGTGGCATCACCGGTACCAGTAGCTCCAATGGGACGTACGATGTCTCCCGAGGCAGATATGATGTTTGTCGCCCCCTGCCCTTCTCCCTGCCCTGCTGCTGCTCCCCCTTAGCTGCCTCCTCCTGCCCTGTGCTTTGCTGCTGCTGCTCCTGCTCTGCCTGCTTCTGCTGCTCCCTCTCTGCTGTTGCTGTGTCTGCTACAGCCTGATCTGCCACAGCCCCGTCAGCTGCAACATTGACTGCTACAGCCTGCTCTGGTAAAGCCTGCTCTGGTAAAGCCTGCTCTGGTAAAGCCTGCTCTGGTGAAGCCTGCTGTGGTAAAGCCTTCACTGCTACAGCCTGCTCTGCTAGACCGGTTTCTGTTTCAGCCGTGTCAGCTGCAACTGTATCAGCTACAGCCGTGTCTGCTACAGCCGTGTCTGCTACAGCCGTGTCTGCTACAGCCGTGTCTGCTACAGCCGTGTTTGCTACAACCGTCCCCACTGTAGCACTGGCAGGTACAGGCGTCTGCTCATCTCGCCCGCCTTGGACAGCCCTGTTGAAAAGATCCCAAGGGTCCACTGCAAAAGGGGCGATGCAATGGGGGCGATGTAATGGGGGCGATGTAATGGGGGCGATGTAATGGGAGCGATGTAATGGGGGCGATGCAATGGGGGCGATGTAATGGGGGCGATGTAATGGGGGCGATGTAATGGGGGCGATGTAATGGGAGCGATGTAATGGAAGCGATGTAATGGGGGTGATGGGCGGGGGGGATTTCTTCTCAGGATAAGTTGTAAAGCTGAATGGACCGACTCGGACCGCCCTGTTGGAATGATCCCAAGGGTCCACTGTCGACAAGAGGGGCGATGTAATGGGGACGATGTGGGGGGGGAGGGGGGGATAGTTTCTTCTCAGGATATGTTTAAAAAATGGATGGATGGCCCTGTTGATGAGATCTCAAGGGTCCACTGGGAGAGGGGTGGAGAGAGGGCGGAGGAAGCGGCGCTCAAATAGCACCTCAAAACTCCCCTAACCACTTGATTTTACAGCCCTGCTGTACACACACACAGAGTGTCGCTTACATTTTGGCGGCGCCTGCGGCAGCAATGCGTTGCGCAGCTCTGGCTTCAACGGGCACACAGCAAACAGAGGCTGGTCGGGGTGCTGCAGCAATATGTTGTACCTGGTGAGAGTGGGTAGAGGTGCATAGGGGTAGGTGCATAGGGTTAGGGGTGCATAAGGGTAGGGATGTAAAGGGTAGGGCAGTGCCTGCAGCAGCAGCAGCAACAGCAGCAGTGCGTTGCACAGCTCTGGCTTCAGCTGGCACACAGCAGCGAACAGAGGCTGGTCGGAGTGCTGCAGCAATATATTGTACCTGGCATAGGGGGATAGGAGTGTGGGGTTTATTGGGTATGAGAGGAAGGGATTGAATCCAGGCGGGAATGCAACCCCCAGGCCCTCACCTGCAAGCGCCCCATACAAACCCTAAACCCGAAACCCATACAAACTGCCCCTTAGGGTCCTCGTCACCGCTGGTGCAGCAGCCACGAATGCACGCCCCGGCCCTTCACCCCCATTTTCCACACGCTACCCCATGCGAAGCTCACATGGCAAGCAGAGAGCATTACAGCACTTACTGATTCTGGAAGTACTGTTGATACGTCCTTGCCGTTCGCCCCTCAGTGTCCCTCCCTAGCAGCTGGTACAGCAGATGGGAATGCACGGCATATGCTGCCATGCCGTGCAGCTCATGCTCCTTCACATGTCCACACGCAGTCATGAGAAGAGGCGTGCTGGCAGGGGCATTGTGAGTGGTGTTCGGAACAGCTGCTGCTGCATCAGCAGCAGCAGCAGCAGCACCAGTGGTATCAGCATAATCTGCAGCAGTAGTAGCAGCAACAGCAGCACCACCACCACCTTCACCATCAGCAGCAGCAGCATTGGTATCAGCAGCAGCAAGAGCATTGGTATCAGCAGCAGCAGCATTAGCCCCATTACCATCAGCAACAGCACCACCACCATCCGCAGCAGCACCATGAGCATCAGCACCATCAGCAGCAGCAGCACCATGAGCATCAGCAGGAGCACCATCATCATCAGCAGCAGCACCATCATCATCAGCACCATGAGCATCACCAGCACAGCCAGGAGAGGCCGCACTACGGCCGCTCAGAGACACCACTCTGTCCACCGTCTCCCAGTCAATCCTCCCCAACAACATGCTCATCATATCATCATCCCCTGCCCTGCTCATCATGCCACCATCCCCTCCCTTGCTCATCGTATCATCATCCCCTCCCCTGCTCATGCCATCATCCCCTCCCCCACGATCCCCTCCATCCACCCCTGCGCCTTCCCTGCCTAAGAAGGCCCCTCTCCCTTCCTTCCCTCCCCCATTTGCCCCTCGCCAGTCTGCTGCTGTCCCTCTTTCTCCTTCTCCTCTTTCTCCTTCTCCTTCCCCTCCTTCCTTTCCTTCCCCTCCTTCCCCTCCTCCACGCCCCAAGCAGGGCAGCACGAGGCAGTAGTGGGATGCGGTCCAGAAGGCTCCAAAGGGGCGCACAGCGGTGCTGATGGGCGTGTGCTGCTGGGTGCCACCAGCAGCAGCAGCAGCGTTGAACTTAACGGCAGCAGCAGCTGCTGCTGCTGCTGCCGATCCAGCTGAAGCGGCAGCAAATTCGGCTGTAGCAGCAGCGTGAGCGAGGATGGGAGCATGGTCCATGAGGTCTTGTCGATCCAACGCCATGCCGAACAGACGCATGTGGTAGCACATGGCGCTGGCCAGCTGAAGATCATTCGAGAAAACGCGGGAGACACGGGGGAACGGGGAGGGGGGGAAGAAGGGGGAGACGGTTGAGTCTGGGGAGAAGGCGGAGAAGGCAGAGAATGGGGAGAATGGGGAGAATGAGGTGTGCATGCATATGGGTGTGGAGCTGACGTGTTCCAACGCCTGCGTGAGCACCTGACGCACTCTGACACCTGCATGCATGAGCTGAACCTGCTGAACCACCTGAATCGCCTGAACCACCTGAATCACCTGAACCACCTGAATCGCCTGAACCACCTGAATCACCTGAACCACCTGAATCACCTGAACCATCTGAATCACATGAACCATCTGAATCACTTGAACCTTCTGAATCACCTGAACCATCTGAATCACCCGAACTGAAGCGTCTTAGTCAACTGAACGACTTGAAGCACCTGAAGCACCTGCCTGGTCTGAGCGCGACTGACCTGTTGAGGCGAGAGAGCGAGGGCTCCAAGAGGGGAGAGGCGGACCGATCCCGAAGCAACTGAGGCGGGTTGGGGAACCCCAGGAGAGGTGCTGCCAGCAGGTTCCGAAGCTGTAGCAGCAGGCGCAACTTCTGTAGCAGGGGCATGAGCGGCATTTCTAGGAGGAGCGCAATCGCTAAAATACTTGGAGCAAATGGGGACTTCCATGTGTGCCACGTCAGCATCCAGCGGGCCAATGGCAGGCGACGTCAGCAACATGAACCCAGAAAAACACTCTGTGCTGCACGCCCCGTTATAAGCATCTCCTCTAACGGAACTCGAGGTGGAGGAGAAGAAACGAAGAGAATAGGCATGGAAAGGACCGACACTGGGACATGCCGGGGTGGTAGGTTTGGCTGCCGCTGATGGTTCATCTGTTGCTGCTGCTGATGGCGGTTCTGTCCGTGGTGAATCATCTACTGACAGTGCTGGTGTGGCTGGCGGAATGGATTTCTGAGACGTCTCAAATGTACTGGGACATGCAGGGGTGGTAGGTGTGGCTGCTGCTGATGGTTCATCTGCTGCCCTTGCTGATGGTGCTTCTGTCCGTGGTGAATCATCTACTGACAGTGCTGGTGTGGCTGGCGGAATGGATTTCTGAGACGTCTCAAATGTACTGGGACATGCAGGGGTGGTAGGTGTGGCTGCTGCTGATGGTTCATCTGCTGCCCTTGCTGATGGTGCTTCTGTCCGTGGTGAATCATCTACTGACAGTGCTGGTGTGGCTGACGGAATGGATTTCTGAGACGTCTCAAATGTACTGGGACATGCAGGGGTGGTAGGGGTGGCTGTTGCTGATGGTTCATCTGTTGCTGCTGCTGATGGCGCTGCTGTTTGTGGTGAATCGTCTGCTGACAGTGCGGGTGTGGCTGACGGAATGGATTTCTGAGACGTCTCAAATGTACTGGGACATGCTGGGGTGGTAGGGGTGGCTGTTGCTGCTGCTGCTGGCGGTTCTGTCCGTGGTGAATCATCTACTGACAGTGCTGGTGTGGCTGGCGGAATGGATTTCTGAGACGTCTCAAATGTACTGGGACATGCAGGGGTGGTAGGTGTGGCTGCTGCTGATGGTTCATCTGCTGCCCTTGCTGATGGTGCTTCTGTCCGTGGTGAATCATCTACTGACAGTGCTGGTGTGGCTGACGGAATGGATTTCTGAGACGTCTCAAATGTACTGGGACATGCAGGGGTGGTAGGGGTGGCTGTTGCTGATGGTTCATCTGTTGCTGCTGCTGATGGCGCTGCTGTTTGTGGTGAATCGTCTGCTGACAGTGCGGGTGTGGCTGACGGAATGGATTTCTGAGACGTCTCAAATGTACTGGGACATGCTGGGGTGGTAGGGGTGGCTGTTGCTGCTGCTGCTGGCGGTTCTGTCCGTGGTGAATCATCTACTGACAGTGCTGGTGTGGCTGGCGGAATGGATTTCTGAGACGTCTCAAATGTACTGGGACATGCAGGGGTGGTAGGTGTGGCTGCTGCTGATGGCTCATCTGCTGCCCTTGCTGATGGTTCTGTCCGTGGTGAATCATCTACTGACAGTGCTGGTGTGGCTGACGGAATGGATTTCTGAGACGTCTCAAATGTACTGGGACATGCTGGGGTGGTAGGGGTGGCTGTTGCTGATGGTTCATCTGTTGCTGCTGCTGATGGCGCTGCTGTTTGTGGTGAATCGTCTGCTGACAGTGCGGGTGTGGCTGACGGAATGGATTTCTGAGACGTCTCAAATGTACTGGGACATGCTGGGGTGGTAGGGGTGGCTGTTGCTGCTGCTGCTGGCGGTTCTGTCCGTGGTGAATCATCTACTGACAGTGCTGGTGTGGCTGGCGGAATGGATTTCTGAGACGTCTCAAATGTACTGGGACATGCAGGGGTGGTAGGTGTGGCTGCTGCTGATGGCTCATCTGCTGCCCTTGCTGATGGTGCTTCTGTCCGTGGTGAATCATCTACTGACAGTGCTGGTGTGGCTGACGGAATGGATTTCTGAGACGTCTCAAATGTACTGGGACATGCTGGGGTGGTAGGTGTGGCTGTTGCTGATGGTTCATCTGTTGCTGCTGCTGCTGGCGCTGCTGTTTGTGGTGAATCATCTGCTGACGGTGCTGCTGCTGCTGCCGTTGGGGTGGTTACTGGTGCTAACATGGCAGCTGGTGTTGCTCTGTCCGCTATGTGGAGACAAAGATTCACGAATTCACGAATTGAGAATGGGTGCTGATGCTGACAGGCTGAATCCGGCTCAATGACAATGCGACTTCGCAAGCTAGAAGGCTAGGAGAATTCAAATCATCACTTAACCGCGATCGGCAAAAAAGGCGTAACTTTGCTTTGTCTTATGATCAGCTGCAAGTGCGTTCACTTGAAAGCCCAGTCGGCTTCCCGGTAGCTTTCCGTGGGTTAGCGTAGGCTCACAACCACGTGGCTTCAATCGACTGCGTATCCAATCGCGCGTGCTCTTATTCGCTGCAGAATATTCCACTTGACGCGAAGCAGCGGCAACGACGGACGATTATGACGGAGGCTGAGCATGAACTTGTGTTTCGCAGTGAAATACTGCTTCTGGAATCAGTGAAAAGTGGGGTGATGGTTCAAAGCACCATAGGGGACGCAGAAATTCATTCCCGTGGTGATGGAGATATCGAGGTTTCTGGCGCTTGGGGATTCATGATCAGGCACAGCGGTCGCACAAACTCCGTTACGGATAACCGCGATTACATATACTAGACTGTAGAGTCTAATTTTATAAACGACGAAACTCTTACATTGATTAAACCCTAGACGGAAAAGGCGTTGTGAGCTTCACTCCAAATTGGTATGCCGTACACGCATGGACTCTTTTGTTTCGCCCAGATTATCCCGCAAGAGACGCACTACCACTTCGCCCAAAACAAACAACGCTCCCTCATAAACACTCCCCATGGGTAGCACCCCGTCGTCCTCAATCTCAACCCTATCCCTTCCTTCACCAGAAACGAGATCATCTGCCATTGTCTGTGCAGGAATGTAGACCACACGATCTGCCAGCCTGGCACAATCGCCCGACGGCTGTGCAGTGATGACTGCAGTCCTGGCCCCTGCAGATCTAGCCTCCCTCAGAAGAGCCTCTACAGTGGAAAAGCGGCCAGGGCCGGCGCTGACAAGGAGGAGATCTCCTGGACCAATGGGAGGGCAGGACATGTCACCCACGACGGATGCCTGCAAGCCTAGGTGGTACAGACGCATGGCCAGAGCTCGCATCATGAGACCCTCTCTGTTCGGGAGGGAAGGAGGGAGGAGGAGGCGGGTGTGGGCAGAGTGAGAGATGTAGAATGATACTTAGACAATGTGCTAGCTTCTGTTAGGTGGTACAGGCGCATCGCTAGGGCTTGCATGATGAGACCCTTCTGCTCCGGCGGGAAGAGAGAGAGGTGGGTGCGGGGGGGAGGAAGGGAGGGAGGGGGAGGGGGAGGAGAGAAAAAAAGAAAGATTGAGAATGATACCTTTGTCAATGTGCCAGCCTTTGTCACATTCATGTATGTGTGGTAAAAAACAGAAGCCTATGAGAAATAGGCGGTTTGAAATTGATCGAAGAGTGGAGATATAGGGAGTCCGAGTGAGCGAGGGCTTACCGTCCGACTCCATATTGAGCAATCTTTCCGTCTTTTGCGGAAACAATTTCCTCCACTAGCGTCTCAAAAGGGTCACCCTTCGCGGCATCGTCAGTCGCGCCGGCCGCACTGGCGGAATCAGATGCTGCTGCTTGTGCGATTCTGTCAAACACGGCGCGAATCTCCTCGATCGCGCGATGTGCCAAGTCGGAGTTGCTAACTTCGTTCGCCTGACCAGCCTTAACTACTCTAGTGTGGAAACTGGATAAGGGAAGAGAACGCTGTGTAGCTGGAATATGTCTGACTTTCCTGGTCGAGATAGGGCAGTGTACAGAGCTGACTCTATCAATCACGGGTCCGCGGAGCTGAAGCGGACTGGATAGCGATGTAATGCAGCCATTAGCCATGGCGCGCACGAAAAGAAGCTGAAGGATGATGGACCACAGTCAGGAACTTGCAAGGATTTTTGGGAGGCATCTCTGCCAGATTCAGGTCCACCCTGTAGAGGTCCCCGTTCTTGTGTTTATGTTTTTCCCATTCCCTTTCTGTTCTGGTGTAAAATAAGCCAAGTCGAGTGTAGAGAACTAGCTGTATTGAAGAATACCTGACAGGCTTCAAGCTAATCATTTCGCGGCTCGATTTCCCGCCAATTGATTGGTATGGTTTGCAAGGTTTGGGCGGTGCGGGTCTGTGATGTTCCCCAAACGGCACAATGGAAGCCCCTCCACCACACCACTTCCCCCCGCCTCTTCCCATCTATCTCCCCAATCTCGCACCATATTCACTCATACAAACGTATCCCACCTTGTATCAAACCTTTTTATCCCATCCATCCCATCCCACCCTGTTCCCACAGCACCATCATTGTCCGAACCCACTGCACTTCCATGCCTTATCCCTCTTCCCCTGCCTCCCTCGCCCTCGAGATTGTCGCTCTCGGTTCGGAGGATCCCTGTTTTCGGTTCGGTCGAGCGGTTTTCCCATTTCTCTCACCTCAGATTGGTGTCATTGACCCACCCAGAGTCTGGGGGCACCATTGTTCTTTGCATCCTTGTTCTGGAGTTTAGAAGCAGGTGTACCGTTGACCCTAGTCCCCCTGGCCATAGATGATTCTCGTGTATGCCGCGTTGTAGTGCCGCTCCGCAAAGACCGTCAATCGAATTTAGTCCAGGTTCTTCCCGTTGTCATAGGTTCTACTGGGCATCTTGTTGAAGTCACTAACGTCGTTATTCAGCCGCAGGTTCTCCAACACTAACTCTTACATTTCTGTGTGATATTTTCACGCGTTTGTACAGTCGAGCAGGGAACTACATTTCTTGAGCTGCTCATAAAATGGACGATCACGATGAGATGCATGATGCGGTAGAGAGGCGATTAGACTTCAGTTGTGGAGTTGTCGATCAGAGACAAGACGTAGAAGATCAGGACGCTTATTCTCTCAGCAATAGGTTCCCAAGTTATCACATCCCGTCAGTCAAACCTGGTCAGAGGTCGGATCTTCGTGCAGAGCAGCGTAGAACGAATCAGGTCGACGAGGCCGATGAGGTGGACGATAAAGATTCGGTTCCTGGAGATCACGATAATCGGATCAATGAGAATGATCCGAACGATCAGAATCAGACGGATCAGAATAATATGAATGATACGAATGGTCAGAATGAAGGACAAGAAGCCATTCAAGATGAAGAGCTCGACGGTCAAGAACCGGGGGAGACGGATACCGATCAAGAGCAAGACCCGGAGCAAGGCAACGAGACAGACCCCGAGTTCTCGTCCGCGTTAGAAGACGCGCTGCAGCACGAGGACGTGTCGTCGACCGTGCTTCTTTCGCACAGGGTCCGTATGCGAATGACATCCCCTCTTCGTTCTCGTTAGCCAAACGCGTAGTAGTTTTCGTTCTCGTTGTGATAAAGGGGAATACTTGAGGGCAAAGAACGTGCCAAGAACCTAGCCTTATCATTTCTCACTGATCCTGCCTTCGCTCCTGGCAGTCATTTGCGTTTCTGTCACGGACGCGTGGCCGGCGGTCATTGGTGGGGGACATCCAGCCGTGGCTTTTGAGCAAGCGAGCAGCTTGGCGCGCAAGGCAGAGAGGTGGGATTTGATTTTTCTATGGTTCGTTTCTCCATTACTTGTGTTTATTTGTGATAGGATCTTCACATGCATTGCATTTCTAACCTGATTCTCCTTTCACAATCCTCATATACCTTCTACACGTTTGACGAAGCTAGCAGGGCTCGAGACTTTATTCTTCCCTAACTCATAGGGTCCATTCACCTCTTCATAATCAAACCTCGCTCTTCGCCATTCTCCAGTCCATCACAAAGCCTCATCCTTCCCCATCCTTTGCGTTGGCTGATTTCCCTTCCCAAACCGTCCATTTCAGCCAATCGCATGGGCTACCTTGTCTCTCCCATCTCTCCAACCACCTCCTCCGCCTCCCAGCTCGATCTTATAACGAAGGGCGCTGAGAACGACTCGCTCTCTCCTCCCCTTGCTGGCATTCGCCGCAGTCACAGCATCAGCGAGACGAGCAAGTCGGAACTGCATCCGTTCCCCTGCCCGCGGTCACATGGCTCTGGCTTCGGGTGTTCCTGTAACGGTGCCTTGGCTATCCTGCTTCCGGAGTTTCAGCTTTCTGGACGGCTGGAGGAGGAGGAGGAGAATGTTTGTGAGAGGGAGGAGGAGAGTGTGTGCGAGAGAGAGGAGGCAGCGACTGCTTGTGGTGGACAGGATGGGGAACGCGATAAATTGGGGAGTAGAGGGGTGAAGACGAAAGGATTTAAAGCAGGTGATGGCGAGAACTGTAGTGAGGGGACGAATGGTGATAGTAATGATGGTAGTGGTGATGATAAGGGGTCGGGTAGTAATGATGGTGATGCTGGTGTGGGGACGGGTGGTGGTGGAGAAATGCTACAACCGACCCCAGGTGGAGCCTCCCCTCCTGGCCTCAACTCTGCCTCCCGTTTCAGCCGACCGACTATGGCAGCCGCAGCAGCAGCTGCGGCAGCAGCTGTAGCAGCAGCAGAGGATGTCCCTATAGTGCGAGCCTCGTGGCCTATGGCTGACGGTGTGACTACGTGGGACTGTTACAGTAAGGAGAGTGGAAGGGATTGGAGCAAGAAGCCAGGGCTAGCCAATAGGGTGGTGCCAGGCGGATTGGCTGGGGAAGGTGGTGCAAGTACAGGGAACGATAAGGGGGAAGGTTTGAGGGAGGACGAGGGAGGAGGTTTGACAGAGGAGGAGGAGAAGAAGGCGCAGAAGCAGACAAGGAGCCGCCCCAATGGAGAGAGTAGTAGTGAGGTAGAGGAGCAACAATATGACGGTTGTCGTGTCCTAGGGAAGCGGGAGGAGGTGGAAGGGGGTACAGCTGGTGGTGTGGGTGATGCTCTTATTGTCTCCCTACCTGCTGCTGCTGCTAGCGGGGCCGCACCTGCTGCTGCTGCTCCTTTCCCTCCAGCTCCTCCTGTTCCTGCACCTGCTTCTGTTTCTCCTCCTCCTGCTGCTGCTCCTTCTAGTGCTGCTTCTGCTGCTGCTTCTGAGGCGGAATTAGTGGGACAGCTGGGGCATCCTGTTGTTGTTGTTGCTGCTGCTGCTGCTGCTGCTGCTGCTACCGCTGCTGCTTCAAGCGATGCTATTGATGGTAATGCACCTCAGCGTAGTTCTTATGACCCCCAACTAGAGAATGATGAGGTCCGGAACAAGTCTGACGAAGCTGGGTGGGGAAGCTGCGAGGCTGGGCGAAGCAAGACGCAGCACGAGCATTCAGAGGCTCGGAGCGAGCGTCGAGACTCGTGGCACGGGTACAGGTTAGGGGACTGGAAGCAGCAGCTGGCGCGGGCTGCTGAGCTGGACGTACGCGTGGGGCGGTTTGATTGGTCGGATCTGGTGGCCTTGTACCGCACAGAAGTGGGAGGGGAGGGTAGTTCTGCTGTCGCAGGTGGAGGAGGAGGGGGAGGCGGGGGAGGAGGAGAGGGGTTTTCTGACGCACCTGTGATGGAAAAGAGCGGTAGTGTGGAGGTAAGGCATCCAAACGCACCCACGGTTGTCTATCTGTGGTGTGTCCTTCAGGTGTTCTTCAGGCGACCCTCATGCGTCCTGCAGGCCCTTTCTCCTGAACTGCTGATATTTCTACTTCATTCCCGTCTCGTCTATCCATGGTGACTTCTGACCTAAGCTGCCTTGCTCCTTGATCCCTCTGTGTCCACTCCTTCGCTTCTCCGTTCTTTCTGTTCCTCCTCGTGCCCCAGGTGACCGTCAACTCCGGCGGGATTGTGTACTTTGCACTGTTCCAACAGAAGATGTACGATGCTGGACCCAAACGGGGTGATTTTGAGCACAAAGAAACAGAGGAGGAAGGCAGGAATAGGGCGATTGAGGAAAAGCTGGGGCCGCAAATTCCGCCTCAAGACACACTCCAAAGCAAAGATAACAGGGGAGTGGAAAAGGCTGGGAAGGAATGGTTAGGACGTGAAGGACAAGGGGTAGAACACCAGCCACAACTGGCAGCAGCGTGCATCAAATTCGCGGGGTCGCGCATTGTGGTGCAGTCAGAGCGATTCGGAGCAGAGCTGGCCATGCACCTGGGCATTGCCACGCCGCAGGTACGCGTGGTGCACCGGGGGAATCACGGCAGAAGCAGCACGCACAGCAGCCCCGTGCTATGCAGTGCCACTAACACCAACAGCAGCAGCAGCAACACCGGCAACACGGGTAGGAGAAGGGCGACAGTAGCTGGAACTTGCAGAATGGCATCTCTGGGTGGTTCTGGTGCTACCAACGACAACGACGACCGTTTCACAATGGATAAAGAAAACCAGCAGCGGGGGTTCCCCGGCCAGGTGGACGTTTGTGGTCGGGGCCATGATCCTTGTTTGTCGGCGCATGAGCTTGCTGTGAAGCAGAGTCAGGAGTGGGAGGAGGTGGTTCTGGCTGTGGAACGACTGAGGGAGAGAGAGGTGGAGGCGAGAGAGGAAGGGGGTAGGAGCGGGAGAGGGGAGGAGGTGGACGGGAGGGATGGTGGAGCGGAGGAGGGAGGGAGTGTGGTGGAAAGGAAGGAGAGTGGAGGGAAGGAGGAGGCGAGTGTGGTGGAGGAGTTTCTGGAAGCCCTGCAGCTGAGCCGATGCTTCTTGTTCATGGGGTGAGTATCAGCAGCACGCTAATTTCTTTCCGCTGATAAATCGAGTGGAGGAAACCGGTTGCCTGCTGTTGTGTTGATTGTTTTGTCGCTCGGATTGTTTGAATTTGTTTTTTTCTCCGCGTTGCTTCTTGTCGGTCTCCCTCCCCTCTTGTGTTTTGAAACGTCTCAAGGTTCGTTGCCCATAGCACCCCGCCAGTTCAATTTTCTCATGCGCCTGTCTATCCTGTGCCCATTTGTGCAGGCATGTAAAAGGGCAATCTTTCGTTTCTTGTCCCCGGAACGAGCTTTTCCCTGACCAATCTGCCCGGGAAAAGACCGCGCACTCTTTGGGCCGTGTGCTGCTGCTGGATATCATGTTGAGGAACGACGACCGGTTACCCTGCCCGGAATTGGGGTGGAGGGGTAACCGCGGTAACATCTTATGTTCCAACCGACCGTTACTGAAAGCATGGGAGCGGAAAGAGAGTGTGAAGGAGAGTGATAGTGAGGGGGCAGTGGGTGGTCGGTTGGACGACAGGAGGAGAGGGAGCGGAGGCAGGGAGGGAGGAGGAAGAGGGAGTGGAGGAGCAAGGGGGAGGGGAAGGGGCAGGGGGCGAGGAAGGGGAAGAGGAAGTGGAAAGGGGCGAACTGGTGGTGTGTGCGATAGTGACAAGAACCGGGGGGTCGAGGCAAGTCAGGGAATGGTTGGGCAGAAGGCAAATGAGCGCGTACCAGAGCAGCTGGTGTTGGGGCAGGAGGCACAACAACTGCCTATGCGTGTGGGGCAGGAGGTGAAGCAGCTGGCAGTGGGGCAGGAGGTGGTGGTGATAGACTCGTCCATCTGCCGCCGCGTGCCCCCCGGGCTGGCAGAGCAGGACCGTGAGGCCATTCCACGCCTCGTGCAGCTGCTGCTGCATGACCCCTGCTTTGCCGCCCACACACTCTTCCACGCCTCCTTTGGCGCCCTGGGCGAACGGGACAAGCAAGGCGAGCAGGGGAAGCAGGATAAGCTGAGCGTTCTAGGCGAGCAGCACAGACTGAGCTCTCTGGGCGAGGAGCGCGGGGTGCGTGAGGGGGTGGGGTGTGTGCCTCTTGGTGAAGGTGTGCATAAAGGTCCTGATGGAGTTTACCTGGCGTCATCGTCCTTTTCATCCTCGCTACAGTCATCCTCGTTTGGCTCGTCCTGCTCCTCCTTCTCGTCCTCCTCGTCTGGTGCTACAGCTGCTCCTACAGGTGGTACCAGTGCTGGTGCCCCTGCTACTGATGCTTGCATTCAGCCTGTTAGCAGTCACGCCCAGTCTCCCCCTGCACTAACTGAAGCTGGAGCTGCTCTAGAAGGCTCTGCTCGTACCACGGAGCTTAAAACCGCCCCTACATTTCCGAGAAGCAACAGTACCTCCCCCACTGCTGTTGCTACTACAACCAGCATCACCAGCAGCATCACCACCACTTCCACCGTCACCGCAACCACTGCTACCATCACCACTGAATCTGCTGTCAATATTATCACCGGATCCAGCAGCAGCAGCATGTCTTTTCAGCCCTCCAAAATGGCAAAGCTGGCAGCAGCAGCACACCCCATCGTGTCCCCAGAAACACGCGCGTTCCAGCAGGGGTTCAGGGAGGCGGTGGAGGAGATGGGGCGAGTGCAGCGCACGCTGGCAGCGCTGCACTCGCGGCTGGACGACATGCTCCGCGCCTTCCTCGCGTTCGTCACCTCTGTGCCTGCACTCGATGGGCCAGGGGAGGGCGGACGAGGCCGGGAGGGCAGGAGAGGTGGGGAGAATGGGGAGAGTGGGCGATTGGGAGAGCGTGGGCGAAGTGGGGAGTTTGGGGCGGCCGCAGGAGGCTGGGAGAGTGGGGAGAGTGAGGGCCGGATGGGATATGGTGGTAGGAGAGACAGTGACAGTGGGAAGCAGGAGAGGGTGGTGGGAGGAGAGGGAAGGGTGGGAGAGCGCGGAGGGAGGGGAGTGGAGGGAGGAGTAGTAGCAGGAGGAGGGGTAGGAGGTGGAGGGTTGGCGCTGGTTGATATGAACGCAACGACCCCGTTTCCTTTCCGAAAGGGATCTCACATTCTCTCACCTTTATCCGCCTTAAGGCCAGGAGTCAACAACAAGGGATGCAATGGCGGTAATAGTGGTGGTTTCGATGGGAGTGGTGACTCCAGCGACAGCAGGATTGGCCTTCATGCTGGTTCCGACTTGAAGTGTGGTGGTGACAGCTGTTCTGGGCAGCGAGGACTCGCTAGGAGACGATCCTCGCCATCCGTTTCGTGCCGCACTGCACACATGCCTGCGAGTAGATTGGACTTTAGTAGCAGTGGTGCTAGTGGTGATGGTGATGGTGATGGTGATGGTGATGGTGATGGTGATGGTGGTGGTGATGGTGGGGGTACTGTCAGTGGAGTGAGCTGTGGCAGCAATGAGGGCGGTGCTGCCAGAGAGCTAGAGATTTCAACCACAGCGCAAGAGGTTCCAGATAATGCTGACATGACATCTGCAGGCCAGGACACTGAACAGTTCCCTCCACCTCCTCTCTTCCCTTCCGCTGCCTCGTCCTCTCATCCTCCCCCTTCTGTTCTGTCGCCTGTTCCTGAAGCAGAAGACCCCATCTCCCCTGACTCCGCTCCTCCTTCTGCCACCACTGCTGTAGCCAGAACCACGTCATCAGCATCCCTTCCCACGTCATCACTCTCCCACGACGATTCAGCCAGCAGGACCCTACATCTGCCCTCCCTCCGCCCCCCTGTCATCTCAGCAGCAGAAGATCCTCTGGAGGAGCCTTTCAGTGCACCTGCCCCAGATCTACTTTCCCCAGTTACACCCTCCCCTCGCACTGCTGGCTCACACAGCACCGCCCTGTGGTCGCCCCACACCCCCAGGGACTTCGAATCTTCCCTCAACTCCTCCCCCCAGGCGGCCCCTCTTTCCCCTCGAGCGCCCCCGTCTGCTGAAACCTCTCCCTGTAAGGGGTCACACTGTAACGGGTCACCTTCTAACGAATCACCTTCTAAAGCGTCACCCTCAACTCCTCCCTCTAACAGGTTTCCCCGTTGCGAGAGGTTCTTGAGTGCTGTCAACTCCCACCCTTCCTCCTCCTTTCCTCCCTCTCCTAGCGAGGAGTCGTACTCTCAGCATGTGATGAGGCGGATATCACCTCCCCCAGTCATGCCTCCCTCTGCTGCTGGGCCTGCGTATGGCTACGCCTCTCGCACTGACTGCTCTCCTACTGATGCTGATGCTGCTGACGCTGTTGCTGCTGCTGCTGATATTGATGCTGATTCGGCTGCAGAGGGCAATGGTGGTGGTGATGGTGGTGGTGATGGCGGTGGTGGTGGTGGCGGCGGTAGTGGTGTTGGTGGCAGTGTCAGTGCTGGTGGTCGTCGCACTGTTCTCTCTCGGCGCCCCCGTGCCCCTCCCCCTTCCCCTGCTCTCTCTGCCCCCGCCTCCCCCGCCCCTCCCTGCTCTCCCGCTCCTCCCCGCTCCCCTATCCCTCCTCGCTCTCCAATCCCCCCTCGCTCCCCTGCTCCTCCCCGCTCACCCATTCCTCCCCGCTCGCCTGCTCCCCCACGTTCCCCTGGCCCATACCGCCGATCATCTGCTGGTGCTGCCCTCTCGCCCCGCCTCGTGCGCTCCCCTGCTCGCTTTGCTCCCCGATCTCCTTCCCTCACTAGCGCCCGCTCGCCCTTCCTTAGTAGAATCTGTGAGAAGACCGCAGCAACCGACGAGGCAGACCGACAAGCAGCAGCAGCGGCATCTGCAGCTGGAGAAGCAGCTGAGGAACCTGCTGGGAAGGCCACAGCTGAAGCATCGACACAAGGAGATGCAAGCTCTTCAGATGCAGGTCCCCCTGCTGCTGCTGCTGCTGGTGCTGCTGCGGTTCCTGTTGTTACCACTGCTCCCACTAGCGCTGCTGTCAGCGCTGCCAGCTCGCCACCCACCCGTGCCACCTCCCCCTTGTCCCTCTCCTCCGCCTTCTCCTCCCCTCCCTCCACCCGCCCCTCGCCCATTATCCGCCCTACCCACCATCGGCAGAAGCAACCACACCTTCCTCTGACCACCACCACCACCACTGCCACGAACAATGCTACTGACACCGCCACCACTACCACTCTTGCTGATCCCGCACCTGTTCCTTCCACTGATATTGCCACTGACACTGCCACTGATACTGCCACTGATACTGCTCGTGACACTAGCACCAGCAGCATGCACACTCCCCCAGCCAACCGCACCCGTCTCCCCATCCGCAGCCCCACCTCTCGCCCCTCCCACAAAACCTCCTCCTCCACCCTCAAAACCCCCTCCACGATCCAAACCCCCTCCCACAAAACCCCATCCCACAAAACCCCGTCCTCCCACAAAACCCCCTCCAACCCGCGTCACGCACCAGCCTCCATCAGCAAATCCGCAGCGAAAGCTGCTGCCTGGAGGGCGTCTCTGGGTGGTTTACCCTCGCGGCTGAGCATGAAGATTCGCGGAGTGAGGAAGTCGGCACAGGGGGAAGAGGAGCTGATGGAGCAGGTGCAGCGGTGGGACGGCATGATGCGGGAGGAGGCGGGGCGGATATGCAAGGCGGCTGCAGTGCCGTTTGTGACGGGGTTTATGGAGGCGAGTGGAGGGGGCGGGGCACACAGCCTCGTTGACGCGTATGAACTCAAGGTGAGTAGTGGGTTTGCAGGGCGAGGGTTTTGTGGGTCAAGGGGTTTGCATGTCTGGTATGGAGATCTGTGGAGTGAGGAAGTCAGCGCAGGGGGACGAGGAGCAGGAGGAGCAGGTGCAGCGGTGGGATGGCATGATGCGGGAGGAGGCGGGGCGGATATGCAAGGCGGCTGCAGTGCCGTTCGTGACGGGTTTCATGGAGGCGAGTGGGGGAGGCGGGGCACACAGCCTGGTGGATGCATATGAGTTGAAGGTGAGAGGGAATGGCTTGTTACACCTACATGAGTGTGGTGGTGCATTTTTGGCTTGTATGCTCATGTGAGGTGCCGTTTGTGACGGGGTTCATGGAGGCGAGTGGGGCGGGCAGCGGGGCACACGGTTTGGCTGATGCGTATGAGCTGAATTTGAGGGTAGCTTGTAGGAGCTTGGCTTGTATGCTCGCATGGGGAGCTGTTTGTGGCACACAGCCTGGTTGACGAATGTACTCAAGGTGAGTGCGTTGTTTTCCACATAAGGTTGTTTTGAAGAGAATATTTTCTTTCATGGGTTCATGGACGCGAGTGGAGGGGGCGGGGCGCACAGCCTGGTGGACGCTTATGGGCTCAAGGTGAGAGGTTATGGGTTGCATGTACAAGGGTGTACGGTGTGAGCCTGGCTTGTATGCTTGTGTGAGGTGCCATTTGTGACGACAGGGTTCATGGAGGCGAGTGGTGGGGGGCAGCGCTCACAGCCTGGTGGATGCTTATGATTTGTAGCTCGAGGCGAGACGTTATGGCTTGCATTACACGGGCGTAACGTGTGAGCTTGGCTTGTAGCTCGTGTGAGGTGCCATTTGTGACGACAGAGTTCACGGAGGCGAGTGTGAGGGGGGGGTGGGGCGCACAGCCTGGTTGACGCGTGTATGAGCCCAAGGCGAGTGCTGGTTTGTTTTCCACTTGTGGGGGAGTTTCGGTGAACGAATAGGAATTTCGCTCCGCCTCTTCAAGTTGAGGTGTCATTTGTGACAGAGTCCGCCATTGTTGCCCCGCTCCCTCTGCTGCTCCACCTGGGCATGTCCTCCCATTCATGAACCCACTGCTGCTCCTCTCGCTCCTCTCCCTCCCACCTATCCTAAGTGGTGCCCTCCCTAATTCCCTTCAACACCCCTCCCTCTCCGCAGGTTCGCCTACACCATCTCTTAGAGCGCTGGGGCCTGGTGCAGGACTCAATGGCCACTGAGCGCCCCTCGCTCGTCCTCCCTCACCTTTACCTGGGCTCCGCCATTGCTGCGCGCTCCTTCCCCCTGCTGCACCACCTGGGCGTGCGGCACGTGGTCACGCTCTGCCCCACGGACCTGCTGGACCCAGATGCGGAGCAGTCTCCCCTCTTCAACTACCTCGTGCTGCCGGTGAGTCTCCTCGCGCTGTTGGTGTGCCTTTGATGGTTCATGGGGGGCAACAGGCATCTCTTGCTGCTCCTTTCCCCCACTGACCTGCTGGATCCAGATGCGGAGCAGTCCACCCTCTTCAACTACCTCGTGCTGCCGGTGAGTGGAGTGGGGTGGAACGGGAGGGGAAGAAGGGTGGGAGGGGGGGATGCTTTGAGTTGTACCCACTCGCTGCCTCTCTGTCCCCACCAGATGCGCGTCTCAGACAGGGAGGAAGATTTTGAGGCGCCTCAAAATGCACCTCACTGAACGGGAGGGGAAGAGGGAGGGGGGGATGCTTTGAGTTGTACCCACTCGCTGCCTCTCTGTCCCCACCAGATGCGCGACTCAGACAGGGAGGAAGTCCAAATGAGCAAGTCCATAGAAACAATTAGACCAGCTGTGTTGAAGTTACTTTTTAAACAGTGTGTTGGAGTTACAATTAGCCGCTCAGTGCCTGTCTCCATGCCCCCCCTTCCCACCCCGCTCCCCTCCCTGCCTGCCAATTCCCGTCAGATGCGTGATTCAGACCGGGAGGACCTGAGAGCAAGTACATCGAGGCAACGCGCAGCTGTGTTGGAATCAATCGCGTTTCGCGCTGCTCAAACGTCGCTCACATGCCCCACTCCATACCCCCCTTGCCCTGCCTGCCTACATGCCCCACTCCCCGCCTGCCTGCCTGCCCCCATCAGATGCGTGATTCGGACCGGGAGGACCTGAGCAAGTACATCGAGGCAATGAGCAGCGGTCTTGGACCTATTTCTGACAAGGCCTGCCTCTCTCTCTCTCCCTGCTTCGTCCCTCCTTGCCCCACCCCACTCCCTCCCTCCCTGACCCCATCAGATGCGCGACTCCGACCGGGAGGATCTCAGCAAGTACATCGACACGACGAGCAGCTTCCTGGAAGCTGCCATCAGCAAGGGCGAGGGGGTGCTGGTGCACTGCTACGAGGGCCGCAGCCGATCCGTGTCGATCGTGCTCGCTTACCTCATGACCAAGAGGTACGTGCGTGCGTATGGCACGGTGGGTTAGAAGCATTCAGAGGTACGGCGACCAGGATATGAGAGTGCCCCCTTGTGCTACGAGGGCCGTACCCCATCCGTGTCCCCTTACCCCCCTCCACCTGCCCCGATCCCCTCTTCCCCCTGTCCCCATTCCCCCAGGCGCATGCCCGTAGCGCCGCATGGGTGATTCTGCACTCCGCGGCTCCGCCCACCCCCATGCCCCCCCCAACACCGCCTTCCTCCGCCAGCTGGTCCTCTTGATTGACCAAAAGCTTTTCACTCATCCGCCCTGCCCCCGTGCCCCCCTCCCCCCTGCCTTCTTTCTCCTTTCCCCCCAGGCGCATGCCCCTGGCGGAGGCATGGGTGGTGCTGCACTCCGCCCACCCCCATGCCGCCCCCAACACCGCCTTCCTCCGCCAGCTCGTGGCCCTCGACAGACACCTCATCCCCCCCCACCCTCCTGCGCCTCCCTTTCCCATTTTCCCTCTTCCTTTCCCCTTACCATCTTTTCCTCTAAATCTTCTTCCTCTGTCCCCCCTCCCCCGCCCCTGGTTCCCCACTCCCCCCTGTTCTTTCCCCCCAGGCGCATGCCCCTGGCGGAGGCATGGGTGGTGGTGCACTCCGCCCACCCCCATGCCGCCCCCAACACCGCCTTCCTCCGCCAGCTCGTGGCCCTCGACAGACACCTCTTCCCCCCCCACCCTGCTCCGCCTCCTCCTCCTCTTCTCCCCTCTCCCACTGCTGCCCTAACTCCTCCCTGTGACACGCCGAGAAATACCAGTACTGATGCTCCCACTGCTAACACTGCTACCACTGCTACCACTGCTAACACTGCTACCACTGCTGCTGCTGCTGCAGCTACCCTTTCTGCTGCCTTTCCTGCCACACCTACAACCCCCTATACCAGTGTTGATGCTGCTGCCCCTGATGTTTTCACCCCTCCTGCCACCACCACAACCGCCCCTCATCTTGCTCCTACCCCCCAATCCTCCGGCCCTGCCTCTGCTCCTGCAGCAACTGCACCCTCCTCCTCCACTTCTGTCTCCCCCACGCCTCTCGCTCTGCCCTGGTGTCCGAGGGGGCGAGTGAACAGGCCGACAGTGCGGGTGTGTGGCGTGTGCGGCAAGGCAGCGGGGCTCAGTAGTGACTCACTGAGAGCGCACATGAGGAGAATGCACCCAAGAACACCCCTGCCTCCTCTCAAAACTGCTTAAGGGGAATAAGAAGCAGTGTGTATGTGCGTGTGGTGGGTGCAACAAGGGAGCAGGCCTCAGCAGTGACTCTCTGAGAGCGCACATGAGAAGGATGCACCCGACCAGAAGCCTATGCAGCAATATATGAATGTGGTGGGTGCGGCAACGCATCAGTGCTCAGCAAGGTCACCCCATGTTCTGCAAATTCCGTGTGTACATATGTTCAAGAGGGTTCTTTCTTTGCTCCAAACAGGGCAAATCTACGGTAAGTGGCTCACCACAAATATAGGGTTTGCTTATACACAATCTGAGAAGCTGGATGTCACGGGGATGCCCGTGCTTTTTATATTAAGCTATGACAAAACATAACACACAGTAAAGTGGCCAGGATTTAAGCAAGAGTTTTGTAGTTTACACAATCAGCCTGTACAGTCTTGTAAATGTAATCGCGCTAGTCCGCAGCGAAAGTTTGTGGGTCCGTTGTGTCATAAATTTCTTAGCGCCAGAAATCTTGATATCTCCACCCCTATAACGAATTTCTCCGTCTCCTTTGGTGCTTTGAACCATTACCCCACTGTTTACTGATTCCAGAAGCAATATTTCACTGCGAAACACAAGTTCATGCTCAACCTCCGTCATTGTCGTCCGTCGTTGCCGCTGCTTCGCGTCAAGTGAAATATTCTGCAGCGGATAAGAGCACGCGCGATTGGAGACGCAGTTGATTGAAGCCTCGTGGTTGTGAGCCTGCGCTAACCCACTGCATCGCAACTCTAGGGGTGTTGGACGGGAATTTGCTGGCAGACAGTTCGGCGACATCAGGTTCCCGCAATTTGCTGGCGGGAATGTTTTCTAATTGCCCACCGACTCGAGTTGATTCTGATCGCGCGCAGTTACCGAAATTTTGGTTGGAGTTGTCACGAGAATGTTTTCGGGCAAACAGCCAGTAACACAGGCATTCAATGTGCTGAAAACATCTCGGTGCAGCGTGGTTCGTCGGGTTTCCAAAAATTTTGGATACCCGGCAAAAACACTTCACGTTTGTCCAGGAGTGGTTCGTATCATGATGTACAGCTACATCGTGTGATTAGACGAGTAATGTAAAGCTAAAATATGTATATAGCAAATACAATTCTGTAAAACACTTACTTTAAAATGCCTGCACATAGTCCATTGCTTCAACATTGTAAACCCAATGAATCTCTAATATTTGTACGATGTTCTTTGGTGATTTCTACACGACAATAAAACATGTCTCACACAGTCATGTATTGATTACATCACAAAAATAATTATTCTAGATCTTTGGCAGTAATCATGCTTTGCAAAGTAACATTTGAATCACATGTGGTTAATTGACAACAGTAGGTTTTGTGTAGTTAATTATTTCTAAGGGTACATTCTCATATGGACATTTGTGTCTCCATCCCGTCACAAAACCTATGTACTGTTATGCATCGCATTACAGCTGAGAATCGAGCATTTTCACCGCACTGTATCTCTTCGTTTGAGACGCGAGGCTTTTGTGACACGCTGTGAGAATGTACGTTAAGACGCTTTCTGATTGAACTGCTGAGCTTGTACTTTGATTACAGCTTACATGTGTGCGATAGAAGGCGAGACGACATCATGAGATTTTGAGCTGGCACATGGCATAAACCTCTCGTTATTTATTTAGACATATTAGATTCGCATGGACTTTTGTATGATATTGCCAATATATATAAATATATTATAAGTAGACGGAGCTGTGCATTCGTCGAAACCTCAGGTGTTCTCGTGTGAGAGAGAGCTTGATGATGACTGAGTGCTGGAGCTGGATATCATTTTGTGAGCAGCGCATATGACTGGGTTAGTGGGGGTTGTTTTGTATTTAGCAAGTTCGATATACATTGATTTATATCACAGACATGTATATTTTATATTTATATCATTTATATTTATATTTTTTACTCCAGATATCTCTCTTAAACCGTTTTATATTACGATCACCCAACAAGGCGACCTCATTCCTGAATGCTTTGCTGTGTCAGCAAAGATTTACAAGATGGCAGAATTTAGACCAATCACCACTCATGCTCGAGTGGACCAACCTCGATGTCGAGACGCGTTAAATATTGACAGACTCACGGAAGGTGGAACATCGAACTGACTACGTACATCCATTTCCAACGACCACCTCATCCCTCCACGCTGACCGTCGATTACAGTGCTGATGTGTGCATCGGGGGGCACACACTCGCTTCAATCTCAGATCGCGCCGATGGGTTGGGGGTGTGCATTTTGCCGGAAATCAGCGCCTCGTACAGCCTACCTCTGTACTACAGCATCCAGCCTGGCTTCGCTCGAGGTATCTGATTCGCAGCCAGATTCTTCCGAACATTCCCTTCTCACCTGCAAATGCTGCCTTGTCGCGTGGTTTTTTCTGCCCAAGGTCAACAAAAGCAACATCTACAAGTGCCTGGCTATTCGTGATTAGTTCGTAGTTGCTGAGATGTTTTATCTGGGAACCAGTTTCCCAACTGTCAAGGTCCTCACCTCACATCTTGCCTGAACTGAGCTGGTTACGAACAGAGCCAGCAATATCAGTCTCGTTTTGAACTCATGTTCCATTTTTGTGAGTGACTTTTTTTCAACGAAGACTTGGTGCACGATGGTTCCCACACCCCCCCTTCATGACGAACAACCGCAACCTGGTGTTGAGCATGACGCCGCCGTGACTGTCGGTGATGGTTTTCTGTGTTCGTCCTTACCCGTGCTCTTCGTCGGTGTTTGTTTCCGTTTTGCTATGTTAAACTTCAAATATTTTCTATAAGCTTTAACATGTCCTTCAATAATAGCTATGCTTCCCCATTACTTGGTTCTCTCACTGACCTTGTCTATGTCCTTGCCACGTCTTATACTGTCAGCTCCTCGCACTTGCAGATCGTGAAGTATTTTATCCTGAAGCTGAGTGCTGCTATCTGCGATGAATTGATTAAAGTTCGCGCGGTGCTGTCGAGTCGCAAAGTGTGGCTTTGCCTGGGCGAAATCAGTGAAGCTTGGGCGAAGACGGTGAACACGCCTGGAGCGAATATGCGTGGTCCAGCGTTTCAGGTGAGTTTCGTCAATGTTGGGAGTTCTTGCCCCCGTGCTTATGAACCGTGGTATTCCGACTTGTTTTTTGCAACGTTTTTAAGGACCATGGCATAATTATTACGACAAGTGCTTTACCGTCCTTTCGTACACGGTAAGTAGCTGTGGTTGTTGTCGCGTTTTCTGCCTGACTCTTTCTTTGGTATCTACTGCTGATAATCTATTGTGTGGGAGTCCTTTGGAATAGAACTAGCTACAGCGTGCTAAGCTAGTGTTCCCTGGTTAGTGTAGTGATGTGGCAGTAGGCATTTATGATTTAGCCATGTACTGTCAGCTTTAATATATTAAATTGCCAACAAAACGCTCCATACAGTGGTTGAACTGACTGCTGAAAGTTTTACACGAATATGAGCAATCAGTCGTGTTTATATTGAATTTGGTTTTATCCGGTAGTGTATTTATCTCAATTAATAGCCTACATTTTCATGTAATTAGAATACTGTATGATTTATAGCTTTTCAATGAATACAGGGTAACCCGAAATGTTACGCGTGGTAACAACGCAACTGCTCAAGCCTCGCATGTGCGATGGTCTCGTTTTCGGCTCCGATGGTAACAAACTCGAACTGGTCGCTCCAACTGACATGCGATGCGCAACTTACACCCTGCAGTCGCCTCGCAGGTTGGTTTCGGCAATGCGCATGTTGACTGCAGGGTGGTTCTGTTGCCCCGCAATTACCCCCCCGTATTGAAATCAGAGGCCCTGTTCGACAGGCTAACACCGACGGCCGCGGAATCCTCGCAGCTCTTTCGTTTTCACATTTTTTCCCACGGTCAGCCCGTAAAATGCGCGAATGGGGCTTTAACCCCCGCTAACCTGTTGGCAAAGTGTTAGCCTGTCGAACGCACCCGATATTTGACCCCTTCGCCCTCTCAGAAAGAACCGCGAGCCTTCCCGCATTGGCAAAGGTCTAGCCCTCGCCTAGCCTAACCCTCGCCCCCCAAAAGTGGGGTTTGCCAAAGGGCTCGCCAAGTGTTTGCAGTGGGGGGAACACCCACTCCCTGGACCCTAAAATAGGTCCTTGTGAACCCGTTTGGGCGGAAAAATCCTTGTGAGGCGAGCGATTTGTGGAGAAGGCCTTTTTTTTCCCGGCGATGTTACCCAGACCCCTTTGGAAAGCGGCCCAAACTTTTCTACTGTGCCCGCCTAAAGGCAGGTTGAAGGGGGCGGGCAGCTTCGCCTAGTGGGCCCCGCTCCTTCCGATCCCTACTCACGAAGCTTCAGCGATCGATCAGCTTGGAGAAGGTGCGGTGAACCCTCCTCTTAACACTAACCTAATACTAACACTTTGCAGAGTGTTAGCCTGTCGAACAGGGCCAGACTGACAGGACTCCCGAAATCGAGAGTCACCGGGAAGGCTTCCAGCTAATTGCTGGAAGCCACAGTTCTTCGTGCGATGTGAAAACTACCGGGATTGCCGACTGGGTTTTCAAGTGAACGAACTCGCAGCTGATTATAAGACAAAGCACAAATTATGCCTTTTCTCCTCCTAGTCTTCTAACTTGCGAAGTCGCATTGTCGTTGAGCAGGATTCAGCGTGCCGAATTCGTGAATTCAGTCCTCCTAGTCTTCTAGCAGGATTCAGCCTGCCGAATTCGTGAATCTTGTCTCTCCATGGCGGACAGAGCAACACCAGCTTCCATGTCAGCACCAGTACCCACCCAAACGGCAGCAGCAGTAGCAGCAGCAGCAGCAGCAGCAGCAGCAGCACCGTCAGCAAATGATTCACCACAAACAGCAGCGCCATCAGCACTCAACGAAGAATTAGGCAGAAAAAGAATGAAAAATCTATCTATTATCATTGTTAAAAGTACCTGCTGGGAACACACTTTTAGCATTACTATGCGCATTGCTCTGCGCAACCTACGGATTGCTTGAGGACTGCTTGAGGAATGCTAGTGCGCATTGTCTAGGGTTTGATCGAGCATTGAAAGGACATTGCTAATACTCTATACTGGCTACCTCGTTATGTTTTCTATCCACTAACCGTAAAATACACTGAGTTTAGAAAACAGTTTACAGCTATATTTTCATAAAACGTTTGTGCTTAAACCAAATGTGACACTAAGCAAAATCAGACGTTATTAATTGCGATAGTGTACAGTACTACACGCAAAATCAGTAAAAAGCATGTATCTCCTGACAAAATTTCCAAATTACAGAACGGTGTTACAGTTCACATTTTTTAGACGATCCACATTACTTAAAAAAAAATAGGGTACACATGTTTACAACTCAGCATTAGTATACTTTTTATGATATTAGAGTTCATAGCATGAATTTGTCATGTGCCTAACAATTTGACAGCTACCCCTGAAGCCATTAATGTACCCCCAACTTAGCAAGACCTACAAGTTGCGCATTGCTCACACACATACAAAACACAAACGAAGCACTGGGTTGAGGGTGAAAAGCAAACTTTCAGCAAACAGGAAGAAAGAATTACGAAGCGCTTCAACAATACCCTGCATACGCCAGTCACACTCAAATCCCGAAGTATTAAACTCGGCGTAGGTTGTGCGCTTGTACATTGTATGAAAGTCATGACTCTGCACATAGGATAAACAGACAACACAACCCATTTGATAGTCAAGGACTCAGCGCATTAGTCACACGAATTTCCTAAGAAACATAAGAGTAGGAGGCGGGGCGTAGAGATAGTAAATGGCTCGGAGTGACCTTAGTTCGAGCAGGAGCACAAGGCAGCGATGGCGCGGGAGCGTGAGAGCGTGCTGTGCGCCGCGCTGGCACTGGCATGGTGGCTCGCCGTCGTTGTCACGCCCGTCTGGTGCCGCTCGTTGTCCCTCGCCATCGTTATCACGCCCATCGCTCGCCAATGTTGACAGGCGCCCTCGTTGTCGCCGCCCGTCGCTCGCCGTAGTTGTCGCGCCCGTCGCTCGCTGTCGTTGTCGCGCCCATCACTGCTGAATGCCGTGCCGCTCGAAGCCACACACGGTGCAGCTCACGGAGAATGCGACCTTTCGATCACATAGTAATCTGTTATAGAGAGGGGGCGGATTGGTAGAATAAAAGGAACGGACGGGGCAGAGCGTTAGTTGCAAGATTCGTAAAACAATAGTGGAATGGGCGAGGGAGACAGTTACAAAGCGGCTCGCTGTGAGATACGTTTGAGCAGGGGCGCTAGAAGACCAAGGCACTAGGAAATCGCGAGGTTGGGACACAACACACGAAATGAATCTGGTGTTTGAAACTGGGCCTCTTCAAGCCCCTCATTTCGGACCCTAAGCCGATATGCTTGCCAGCTGTGCCAACTTAGCACGGTTGGGGCTAAAACAGTGGCTCGCGAATTGACAAGTTGAGTGGCGATGTGGTTACTACTGCTTATAATTGCTAATCGTGGGTTTGCAAAACACGTGGTTAGTATGCGCTGTAAAAAAACTTCGCGTCATGAGGATGGGCTCGGACCGACGTGTCACACCCTTCTCTAATCCACAAGTACACCTCAGCTTTGAAATGTCGAGTGGAACTTGTAAGAATCCTAAGAACGAGCCCATCTTTATATTATCGAGTTGAACTTGTAAGAAGGATGAAAAATTCAGGACGCCTAAATACCGGACGGCCAATCGTCACGCGCTTGTCTCAAAGTAGCGCAGCCAATCACCACGCGCTTGTCTCAGAGTAGCGCGGCCAATCAGCACACGCTTGTCTCAGAGTAGCGCGGCCAATCAGCATGCGTCTGCGAAATGGTTTGCAAACATGTGCACTTCTCACGGCATCTCATAGTGTTTCCGATCCCTCCCAACCATTCATCCAACTTTCCGCCAACTTGTTTCTTTTTGTGAATACCTGCGCATGGTAGCCCTTTTGGTGTTTTTGGCTGCTCTCATTCTTTGTTGAGCAGCAGCAACCGATGAACCATCAGCAACAGCCAGACTTATTACCCCTGCATGTTCCAGAGTGGTTCATCTCAACGGGAAGGTTGGGATGAGAGGGAAACACCTGGCCCCCCTTGGGACCAACGACGGAGAGCGACGGAGTGGATTGCAAACTGCTGCTCGACATGCAGGGGCCAGCGACGACAACGACGGATGCACAATCCGTTGAGAAAACCTCGAGAATACATCTCAACGGGTTTAGGGTTTTTCAACATTTGGCGAGTAACCATTGGAAGAGGCGAACGCGCGAATATCAACGAGCAACGACGGGGCGACATCTGTACATTCCGCGCCAAACCAGGTTACGCGACACCTCTGCATGCGAAGGGTTCAACTCGCTCAGCCCGTGCGACATGTGTTCGGGATCGCGAGTGGCCTGCCAATGGCTGCGGTTTGTGTAACCATGACCGTGGCGGCCATCTTCTATTGGACGACCGTGTCGCAAGCACGTACCATCGTTGATGGCTCGGCACCCGCACGCCGAGCCATACAAAAGACGGGGAGAAACTATGCATGCTTTGGCGACGCGTGAACGTGTCATAATACTGGGCTGCGCATGCACGAGGTGGTGGCTCGGCCGAGCCATCACTGGCGGGAGGACAGCCGAGAGCGCCACGCGTCGGGGTTCCCAACCATAGGGTTAGATGGGAGGTGGTCATTCTCTCATTTCTTCCATTTCGTTTGTGAAACCCTAGGCGCCACACCAAACTCTCTTCCCCCATCCCCCAAGCACCCTGCAGCTCCCTTAGTCGCCAGAAACGAGAGGCTCTTCCAGCCCATGCGGATGGTGTGCTAGCTTACCGACCATCAATCATGTCGACACCCACGGCAGATGACATCTCACGCGCACCCCAGCCGCCATCCGCGGAGGAAACCGCAGATCATGCACAAGGACCGGCAACTCCGAGTCCGCCTGCAGAAGCAGCAGATGTTGCACCGAGCACATCACGCGCACCACCGACACCACCTCGTAGAAGGGCTGCTAATGTCGCACCAGGCCCCGCAACTCCTAGTCCGCCTGCAGAGGCAGCAAATGTTGCACCAAGCACATCACGCGCACAACCGGCACCACCTCCGAGAGGGGCTACAGATGTCGCACGAGCCCCCGCAACTCCTAGTCCGCCTGCAGAAGCAGCAAATGTGTCACCAAGCACATCACGCGCACCACCAGCACCACCTCGGAGAAGGGCTACAGATGTCGCACGAGCCCCCGCAACTCCTGCAACCCCGAGTCCGCCTGCACAAGCAGCAAATGATGCACCGAGCGCATCACGTGCACAACCGGCACCACCTCGGAGAAGGGCTACAAATGTCGCACCACGCCCCGCAACTCCTGCAACTCCGTGTCCGCCTGCAGAAGCAGCGAATGTTTCACCGAGCACCCCACGCGCACAACCGGCACCACCTCGGGGAAGGCCTACAAATGTCGCATCTGGCCGCGCAACTCCTACTCCCCACGCAGAAGGGTCACATGCTTCAGAGCATACCGCAACTACGAGTTCCCCTGCAGAGGCTGACGATGATGCACCCGATCTCGACAACGTGGTCATACCGGATTTTGGCAAGAAAATTCCAACGGCACCAAGTATAGAGGTAGAGGACATAGACAGTGACGATGAGAACTCCGACACAGAGGACGAAGGTTCTGATGACGAAGCTGCGAGACCGGCTGAACCTCTCACGGAGATCGAAGAACAGTACATAGAGGACGAAAGCTCGCTTCGGGAGATGGAGGAAGATCACATCGAGGCCATGCGCATCCCACGAGAGGCGTTTGACGAACCTGCGTTGGACTTCACCGAAATGATGTCCAACACGTCCAAGATGGCGAGAATAGATGAGGCGGCCAAGATGTTCGCTAATCTTCAACAGGGCACCACATACGTGTCGTACGTGAACGCCGAGAGGGAGTTCAAAGAGTGGTGTTGCGCATGCCTCAAGACTGAGCCAACGGAAGGTTTCCCAGACGATGCTAATTTGCTTGACCAAGACGAGGTTGGCACATTTCTTGGAAGGGGGAAGGGAACTGATTGGAGGACGGCGGAACCAGACAAGCCGTGGTTGCATGGCCCAAAAACGACCCCGTTGCGCGTGGAAACTGTCAGAACTAGCAGTAGAAAGTAAGAATGAAGAAAGGAGGGTTTGCACTAGCAGCAGTTGGCATACATATAGGAAACCCTAATTGGGTTGTACTCGCTATAGAGTACCCCACTGCAGGCTAGAAAATTATAACATTCTGACACACCCCCATAGCCAAAGTGGGGTGTAATCAGCACAATGAGCAAGCATAGCAGTAGTTCACAATTATGAGCAAAGCTAGTGGTAGTCACAGCGGGCAAGTGAGGAGGAGGAGGGACTGTGAGAGGAGAGAAGATGGGAGACGACGGCTGAAGCTGCAGACACACGGGCAACAGGAGCGGCTGGCACAGTGGCTACCGGGACAGCGCCCCGGACTACTGGAGTAACTGGCTCACAGGCTACGAGGAGCTACAGGAGCAACGGACCCACGGGCGACACGCGCAGCAGGCTCTCTGGGCTACCAGGACAGCGCCCCGGACTACAGGTGCTACGGACGACAAGACGGCAGCCTCCTCTCAGCCTCCCCAAACAGTCCCACCCCCCCTGACACACACCCCCTGCTTCACCCCTAGCTCCACTCCCCCTTCACCCCTTAGTACCACTCTGACGGCTCCAACAGATCCACCCCCCTCAGCGGCAGCTGCAGCACTGGGAGACGGAGGAGGAGGAGGAGCAGGGGACGGCACACAGAAACTGCACCCCCATACCCCCCACCCCAAACCCTAATTCAGGAGAACGGGCAGCTCAGGGGAAGAGGAAACAGGGCGCCCACGGGCCTGGCGCAGCCCGTACGGGCCGCGCGCGGGCCTGGCGCAGCCCGTTTTTTTTTTTTTTTTTTTTTTTTTTTTTTTTGAAAGGAGGGTTTGCACTAGCAGCAGTTGGCATACATATAGGAAACCCTAATTGGGTTGTACTCGCTATAGAGTACCCCACTGCAGGCTAGACAATTATAACATTCTGACAGAAACGTTCCTTCGATGGAAATCTGAGTTGACCGTGGCAAAAGCGGCAGAGTTTCGTCGGAAGACGGAGCAAAATAGGGAGACTTTGCGGAAGAAACGTACGCAAAAGCTGCGCGACTGCACGGTCCACATGTACGTGATGTCGGTGAAAGCGCTGTCCCACCTGTGCAAAGTGGAGGCTGTGCTTTTTGGTGAGAAGGCCCTGCACGTCATTCGAGACATCGCGTCCGTGAGCACGGAGCTCAAGTTCAAGGTCCGCGACAAGTGGCGCAAAAACCACAAGTGAGTAGAACAGCAGTGCTTCTCATTAGGCATGAGGTGTTAACGAAATTATGCATTGAACAAATTGTTTGCAACCTTGTCGCAGGGAGTGTGTGGACAGACACCGCGGAAGTTTCAGCGACACGTACTCGGAGAAGGACATACGCAGGATCATGCGGAAGGTGCTTCCCGTCTGGGCTGGAGAGGCGTGGAGAAAATGTCGCAAAGCAGTGTCGCAGAAGCTGTGGAAAATCCTCCTCATGAAAGTGATGACGCTGCTCGGCCACCACACGCTTCTTCGAGGAGGCAGCGTGCGAAGCATTGAACTTCCCGACATCTATATGCACAAGCTGGGCAGCACCTCCCGCAAAGACCCAACGCGCAAAGCAACCATCATGGTCGTGTCGTCGCGGCACTCCAAGACCAACAAGGAAGGATATGCCGAGCAATCTTACGCAGCACGACACGAAGACCACGAGATGTGCGCAGTGGGAAACCTCATGCTTTACCTTCACTTCGCGTACGACCTTGCCAAGGAAGCTTTCGGACAACCAGTTGCACCTGCATTGGACTTCAGCGCACCCGAGAAATGGTACCACACGCATTTGTTCTTCCCCGTACGCAGCAAGGAGCAAGGACCAATCCCTGCGTCAACTCATTTGCGCTTCACAAAGGAGATGTGGAGCAGAAACGGGGTAACCATGAGACGGGTCGTCCACGCAACTCGTGCGGGGGGAGCACAAGAGCTGGCACTAAAGGGTGTGCCGCAGGCCGAGATCGCCAACATAGGGCACTGGTCCATCGACAAGATGAACAGGTGCTACCTCACGTCGATCCCGCGCATGGGTGTTTTGGTGAAGGCTGGTTTCATCGGCTCCAAAGGCGACTACTTCCTGGGCAGAGACTCCGTTCCCATGACGGAGGCGGTGAAGGAGTTGGTCAAGAAACACATTTTCCCGTGGATCGAGGAACAGGAAGCAGCGGTGAGTGGCTAACACAAGTGGTGCGTAAGTTTCTGTCCATCTGCGCAGCTCATCCAAATTGTTAAAATGTCCTCCGCGTACCCTACCCAGGCATCCGCGTACAACAAGGTGAAGGGTCAGGAGGACAGTGCTGGACCTCACTTCCTGCGGACCCTGAGGAAGCTAGGCCGCAAAATTGTGGCTCAGGACCTAGCGATGATGCTGTACAAGACACCGTACCACCCGTACGTACAAGCGTCATCGCTGTGCCGTAACACCGAGTTCCGCAAATGGGCGCACGCCGTCTTCCACACCCAGGAGAAGGCATCGAACGAGAGGAGAAATCCCACGGAGACAACAGAGGCGGTACGTCAAGTTCACCTCGTGTGAACGATTGAACTTTTGCGATTGTACAGAACCATTCGCACGAGCTCACACTGTGACACACAACGACCTGATTGTGCAGGAATATTCGGCCCGTCATGACGCCGAGGAAACCGTCATGTGTCTGCGGACGCAGCTGGATTGCCAGCTTGTCATAACGGCTGCGGAGGCCAACAAGGCATCTCGGACCATCCGCAAGCTGGAAAATGACAACAAAGCGAAGGAGGATCTCCTCCTGCAAAAGGATGCTGTCATCGCGGAGAAGGATACTGTCATCGCGGAAAAGGACGCTGAAATCGCACGCCTGCGTGCGTTACTTGAACAGCGTGCAGCAGGAACATGCCCGCCCTCGGATGTCACGGGCCAGTCCCCCCCGCCTGACCGAGGGGCCCCAAAGGTGGAACTTCAGCAGCCCGTTGACGCTGCGTACGAGAAGGATGTCGTGGCACCATGGCGGAAGTGTCAATCCGTGGAGCATGCATGGGTGCTGTGGAACCTCCAAGGACGCGGCGACAAAATGTCAACGGGAGTTGTGTGTTGGCCCCGTCCTCGCTTGGGCGGAGCCGACTTCATGGTCGGGTGTGAGGGGAGCAGCCGACCTGCAGCAGTGGGCGAGCTGGTTGACGAGGAGGTCGACCTGCACGGGGACCACTGCACGGGCGCCGACTTCAGGGTGACGCCGACTTCGGGGAGGTCGACTTGGGAGTCGACCTGCGGAGGACGTCAACTTGGTGACGTCAACCTGGGGAAGCCGACTTCGGTGGTCGGCTGACGGACTGCTGGTCGACCTGCTGGTGGTCGACTGGACCTGGTGGTCGACGAAGGAGGGGCCGACGTCGACCTCGACTCAGGACGCCGAGCAGTTGGGCGTCGAGTAGCGGGGCGTCAACTTCGTGACGCCGGACTTCGGGTAGCCGACTTGGGAAGTCGGCCGACAACTGCGCTGGTCGACGAGGGGCTGGTCGACCAGGAGGGTTCGTCGACCTGGAACTGGTCGACTTAGGGGCGTGGTCGACCTGGTGAGGTCGACTAGAGGTGGCCGTCGACTTGGGAGGTCGACGGGCACGTACGGGAGCAGCTGGTCGACGTGGTTGCCCGGTCGACCAGGTTACCTGGGTGACGAGGTTCTGCGGAGGAGCGCGACGGTCGCCCAGGCGAAGTTGGCGAGCCCGACCTCGGTGGTGGTATCCCGAGGTCGACGTGGCAGATCAGAAGCAGTCGTCAGCGCGAGGTTGACGTGGTGTGTGCGCTGTGTAGGCGACGAGACTCTGCACGCCAATCACCTGCGCGCACCTGCGAAGTGGGTGCGCTGCTGTTCTGCGTAAGCAAGGCTGGCACGCCGTCAACCTGCGACGTTGGCACGCCGTCGACCTTGCACTGCTGGAGTGCGGTCGACCAAGTCGTGCTGGAACGCGGTCGACCAAGCTGCGCTGGCAGTTGGCCGACCTGAATGCATGCTCTGATGTAGTCTTGCCATGCCAACTTCATTGTACCATTGTTGTCACCTTTCTCTAGTGAAACTCTTGCCAACTTGCCCCGTGAACTAGCAAGCAGTGTGTGCACTAGGAAAACGACTAAGGACCAAAGAACGCAGAGATCACACGGGCACCCGTGCCTAGCCCGTAGTCTAGCTCCCGTTGTAGTAGTTATCTCCGCATGGTGCGGAGAGCGTGGACGGCACACGACTTACCTTTCAGTCAGGTCGACATAGAGGTCACTTACCTAAGCTGTTCGTAGGCCGGCAGCCGTGCAGTCACTAGCGTGCGCGTAGGTGACGCTAAGGGAATGGAGACCCTGGAAGCACAGCTGGAGGACGCGAGGACACGCCATGGGGCCCAGGAGTACGGAACGATCCCCTGGGCGGTTGTGGAGGCTGGCATTCGCACCATGTGGGCGACGTTGCACCCTCCTCAACCTGCGTCTCCTCGACCGGTGAACACAGAGGGCGGCGTCGACGTGGGCGTCAACGCCGGTGGTGGCCAAGTCGGCAGCAGTGCGGGAGGCACGTCGAGGCAGAGAGGTGTGATACACGCCGATGAAGTCGGCGGCGTTCAGGCGCGAGGGATGCGGTCGACGGCGGCTGCAGGCACCTCGCAGGGCGACGTCGGAGGTCGACGAAGCGGGTTGTCGCCGATGTCGGCGACCCAGGTGACAGCGGGCGGTATTGCCCCGAGCTACGGCTACTTCAAGTTCACGCCGGACAGGATCCTGGTCACCCCACCGCTCACTGGTCGACCCGACATCCTCACTTGGAAGGAGGCCATCGAGCCCCAGCTGGAGATGGCTGGGCTGATCAACTTTGCTTGAGGCACCGTGGTGACGCCGGACGACCCCGACATGCGAGCGGAGTTCCGCGCCGTACAGCTGTTGACCTTCACGGTCATCTCGCGGTGCTACTCGCCGGGCGTGCAGATCGCCTTGAAGTGGTGTCGGGAGTACCTGGACGCCGGCCACCAGGCGTGACACTTCATTGAGTCGACCTACCAAGTCACCGACGACTTGTTCATCTCCCAGCTGGAGGGGCAGCTGACGCACCTGCGTATGGGCGACGAGGAGACGGCGACCGACTACTGCAACCGGGCCAGGCGAATTCTCGCCACCATCAGGATGGCCGGCGCACAGTACTCGACGGCGTCGTACGTCACCCACGTCATGCAGGGACTCTCGAGCAGTTACAACCTGCTGAAGCGGCTGTCAATGGCGCCGAGCACGAGGACGACACTCAACGAGGACAACTTGACCTCGTACATCCTGCAGGACGAGGCGATGCAGGAGGCAGAGCGGTCCCAAGAGCTCTTGGCGCAGGCCAACTTCGTCGCCCCAGCGAAGCAAGGAGGTCGACCAGGGCAGCGCGGACAGTCTGGCGGCGGAGGTGGCAGTGGCTGGAAGCCGGCCAAGGAGGTCGACAGGAAGAGGTCGACCAAGGATAACGGTCGAGGAGGAGGAAGTCGACGTCGGGAGTGCTGGCTGTGCGGCGACCCCGACCACCTCTCCTTCGAGTGCCCCGACCGCAGTGACTCCGACGACGACGACGCCAAGGGAGGCCGCGGGAGGTCTGGCAGTCGTCGTCCTCGTCGAGGAGGGAACAAGCCGCGCATGGAGATGCAGTCGACCAAGTCGACCTCGGCGAAGGACGCCGACTCCTCTGCTGGCGGCAAGGCGCGGGACGACAAGACGGCGTCGTGCTCGCTGGTCGGCGTCGTGGAGCCGACCGTCTCGCTGGCGCCGGAGGCCGGAGAGGACTTTCAGGCGGTGGCGGCAGCTGTGCAGGCGAACCCGGCGGTGGTCCTGCTCGACAGCGGCTGCTCCCACCACCTGATGGGGACGAAGGAAGTCTTCGTCGACCTGCAGCCGAGCGGCTCCATCAAGCACGTGCGCGGCTTCAATGGGGCGCTGCAGGACGTCCAGGGCCGAGGTACCGTCGCCCTGCAAGGGAAGGCCGGGAAGCAGGTTCTCATCCCCGACGTGCTGTACGTCCCGGGTGTGCGGGCCAACCTGCTGTCGTCCGGCCAGCTGAAGGAGCACGGCGTGAAGCTGCAGGAGGATGGCGACGGGATGCTGCTCGTCTCGGCGGCGGGAGAGGTGCTCGGTCGGGCGACGTACTCCGGGCGTGTTCTCTGCACCGACCTCCGTCCCTGCTCGACGAGGTCGACGTCGACCACGCCGGAGGTTGTGGCCCTGCGGGCGATCGTCTCGAAGACGAAGTCGACGCCGGACCGGATGCATGCGAGGCTTGCGCACGTCGGCATGGACACCATACGGAGCTCGGCCAAGAACGAGGTCGCCATTGGGCTGGACCTCAAGTCGGCGACGGTCCAACGGTGGGCCCAACGTTCGGTCCTAGGTTACTACCTAGGCTCGTAATACCATGTTAGAAAGTAAGAACAAGAAGTGTGGACTAGAAACAAGTGAGAGTACAAATATGCAAACCTAGAGTTGTGAACCCCCTATAGGCTAACCCACTGTAGCCTACAATAATATAACCCATATAACATTTGACACACCCCCATAGGCAAAGTGGGGGAGAACAAGGGGTCACAAGGCCGGTCAAAGCAAAGCAAAGCAAAGCAAGCTCAGGGTGGATCTCAAGGATACCACACAAATTCCGAGCACAAGCAAGTGGTCACAAGACCAGTTCACATGCAGTTTGATAATAGAACAAGAGGTACAGTGATCACAACCTAGCAAGTGTAAGCATGCAGGTATATATATATAGAGATCACAGTACAAGAAGAGTCAAGAAGTGAGCAAGTGAGGGAGAGTAGGCACAAGGCCTAGAACAGTACAGAAACGCTGATGATCACAAGGCTGAAGCGCCTTGGTGAACACATCAGCAGTGTTGGCCCGAGTGGCCACGTACGAGAGACGAAGCTGACCACGCTGCTGCAGATCTCGAGCAAGGAAGTAGCGCAGAGCGATGTGCTTCGTTCTGTGCTCCAGTCTGTGCTCCTGACACAAGGCAATGGCTGCCTGGTTGTCGACGTACAGCACTGGAGGAGAACGAGGCCGCTCTCCAAGGTCGGTCAGCAGGTAGGTGAGCCAGCGTAGCTCCTGGGCAGCCATGGCTGTGGCGTAGATCTCAGCCTCACAACTGGAGCTGAGAACAGAAGAAGAGCGTGTAGAACGCCAGGAAACAGAGCCAGAGCCAAGGCTGAAGGTGTAACCCTGAGACGACCGCTGCGTAGCCTGGTCGTCAGCCCAAGAAGCGTCTGAGTGTCCAGTGAGGACAACGTCGCGCCGTCCTCCAAGCACAAGCCCCATGCGCCGTTTCCCCATGGCGGCGTCGCTCTACGAAACCTTCCGTATCCATCAGCAGATCTTGCAGGAAACGCACGCACCAGACCCCAGAAACAGGGCTCCGCAATGACGGCTCCTCCGCCTCATGGAAAACATCACCACGTACATGCATGTATCGCATACGGTCTTCAAGCACGGCGTGCGATGGGCGCGGGTTAGGCGCGAGAAGCAGCTCAAGACGTGCCCTAGAAAGAAACCATCTGCAACAAATGCAGGCATCAATAACAAGGTTAATTGACGCACTTCCGGAAAGACAACTCCTCATCTGCAAGCTCACCGTAGTATCCACCCCCACAACGGGCCCACCACAGCGCCGGCATGCAACGTGCGCATGGGCTTGGGGTCTAGGAAGAAGCTGTGGACACGCGTTTCCTCTCCCTCCGGTTTCAAGAGATCACGCGGACTAGTAACGACGAAAATCGCGCACAGAGGCGGCTCCACCTCGTGACGCCATCTGCATACGAAGACGGAAACCTCGAAATAGGTATGTAGAACTTCGGACAACATCCGGAAGTGTTTTAATATGAAACAGGCCACTTACACGTTCCACACGGGGACGACAACTGCGTCGAAATCGAGAACATGCACAGCAGGGCTTAAACCCTCTGGACCGATTTCCGCGGCCTCGGCATACGTCAAAACGCGCACGTTAAGAACGTGATTACTCTCGCACGCCCATCTGCATAAGGCAAGCGTCATTGTCACACACGTCGCAGAACGTACTATTGCGCAAACGAGCCGTACGTACATCAGGCCTAACTCGAGGGAAACCTCGCTGAGCTCCTGCGTAGGATCCATCATCCGCGTAACTTCGTCAGCCGTGAGGAGGTGCCGGCTGCCAGTGTGGGTCTCCACTATCACACGCGGAGAAGCCATCACCAGGTGAGCAAACTAGAGTGATGGCACAAGTCCAATGTGAAAAAAGAGAAACAACGAGTGATTTGCTGGGCCTATTTATACCCATACGGCCACCAGAGGCGGTACGGCGGGCAGGCATAAATTCGAGGTGCCACGTGTAACGAGGACAAGTACATGCATTTTTCATCGAGGTTATTACATGCGCAGAATTCAAAACTATTGCCCTGGGAACATCTTAAAAAAAAAAAAGGCAAGTGCTTCAAAGTCATGGGTTACTACGAATTAGATTCAGGGAAATATCTAAAAAGAACCCGTGCACCCCACTGCCAGCCCAGAGAACACGCGCATGACTAAACAAAAAGGAGTCCACATGCGCAGAACCAAACGAAACCGGCCCAAAACCTACGGCGAGCCTCAACGCTTTCCCGAACCTCCGCGCTGCATTCCCCCACGACCACCTCGCGCGCGAGTCTTGGTGACTGCCTTAGCTCCGGGAACCATCCACCTGCCAGTCTTGTAGGTGCGCTTCATCCTATACTTGGTGATCGACTTCATGCTGTCCGTCACAGGAACCACCATACCAACAGCAGCCAAAGAAGAACGTCCGTCGGGGCTGTCGCACCAGTACGCCAAGGTATATATCATCTCCACGGCGATCCACTGCGACCAGGGATCTCCCTGCTTGTTCACCACCTGCAGAGCCTGAGACATGACCTTGTCGACCCATGCATTCGCATGTTCAGGCGCAACGGACCCTCCCTCCGAACGAGATACAACATGCATCACAGCCGAGATCACGTGCTCCAAGTTATCCGGAAGAAGTGGCCAAGCTCTCTGAAGGTCGATTTGCTTCCCCACTGCCACGGCCGTGCGAGAGGCTTCCGCGAATTGTGGCGCAGTCTCAGAGGCCACGTACCACGCTGCTGCGAATGTGGAGGCGATACAGACTGCGTACGCAATAGAAGGGAGTCCGGCAGGGGCCTCCAGCGAGGCAGTAACGTCCCCGGTCGCCTCGCACACCGCAGCCTGGAAATCCAACCCTCTGTTCTCATTCGCAGACACGTTGCCGAAAAAAATACGGAGCCTGCAATAGATGCATGTTCAACTTGTAAGGATGATCAGCAAATGCAACAGATGTAGAAAACAGGATGTGTAGAAGCAACAGAAGGATGTGCACACAATACCTGCCAGTGTCGCTGCAGCAGCCACGAGCCCAAATGGCAGTCCACAACCCTTTCGGCAGCTTCTTGGCAACGGCCCACTCCGCCGGCCACTCCGGGTGACGCGCAGGCGCCTCGGGGTCGTTGGGATTCTCCCACAGCACCTTGGAGACGTGTCCGTCCAGCACCATCATGGCCACGGACACGTTAAACATCACGTCCTCGCGCTGCAACGAGTAGCCAACATAGCGGGAGCGTCCGCCGTGGACAATGTCGCCTGTCCAGCCAGGACCACCTCTCTCGGGGCGGATGCCGTTCCCCTTGCGATGCCTGCCTTCTTCGTCGGCCTCCCCTTCCGCTGGAGCACCATCACCTGCGCCAGAAGGATCATTCTCCGCCTCCTCCGCCTCCGCAAAATTCCCCTCGCGTGCAGCTTCCTCGAATTCCTCTCCATATCCTTCAGGATCCCCGACATGCACATTTACGAGGTCCGCAGGCAAACGAAGCAGACCCCCGTCAGGAATAGCCCCGTGCTGTGCAGCAGGAACGACACGTTCCGGACGCGATTGCACATCGTGTTCGTCCGGGCGCTGCAGGATATGCAGCCCTGCAAACCCTGCCCTGATTCCTCCTAAACTCTCCTGCGGATCTTCCTCCGCGACTTGTCCCATGGCACGTCGGATCTCTGTCACAAAATCATAAGCGGGTGTAGAGGGGTTCGCACCGTGAATCTGTCCTGCACCAGGTGCGTGCACATCTTGCGACGGCAACGAACAACCAACGTCCGGCCCGCGCGCCACCTCCACTCCTGCGCCATCCGCCACACTCTGCGTACGCGTCGCCAACCCACCACCGTCGGCACCCGCCATAACAGAGGCAACACGTTGGGTTTGCGCTACACCACCAGGAGAAATCTGGGCCGTCGTCGGGCGACCCAACACAAAACCCCCTCCCGAAGAAGGTTGCGCACCGTGAATCTGTCCTGCACCAGGTGCGAACACACCTTGCGACGGCAGCGAACAACCAACGTCCGGCCCCAGCGCCCCCTCCACTCCTGCGCCCTCCGCCACCCTCTGCACCGGCGTCGGCAACCCGCCAACGTCGGCACCTGGCATAACAGGCCCAACCGGTTGGGTTTGCGCTACACCACCCGGAGAAACCTGGGACTTCGTCGGGAGACCAAACACAATACCACCTCCAGCAGAGGGTTGCGCAACAAAATTCGGTCCTGCATCAGGTGCGCGCACACCTTGCGACGGCAGCGAACCTCCCACGTCCGGCCCACGCGCCCCCTCCACTCCTGCGCCCTCCGCCACCCCCTGCATACGCGTCGGAAACCCATCACCGTCCACACGCGAAGCCTGCCTTGACTGGACATGACCCCCTCCATTGTCATGTTTGCCAACCTTTGCCTTCTTCTGCCGCGCAACTTCGACTGGCTCTCGCGCCACACCACCTCGCGCCGCGCTCCCATCGTCTCCACGTGGATGCTTTGCACCGGCACCACCTCCCGCACCATGACGGGCCAGCCCTGACATTGCTGCAAACACCCCAAGAAGAGCCGCGAATCCAGCTTCTCCGAACGCTTTCTGCGTCGCCTCCTTCACCTCGCTGATAACCTCCTCCTTCAGCCCCTTTGTTGCGTTGGTGACTACCTTGCGGACACGATCATCAACAGCCGTGACGATGGAGGCACCGATTGTTTCCAGGCTCTTGGCGACAACCCTCTCAACGCACGCGGCCACTGTCTTCTCGAGGGATTTCTCGAAGGCCTCTTGGAGGCGTTCAGACGCAGCTGTAACAGCGCTCGTCACGGAGGTGTTGACATGTGGAACGATGCCGTCAATGGCACCCTTTGCGGCTGTTTCGAGTTTCTCGCCCACGGGCAGCGAGCACGCGGGGCCGCACGGGGCACGCAAGGGCGTGCGGGGCAGGCGACGCGTGGGGTGCCGCGCGGGTCGCACGCTAGGGCGTACGAGGTGGGCGGGGCTAGGCGGGGCCGATCGCACGAGGCACGCTAGGGCGTGCGGGCTAGGCGGGGCCGATCGCGAGAGGGTGCGGGGCCTGGAGTTGCGGAGCCTGGGGGTGTAGCCTGGAGTTGCGGAGTCTGGGGGTGCTGAGCCTGGGGGTGCTGAGCCTGGGGGTGCTGGACCTGAGAGTGCTACGTCTGAGGGTCCTGAGCCTGGGGGTGCGGAGCCTGGGCGTTCGGCGCCTGGAGACCCTCCTTCTTCCCAGCAGCTGCGTGAGTGGTACTCGCGGTACTGCAGCCTCAGGAGAGGTGCTGCTGCAGCTGGTGCTCGTGGTTCCCCGCCTCGGCGGGAGCTACCCTCTCCCCAGCGACTCCGAGAGTGGTACGCTCGGCGCTGCAGTCTCCGGAGTGGTGCTGCTGGTGCTGCGGACCCTGGAGTTGGAGGTGTGGCTGGTGCTGAGGACCCGGGCGTTGGAGCTGCTGCTGGTCCTACGGACCCTGGAGTTGGAGCTGCTGCTGGTGCTGAGGACCCTGGAGCTGGAGCTGCTGCGGGTGCTGAGGACCCTGGAGTCGGAGCTGCTGCTGGTACTGCGGACCCGGGCGCTGGAGCTGCTGCTGGTGCTGCGGACCCTGGAGTTGGAGCTGCTGCTGGTGCTGAGGACCCGGGCGTTGGAGCTGCTACTGGTGCTGCGGACCCTGGAGGTGGAGCTACTGCTGGTGCTGCGGACCCTGGAGTTGGAGCTGCTGCTGGTGCTGCGGACCCTGGAGTTGGAGTTGCTGCTGGTGCTGAGGACCCTGGAGTTGGAGCTGCTGCTGGTGCTGGAGGTGCTGGCGCTGCTGGAGCTACTGGTGGTCCTGCGGGGGCTGTAGCTGGAGACCCTGGAGCTGAGGCTACTGGTGCTTTCCCTGCTGGTTCTGGCGGCGCTACTCGGCCGCAGCTGTACTTCGTTCCGCTCCTTCAGCAGGTTCTTGGTCAGTCGCCTCCTCCTTGTCTTGCTCCCTCCTTAGAGTGTCTTCCGCCAGTCCAGTCGCAGTCACAGTTACCTCCTGCCTTACCACTTCCTGGTCCTTCTCCCTACACTGGTCCGACTGGAGGTCTTACCGAGCGTCGTGAGCCTGAGTCTCGTCCTGCGTCGCCCGAGTCTCGTCGTGCGTCGCCTGTTCGTGCTGCTCACACTGGTCATCGTGTCCCTCGTCAGCGTCCTCCTGCTGTCCCAGGCACTCACCAGATGGCGCTTCGTCCTTCCACTGCTCCTCAGCGCGTCCCTCTGCCGTCTCCTCCTGCGTCCTCTCTTCCTGCTCTTGCTGACCCGGAGTCTGACTCCCTTCGTGCTGCCAGTCCTACTGTCACGCGTCTCCTCGCCACTGTTGTCACTGACCCTTCCTTTGAGTCCTCTGCTGCGTCTGCTCTAGTCGCTGAGTTAGTTGACTTTGCTGCCGCTTGTCGTCTAGACTACGCCGCTAGCCTTGTCGCTGAGTCTGAGTCTGAGTCTGTCTGTCCTCCGTCCATCGGGGGTGAGTGCGCTCTTGGCACGGACGTCCTTGAGGACAGGCAGGAGGAGTTTGAGTGCTTTGCCGCTGCTTTACCTCATCTCGTGTCCATGCTGGTTGCCCCTGAGGGAGACCCGGATGCTCCAGACATCCCGACCCCGCGCTCTTACGCTGAGGCGATAGCGGGTGAGTACTCCTCTCAGTGGCAGACAGCCATGGACGCAGAGATGGCTTCCTGGAAGTCCACAGGCACCTACGTCGACGAGGTTCCCCCACCTGGGGCGAACATCGTCAGTGGCATGTGGATTTTCAGGGTGAAGCGGCCGCCGGGTTCACCGCCTGTCTTCAAGGCGCGTTACGTTGCACGAGGCTTCAGTCAGCGAGAGGGAGTTGACTTCTTCCAGACCTTCTCCCCGACCCCGAAGATGACCACTCTTCGGGTTCTGCTGCACGTCGCTGCTCAGCGTGACTACGAGCTTCACTCTCTTGACTTCAGCACTGCTTTCCTACAGGGCAGCCTGCACGAGGAGATCTGGCTGCGCCGCCCACCTGGCTTCACTGGGTCGTTCCCTGCTGGTACCCAATGGAGCCTCCGGCGGCCAGTCTACGGTCTCCGCCAGGCTCCCCGTGAGTGGCACGACACACTGAGGACTACTCTTGATGCTCTTGGGTTTGCTCCTTCTACTGCTGACCCGTCGCTGTTTCTACGCACCGACACCACTCTGCCGCCGTTCTACGTTCTCGTCTACGTAGACGACTTGGTCTTTGCTACTGCTGACACTGCGGCACTCGCCCACGTGAAGTAGGAGCTGCAGAAGAGACACACATGCACAGACCTGGGTGAACTGACAAGCTATCTTGGCTTGCGGATCACCCGGGACAGAGCACAGCGCACCATCACCTTGACTCAGTCACACATGGTGCAGCAGGTCCTTCAGCGCTTCCGCTTTACGTACTCCTCGCCTCAGGCCACTCCTCTGCCTACCGGTCACTCGCTCTCAGCTCTGCCTTCGGATGAGTCCGTAGAGCCGAGTGGCCCGTATCCAGAGCTTGTGGGCTGCCTCATGTACCTGATGACCTGCACTCGACCTGACCTAGCATACCCTCTTAGCATCCTCGCACGCTATGTCGCTCCTGGCCGTCACCGGAAGGAGCACATGGATGCCGCTAAGAGGGTGTTGCGCTACTTGTGCAGTACGTCGGGCATGGGGCTTGTGCTTGGAGGACGGCGCGACGTTGTCCTCACTGGACACTCTGACGCTTCTTGGGCTGACGACCAGGCTACTCAGCGGTCGTCTCAGGGTTACACCTTCAGCCTTGGCTCTGGTTCAGTTTCTTGGCGTTCTACTCGCTCGTCTTCAGTTCTCAGCTCCAGTTGTGAGGCTGAGATCTACGCCAGCCATGGCTGCACAGGAGTTACGCTGGCTCACCTACCTGCTGACTGACCTGGGAGAGCGGCCTAGTTCTCCTCCAGTCTTGTACGTTGACAACAAGGCCACCATTGCCTTGTGTCAGGAGCACAGACTGGAGCACAGGACGAAGCACATCGCTCTGCGCTACTTCCTTGCTCGAGAGCTGCAGCAGCGCGGTCAGCTTCGTCTTGCGTACGTGGCCACTCGGGCCAACACTGCTGATGTGTTCACCAAGGCGCTTCAGCCTTGTGATCATCAGCGCTTCTGTACTGTTCTAGGCCTTGTGCCTACTGTGCCTCACTTGCTTACTTCTTGACTCTGTTTGTACTGTGATCTCTATATGTATACCTGCATGCTTACACTTGCTAGGTTGTGATCACTGTACCTCTTGTTATATTATCAAACTGCATGTGAACTGGTCTTGTGACCATTTGCTTGTGCTCAGAATTTGTGTGGTTTCCTTGAGATCCACCCTGAGCTTGCTTTGCTTGCTTTGACTGGTCTTGTGACCATCTGGTTGTCTCCCACTTAGCCTATGGGGGTGTGTCAAAACATTATATGTTTATATTGTGTAGGCTATAGTGGGTTTAGCCTTAGGGGGTACAACTTGTTAGGTTTTCTTACTTGTATCCCCCTCATTCCTAGTTTCATCATTCTCGTTCACTCTTAGTTTCTCACAACCGCCACTTTCACAGACGTCAGCGTCTCATCAGTCTTCACGCGCAACCCTTCGGCTTTCACCGCAGCCTCTGCGTGAGCAGTCACGAGTGTCTCCACACCTTTCGCAAAAGTCGCCTGCAACTCCCCAGATCGCTCCACCGCTGTCACCGCGCTTTTCGACACCCCATCCACCTTATCCAAAATCTCCCTCGCGTCCTGCAGCACCTTTGCGTACTTCTCCCTTTCCTCCCCAAGCTGCGTCACGGACCGCGTGAAGTCCGCCCTCAGTTGCTCCGTGCTGGTGCGCTCTTCTTCCAGCTTCTTCTCCAACCTCCTCCTCTCTCTCTTCTTCTTGCCCTCCTCCGACGCATCCTTCGACTTGCTTTTGCCCCTCCCCTTTCCCTCCATCTCCTTATCTGCACCGCCTTCCCTCCGCAAACCCTCTTCCAGAGTAGTTTCCCCTCCCACCACCTGTGTCGAGGTTCTCGACCCGCCCATCATAGCTTCCCCTCCCTCCAACTGCGACGGGGCCTTCGACCCGCCAATGTCGAGTGTGTTCCCCTGAATATGCTGAGTAGGCTGCTCATCTGGAAAACCAGCATGTGCATCAGCTTCGTCCGCGAGAGGAGGAGCTTCTTGGCCAGTCTCAGCCGCACCAGCTGTTGCAACCCCTGTCGATGGCATCACAAGAGGCATATAAGTCCCGTTGTAACGTTGACCGCTCGCCGTTTCCTCCACGAACGCGCAAACCTGCCTTCGCATAGCCTTGTAATCCCTCCGCAAGTTTTAGCGGCGATCAAACGCCTTGATGTCGGCGACAACGGCGTCCAGATGGGTGAGCAACAGCCTGTACAAGTCCGCGATGCGGACAATTGGGCTCTTGCCCGCTTCCCTCATCACCCCGCAATCCTGCTCATGCACGCAAAACAAAACGTATGTTAACGGCTACAGAAGGAACACCACCGACATCTCGAAGCAAAAAAATAAACACACCAGCTGGATGATTTTGTTCCACGTCTGCAGGCGCTTGTCGACCAGAGCCGCCGAAGCTCGAGAGTGCCTACTCACGTGCCTTGCTGATAATCCACCTGCATAGGGACAGTCCAAAAGAATTAGTGATTCCCGTGAACGACTCATCTGTTATTTGCAAAAATCTACCTTTGAATAAACAACACAGCAAGGGTCACACTCACTTGTGAACATCTGTGACAGCCTTCTCGTGGTCGCGAAGCCGTTGTTTCGCGTCCAGACTGAATACCACAGTGCGGTTCGTCGCGGCCGACTCACGCACATCCGAGGCGTAGGCCACGACCAGCACGCTGCAGTGACTGGCCTGATGGTCCTTGAAACTGCGCACCAGGAAACGAAGGTTCAACGCGTACGCAGAGGAAACCCTAAAAGCGACGAATCCTTCTGCCTATGATGTTAGCTCACCTAGAGACGATGGGCACGGCAACGACTTTGGCCCCGCATAGGCCTATCGTCTGAGGCAGGTCGCGACTTCCACCCTTTTCGAGCACCTTGCAGACGAACTCGGCGGGCACGACCCGTGAGTTGACTGGGTTCTCGAGGAGCGACTCTGCATGCCTGCAACCAAATCGCGTGTGAAGCGTCAGCAGGTAACTTCATTTGCATGAGCAGAGTGATTCAGATAACAAACTCTTAACACAGCTTGCGCAAGCACTCACAACAGTGCAACCGTCAAGGCTGCGGGAGTGACGGGTGCTCTCTCGTCCGAAAGAGCAAGGTAATCTGTGTCCGTGAACTCTAGCTCGACATCGCAGTAGGGACGGTAACAGAACGGCCTGAACGACGCATCCTGCTCGACTAACCCCTCCTGAGGAGCAGACATCTCATGCGGAAGCAAAGTACGGAACGATCTCGTGGACGAGGAAATTATCTAGAGTCGCGACTAGCTCGTGCGGAAGCTAACTACAGACGGACCTCGAGGACGGGAGAATTAACTAGACTCGCGAGTAGCAGCGGAGGAGGCAACTACGGCGACAATTACTACTCAAGATTGCTAGAGCGGAGAACCGCGAGGGAAGAGAGTTCAGGGACAGGAAACTGGAGAATGAAAGCTTTTGAGAAGCAAATGACAAAAATGAGCCACATCGCCGTGACATACCCCAACCCCGTGAGGCTTGCCGATGGAAGCCAAAACGTGTGGGAAAGGAACGGCCAATCCAGTCCGTCCGATTCATGCGATGGGGAGCTGGTGCAATCGTCTCCAGGGCTGATCTGGAAGCCCATCCGAGACATTGGCCGATAATCACCCGTTCCCGCGCAGATGGACGAATCTCGGTCATAGATTAACATGGACGCGCAACGGGACCGGCAAACACCTCGTCGGAACGCAGAACACGTGGCTGCAGGGGAATGGAGTTGGTCCTGCATGGGAAGATTGCTGCACGAGGTTAGGGGTCGTCACTGATCCGTGGTGCACGTGGCAGCAGGACATGGGTCGTGGTGATGCATGGTTCCACGTCAAGGTCACGCCTAGTTCACGCCTTGGTAAGTTTGACGTCAAGTTCACGCCTTTTTCTCGCCTTACGAGGTGCGACGATGGCGAGATCGGCGAGGGTCGCCGATTTGTGGCGCGCAGGGGCTTCTGTTTCGCGCAGGTGCGTCGCGTTCCCTCGTGGGGATCGCACGGGGCGAGTTTTCCCAGGCCTGCTGTTTTCGCCTGGCCTTTTGTTTTCGCATTTGTATTCGCTACGCGAATTGCCTGAGAAATTGCCTTCGCGGAACCAGGTTGGTTTCCGGGTCGCCGATGGAGAACATGCGCGAGGGTTGTGCGCTCAGGTGGGGCGGGGAAGTGGCTTCGCGTACAGCGGGTCCCGACAAGGCCCAGCTGGCGGGGTTTCAGTTCCGCCGACCTGTCGCTGGGAGAGCGACGGATCTGTCGTTCCCACGGGCAAAACGGGAGCGACGGAACTTCATCCGATGAGACACACAGTATAGGTCCCTTCCATGCCTATTCTCTTCGTTTCTTCTCATCCACCTCAATTTCCGGTAATGGAGATGCTTATAACGGGACGTGCAGCACAGAGTGCTTTTCCGGGTTCATGCTGCTGACGTCGCCTGCCATTGGCCCGCTGGATGCTGACGTGGCACACATGGAAGTCCCGCTGTGCTCCAAGTACTTTGGAGCTTTCTCTGCTGCTACAGATGGAACTTATGCTCCTGCTACAGCTTCAGTGCCTGCTGCTACAGCTTCGGGACAAGCTGCTGGCTTGACTGCTGCTGCTCCTGCTGCTGCTCCTGCTGCTGCTGGTGCTGCCTTTGCCGGCTCCTCACCAGGGTTTTCCCACTGCTCTTCGTCGCAATCCGCTTCGGTTGCTTCGGGGTCGGTCCGACTCTCTCCACTTGGAGCCCTCGCTTTCTCGCCTCAAAAGGTCAGTCGCGCTCAGACCATTCAGGTGGTTCAGGTCATTCAGGTGGTTCAGGCGATTCAGGTGGTTTAAGTCATTCAGGTAGTTCAGGTGATTCAGGTGGTTCAGGCGATTCATGTGGTTTCCAGGTCGTTCAGGTGATTCGGGTGGTTCAGGCGATTCAGGTGGTTCGGTTGATTCAGGTGGTTCAGGTGGTTCAGGCAATTCAGGTGGTTCAGGCGATTCAGGTGGTTCGGTTAATTCAGGTGGTTCAGGTGATTCAGGTGGTTCAGGCGATTCAGGTGATTCAGGTGGTTCAGGTGATTCAGGTGGTTCAGGTGATTCAGGCGGTTCAGGCGATTCAGGTGGTTCAGGTGATTCAGGTGGTTCAGGCGATTCAGGTGGTTCAGGTTCAGCTCATGCATGCAGGTGTCAGAGTGCGTCAGCTGATCACGCAGGCGTTGGAACACGTCAGCTCCGCACCCATATGCATGCACCCCTCATTCTTCCCATTCTCCCCATTCTCTGCTTTCTCCTCCTTCTCCCCAGACTCCCCCGTCTCCATCTTCTCCCCCCTCTCCCCCTTCTCCCCTGTCTCCCGCGTTTTCTCGATTGGTCTTCAGCTGGCCAGCGCCATGTGCTACCACATGCGTCTGTTCGGCATGGCGCTGGATCGACAAGACCTCCTGGACCATGCTCCCATCCTCGCCCACGCTGCTGCTGCTGCTGCGGTTGAATCTGCTGCTGCTGCTGCTGCTGCTGCTGCTACTGCTGCTGCTGCTGCTGCTGCTGCTACTGAAACTGCTGCTGCTACAGCTGGTTCAGCAGCAGCTGTCATTACGACCGACGTTGCTGATGCTGCTGCTGCTGGTGGTACCCATCCCACGCCCATCAGCACCGCTGTGCGCCCCTTTGGTGCCTTCTGGACCGCATCCCACTACTGTCTAGTGCTACCCTGCTTGGTCGAAGGAGGAAAGGAAGGAAAAGAGGGAGAAAGCGAAAGAGGAGGAGGAGAAAGAGGGACAGCAGCAGACTGGCGAGGGGTAGCTGAGGGAGGGGAGGAAGGGAGCGGGGCGAATGCAGGCAGGGAAGGCGAAGGGGTGGATGCAGGGAATTGTGGGGGAGGGGATGATGGCGGCAGGGGAGGGGATGATACCATGGGCATGGGAGGGAATGATGGCATGAGAAGGGAAGGGGATGATGATGATATGATGCGCGTGTTGAGGGGGAGGATTGACTGGGAGACGGTTGACAGGGTGGTGTCTCTGGGAGGCCGCAGTGCGGCCTCTCATGGCTGTGCACGTGATGCTCATGGTGCTGCTGCTGCTGCTGATGGTGCTGATGCTGCTGCTGATGGTAATGGTGCTAATGCTGCTGCTGCCGCTGATACCAATTCTGTTGCTGCTGCTGATACCAGTGCTGTTGCTGCCGCTGATACCAATGCTACTGCTGCTGCTGATACCAATGCTGTTGCTGCCGCTGATACCAATGTTGTTGCTGCTGCTGATACCAATGCTGTTGCTGCTGCTGAAATAAATGCTGTTGCTGCTGCTGATACCAATGCCGCTGCTGCTGATGGTGGCGGTGGTGGTGGTGGTGCTGCTGCTGCTACTGCTGCTGCTGATTATGCTGTTACCAATGCTACTGCTGCTTCTGCTGTTCCGAACACCACTCAAAATGCCCCTGGCAGCACCCCCCTGCTCATGATTGCGCGCGGGCCTGCGGAGGAGCATGGTGACCTCCACGGCATGGCAGCATACGCGGATGATGCTGTTCCAAACAATGCCCCTGCTACTGCAACCACGCCTCTGCTCGTGCCTCCTAGTGCCTCTGCCAGCACGCCCCTGCTCATGACTGCTTGTGGGCCAGTGGAGTTGCATGACCTGCATGGCATGGCAGCATACGCGGATGATGCTGTTCCAAACAATGCCCCTGCTACTGCAACCACGCCTCTGCTCGTGCCTCCTAGTGCCTCTGCCAGCACGCCCCTGCTCATGACTGCTTGTGGGCCAGTGGAGTTGCATGACCTGCATGGCATGGCAGCATACGCGGATGATGCTGTTCCAAACAATGCCCCTGCTACTGCAACCACGCCTCTGCTCGTGCCTCCTAGTGCCTCTGCCAGCACGCCCCTGCTCATGACTGCTTGTGGGCCAGTGGAGTTGCATGACCTGCATGGCATGGCAGCATACGCGGATGATGCTGTTCCAAACAATGCCCCTGCTACTGCAACCACGCCTCTGCTCGTGCCTCCTAGTGCCTCTGCCAGCACGCCCCTGCTCATGACTGCTTGTGGGCCAGTGGAGTTGCATGACCTGCATGGCATGGCAGCATACGCGGATGATGCTGTTCCAAACAATGCCCCTGCTACTGCAACCACGCCTCTGCTCGTGCCTCCTAGTGCCTCTGCCAGCACGCCCCTGCTCATGACTGCTTGTGGGCCAGTGGAGTTGCATGACCTGCATGGCATGGCAGCATACGCGGATGCTGCTGTTCCAAGCAATGCCCCTGTTACCACGCCTCTGCTCATGACTGCTTGCGGGCCTGTGAAGGAGAATGAGCTGCATGGCATGGCGGCATACGCGATGCATTCGCATCTGCTGTACCAAGTGGTGGGAAGGGATCCGGAGGGAAGGACAGCACAGAGTGAGTTCGAGGGGCCGCATGGAGGCACGTTCCAACAGTACTTCCAGAACCAGTGAGTACTTGCATGGCATGGCAGCATATGCGGCGCATTCCTATCTGCTGTACCAGCTGCTGGGAAGGAAGGGACCCTGAGGGGCGAAGCGAACGGCATGCAGTGAGGTCAAGGGGCCGCATGGAGGGACGTTCCAGCAGCACTTCCACAACCAGTGAGTGTAGTGTGCAACTGCGCAAGTCCCCCTGGGTGCGAGCATGGAGGGGCGGACGGCATGCAGTGTGGTCAAGGGGCCGCATGGAGGGACGTTCCAGTAGCACTTCCAGAACCAGTGAGTACCTGCATGCATGGCATGGCAGCATATGCGGTGCATTCGCATCTGCTGTACCAGCTGCTGCTGCTCTGCTGCACACACTGTCCACACTGCCCAACCCCTACTGCACGTTCGCACCCTTAAACCTTACACCGCTACCCCTACCCCCAATAAACCCCACACCCCTACCCCCCTCTGCCAGGTATGGCATATCGCTGCATTACCCCGACCAACGTATGTTTGCTGCTTGCGCCCCAGCTGAAGCCAGAGCTGCGCAACGCACTGCTGCTGCTGCTGCTCTGGACACTGCCAAATCCTTTTACCACTACCCTCATGCAGCCCTAACCCTGATACGTGTAACCCCCCTCACCAGGTACAACATATTGCTGCAGCACCCCGACCAGCCTCTGTTTGCTGTGTGCCAGCTGAAGCCAGAGCTGCACAATGCACTGCTGCTGCATGCGCGGCCAAAATGTAAGTGACTCTGTGTGTGTGCATGCGTGCCTGCGTGCGTGCGTGTGTGTGCACTGATCCTCTCTCCATGGTCCCTCCTCTCTCCATGGTCCCTACATGTGTATCGATGTGTGAGCCAGCCCGTTTTTTCTGTGCTTGTGTGTTCTGGCAGGTCCCGCTTCCACCACCCTCCCTCCCTCCTCTCCCTTCCATCACCGCCTTGCATCGCCCCCATGACATCACCCCTCCCTCAGTGAACACTTGCGATCTAGTTTTGAGTCGACTCGAGTTTTGAGTCGACTCAAAACTCGACTCACCCCTCCCTCAGTGAACACTTGCGATCTCGCCAACAGGGCGATCCAATCAGCTTTACATCATGTCCTGAGAAGAAATCCCAACCCCCATCACCCCATTACATCACCCCTCTCGCAGTGGACCCTTGGGATCTCATCAACAGGGCCGTCCATTCAGCTTTACAACATATCCTGAGAAGAAATTACCCCCCTCCCCCACCCCCCACATCGCCCCCATTACATCGCCCCTCTCGTCGACAGTGGACCCTTGGGATCTTCTCAACAGGGCTGTCCTAGTCGGTCCATTCAGCTTTGCAACTCATCCTGAGAAGAAATTCCCCCCGCCCGTCGCCCCCATTACATCACCCCTCTTGCAGTGGACCCTTGGGATGTTTTCAACAGGGCTGTCCAAGTGGGGCGAGAGGAGCAGATGCCTGTACCTGCCAGTGCTTCAGTGGGGATGGCTGTAGCAGACACGGCTGTAGCTGATACAGTTGCAGCTGACGTGGCTGAAGCAGAGACGGGTGTAGCAGAAAAGGGTGTAGAAGAGAGGGCTGTAGCGGAGAAGGCTGAAGCAGAGAAGGCTGTAGCAGTGAAGGCTGTAGCAGTGAAGGCTTTAGCAGAGCAGACTTTACCAGATCAGGCTGTAGCAGTCAATGTTGCAGCTGACGGGGCTGTGGCATACAATGCTGTAGCAGACACGGCTGTAGCAGACACGGCTGTAGCAGACACGGCAACAGCAGAGAGGGAGCAGCAGAAGCAGGAACAGCAGGAGCAGCAGCAGAAAGGCACAGGGCAGGAGGAGGCAGCTAAGGGGGAGCAGCAGCAGGGCAGGGAGAAGGGCAGGGGGCGACAAATATCATATCTGCCTCGGGAGATATCGTACCTCCCATTGGAGCTACTGGTACCGGTGTTTCCGATGCAGCACGTGCTCTTTGCCTCGCTGCTCCCCTCGCTGTTCTACCGGCTTGACTGCCTGCTCACTGCCCGGGACATCCGACGGTTCCTTGTGCGGCAGTATGGGTGTGAGCGCCAGGGGCAGCAGGCACCGCATTTTCCTGCTATTGATGTGAGTCACTCTGATGCACTGCACTGCTCTGCACGGCACTGCACTTGCACTGCACCGCGCTGCTCCCCTCGCTGCTCTCCCACCTTGACTGCCTGCTCACTGCCCGGGACATCTGGCGGTTCATTGTGAGGCAGTATGGGTGTGAGCGGCAGGGGAGTTGTGAGGCGACTTGCAGGGCAAAGTGCAAGGGTTGTCACAAGAGGAAAGGCAAGGTGAATTGCGAGAGCTGCAGCACTGGTGGTGGGCAGAGATGTGGCAGGAGCACTGGTGGTGGGTACAGCAGGGAATCGCAGCAGCACGTGCGGCAAGGACCGCATTTTCCTGCTATTAATGTGAGTCACGCCTCTGCTCGCACTGCTCTGTACTGCAATGTACCGCACTGAACCGCACTGTACCGCACTGAACTGCACTGTACCGCACTGCAATTCACTCCACCACACTGCACTGCACTGCACTGCACTGCACTGCACCGCATCACACAAAGTGCTGTTCGGCAACAAGGACCCTAACCATTGCGCCCCAACCCACCCTACCCACGCACCAGCATCCCACCCTCTCTCCCTCTCTCTCTCCCTCCCACCCTCGCTTCCTTCCAACCCCTCAGCTCCTGCGTGCCCTGAGATGCCTAGGCGTGGGCACATACGAGTCAGACGAGATTCTTGGTGACAGCTATGTGCAGCTCGGTGGGTGCTGCCAGCCATCAATGCCTCTCAACCACCCCTTCTCACCAATGCTGGGTGACTGACTGACAGCTGTGAGCAGCGCGGTGCAGCTCGGTGGGTGCTCCCAGCCATCAATGCCTCTCAACCACCCCTTCTCACCAACCAACATCCCTCCCTCCCTCTCCCATTCCCCCTCTCAGCTCCTGCGCGCCCTGAGATGCCCCGGCGTGGGCACCTACGAGAATGACGAGATTCTCGGTGACAGCTGTGTGCAGCTCGCCACATCCTGCCACCTGTTCTCCACTCTGCTGCCACGTCAGCAGCAGAATAACGGGCGTGGGCGTGGGCATAAGCAGAAGCATGGGCATGGGCACAAGAATGGGATCAACGGCTCAGCATACGCTGAGAGCACTGCCGCGATGCAATCACATGCGCCACACAGCCAGTCGTCCCTGCCACCAGTCTCCAAGAGACGGCCCACTGGGCCGGCATACGTCGAGTTGAAACGGCAGTGCGTGAAGCTGGTGTCAAACAAGCACCTGGCAGCGCTGGCAGTTGAAGCCGAAGTGCCCGCCCCCGTTCGCTGCAAGCCCTTCAGCCCCACGGATTGGATCGGCCCCCTACTCCCTCCCTCCCACACTGTGCTGCCTCTGGCTGACTCCCTCTCTCACTCGCTCCTCCAACCACACTCCCCCTCACACTCTCGAGCGACTGCAGCTTCCCAGAACCTTCCCCCTAGCCCCAAAGCCCTTCTGGACTCTGCCTTTGCCTCGCTGGCAGCGGCGCAGCCAGCATCCGCCGTCAAGTCAGCGCGCCGCCCAGCCAAAAAACCGCTCGCTGACGTGGCAGAGGCCTTGGTGGGCGCCAGCTGGCGGTGCGGCGGTGCTGACATGGCGCTGCCGGTGCTGAGGTGGCTGGGCCTGCCTACGGAGGGCGTGGGGGAGCTGCTGAGGGGAGAGATGGGTTGGATGGGGGGAGAGGCGGAGGGGGTGGCAAAGAGAGGGGTGGTGGGAGTTGCAGCAAACCCAGATATGGCACTGGACGTGCCATCAGAGGGCGTGGGAGAGCTGCTGAGGGGAGAGATGGGAGCACGAGAGTCGGAGCGAAGGGTGAGTGGCAGCAAGCACGCATGGGAGCCAACTAGACAGCCGTTCGAGCTGCCACTTGAGCCGCCAGAGAAGCGGCCTAAGCTGCTTGAAGGGGAATGCGTGCAGCACCAGGAGGGGCAGCAGGAGGAACAGCAACAGGTGCAGGGTGTGCAGGTTTTACATTGCTTGCTGCAGCAGCAGCATCAGACTTTGCCCAGCTTCCTAGAACCTTCCACCGCCAGAACGAACTCCAGGTGCCACGTGGCAACAGCTGGCTGGCTGCTGGAGCTTCAGAATGCGATGGGGTATCGATTCAGAAATGAGGGGATACTGAAAGTGGCGATTCGGGAGGAGGGGTTGAAGTGGCAGAGACGGTTTGTGTTCCTGGGGGAAGCTGTGCTGGACTTTCTTGTCATGCACCACATGGTGCAAGCAACATCTGTGACGGCTCATTCTCCTGCCGCCACGTCACCACATGCCACGTCATTGCACGCTGCCATGCCATCGCACGTTGCCACGTCAGTGCACGCCACCCGACTGTCCCCGCACCAGCTGACGAACCTGCGCATGGTTGTGAACAACGCGAAGCGGTTTTGCCAGCTGGCGGCGTGCCGTGGGCTGCTGCAATTGGTGCGCATATACGGCGGGCGGCGAAGGCTGCTGCCGATGCAGCTGACTTGGCGCATGTGGCTGCTGGAGAATCGGGAAGGGAGGAGGAACGGAAGGAGAAGGAGAAGGATGGGGAGGAGGACGGGAAGGAGAAGGAGAAGGATGGGGAGGAGGACGGGAAGGAGAAGGAGAAGGATGGGGAGGAGGACGGGAAGGAGAAGGAGAAGGATGGGGAGGAGGACGGGAAGGAGAAGGAGAAGGATGGGGAGGAGGACGGGAAGGAGGAAGTGAATCTCAGTAGAGAAGGCATGGTTGGATCACAGAGGATGTTACAGCAGGCTGTAATCGAGAGAGGGGAGGCCGTGGGGAGAGGGGAGGCCGTGGGGAGAGGGGGACGTGGGAGACGTGGGAGAGGGGAGGACCGAGGGGAGGCCGTGGGGAGAGGGGAGGCCGTGGGGAGAGGGGAGGCCGTGGGGAGAGGGGAGGCCGTGGGGAGAGGGGAGGCCGTGGGGAGAGGGGAGGCCGTGGGGAGAGGGGAGGCCGTGGGGAGAGGGGAGGCCGTGGGGAGAGGGGAGGCCGTGGGGAGAGGGGAGGCCGTGGGGAGAGGGGAGGCCGTGGGGAGAGGGGAGGCCGTGGGGAGAGGGAGGCCGTGGGGAGAGGGGGGGGGAGAGGGGGAGGCCGTGGGGAGAGGGGAGGCCGTGGGGAGAGGGGAGGCCGTGGGGAGAGGGGAGGCCGTGGGGAGAGGGGAGGCCGTGGGGAGAGGGGAGGCCGTGGGGAGAGGGGAGGCCGTGGGAGAGGGGAGGCCGTGGGGAGAGGGGAGGCCGTGGGGAGAGGGAGGCCGTGGGGAGAGGGGAGGCGTGGGGAGAGGGAGGCCGTGGGGGAGAGGGAGGCCGTGGGGAGAGGGGAGGCCGTGGGGAGAGGGGAGGCCGTGGGGAGAGGGGAGGCCGTGGGGAGAGGGGAGGCCGTGGGGAGAGGGGAGGCCGTGGGGAGAGGGGAGGCCGTGGGGAGAGGGGAGGCCGTGGGGAGAGGGGAGGCCGTGGGGAGAGGGGAGGCCGTGGGGAGAGGGGAGGCCGTGGGGGAGAGGGGAGGCCGTGGGGAGAGGGGAGGCCGTGGGGAGAGGGGAGGCCGTGGGGAGAGGGGAGGCCGTGGGGAGAGGGGAGGGCCGTGGGGAGAGGGGAGGCCGTGGGGAGAGGGGAGGCCGTGGGGAGAGGGGAGGCCGTGGGGAGAGGGGAGGCCGTGGGGGAGGGAGAGGGGAGGCCGTGGGGAGAGGGGAGGCCGTGGGGAGAGGGGAGGCCGTGGGGAGAGGGGAGGCCGTGGGGAGAGGGGAGGCCGTGGGGAGAGGGGAGGCCGTGGGGAGAGGGGAGGCCGTGGGGAGAGGGGAGGCCGTGGGGAGAGGGGAGGCCGTGGGGAGAGGGGAGGCCGTGGGGAGAGGGGAGGCCGTGGGGAGAGGGGAGGCCGTGGGAGAGAGGGGAGGCCGTGGGGAGAGGGGAGGCCGTGGGGAGAGGGGAGGCCGTGGGGAGAGGGGAGGCCGTGGGGAGAGGGGAGGCCGTGGGGAGAGGGAGGCCGTGGGGAGAGGGGAGGCCGTGGGGAGAGGGGAGGCCGTGGGGAGAGGGGAGGCCGGGGGGAGAGGGGAGGCCGTGGGGAGAGGGGAGGCCGTGGGGAGAGGGGAGGCCGTGGGGAGAGGGGAGGCCGTGGGGAGAGGGGAGGCCGCGTGGGGAGAAGGGGAGGCCGTGGGGAGAGGGGAGGCCGTGGGGAGAGGGGAGGCCGTGGGGAGAGGGGAGGCCGTGGGGAGAGGGGAGGCCGTGGGGAGAGGGGAGGCCGTGGGGAGAGGGGAGGCCGTGGGGAGAGGGGAGGCCGTGGGGAGAGGGGAGGCCGTGGGGAGAGGGGAGGCCGTGGGGAGAGGGGAGGCCGTGGGGAGAGGGGAGGCGTGGGGAGAGGGGAGGCCGTGGGGGAGAGGGGAGGCCGTGGGGAGAGGGGAGGCCGTGGGGAGAGGGGAGGCCGTGGGGGAGAGGGGAGGCCGTGGGGAGGGGGAGGCCGTGGGGAGAGGGGAGGCCGTGGGGAGAGGGGAGGCCGTGGGGAGAGGGGAGGCCGTGGAGTGGGGAGAGGGGAGGCCGTGGGGAGAGGGGAGGCCGTGGGGAGAGGGGAGGCCGTGGGGAGAGGGGAGGCCGTGGGGAGAGGGGAGGCCGTGGGGAGAGGGGAGGCCGTGGGGAGAGGGAGGCCGTGGGGAGAGGGGAGGCCGTGGGGAGAGGGGAGGCCGTGGGGAGAGGGAGGGGCCGTGGGGAGAGGGGAGGCCGTGGGGAGAGGGGAGGCCGTGGGGAGAGGGGAGGCCGTGGGGAGAGGGGGAGGCCGTGGGGAGAGGGGAGGCCGTGGGGAGAGGGGAGGCCGTGGGGAGAGGGGAGGCCGTGGGGAGAGGGGAGGCCGTGGGGAGAGGGGAGGCCGTGGGGAGAGGGGAGGCCGTGGGGAGAGGGGAGGCCGTGGGGAGAGGGGAGGCCGTGGGGGAGAGGGGAGGCCGTGGGGAGAGGGGGAGGCCGTGGGGAGAGGGGAGGCCGTGGGGAGAGGGGAGGCCGTGGGGAGAGGGGAGGCCGTGGGGAGAGGGGAGGCCGTGGGGAGAGGGGAGGCCGTGGGGAGAGGGAGGCCGTGGGGAGAGGGGAGGCCGTGGGGAGAGGGGAGGCCGTGGGGGAGGGGAGGCCGTGGGGAGAGGGGAGGCCGTGGGGAAGAGGGGAGGCCGTGGGGAGAGGGGAGGCCGTGGGGAGAGGGGAGGCCGTGGGGAGAGGGGAGGCCGTGGGGAGAGGGTGAGGCCGTGGGGAGAGGGGAGGCCGTGGGGAGAGGGGAGGCCGTGGGGAGAGGGGGAGGCCGTGGGGAGAGGGGAGGCCGTTGGGAGAGGGGAGGCCGTGGGGAGAGGGGAGGCGTGGGGAGAGGGGAGGCCGTGGGGAGAGGGGAGGCCGTGGGGAGAGGGGAGGCCGTGGGGGAGAGGGGAGGCCGTGGGGAGAGGGAGGCCGTGGGGAGAGGGGAGGCCGTGGGGAGAGGGGAGGCCGTTGGGGAGAGGGAGGCCGGGGGAGAGGGGAGGCCGTGGGGAGAGGGGAGGCCGTGGGGAGAGGGGAGGCCGTGGGGAGAGGGGAGGCCGTGGGGAGAGGGGAGGCCGTGGGGAGAGGGGAGGCCGTGGGAGAGGGGAGGCCGTGGGGAGAGGGGAGGCCGTGGGAGAGGGGAGGCCGTGGGAGAGGGGAGGCGTGGGGAGAGGGAGGCCGTGGGGAGAGGGGAGGCCGTGGGGAGAGGGGAGGCCGTGGGAGAGGGGAGGCCGTGGGGAGAGGGGGAGGGCCGTGGGGAGAGGGGAGCCGTGGGGAGAGGGGAGGCCGTGGGGAGAGGGTGAGGCCGTGGGGAGAGGGGACGGCAGTGGGGAGAGGGAGGCCGTGGGGAGAGGGGGAGGCCGTGGGGAGAGGGGAGGCCGTGGGGAGGAGGGAGGCCGTGGGGAGAGGGGAGGCGTGGGGAGAGGGGAGGCCCGTGGGGAGAGGGGAGGCCGTGGGGAGAGGGGAGGCCGTGGGGAGAGGGGAGGCCGTGGGGAGAGGGGAGGCGCGTGGGGAGAGGGGAGGCCGTGGGGAGAGGGGAGGCCGTGGGGAGAGGGGAGGCCGTGGGGAGAGGGGAGGCCGTGGGGAGATGGGAGGCCGTGGGGAAGAGGGGAGGCCGTGGGGAGAGGGGAGGCCGTGGGGAGAGGGGAGGCCGTGGGGAGAGGGGAGGCCGTGGGGAGAGGGGAGGGCCGTGGGGAGAGGGGAGGCCGTGGGGAGAGGGGAGGCCGTGGGAGAGGGGAGGCCGTGGGAGAGGGGAGGCCGTGGGGAGAGGGGAGGCCGTGGGGAGAGGGGAGGCCGTGGGGAGAGGGGAGGCCGTGGGGAGAGGGGAGGCCGTGGGGAGAGGGGAGGCCGTGGGGAGAGGGGAGGCCGTGGGGAGAGGGGGAGGCCGTGGGGAGAGAGAGGGGAGGCCGTGGGGAGAGGGGAGGCCGTGGGAGAGGGGAGGCCGTGGGGAGAGGGGAGGCCGTGGGGAGAGGGGGAGGCCGTGGGAGAGGGAGGCCGTGGGAGAGGGGAGGCCGTGGGGAGAGGGGAGGCCGTGGGGAGAGGGAGGCCGTGGGGAGAGGGGAGGCCGTGGGAGAGGGGAGGCCGTGGGGAGAGGGGAGGCCGTGGGGAGAGGGGAGGCCGTGGGGAGAGGGGAGGCCGTGGGGAGAGGGGAGGCCGTGGGGAGAGGGGAGGGCCGTGGGAGAGGGGAGGCCGTGGGGAGAGGGGAGGCCGTGGGGAGAGGGGAGGCCGTGGGGATGAGGGGAGGCCGTGGGGAGAGGGGAGGCCGTGGGGAGAGGGGAGGCCCGTGGGGAGAGGGGAGGCCGTGGGGAGAGGGGAGGCCGTGGTAGAGGGGAGGCCGTGGGGAGAGGGGAGGCCGTGGGGAGAGGGGAGGCCGTGGGGAGAGGGGAGGCCGTGGGGAGAGGGAGGCCGTGGGGAGAGGGGAGGCCGTGGGGAGAGGGGAGGCCGTGGGAGAGGGGAGGCCGTGGGAGAGGGGAGGCCGTGGGGAGAGGGGAGGCCGTGGGGAGAGGGGAGGCCGTGGGGGAGAGGGGAGGCCGTGGGGAGAGGGGAGGCCGTGGGGAGAGGGGAGGCCGTGGGGAGAGGGGAGGCCGTGGGGAGAGGGGAGGCGTGGGGAGAGGGGAGGCCGTGGGGAGAGGGGAGGCCGTGGGGAGAGGGGAGGCCGTGGGGAGAGGGAGGCCGTGGGGAGAGGGGAGGCCGTGGGGAGAGGGGAGGCCGTGGGGAGAGGGGAGGCCGTGGGAGAGGGGAGGCCGTGGGGAGAGGGGAGGCCGTGGGGAGGAGGGGAGGCCGTGGGGAGAGGGGAGGCCGTGGGAGAGGGAGGCCGTGGGGAGAGGGGAGGCCGTGGGGAGAGGGGAGGCCGTGGGGAGAGGGGAGGCCGTGGGGAGAGGGGAGGCCGTGGGGAGAGGGGAGAGGGGAGGCCGTGGGAGAGGGGAGGCCGTGGGGAGAGGGGAGGCCGTGGGGAGAGGGGAGGCCGTGGGGAGAGGGGAGGCTGTGGGGAGAGGGGAGGCCGTGGGGAGAGGGGAGGCCGTGGGGAGAGGGGAGGCCGTGGGGAAGAGGGGAGGCCGTGGGGAGAGGGGAGGCCGTGGGGAGGAGGTGGAGGCCGTGGGGGAGAGGGGAGGCCGTGGGGAGAGGGGAGGCCGTGGGGAGAGGGGAGGCCGTGGGGAGAGGGGAGGCCGTGGGGAGAGGGGAGGCCGTGGGGAGAGGGAGGGCCGTGGGGAGAGGGGAGGCCGTGGGGAGATGGGGAGGCCGTGGGGAGAGGGGAGGCCGTGGGGAGAGGGGAGGCCGTGGGGAGAGGGGAGGCCGTGGGGAGAGGGAGGCCGTGGGGAGAGGGGAGGCCGTGGGGAGAGGGGAGGCCGTGGGGAGAGGGGAGGCCGTGGGGAGAGGGGAGGCCGTGGGGAGAGGGGAGGCCGTGGGGAGAGGGGAGGCCGTGGGGAGAGGGGAGGCCGTGGGGAGAGGGGAGGCCGTGGGGAGAGGGGAGGCCGTGGGGAGAGGGGAGGCCGTGGGGAGAGGGGAGGCCGTGGGAGAGGGGAGGCCGTGGGAGAGGGGAGGCCGTGGGGAGAGGGGAGGCCGTGGGGAGAGGGGAGGCCGTGGGGAGAGGGGAGGCCGTGGGGAGAGGGGAGGCCGTGGGGAGAGGGGAGGCCGTGGGGAGAGGGGAGGCCGTGGGGAGAGGGGAGGCCGTGGGGAGAGGGGAGGCCGTGGGGAGAGGGGAGGCCGTGGGAGAGGGGAGGCCGTGGGGAGAGGGGAGGCCGTGGGGAGAGGGGAGGCCGTGGGGAGAGGGGAGGCCGTGGGAGAGGGGAGGCCGTGGGGAGAGGGAGGCCGTGGGGAGAGGGGAGGCCGTGGGGAGAGGGAGGCCGTGGGGAGAGGGAGGCAGTGGGGAGAGGGGAGGCCGTGGGGAGAGGGGAGGCCGTGGGAGAGGGGAGGCCGTGGGGAGAGGGGAGGCCGTGGGGAGAGGGGAGGCCGTGGGGAGAGAGGGGAGGCCGTGGGGAGAGGGGAGGCCGTGGGGAGAGGGGAGGCCGTGGGGAGAGAGGGGGAGGCCGGTGGGGAGAGGGGAGGCCGTGGGGAGAGGGGAGGCCGTGGGGAGAGGGGGAGGCCGTGGGGAGAGGGGGAGGCCGTGGGGAGAGGGGGAGGCCGTGGGGAGAGGGGAGGCCGTGGGGAGAGGGAGGCCCGTGGGGAGAGGGGAGGCCGTGGGGAGAGGGGAGGCCGTGGGGAGAGGGGAGGCCGTGGGGAGAGGGGAGGCCGTGGGGAGAGGGAGGCCGTGGGGAGAGGGGAGGCCGTGGGGAGAGGGGAGGCCGTGGGGGAGAGGGGAGGCCGTGGGGAGAGGGGAGGCCGTGGGGACGAGGGGAGGCCGTGGGGAGAGGGGAGGCCGTGGGGAGAGGGGAGGCCGTGGGGAGAGGGGAGGCCGTGGGGAGAGGGGAGGCCGTGGGGAGAGGGGAGGCCGTGGGGAGAGGGGAGGCCGTGGGAGAGGGAGGCCGTGGGGAGAGGGAGGCCGTGGGGAGAGGGGAGGCCGTGGGGAGAGGGGAGGGCCGTGGGGAGAGGGGAGGCCGTGGGGAGAGGGGAGGCGTGGGGAGAGGGGGAGGCCGTGGGGAGAGGGGAGGCCGTGGGGAGAGGGGAGGCCGTGGGGAGAGGGGAAGGCCGTGGGGAGAGGGGAGGCCGTGGGGAGAGGGGAGGCCGTGGGGAGAGGGGAGGCCGTGGGGAGAGGGGAGGCCGTGGGGAGAGGGGAGGCCGTGGGGAGAGGGGAGGCCGTGGGAGAGGGAGGCCGTGGGGAGAGGGGAGGCCGTGGGGAGAGGGGAGGCCGTGGGGAGAGGGGAGGCCGTGGGGAGAGGGGAGGCCGTGGGGAGAGGGGAGGCCGTGGGGAGAGGGGAGGCCGTGGGGAGAGGGGAGGCCGTGGGGAGAGGGGAGGCCGTGGGGAGAGGGGAGGCCGTGGGGAGAGGGGAGGCCTGTGGGGAGAGGGGAGGCCGTGGGGAGAGGGGAGGCCGTGGGGAGAGGGGAGGCCGTGGGACGAGGGGAGGCCGTGGGGAGAGGGGAGGCCGTGGGGAGAGGGGAGGCCGTGGGGAGAGGGGAGGCCGTGGGGAGAGGGGAGGCCGTGGGGAGAGGGGAGGCCGTGGGGAGAGGGGGTGGAGGAGGCCGTGGGGAGAGGGGAGGCCGTGGGGGAGAGGGGCGAGGCCGTGGGGAGAGGGGAGGCCTGTGGGGAGAGGGGAGGCCGTGGGGAGAGGGGAGGCCGTGGGGAGAGGGCGAGTGCCGTGGGGAGAGGGGAGGCCGTGGGGAGAGGGGAGGCCGTGGGGAGAGGGGAGGCGTGGGAGAGGGGAGCCGTGGGGAGAGGGAGGCCGTGGGAGAGGGGAGGCCGTGGGGAGAGGGGAGGCCGTGGGAGAGGGGGAGGCCGTGGGGAGAGGGGAGCCGTGGGGAGAGGGGAGGCCGTGGGGAGAGGGGAGGCCGTGGGGAGAGGGGAGGGCCGTGGGGAGAGGGGAGGCCGTGGGGAGAGGGGAGTCCGTGGGGAGAGGGAGGCCGTGGGAGAGGGAGGCCGTGGGGAGAGGGGAGGCCGTGGGGAGAGGGGAGGCGTGGGGAGAGGGGAGGCCGTGGGGAGAGGGGAGGCCGTGGGAGAGGGGAGGCCGTGGGGAGAGGGAGGCCGTGGAGAGGGAGAGGCCGTGGGACGCCGCGGAGAGGGGCGGCCGTGGGAGAGGGGAGGCCGTGGGGAGAGGGGAGGCCGTGGGGACTGAGGGGAGGCCGTGGGGAGAGGGGAGGCCGTGGGGAGAGGGGAGGCCGTGGGGAGAGGGGAGGCCGTGGGGAGAGGGGAGGCCGTGGGGAGAGGGGAGGCCGTGGGGAGAGGGGAGGCCGTGGGGAGAGGGGAGGCCGTGGGGAGAGGGGAGGCCGTGGGGAGAGGGGAGGCCGTGGGAGAGGGGAGGCCGTGGGAGGAGAGGGGAGGCCGTGGGGAGAGGGGAGGCCGTGGGGAGAGGGAGGCCGTGGGGAGAGGGGAGGCCGTGGGGAGAGGGGAGGCCGTGGGGAGAGGGGAGGCCGTGGGGAGAGGGAGGCCCGTGGGGAGAGGGGAGGCCGTGGGGAGAGGGGAGGCCGTGGGAGAGGGGAGGGCGTGGGGAAGAGGGGAGGCCGTGGGGAGAGGGGTAGGCCGTGGGGAGAGGGGAGGCCGTGGGGAGAGGGGAGGCCGTGGGGAGAGGGGAGGCCGTGGCGGAGAGGGGAGGCCGTGGGGAGAGGGGAGGCCGTGGGTGAGAGGGGAGGCCGTGGGAGAGGGAGGCCGTGGGGAGAGGGGAGGCCGTGGGGAGAGGGGAGGCCGTGGGGAGAGGGGAGGGCCGTGGGGAGAGGGGAGCCGTGGGGAGAGGGGAGGCCGTGGGGAGAGGGGAGGCCGTGGGGAGAGGGGAGGCCGTGGGGAGAGGGGAGGCCGTGGGGAGAGGGGAGGCCGTGGGGAGAGGGGAGGCCGTGGGAGAGGGGAGGCCGTGGGGAGAGGGGAGGCCGTGGGGAGAGGGGAGGCCGTGGGGAGAGGGGAGGCCCGTGGGGAGAGGGGAGGCGTGGGGAGAGGGAGGCCGTGGGGAGAGGGAGGCCGTGGGAGGGGAGGCCGTGGGAGAGGGGAGGCCGTGGGGAGAGGGGAGGCCGTGGGGAGAGGGGAGGCCGTGGGGAGAGGGGAGGCAGTGGGGAGAGGGGAGGCCGTGGGGAGAGGGGAGGCCGTGGGGAGAGGGGAGGCCGTGGGGAGAGGGGGAGGCCGTGGGAGAGGGGAGGCCGTGGGAGAGGGGAGGCCGTGGGGAGAGGGGAGGCCGTGGGGAGAGGGGAGGCCGTGGGGAGAGGGGAGGCCGTGGGGAGAGGGGAGGCCGTGGGGAGAGGGGAGGCCGTGGGGAGAGGGGAGGCCGTGGGGAGAGGGGAGGCCGTGGGGAGAGGGGAGGCCGTGGGGAGAGGGGAGGCCGTGGGGAGAGGGGAGGCCGTGGGGAGAGGGGAGGCCGTGGGGAGAGGGGAGGCCGTGGGGAGAGGGGAGGCCGTGGGGAGAGGGGAGGCCGTGGGGAGAGGGGAGGCCGTGGGAGAGGGAGGCCGTGGGGAGAGGGGAGGCCGTGGGAGAGGGGAGGCCGTGGGGAGAGGGGAGGCCGTGGGGAGAGGGGAGGCCGTGGGGAGAGGGGAGGCCGTGGGGAGAGGGGAGGCCGTGGGGAGAGGGGAGGCCGTGGGGAGAGGGGAGGCCGTGGGGAGAGGGGAGGCCGTGGGGAGAGGGGAGGCCGTGGGGAGAGGGGAGGCCGTGGGGAGAGGGGAGGCCGTGGGGAGAGGGGAGGCCGTGGGGAGAGGGGAGGCCGTGGGGAGAGGGGAGGCCGTGGGGAGAGGGGAGGCCGTGGGGAGAGGGGAGGCCGTGGGGAGAGGGGAGGCCGTGGGGAGAGGGGAGGCCGTGGGAGAGGGGAGGGCCGTGGGGCCGTGGGGAGAGGGGAGGCCGTGGGGAGAGGGGAGGCCGTGGGGAGAGGGGAGGCCGTGGGGAGAGGGGAGGCCGTGGGGAGAGGGGAGGCCGTGGGGAGAGGGGAGGCCGTGGGAGAGGGGAGGGGAGGCCGTGGGGAGAGGGGAGGCCGTGGGGAGAGGGGAGGCCGTGGGGAGAGGGGAGGCCGTGGGGAGAGGGGAGGCCGTGGGGAGAGGGGATGGCCGTGGGGAGAGGGGAGGCCGTGGGGAGAGGGGAGGCCGTGGGGAGAGGGGAGGCCGTGGGGAGAGGGGAGGCCGTGGGGAGAGGGGAGGCCGTGGGGACTGAGGGGAGGCCGGGGGGAGAGGGGGAGGCCGTGGGGAGAGGGGAGGCCGTGGGAGAGGGGAGGCCGTGGGGAGAGGGGAGGCCGTGGGGAGAGGGGAGGCCGTGGGGAGAGGGGAGGCCGTGGGGAGGCGGGGAGGCCGTGGGGAGAGGAGGAGGCCGCGTGGGAGAGGGGAGGCCGTGGGGAGAGGGGAGGCCGTGGGGAGAGGGGAGGCCGTGGGGAGAGGGGAGGCCGTGGGGAGGAGGGGAGGCCGTGGGGATGAGGGGAGGGCCGTGGGGAGGAGGGGGAGGCCGTGGGGAGAGGGGAGGCCGTGGGGGAGATGGGAGGCCGTTGGGGAGAGGGGAGGCCGTGGGGAGAGGGAGGGGGGGGGGGAGGGGGCGGGCCGTGGGGAGAGGGGAGGCCGTGGGGAGAGGGGAGGCCGTGGGGAGAGGGGAGGCCGTGGGGAGAGGGGAGGCCGTGGGGAGAGGGGAGGCCGTGGGGAGAGGGGAGGCCGTGGGGAGAGGGGAGGCCGTGGGGAGAGGGGAGGCGTGGGGAGAGGGGAGGCCGTGGGGAGAGGGGAGGCCGTGGGGAGAGGGGAGGCCGTGGGGAGAGGGGAGGCCGTGGGGAGAGGGGAGGCCGTGGGGAGAGGGGAGGCCGTGGGGAGAGGGGAGGCCGTGGGAGAGGGGAGGCCGTGGGGAGAGGGGAGGCCGTGGGGAGAGGGGAGGCCGTGGGGAGAGGGGAGGCCGTGGGGAGAGGGGAGGCCGTGGGGAGAGGGGAGGCCGTGGGGAGAGGGGAGGCCGTGGGGAGAGGGGAGGCCGTGGGGAAGAGGGAGGCCGTGGGGAGAGGGAGGCGTGGGAGAGGGAGCCGTGGGGAGAGGGGAGGCCGTGGGGAGAGGGAGGCCGTGGGGAGAGGGAGGCCGTGGGGAGAGGGGGAGGCCGTGGGGAGAGGGGAGGCCGTGGGGAGAGGGGAGGCCGTGGGGAGAGGGGAGGCCGTTGGGAGAGGGGAGGCCGTGGGGAGAGGGGAGGCCGTGGGGAGAGGGGAGGCCGTGGGGAGAGGGGAGGCCGTGGGGAGAGGGGAGGCCGTGGGGAGAGGGGAGGCCGTGGGGAGAGGGGAGGCCGTGGGGAGAGGGGAGGCCGTGGGGAGAGGGGAGGCCGTGGGGAGAGGGGAGGCCGTGGGGAGAGGGGAGGCCGTGGGGAGAGGGGAGGCCGTGGGGAGAGGGGAGGCCGTGGGGAGAGGGGAGGCCGTGGGGAGAGGGGAGGCCGTGGGGAGAGGGGAGGCCGTGGGGAGAGGGGAGGCCGTGGGGAGAGGGGAGGCCGTGGGAGAGGGGAGGCCGTGGGGAGAGGGGAGGCCGTGGGGAGAGGGGAGGCAGTGGGGAGAGGGGAGGCCGTGGGGAGAGGGGAGGCCGTGGGAGAGGGAGGCCGTGGGGAGAGGGGAGGCCGTGGGGAGAGGGGAGGCCGTGGGGAGAGGGGAGGCCGTGGGGAGAGGGGAGGCCGTGGGGAGAGGGGAGGCCGTGGGGAGAGGGGAGGCCGTGGGGAGAGGGGAGGCCGTGGGGAGAGGGGAGGCCGTGGGGAGAGGGGAGGCCGTGGGGAGAGGGGAGGCCGTGGGGAGAGGGGAGGCCGTGGGGAGAGGGGAGGCCGTGGGGAGAGGGGAGGCCGTGGGGAGAGGGGAGGCCGTGGGGAGAGGGGAGGCCGTGGGGAGAGGGGAGGCCGTGGGGAGAGGGGAGGCCGTGGGGAGAGGGGAGGCCGTGGGGAGAGGGTGAGGCCGTGGGGAGAGGGGAGGCCGTGGGGAGAGGGGAGGCCGTGGGGAGAGGGGAGGCCGTGGGAGAGGGGAGGCCGTGGGGAGAGGGGAGGCCGTGGGGAGAGGGGAGGCCGTGGGGAGAGGGAGGCCGTGGGGAGAGGGGAGGCCGTGGGGAGAGGCGAGGCCGTGGGGAGAGGGGAGGCCGTGGGGAGAGGGGAGGCCGTGGGGAGAGGGGAGGCCGTGGGGAGAGGGGAGGCCGTGGGGAGAGGGGAGGCCGTGGGGAGAGGGGAGGCCGTGGGGAGAGGGGAGGCCGTGGGGAGAGGGGAGGCCGTGGGAGAGGAGCGGGGGAGAGGGGAGGCCGTGGGGAGAGGGGAGGCCGTGGGGATGAGGGGAGGCCGTGGGGAGAGGGGAGGCCGTGGGGAGAGGGGAGGCCGTGGGGAGAGGGGAGGCCGTGGGGAGAGGGGAGGCCGTGGGGAGAGGGGAGGCCGTGGGGAGAGGGGAGGCCGTGGGGAGAGGGGAGGCCGTGGGGAGAGGGGAGGCCGTGGGAGAGGGGAGGCCGTGGGGAGAGGGGAGGCCGTGGGGAGAGGGGAGGCCGTGGGGAGAGGGGAGGCCGTGGGGAGAGGGGAGGCCGTGGGGAGAGGGGAGGCCGTGGGGAGAGGGGAGGCCGTGGGGAGAGGGGAGGCCGTGGGGAGAGGGGAGGCCGTGGGGAGAGGGGAGGCCGTGGGGAGAGGGGAGGCCGTGGGGAGAGGGGAGGCCGTGGGGAGAGGGGAGGCCGTGGGAGAGGGGAGGCCGTGGGGAGAGGGGAGGCCGTGGGGAGAGGGGAGGCCGTGGGGAGAGGGGAGGCCGTGGGGAGAGGGGAGGCCGTGGGGAGAGGGGAGGCCGTGGGGAGAGGGGAGGCCGTGGGAGAGGGAGCGTGGGAGGGAGGCCGTGGGGAGAGGGGAGGCCGTGGGGAGAGGGGAGGCCGTGGGGAGAGGGGAGGCCGTGGGGAGAGGGGAGGCCGTGGGGAGAGGGGAGGCCGTGGGGAGAGGGGAGGCCGTGGGGAGAGGGGAGGCCGTGGGGAGAGGGAGGCCGTGGGGAGAGGGGAGGCCGTGGGAGAGGGGAGGCCTGTGGGGAGAGGGGAGGCCGTGGGGAGAGGGGAGGCCGTGGGGAGAGGGGAGGCCGTGGGGAGAGGGGAGGCCGTGGGGAGAGGGGAGGCCGTGGGGAGAGGGGAGGCCGTGGGGAGAGGGGAGGCCGTGGGGAGAGGGGAGGCCGTGGGGAGAGGGGAGGCCGTGGGGAGAGGGGAGGCCGTGGGGAGAGGGGAGGCCGTGGGGAGAGGGGAGGCCGTGGGGAGAGGGGAGGCCGTGGGGAGAGGGGAGGCCGTGGGAGAGGGGAGGCCGTGGGGAGAGGGGAGGCCGTGGGGAGAGGGGAGGCCGTGGGGAGAGGGGAGGCCGTGGGGAGAGGGGAGGCCGTGGGGAGAGGGGAGGCCGTGGGGAGAGGGGAGGCCGTGGGGAGAGGGGAGGCCGTGGGGAGAGGGGAGGCCGTGGGGAGAGGGGAGGCCGTGGGGAGAGGGGAGGCCGTGGGGAGAGGGGACATGGGCAATGGTGATGACATTGATGATGAACAGAAGCCGTTCCGCAAGGTAACGCCGTGTAACCATATGAGCGAGCAGGTATTTATGTAACCCTACAGATGGTACCAACGTACTGTCTGTCTGACTGTACCACTTGCTTTCTCCTCAGGGGCTGCCCAATTCCTCTTGCGTCCCTCTTGCCCAATCCCAATCCTTCTTGATGCACTGCAAGATCTGAACGGCCAGGCCTACCCACATACATACATACATACATACATAAATACATACATACATACATACATGCATACATACATACATAAATACATACATACATACATACATGCATACATACATACATAAATATACATACATACATACATACATACATAAATACATACATACATACATGCATACATACATACATAAATACATACATACATACATACATACATACATACATACATACATACATACATACATACATACATACATACATACATACATACATACATACATACATACATACATACATACATACATACATACATACATACATACATACATACATACAATCTCTTGCGTCTCGGCATTCTTGACGCGCTGCAAATCTTAAAACGGCTAGGCGTACCCACACACATACATGCATTCCTTTTGCCTTTTCAGTCGACTCTAATAAAGTCATGCCATTACCCACATACATTCCTCTTCCTTCGCCATGCTGCAACACTGTTGACAATTCCCCTCCTCCCTCCCCTCCTTTCGTCCCTCCTCCCTCCCCTCCTTTCTTCTTGTCTCTCTCCCCTCCTCACTTGCTCTCCTACCAGGAAGTTCCTGATCTAATCAAGGCCCTCACTGCAGCAGTCTTCCTCGACTCCACTCCTCAAAACACCCCTCGGACCGCACTCAACCCCCTTGCACATCTCCATCTCTCATGCCCTCTCACCCGCACGTGGCAAGTGGTTTCTTCGTGGCTCTGCCCTATCCCGCTGCTGCATCCCCTCTCCCTCCATCCCCCCTCCGCCTTGCTCCTCTTCTGCGGCGCCCTCGCCCTCCCCCCCCCTATTTACTTGCCGTGGGGGGAGAGGGGGGGGCGGGAGTGGGGGAAAGGGAAGACGGAGGGGGACGGGAATGGGGATGGTGTGTGGAAGGATGAGGAGGGTGGGGAAAGGGACGGCGGGATGGTGTGTGGGAGTGGTATGAGAGAGAAAGGTGGGGAGCGGAAGGGAATGGAAAATGGGCTGTGTGAAAATCGCTTGCGGGTGAGTAGAGGAGGAGGTGGAGGAGCAGAGGAGGGGGAGGTGGGGGTGGTAATGGAAGTGGAGGTGAGAGGAGTGGTGCTGGGGGAGGGGTGGGGGGTGGATGATGTGGCTGCAACATTTGAAGCAGCTTCTGATGTGCTGAGAAGAGCCAAGGTGAGTGTAATGAACGAATGTGATTGTACTGGTGTGAATGTAATCACTTGACTTTAAATGTAAGCATTGGAATCAACTGCTGGAGATACAAGCTTGACTGTACCAGGAGGCAGAGGGGGCGACTTTTGAGTCGACTAAAAAATGGTCTCATCACACGCACATGTGAGTTTGACTGTACCAGGAGGGAGAGGGGGCGCGCATGCTGGGGGCTCTGAGGGCTTTCAAATTAGCGGGTTCTCGCATGAATTCCCGCCTGCTTCTTAAATGACCTTTTCCACTTGCCTTCCGCCTCTCTTACTGCCTCCTCGCCTCTTCTTCTTGCCTCCCCCCAGACTGTGCAGGGCTTCCGGAAGCTGTACCAGGAGGCAGAGAGGGCACGGGTTGGGGGGCCTATGAGGCCCTTCAAACTAGCTGGTGCTCGCATGATCACCGCCTGCTTTCCACTCTCCCCTCTTCCCGCCTCCTTGCCTCTCTCCCCCCAGACTGTGCAGGGCTTCCAGAAGCTGTACGAGGAGGCAGAGGGGGCACGGGAACTGGGGCCTATGAGGCCCTTCAAGCTAGCTGGAGCTCGCATGATCACCGCCTGCTCTCCACTCTCCCCTCTTCCCGCCTCCTTGCCTCTCTCCTCGCCACTCTCTCCTTGCCTCTCCCCAGACTGTGCAGGGCTTCAGGAAGCTGTACGAGGAGGCAGAGAGGTCACGGGAGGGAGTTGTGCCTGAGGGTTCTGTTGAGAATGGAGGGAATATTGATTGTGCTGGTGGGAAGACGAAGGCAAGAGGAAAGAAGAAGAAGTGCGGGATGTCAGGAATGGTGGTGGCAACAGAAGCTGCCGGGGCAGGAGCAAAGGCAGGAGGAAAGAAGAGGAAGCGAGGGAAGTCAGATATGGTGGTGGCAACAGCAGCTGCCGGGGCAGGAGCAAGGGCAGGAGGAAAGAAGAGTAAGCGAGGGAATTCAGAAGAGGAAGGGGAGGCGGCAGCAGCTGCTGGAGCAAAGGAAGGGGCAGCAGCAGCAGCAGCAGGAGCAGTGGAAGGGGTGGAAGCAGCAGCAGCAGCAGCAGCAGCAGCAGCAGCAGCAGCAGCAGCAGCAGCAGCAGCAGCAGCAGCAGCAGCAGCAGCAGCAGCAGCAGCAGGAGCAGGAGCAGTAAAAGGGGAGATTACGATAGGTTCGGCCGCCCCGGACGCCCTAGGTGGGTTCCAAGGCTGTGAGCCAGGTCAGGCAGTTGTAACCACCCTGAATAACTTGTGCCAGGCGCGACGATGGACGTTAGTGTACAGTAACAGAATATTATCTCCGACTTCAAGGAGCAAGTCTGTTGTGGTTTGGAATGGATCCGCCCAAGGTGGGGCCTTTGAGACGTCTCAAAAGTCTTCAAGGAAAAAGTCTGCTGCATTTTGGATTGGATCCGCCCAAGGTGGGTCTCCTATTGGGTGCGCCTCTGCTGCCCCTGCCCCTGCTGCTGCTGCTGCTGCTGCTGCTGCTGCTGCTGCTGCTCCTGCTGCTGCTGCTGCTGCTGCTGCTGCTGCTGCTGCTGCTGCTGCTGCTGCTGCTGCTGCTGCTCCTGCTGCTGCTGCTGCTGCTGCTGCTGCTGCTGCTGCTGCTGCTGCTGCTGCTGCTGCTGCTGCTGCTGCTGCTGCTGCTGCTGCTGCTGCTGCTGCTGCTGCTCCTGCTCCTGCTCCTGCTCCTGCTCCTGCTCCTGCTCCTGCTCCTGCTCCTGCTGCTGCTGCGCCTGCTCCTGCTGCTGCTGCTGTTACTGCTGCTCCTGCTGCTCCTGCTGCTACTGCTGCTGCGGCTGCTACTGCTGCTGCTCCTGTTGCTGATGCTGTTGCTCCTGTTGCTGATGCTGCTGCTCCTATTGCTGCTGCTCCTGCTGTTGCTCCTGCTGCTGCTGCTCCTGCTGTTGCTCCTCCTGCTGCTGCTCCTGCTGTTGCTCCTGCTCCTGCTCCTGCTCCTGCTGCTGCTGCTGCTCCTACTGATGCTGCTGCTATTGGTGGGGATGCGCCAATGAATGCTGGATCTAGCAAAGGTGGTGTAATCAACGGCTGTGATTCAAGCGTTGGTGGCTCTACCGGTACTGCTTGTGGTGGTGGCTGGGAGGCGGCTGGTGGTGGTTGGGAGGCGGCTGGAGGTGGTTGGGAGGCGGCTGGAGGTGGTTGGGAGGCGGCTGGTGGTGGTTGGGAGGCGGCTGGTGGTGGTTGGGAGGCGGCTGGTGGTGGTTGGGAGGCGGCTGGTGGTGGTTGGGAGGCGGCTGGTGGTGGCAGCTGTGAACCTGCTGCTGATGGCAACACTGATGCTTCCAGGTATGTGATAAAAGAAGTGTTTTCATACGTCTCAAAACACTGATGCTTCCAGGTATGTAATAAAAGAAGTGTTTTGAGACGTCTCAAAACAATGGTGCTTCCAGGTATGTGATAAAAGAAGTGTTTTCAGACGTCTCAAAACACTGATGCTTCCAGGTATGTAATAAAAGAAGTATTTTGAGACGTCTCAAAACACTGATGCTTCCAGGTATGTAATAAAATAAGTGTTTTGAGACGTCTCGAAACACTGGTGCTTCCATGTATGTAATACAAGAAGTGTTTTGAGACGTCTCAAAACACTGGTGCTTCCAGGTATGTATTAAAAGAAGTCTTTTGAGTCATCTCAAAACACTGGTGTTCCCACGTATGTAATAAAAGAAGTGTTTTGAGACGTCTCGAAACACTGGTGCTTCCAGGTATGTAATAAAAGAAGTGTTTTGAGACGTCTCAAAACACTGGTGTTCCCACGTATGTAATAAAACCAGTGTTTTGGGACGTTTCAAAACACTGGTGCTTTCAGGTATATAATAAAAGAAGTGTTTTGAGACGTCTCAAAACACTGCTGTTCCCACGTATGTAATAAAAGAAGTGCTTTGAGACGTCTCGAAACACTGGTGCTTCCATGTATGTAATACAAGAAGTGTTTTGAGACGTCTCAAAACACTGGTGCTTCCAGGTATGTATTAAAAGAAGTCTTTTGAGACGTCTCAAAACACTGGTGTTCCCACGTATGTAATAAAAGAAGTGTTTTGAGATGTCTCGAAACCTGGTGCTTCCAGGTATGTAATAAAAGAAGTGTTTTGAGACGTCTCAAAACACTGGTGTTCCCACGTATGTAATAAAAGAAGGGTTTTGAGACGTCTCGAAACACTGGTGCTTCCAGGTATGTAATAAAAGAAGTGTTTTGAGACGTCTCAAAACACTGGTGCTTCCAGGCATGTAATAAAAGAAGTGTTTTGAGACGTCTCAAAACACTGGTGTTCCCACGTATGTAATAAAAGAAGTGTTTTGAGACGTCTCAAAACACTGGTGTTCCCACGTATGTAATAAAAGAAAGTGTGTTCCCACGTATGTAATAAAAGAAAGTGTTTAGAGACGTATCAAAACACTTGTGTTTCCACGTATGTAATAAAAAAAATGTTTTGAGACGTCTCGAAACACTGGTGCTCTCAGTTATGTACCTTCTCATTACATTCATTGGCTAATCGACCAAGCAGTGAGATTAATGCTGTTCCGGTTACTAATACTATTATCTCTTTTATTTTCAGGTTTCTAGGTGACGGCCATTGCATGGATTGTGTGGTCAAAGCAGGTCACGGGTCTACGGTGGTGCGGGTTGAAGGTAAAGCAATGCCCTCGAAAAGGGCGGCAAAACAATGGACAGCAGCAGCAGTGTTACGAGCCCTAGCCGCCAAAGAGTGGCACGCCAATGCCAAGTAGCTTTTGTAAATATCAGTTTGTGGTGGTATATTATGGTAGTGAGGCTGGGGATGGGATTTATGCAGATCTGTAAGGTGGCATACGAAACGGCATGGACAATCTTACTCGATGATGGTGCATCCTGAAGTGTATCTTCATGCACACACGATGGGGGGAGTGATAGGGTTGAAAATGAGGAAAAAGGGACTCTGTAGAACAGAGATTGAGGTTGAGGAGGAAGGGATGTTGCCTGTGGGGATTGTTTACGAGGCAACATGATAGTACGTCGGTTGCGTGATGATTTGGTGAAACGAAAGAGTCCATGTGTGCCAGGCATACCGATTTGGAGTTAAGTTCACCATGTCTTTCCGTGTACTTCATGCAAGATTTCTATACTTATTGATCAGTTTTGAGGATAAAATGGCGTTACTCTGTAGGCTGTGCGGCCACTGATCCTGATCATGAATCGCTCCAAATGCCAACCTCGAGATTTCCGTCACCCTCAGGACGCATTTCTCAGCCACCTCCTATCCTACTGCGCTTTCAACCATTTATCACTGCTTCCAGGAAGCATTTTTTTACCGCGAAACACGAATCCGTGCTCCACCTCTGTCGTCGTCGTCCGCCGCTCTCCGAGAGTGGAGATTCTGCAGCGGAAAAGAGTACGCGCGATTTGATAGGCAGTTAAATGAGGCCACATGGCTGTAAGCCCACGCTAACCTACAAAAGGCTACAGGGAGCCGACTGGGATTTCAAGAGTCGCGCATCTGATTAGACCGAGCAAAAGTTTTCTTTCATTCGGCAGAGTGCAGTTCAGTAATTAGCTGATACTTCCTAAAGTTCTATATTGCTACATTGTCATTTTGCAAGGGATTTCTAAGCTGATTCACGCTGTCGTTGCTAAGAATTTTGTCTTTATATGGCGGACTCTGCAACACCTGCTGCCATGTCAGCACCAGTACACATTCCAGCAGCAGCAGCAGCAGCAGCGATAAATGAACCGTCAGCAGCAGTCAGACCTACCATCGCAGCATGTCCCAAAGTCGGTCCTTTCCATGCCTACTCTCTCCGTTTCTTCTCCTCCTCCTCGAGCTCCAGTAGTGGAGAAGCTTATAACGGGACGCGCAGCACAGAGTGCTTTTCCGGGTTCATGCTGCTGACGTCGCCTGCCATTGGCCCGCTGGATGCTGACGTGGCACACATGGAAGTACCACTTTGCTCGAAGTACTTTGGAAACTGGCCTGCTGCTACAGACGCAGCTCCTCCTGCTACAGTCTCGGGACCCCCTGCTACAGCTTCGGGACCCGCTGCTACAGCTTCGGGACCCGCTGCTACAGCTTCGGGACCCCCTGCTACAGCTTCAGAATTCCCTGCTAAAGATTTGGGACCTGCTGCTACAGATGTGGGAGTAGCTGCTGGTGGTGCTGCCTCTGCCGGCGCCTCACCAGGGTTACCCCACCGCTCTTCTTCATCGCAACCCCCTTCAGATGCTTCGGGATCCGTCCGACTCTCTCCTCTTGGAGCCCTCGCTTTCTCGCCTCAGCAGGTCAGTCGCGCTCAGACCATCCAGGCGGTTCAGGCGGTTCAGGTGGTTCAGGTGGTTCAAGTGGTTCAGGTGGTTCAAGTGGTTCAGGTGGTTCAGATGGTTCAGGTTCAAGTTCAGGTTCAGCTCATGCAGGTGTCAGAACTCGTCAGCTCTGCACCCACATGCACCCCTCATTCTTCCCCCTTTCACCCGTCTCCCCCTTCTCCGCCTTCTCCGCCTTCGAATGATCTTCAGCTGAGCAGCGCCATGTGCTACCACATGCGCCTGTTCGGCATGGCGTTGGATCGATGGGACCTCATGCACCATGCTCCCACCCTCGCCCAAGCTGCTGCTGCAGCTGAATCTGCTGCGGCAGCACCAGCTGTTGACACAATTGCGGCCGATACTGCTGCGGGTGAGGCACTCATACACATCAGCACCGCTGTGCGCCCCTTTGGAGCCTTCTGGACCGCATCCCACTACTGCCTCGTGCTGCCCTGCTTGGTGGGGGTAGGAGGAGGGGAAGAAAGAGGCAGAGGGACCGCTGCAGACTTGCGAGAGGCTGAGGGGAGAGGGAAGGAAGCGAGAGGGACGAATCCCTGCTTGGTGGGGGGAGGAGGAGGGAACGAAAGAGGCAGAGGGACCGCTGCAGACTTGCGAGAGGCTGAGGGGAGAGGGAAGGAAGCGAGAGGGACGAATCCCTGCTTGGTGGGGGGAGGAGGAGGGAACGAAAGAGGCAGAGGGACCGCTGCAGACTTGCGAGAGGCTGAGGGGAGAGGGAAGGAAGCGAGAGGGACGAATCCCTGCTTGGTGGGGGTAGGAGGAGGGAACGAAAGAGGCAGAGGGACCGCTGCTGCAGACTGGCATGAGGCTGATGGGAAAGGGCAGGAAGGGAGAGGGACGAATCGCTGCTTGGTGGGGGGAGGAGGAGGGAACGAAAGAGGCAGAGGGACCGCTGCAGACTTGCATGCGGCTGTTGGGAGAGGGCAGGAAGGGGAAGGGGTGGATACAGGGAAGCATGGGGGAGGGGAGGAAGGTATAGAGGCGAATGCAGGCAGGGAAGGCGAAGGGGTGGACGCAGGGGAGCATGGGGGAGGGGATGATGGCATGATGCGCATGTTAATGGGGAGGATTGACTGGGAGATTGTGAAGAGGGTGGTGTCTCTGGGTCCGGGAGGCAGTAGTGCGGTTTTGAAACACCGTGCTCATCGTGATGCTTATCATGATGCTCGCCGTGCTGCTCGTCGTGCTGCTCGCCGTGCTGCTCGCCGTGCTTCTCGTGCTGCTCGTCGTGCTGCTCGTCATGCTGCTCGTGCTAGTGGTGGTGCTGATGCTGCTTCTGATGCTGCTGCTGATGGTGGTGCTGATGCTGTTGTTGCTGCTGATAGTGGTGATGCTGCTGCTGCTGCTGATGGTGCTGATGCTGCTGCTGGTGGTGGTGGTGGTGATGCTGCTGCTGCTGATACTAATGCTGCTGCTGCTTATACCAATGGTGCGGCTGCTAATGCGAATGCTGCTGCTGCTGATGCGAATGTTGCTGCTGCGGATACCAATGGTGTTCTTGATGGTGGTGGTGCTGCTGTTGCTGATACTAATGCTGCTGCTGCTGCTGCTGCTGCTGATACCAATGTTGCTGCTGCTGCTGATGCTAATGCTGCTGCGGCTGCTGATACCACTGCTGCTGCTGATGATCCAAACACCAGCGGCAGCAGGACCAGTCACAATGCCTCTGGTAGCCCTACCACGCCTCTGCTCGTGTCTGCTCGTGGGCCTGTGACACAGCACGAGCTGCACGGCATGGTGGCATGTGCGGATGCTGCTGTTCCAACCAACGCCCCTGTTACTGCTGCTACCACACCTCTGCTCGTGCCTCCTCATGCCCCTGCCAGCACGCCTCTGCTCATAACTGCGCGTGGGCCAGTGAAAGAGCATGAGCTGCATGGCATGGTGGCATGTGCGATGCATTCGCGTCTGGTGTTCCAGCTAATGGGGAGGGACCCCCAGGGGCGGACAGCACGCAGTGAGTTTGTGGGGCCGCAAGGAGGCACGTTTCAACAGTACTTCCAGAATCTGTGAGTGCCATTTTCCCCTCTCGTTGCCATGTGAGCGTTGCATGGGTGAGGGAGGGACTGGGGGGTGCATTCGCGTCTGGTGTACCAGCTAAAGGGGAGGGACCCCCAGGGGCGAACAGCACGCAGTGCGGCACTCGTGGGCCTGTGAAAGAGCACGGGCTGCATGGCATGGTGGCATGTGCGGTGCATTCCCGTCTGCTGTACCAGTTGTTGGGGAGGGACGCTGAGGGGAGAACAGCACGGCGCGAGTTCGTGTGGCTGGATGGAGTCACTTTCCAACAGTACTTCCAGAGCCAGTGAGTGCCGTACTCCCCTCTGGTGGCGAGATTTTAGTGGCATGGTGGGATACGCAGGTGAGGGGAGATCAGCACGGAGTGAGTTTGTGTGGCTGGATGGAGGAAATTCTGACAGTACTTCCAGAACCAGTGAGTGCCGTGCGTGCGGTGAATGCATGATGGGGCTTGGGCATGTGGGTGAGAGACTGGGGGCTGCATTCGCGTCTGGTGGGGAGGGACCCTGAGGGGCGAACAGCACGCAGTGAGTTCGTGTGGCTGGATGGAGTCACTTTCCGACAGTACTTCCAGAACCAGTGAGTGCAATTGTGTTGCCCTCTGGGTGCATGCATGCACGCATGCACGCCCCTCTTGCACAGCCAGTGATTGCATCTAGGTGCGGCATATCTCTGCAACTGCAATACCCCGACCAGCCTCTGTTCGCTGCGTGCCAGTCAGCTGAAGCCAGAGCCAGGGGCTGCTGCTGCTGCTGCACGCACCGCCAAACACCCACACTCTACACCCTTTCACTTATGCGGCCATAATAACCCTGACACACCCATAACCCTGACACACCCATAACCCTGACACACCCATAACCCTGACATACCCATAACCCTGACACACCCATAACCCTGACACACCCATAACCCTGACACACCCATAACCCTGACATACCCATAACCCTGACACACCCATAACCCTGACACACCCATAACCCTGACACCCCCATAACCCTGACACACTCATAACCCCTGACACCCCTACACCCCCTCTCCAGGTACGGCATATCGCTGCAACATCCCGATCATTCCCAAACCCTGACCCTTTCACCCCTAACAGCCCTACCCCCATACCCCTGCATCCCTACCCCTCTACCCTTTTGCACCCCTAACACCCTCTCAGGTACGGCATATCGCTGAGGTACCCCGACCAGCCTCTGTTCGCTGCGTGCCAGTTGAAGCCAGAGCTGCGCAACGCACTGCTGCTGCTGCACACACTGCCAAACCCTTACACCCCATGCACCCCTGACCCTGTCACACCCCTACCCGCCTCTCAGGTACGGCATATCGCTGCGCCATCCCGACCAGCCTCTGTTCGCTGCGTGCCAGCTGAAACCAGAGCTGTGCAATGCGCTGCTGCTGCTGCAGCAGGCACCTCCAGAATGTAAGCCGCACTGCAGGCACGCTCAGTCTTGGAATTATATTTTCCTTGCTTACTCAATCCCTACTAGCCTAAGCTCAGATTAGAGGAGATTAGAACGAGTTAGATCTGCTGGATCTGGGTCGAAACTACTTTTCTATGCTGCAGGCACCACCAGTTGACTTTTGAGTCGACTCAAAAGTCAACTTGCTGCAGGCACCACCAGTTGACTTTTGAGTCGACTCAAAAGTCAACTTGCTGCAGGCACCACCAGAGTGTAATCCGCACTGCGATCCTCGTTCATTGGTCGGTACATGTGTATCGATATCGTATCTGCACCAGTCCGCTTGTCTGTTCTGTTCTTGTCTGTGCTCTCATGTCTGTGCTCTCATGTCGTCTGTTCAAGATCAGACGAGCAGGGGTACCTAGGTACCATTCCCTGCTTCCCTTTTTGAGTCGACTCAAAACACGACTCTTTTCACGCAGACGAGCAGGGGTATCTTGGTACCATTCCATGCTTCGTTTCATATGCATGCCTTCAAGCCATCCCCTTCCTCGCCCATCTCCCTTCCATCTCCTCACCCTCTTCCCCCTTCCATCCTCCATTCCCCTCCACCACCCCTGCATCGCCCTCTCTCAGGGGACACTCAGGGGACACTTAGGACAGGCAAACAGGGCCGTCCCATAGTGTAGACATGAGCACAAGGGCGAACACCTGTTCGGTTCGCCTCGAACTGCTTAAAGTGTTCGCCAAACAGTGTTCGAGGTTCGCCCGAACACGTTCGTGTTCGGGCCGCTGCTGCAATTTGCCCGGCGACGAACACGAACGTGTTCGAGGTTCGCCCGAACACGCCTTCACAGGCGAACGGCGAACACCTGTTTTTGCTTAAAGTGTTCGCCGAACCGAACAGTGTTCGGTTCGGCAAACGGATGTGTTCGTGTAGGGGCGAACACGAACATGTTCGTGTTCGCCCCTTGCTCATCCCTACCATAGTGTTTTATTCCGGGAAACTCAAACGAAACCCCCCACTCATCTTCCTTCATTTCCCCCCACCTCAGTGGACACTTTAGATCTCGTCAACAGAGCTGTCCAATTAGGGCGAGAGGAGCAGATGCCTGTACCTGCTGGCGCTACAGTGGGGACGGCTGCAGCAGACACGGCTGGAGCTGAGAAGGCTGGATCAGTGAAGGCTGTAGCAGACACAGCTATAGTAGACAAGGTTTTGACAGATGAGGCTGTAGCAGACACAGCTGTAGCAGAAACAGCAGCTTTAGCAGACCAGGCTGCAGCGAAACGGGAGCAGCGCAAGCAGCAGGAGCAAGGCACGAAGCAGCAGGGCAAGGAGAAGGGCAGTTGGAGACAGACGTCATACCTCCCTTTGGAGCTACTAGTGCCGGTGCTGCCCGTGCAGCATGTCCTCTTTGCGTCGCTGCTCCCCTCGCTGCTCTCCCGCCTTGATTGCCTGCTCACTGCCCGGGATATCCGGCGGTTCATTGTGAGGCAGTATGGGTGTGAGCGGCAGGGGCAGCAGGCACCGCGTTTTCCTGCTATTGATGTGAGTCACTCTCATGCACTGCACTGCACTGCACTGCACAGCACGTGCTCTTTGCCTCGCTGCTCCCCTCTCTGCTCTCCCGCCTTGACTGCCTGCTCACTGCCCGGGATATCCGGCGGTTCATTGTGAGGCAGTATGGGTGTGAGCGGCAGGGGCAGCAGGCACCGCGTTTTCCTGCTATTGATGTGAGTCACTCTCATGCACTGCACTGCACTGCACTGCACTGCACTGCACTGCACTGCACTGCACTGCACTGCACAGCACGTGCTCTTTGCCTCGCTGCTCCCCTCGCTGCTCTCCCGCCTTGACTGCCTGCTCACTGCCCGGGATATCCGGCGGTTCATTGTGAGGCAGTATGGGTGTGAGCGGCAGGGGCAGCAGGCACCGCGTTTTCCTGCTATTGATGTGAGTCACTCTCATGCACTGCACTGCACTGCACTGCACTGCACTGCACAGCACGTGCTCTTTGCCTCGCTGCTCCCCTCTCTGCTCTCCCGCCTTGACTGCCTGCTCACTGCCCGGGATATCCGGCGGTTCATTGTGAGGCAGTATGGGTGTGAGCGGCAGGGGCAGCAGGCACCGCGTTTTCCTGCTATTGATGTGAGTCACTCTCATGCACTGCACTGCACTGCACTGCACTGCACTGCACTGCACTGCACTGCACAGCACGTGCTCTTTGCCTCGCTGCTCCCCTCTCTGCTCTCCCGCCTTGACTGCCTGCTCACTGCCCGGGACATCCGGCGGTTCCTTGTGAGGCAGTACGGGTGTGAGCGCCAGGGGGCTTGTTAAGGGAATTGCGAGGCGACTAGTGAGGCGAATTGCGGGAGGGGCAGCGCTGGTGGGGGAAGATTGCTGGGGCAAAGGTGTGGCAGTGAATGCAGGGAAGAAGGGCAGCAGCAGCAGCAGCAGCAGCAGCAGCAGCAGGAACCCCATTTTCCTTCTATTGATGTGAGTCACACCACTGCACTGCAATGCACTGCGCTGCACTGCATTACACCGCACTGCATTGCACTGCATCTGCATGTACCGCCAGACCTGTTGATTACTCTCTCTTGTGCTGTCCCCTCTCCAATGCGTGAAGGCTGTGGTTGAGTGACTCTGTTTTCTTTAATTTCTCGAAAAACAGATTCACCTTTTCAACACCTGCTCAGTGCTGTTTAACACCTTTTCAACACCTTTTTAACACTTGTTAACACCTTTTTAACACCTTTTCAACACCTTTTTAGCACCTTTTTAGCACCTTTTTAGCACCTTTTTAGCACCTTTTTGCACCTTTTTATCACCTTTTTAGCACCTTTTTAGGGTGAATCTGCTGGACCATAACCATTACGCGCCAAACAAACGCCCCTATCCATGCACTCACGAATGCCCCACCCTCCTCTTCACTCCCCCACCCCGCCCCCCATTTCGTGCTACCCCCCTGTCAGCTCCTGCGCCCCCTGACATGCCCCGGCGCAACAAAGAGTAGCATTGGCACTCTCCATTGGTCGTGTTTTGAGTCGACTCAAAACACGACAAAGAGTAGCATTGGCACCCTTCATTGGTATCAGAGCAATGAAGAGTGCACTTGCATTGGCACCAGTGGCAGCTGCGTGCAGCTCACTCACTGTTTCCTTCCCTTCTTGCGCCTCACCTACCCCTATCCACCCACCAACACATCCCCTCGTTCCTTTCCCCTGCACTTATGAGCTGCGTGCGCTCATCTGCCCAGGCACAAACGAGAGCGGCGTGCGTGGGGAGGGGACATACGAGTCGGACGAGGTGCCTGGTGGCAGCTGCGTGCTGCTCATGCTCACACCCTCTCGACTCTCCCCCTCCCCTCCCTGCCTTCTGCTCTTGCGGGCCTCGACATGCCCCGACACAACAGCGAGCGGCGTGGGGACATACGAGTCGGACGAGGTGCTGGGTGACAGCTGCGTGCAGCTCACCTCCTCCCGCCACACCCTATTCAACTCCTTTTCCCCCTTCCCTGCATTCAGCTACTGCGTCCCTCATTTTGAGGCGCCTCGAAAATCTTTCCTGCCTGGAGCTCCTGCGTGCCCTCACCTCCCCGGGAACCACGGAGAGCGGTGTTGTTGGCACGTACGACGAGAGCGACGAAGTGCTTGGTGGGTGACAGGCAGCTGCATGTTCCCTCCCCTCCCTATTCACCCACCAACACCCGCCTCCCTCCCTGCCTCCCCTCCTCCCTCAGCTCCTGCGTGGCCTCACCGGCCCCGGCAACACGGAGAGCGACGAGGTGCTTGGTGACAGCTGCGTGCAGCTCGCCACTCCCTCCAAAGGCTATCCACCAACACCCCACCCTCTCTCCCATCCTCCCTCAGCTGCTGCGCGCCCTGACATGCCCCGGCACCATGGAGAGCGGCGTGGGGACATACGAGAGCGACGTGGTGCTTGGTGACAGCTGCGTGCTGCTCGGCTTTTCCTTCCATTCTTGCGCCTCAACTGTCCTTCTCCACCCACCAACACCCCACCCCCTTCCCCGTTTCCCCCTCAGCTCCTGCGCGCCCTCTTCGGCCCCGGCACAAACGAGAGCAGCGTGGGCACATACGAGAGCGACGAGGTGCTTGGTGATAGCTGCGTGCAGCTCACCTCCTCCTGCCACCTGTTCGCTGCTGCTGGCTTGCCATGCCAGCCGCAGCATGACGGCCAGGGGCAAGGGCATGGGCATGGGCATGGGCATGGGCAAGGGCATGGGCATGGGCATGGGCAAGGGCATGGGCAAGGGCATGGGCATGGGCATGGGCATGGGCATGGGCATGGGCATGGGCATGGGCATGGGCATGGGCATGGGCATGGGCATGGGCAAGGGCATGGGCATGGGCATGGGCATGGGCATGGGCATGGGCATGGGCATGGGCATGGGCATGGGCATGGGCATGGGCAAGGGCATGGGCATGGGCATGGGCAAGGGCATGGGCATGGGCATGGGCAAGGGCATGGGCATGGGCATGGGCATGGGCATGGGCATGGGCATGGGCATGGGCATGGGCATGGGCATGGGCAGAGGAATGAGAGTAATTCACACAATGAAGGCAATGACTCCCCGTGTGACTACCAGCCGTCCATGTCCCAGCCGACTGGTGATGACATGAAGGGGGAGTGCACGCGCCTGGTATGCAACAAGCACCTGGCAGCGCTGGCACTTAAAGCCGGTGTTCTACCCTTCGTTCGCCACAAGCCCTTCAGACCCTCTGATTGGTTCGGCCCTCTTGTCCCCCCCTCCCACGTTGTGTTGCTTCTGGCTGACTCCCTCTCACACGCTCTCTCACGCTCCTCTCCACACTCCCACTCAAGCAGTGGCGCCTCCTCCTCCTGCAAGTCACTTTCCAGATACGTTTGAGTCGACTCAAAAGTCTGCTGTTTCCCTCTCTCGCACTCTCACACCATCCCCCTCACACTCCCAGCCACAAGCAGCCGCACCTCTTGCATCTCCCACCCCAGATACTGCGACTTCCCAGAACCTTCCTCCTAGTGCCAAAGCCCTGTTGGGCTCTGCGTTCGCCTCGCTCGCAGCCTCGCAGGCAGCAGCCGCCGCCAAGTCAGCGCGCCAGCTGCCCAAGAAGACGCTCGCTGACGTGGCAGAGGCGCTGGTGGGCGCCAGCTGGCGCTGCGGTGGCGCTGACATGGCGCTGCCGGTGCTGAGGTGACTGGGCCTTCCTACGGAGGGTGTGGGGGAGCTGCTGAGGGGAGAGATAGGGTGGGGAGGGGGAGGTGCGGAGAGGGTGGAGGAGGGAGGCTTAGATGGGGTGCAGAAACGAGGAGGGGTGCCGAGAGCTGCTGCTGATTCAGATGTGGCACTAGGAGCGAAAGCAGCAGCAGCAGCAGCAGCAGCAGTGGCAGCAATAGGGGCAGCACCAGGGAAACCTGGGCGAAGGGTGAGTGGCAAGAAGCACGCATTGGAGCCAGCTAGAGGGCCGTCCCTGCTGCCGCTTCAGCCGCCGCCAGAGAAGCGACTGAAGCTGCTAGAAAAGGAATGCGTACACCTGCAGCAGCAGCAGCAGCAGCCGTCTCAAAAAGCTGGTTGGCTGTGGGAGCTTCAGAATGCGATGGGGTATCAGTTCCAACATGAGGGGATTCTGAGGGAGGCGATACGGGAGGAGGAGTTGACGTGGGAGAGGCGGTTTGTGTTCCTGGGGGAAGCTGTGTTGGACTTTCTAGTCATGCACCACATGGTGCGAGCAACATCTGGAGCACCACATGGTTCTCCTGCCACGTCATCGCATGCCACGTCATCGCATACCACGTCAGCGCATGCCACGTCATCGCATGCCGCCACGTCATCGCTCGCCGCCCGGCCGTCCCCGCACCAGCTGACTTACCTGCGCAAGGCGGTGATTTTCTCGGAGCGGTTCTGCCAGCTGGCGGCGCCCCGTGGGCTGCTGCGATTGGTGCACCAGATACAGCGCCACGTGGCAAAGGCTGCTGCTGATGCAGCTGACTCGGTGCATGTGGCTGCGGGGGATATGGGCAATGAGCAAGACGATGATGATGGACAGACGCCATTCCCCAAGGTAATGCTGTTACAGCCGGCGAAATGCGAGAGAGGTGAGGACGTGGGGAGAAAGGTGAGGACGTGGGGAGAAAGGTGAGGACGTGGGGAGAAAGGTGAGGACGTGGGGAGATGGGACGTGGGCAATGAGCAAGATTATGATTATGCACGGACGCCATTCCCCAAGGTAACATTTAGTAACCATGTAACCATCTCAGCAGGCTACAACCCGTACGACGATGTAACCATGTAACCCTACAGATGGTCTGTACCCCACTGTCTGTACCACAATGTGGGTCCCACTTCCCAACCCAACCCAATCCCAACCCAATTGTGTCTCGACCTTCTCGATGTGCTTCATCTGAGCGGACAGGCGTACCCCATACCCCACATACATTCTTTTGAGTCGACTCAAACGTCAACTCGGCTGCCCAATCCCAACCCAATTGTGTCTCGGCCTTCTCGATGCAATTGGCGTACCCACATGCAAAGATCTGAGCGGACAGGCGTACCCCAGAACCCACAATGTGGGTCCCACATACATTTCTCTCCTCGACATTACTTCGACATTCCACAAACAACACTGCTGACAATCCCCCTCCTCTCTCCCCTCCTCTCTCCCCTCCTCTTTCCCCTCCTCTCTCCGCTCCTCTTTCCCCTCCTCTCTCCCCTCCTCTTTCCCCTCCTCTCTCCCCTCCTCTTTCCCCTCCTCTCTCCCCTCCTCTTTCCCCTCCTCTCTCCGTTCCCCTCTCTCCTCCTCCCTCCCCTCCTCTCTCCCCTCCTCTCTCCCTTCCTCTCTCCCCTCCTCTCCCCCCTCCTCTCCCCCCTCCTCTCCCCCCTCCTCTCCCCCCTCCTCTCCGCCCCCCTATCCCCCCTCCTCTCCCCCCCCCCCTCTCCCCCCTCCTCTCCCCCCTCCTCTCCCCCCTCCTTCCTTCCCTCCGTTCCCCATCACCACGTCTCTGCTCTCATCAAGGCCCTCACAGCAACAGTCCTCACCTCACTCCCTCGTTCTTTATATCTTTCTTCACCCATACTTTTATCTCTCCAATTTCCTCTCTCCCTTCTCCCTGTCTTTCTCCCCATCAGGACGTCTCTACTCTCATCAAGGCTCTCACAGCAACACTCCTCACTCCCTCCCTCTTTCCGTATATCTGCCTTCATCCATACTTCTTGCTCCCTCTCCCCTCCTCGACCCTCCCCATCAGGACGCCTCTGATCTAATAAAGGCCCTCACAGCAGCAGTCCTCACCTCACTCCCTCGTTCCGTATATCTTTCTTCATCCATACTCTTATCTCTCCGCTTTCCTCTCTTCCTTCTCCCTTCTCCCTTCTCCCTTCCTTTCTCCCCATCAGGACGTCTCTGATCTAATCAAGGCCCTCACAGCAGCAGTTTTCCTCGATTCCAATCCTCCAAACACCGCTCCCACCGCACTCAACCCCCACGCACCTAGCCATCCCCCATGCCCTCTCACCCGCACGTGGCAAGTGGTATCGTCTTGGCTCTGCCCCATTCCCCTGCTGCATCCTCTCTCCCTCCACCCCCCCTCCGCCCTACTCCTCTTCTGCTGCGCTCTCTCCCTCTCCGCCCCCATTTACCTGCCCAAGGCGCAGGGGAGTGGGGTGCCGGGGGAGCATTGGGGGGGCCAGCAGGGGGAGGAGTGTGGGGGAGAGTGGGGGAAAGGGGTGGAAACGGAAGGAGAAGGGTATGGGGCGTGGAAGACCGAGGAGGGAGGGGAAAGGAACAGGGGTATGGTGTGTGGAAGGGACGTGAAAGGTGGAGGAGGGGAGGATGGGGAGGACGGAGCGGAAAATGGGCTGTGTGAGAAGGGTTTGGGGGGAAGAGGAGGGGAAGGGGAGGAGGGGGTGGTGATGGAAGTGGAGGTGAAAGGGTTGGTGGTGGGGGAGGGGTGGGGGATGGATGATGTTGCGGCAACAATTGAAGCAGCTGCTGGCGTGCTGAGAAGAGCCCAGGTGAGTGTGATGTGATTCACAGATGTGAGTGTGAGAATGTGAGGGGGGGGGAGAGGGGTGGTGCTGGGGGAGGGGTGGGGGGTGGATGATGTTGCAGCAACAGTGGAGGCAGCTGCTGGCGTGCTGAGGAGAGCCAAGGTGAGTGTAATGTGATGCACAGATGTGAGTGTGCTGCACAGATGTGAGTGTGAGAATGTGAGGGGGGGGGTGCTGGGAGAGGGTTGGGGGTGGATGACGTGGCAGCAAAGGTGGAGGCAGCGTCTGGCATGCTAAGGAGGGCCAAGGTGAGTGTGATGAGCATATGTGACTGTAATGAACATATGTGACTGTAACGAACGTATGTGACTGTAACGAACGTATGTGACTGTAACGAACATATGTGACTGTAATGAACAGATGTGACTGTAATGAACATATGTGATAACGAACATATGTGACCGTAACGAACATATGTGACCGTAACGAACATATGTGACTGTAACAAACATATGTGACTGTAACGAACATATGTGAATGTAATGAACATATGTGACTGTAATGAACATATGTGACTGTAATGAACATATGTGACTGTAATGGTGTACATCTCACGAGGTAAGTCTTCCTGTTTCCTCGCCTCCTCCTCGCCTCCCCCTCAGACTGTGCAGGGCTTGTACCAGGAGGGGGAGGGAGTGTTGCCCTCAGCTTACCATCTTCCCTCTCCCTCCTCCTCGCCTCCTCCTCAGACTGTGCAGGGCTTTCGGCAGCTGTACCAGGAGGGGGAGGGAATGCTCGTGCTGGGGGGAATGAGGGCCGCATGGGAGACGCAGGAAGAGAAAGCCGGGGCGGGAGAGGAGGAGGGAGGAAAGGAGGGTGAAGTGGGGAAGGAGGCAGGAGGGGGAGAAGGTGTAGCAGGGATGGAGGGCGTTCGGCCTGAGAGTAGCTTGAAAACAGGAGAGAATAATGACTGTAATGGTGGGCAGAAGAAGGCAGGAGGAAAGAAGAGGAAGCGTGGAAAGTCTGGAAAGGGGGTGGCAGCATCAGAGTCTGGAGCAGGAGCAGTGGAAGGGGAGTCTACGATAGGTTCGGCCGCTCCGGACGCCCTGGGTGGGTTCCGAGGCTGTGAGCCAGGTCCGGCGGTTATAACTACCCTGCGTAATTTGTGCCAGGCGCGGCGATGGACGGTAGTGTACAGTGAGAGAATAATATCTCCAACTTCAAGGAACACGTCGGCTGTGGTCTGGAATGGATGCGCACAAGGTGGGGCTTTTGAGACGTCTCAAAAGTCTTCAAGGAGCAAGTCTGCTGTAGTTTGGATTGGATCCGCCCAAGGTGGGTCTACTGTTGGCTGCGCCTCTGCTTCGCCTGCAGCGGATGCTGCTGCTGCTGCTGCTGCTCCCGCTGCTGCTGATGCTCCTGCTTCTCCTGCTGCTCCTACTACTGCTGCTGCGCCTGCAGCACCTGCTGCTGCTGCTGCTGCTGCTGCTGCTGCTGCTGCTGCTGCTGCTGCTGCTGCTGCTGCGGCTGCTGCTGCTGCTGCTGCTGCTGCTCCTGCTGCTGCTCCTGCTGCTGCTGCTGCTTCTGCTGCTGCTGCTCCTGCTGCTGCTCCTGCTGCTCCTGTTGTTGCTCCTGCTACTGCTGCTGCTGCTCCTCCTGCTGCCGCTGCTCCTGATGTTGCTCCTGCTGCTGCTGCTGCTGTTCCTGCTGCTGCTGCTCCTGCTGCTGTTCCTGCTGCTGCTGCTCCTGCTGCTGCTGTTCCTGCTGCTGCTGCTCCTGCTGCTGCTGCTCCTGCTGCTGTTGGTGGGGATGTGCCAATGAATGCTGGATCTAGCAATGGTGGTGTAATCAACGGTGGTGATTCAAGCGTTGGCTCTACCGGTGCTGCTTGTGGTGGTGGTTGGGAGGCGGCTGGTGGTGGTTGGGGGGCGGCTAGTGGTGGTTGGGAGGCGGCTGGTGGTGGTTGGGAGGCGGCTGGTGGTGGTTGGGAGGCGGCTGGTGGTGCCAGCTGTGAACCTGCTGGTGGCAACACTGGTGCTCCCAGGTATGTAATAAAAGAAGTGTTTGAGACGTCTCAAAAGGCTGGTGCTCCCAGGTATGTAACTTCTCATTACATTCATTGACTAATCCACCAAGCAGTGAGATTAATGATGTTCCGATTACTCATACCATCTCTTTTATTTTCAGGTTTCTAGGTGACGGCCATTGCATGGATTGTGTGGTTAAAGCATCTGACGGATCTACGGTGGTGCGGGTTGAAGGTAAAGCAATGCCCTCGAAAAAGACGGCGAAGCAATGGACAGCAGCAGCAGTTTTACGAGCCCTAGCCGCCAAAGAGTGGCCCGCCAGTGCCTAGTAACTTTTGTTAATATCATATGTACATATGTCGAAAGGGGTTGTCTTTTCTCTCGCGTGTGTGCGAGCGCGCGTGTGTGTGTGTCTCGAGAGTTTTCTCTTGATACGAGCAGTCAAGTGCGATCACAGGAGTGCCTCACAAAAAACCTTCATCTGGACTGAGTCATTTACTCCAGGAGAATATCGGTAAACATCCCCGCCAAACTTCATCAAGCTGTCATTCTGTATGTGTTGCTACGATATAGAGTCTGCTTATACACAATGCGAAGTGTCATGTACTGGGAGAATTTGTTGTACATCTTACAGCCTCCTGGCCTCTTATACCCACCCTCCATTTTGAGGAGTGTGTACAGCATTATGGTACCCGTGTTCTTCATATGGTATCATGGCAAGCATGGCGAAACAGAACATCAACATGTGTGTATTAGCCTTGTTCCTGACACCCCTTTGCCCACACATCCACCACGCACATCACGCCCTCCCCTGCTCGCCTTCCCCCCTCCCTCCCTCCCTCTCACACACAAGATGCAACTAATGATGCTTTAGCTCAAATACACCAGCCAAATATGGACAGCTGCACCTGAGAGTGACCACATAGTAACCAGTTGCTGTGGTTGTAACCACCATCTTTACCACAGTGCACGGTACCACCCTACCCTACCGTATGGTCACAATTACCGGAACCTATGGTGCCACCTCCTTAGGAGGTTCCTGCGGTAGCCAGCCCCACATCTCCCTATGGTGCCCCCTCGCCGTGACTTTTGAGTTGACTTTTGAGTTGACTTTTGAGTTGACTCAAAAGTCAATGCCTGCGGAGGTCCCTGTGGTAGCCAGCCCGCCCCGCATCTCCCTATGGTGCCCCCTTGCCTCCCTCCCTGTTACCAATCTGATCACCAGTCTTACTCAGGCCAAACCCCATGGGGAACAAAGGGGGGTTAGGCCAAGAGTGATCCGGCTGCAAATCCCTGACCGAACGGAACCACGGCAAGGGTAATTTACCCTTGAAATCCACCGACTCGTCAAATAACACGTCGGCGACACCCCCTCCTTCGGACCCGGGTAACCACGCCGCAATTAACGCGTCTAGATGCGATAACATGCCCGTAATATTTAACGGCCGCCCGGAAACCACCACCACAATGCACGGAATCCGCCCGCAAATCCCGAAAATTGTCGACCGGGCAGGGCCGCTCAACTCCAGCTGCTGATCATCCCCTTTATACTCGGCATAAGGCGGCTCCCCTACAACTATAATCCCAAGGTCAGCTTCTACACTCCTTGCTCGCTTCGCCCATGCTGCTGCCGCCTCCCGGGTGGCTTCGAGCGGCCTTTTCCTCGTCCCGTTCTCATAACGGTCGTCTTCAGGCGGGTAGCCGATATAGGTTAGGCTCGCCGCTCGGCCGGCAACTAGCTCTTTAATCCCTTGCCAAATAGTAGTGCCTTTGGTGATTGGTCCCTCTTCTCCTTGCCATGTGATAGTCCATCCCCCACACTGCCTCCCTATGTCGTTTGCATGGCTGCCCGCGACAACGATTCTCGCCCCGTCCACGGGCAGCGGAAACATTTTCTTCCTGCCCCGGCCCCAGACTGCCGCGTTGTAACTGCTTCCGGTCCCCCCTCTCCTCCACTTGTCCTGTAGAAGCACCAGCGAGGCCGCTACAGCTTTTCGGGCAAGTTGGCGGTGCTCCGGGCAGCCGAAAAATGGGAGGAAGCGGGAGGAGAGCGAGGAGGAAGAGGAGGAGAAGAAGGAGGAGGAGTGGCGCGCACACACCAAGTCCTTGTCAAACAGACCTAGGGAGTGTTTAAGCGAGAGAACGCGCGACACGGCCTCATCGATTCGCGACATGGGAACGCGCCCTGAGTTGACTAGAGAGGTGAGGGTGGCTGAGAAATTGGCAAAGTCGTTGGGAACCATTATCATATCGAGACCCGAGTTGACCCCTAGGGCGACCTGGTGGTAGAGAGTGGCAGGTAAAAGGAGGGAGTAACAAAGAGAGGCACACAATCAGGTTGGATGAATTGGCGAAGTCGTTGGATCATGTCGAGACCCGAGTTCATACCCAGGGCAACCTGGGTATGTTGGGAAAAAACGAGGAAAAAACAGAGAGAACTAAGAGAGAGAAATTGGCGAAGTCGTTGGGAACCATGATCATATCAAGACCCGAGTTGATCCTGAGCGCGACCTGGGAAGGAGGAAGGTGACAGGCAAAATGAGGGAGAGAAAAAGGGGAGCAATAAGGAGGGAGAGAGACGGGTAGCTTAGAAATCGACGAAATCGTTGGGAACCATGATCATATCTAGACCCGAGTTGACCCCGAGGGCAACCTGGGTATGTTGGGGAGAAAGGCGAGAGGTACAGGAGAAAAGAAAAGGAGGGAGAGGAAGGGAGAGGAAAGGGGAGGAGGAAAAGTTGAGAAGTCGTTGGGAACCATGATCATATCTAGACCCGAGTTGACCCCGAGGGCAACCTGGGGATGTTGGGGTGGGGAGAAATGAGGGAGGCAGAGATTATGGAAAGAGGAAACCAGGGAGAATCAAGAGAGAGAAATTGGTGAAATCGTGGGTTGGGAACCATGATCGTGTCGAGACGAGACCCGAGTTGACCCCCAGGGGGGTTGTTGGTTTAACGAGGGAGAGGAAAGGAGGAGAGGGGGGGGGGGGAGGCGCACGCACGCACACACACACACACACACACACACACACACACACACACACACACACATGCACGCAAAAAATAAAGAAATATAAAAGGAGCAGGAAAAGTATTTCTACCTACCTGGTCCTCGTAGCTTCCTGGAAGTTCCTTGAGCGCCTCCCAGTCAGACACCATGAGGCCTGTAAAGCCCAGCTCCTTGCGAAGCACGTCTGTTAGGAGATAGCTGGTGTTAAAGGGGTGGAGAGAGGTGGAGAGGGGTGGAGAGGGGTGGAGGTTGCCTCCCAGTCTGACACCATGAGACCCACAAAGCCCAGCTCCTTGCGAAGCACGTCCGTCAAGAGATAGCTGGAAGGGGGAGGGGGTGCAGGGGTGGAGAGGGGTGGAGAGGGGTGGAGGGTGACGAGTGGCGGGATGGAGGGTGAGAGGGTGGTGAAGCGAGTGGGGGTTCTGAGGATCTGAGTTTGCCTCCCAGTCAGACACCATGCAGCCCACATCGCCGAGCTCCCTGCCTGCGCAGCACGTCTGTCAAACACCATGAAGAGAGGGGTGGAGTGTGGAGAGAGGTGGAGAGGGGTGGAGTGTGGAGAGAGGTGGAGAGGGGTGGAGTGTGGAGAGAGGTGGAGAGGGGTGGAGTGTGGAGAGAGGTGGAGAGGGGTGGAGTGTGGAGAGAGGTGGAGAGGGGTGGAGTGTGGAGAGGGGTGGAGAGGGGTGGAGGTTGCCTCCCAGTCTGACACCATGAGACCCACAAAGCCCAGCTCCTTGCGAAGCACGTCCGTCAAGAGATAGCTGGAAGGGGGAGGGGGTGCAGGGGTGGAGAGGGGTGGAGAGGGGTGGAGGGTGACGAGTGGCGGGATGGAGGGTGAGAGGGTGGTGAAGCGAGTGGGGGTTCTGAGGATCTGAGTTTGCCTCCCAGTCAGACACCATGCAGCCCACATCGCCGAGCTCCCTGCCTGCGCAGCACGTCTGTCAAACACCATGAAGAGAGGGGTGGAGTGTGGAGAGAGGTGGAGAGGGGTGGAGTGTGGAGAGAGGTGGAGAGGGGTGGAGTGTGGAGAGAGGTGGAGAGGGGTGGAGTGTGGAGAGAGGTGGAGAGGGGTGGAGTGTGGAGAGAGGTGGAGAGGGGTGGAGTGTGGAGAGAGGTGGAGAGGGGTGGGGGTTGGTTGCCTCCCAGTCAGACACCATGCAGCCCACATCGCCGATCTCCCTCCCTGCGCAGCACATCGGTCAGGTCAAGAGATAGCTGGTGGGGGAAGGGGAGGCGGGTGTTCAAGGGGTGGAGAGAGGTGGAGAGGGGTGGGGGTTGGTTGCCTCCCAGTCAGACACCATGAAGCCCACATCGCCGAGCTCCCTGCGAGCCGAGCACATCGGTCAGGTCAAGAGATAGCTGGTGGGGAAATGGAAAGGTGGGGAAATGTAATGACGTGAAAAGGGTGGAGAGGTGGAGGGCATTTCTTAGGCGCCTCAAAAGTTCCTGATGCTGCAGCCAACTCCCATCTACCATATCAACCTCACCTCTCACCATATCATATCCCTGCTGCTGTAGCGCACCTCTCACCATATCATATCCCTGCTGCTGTAGCGCACCTCTCACCATGCCCGGCTGTAGCGCACCTCTCACCATGCCCGGCTGTAGCGCACCTCTCACCATGCCCGGCTGTAGCGCACCTCTCACCATGCCCGGCTGTAGCGCACCTCTCACCATGCCCGGCTGTAGCGCACCTGCAGACAGCAGGTCATGCTAAGATGTACCTCACTCACTTACCCATTGCCAGCTGTAGCACACTCACTCACCCATTGCCGTGCATCTTGGTGCCGCTCCAGCTGCTGTAGCTCGCCATAATGGTAGACACGCCCTCCGCTACAGCCGCCCAGAGCTACCCCAGCTGTAGCACACTCACCCATTTCCATGCATCTTGGTGCCGCTCCAGCTGCTGTAGCTCGCCATGATCGTAGACACTCCCTCTGCTACAGCCAACTGCCCTCTGACTTCGTAAGAGCCCCCACTGTAGCGGCTGTAGCGCACATGCAGCCATGCCCAGCTGTAGCGCACATGCAGCCATGCCCAGCTGTAGCGCACATGCAGTCATGCCCAGCTGTAGCGCACATGCAGCCATGCCCAGCTGTAGCTCACTCATTCACTCACTCACCCATTGCCATGCATTTTGGTGCCGTTCCAGCTGCTGTAGCTCGCCATGATGGTAGACACGCCCTCCGCTACAGCCGCCACGTACGGCAGCAGATGCACCTTCCTCAGCACCGCCTCCCCCCCTACCGTCTCCCCCCGGTCCACACCTCCCCTCGTGCCCCCATCCCCCACGTAGTGCTTTGCTGTTGGCGCCATGAAGACACTTCCTGGAAAGTTCCCAGCCTCGGAAGGCACTTTCTGAGGCAGGGAATGGGGTGGAAGGAGGAGGAGGGGGGTCTGTTTTGCTGAACTTGTTGCTTTAAGAAAAGTATGTCTTGATTCATAGAAATAATCACACGTCAAAAGAAGAGAGAGAATGGAGCGATTTTTTAGTATTCTCGAAAATCGCTCACAAGGCTGTAGGATTTTTTTTAGTATTCTCGAAAATCGCTCACAAGGGCTGAGTGAGAAGAAGAAAAAGAAGGCCTCCTGAGCCTTGTGAGAAGAAGAAAAATGCAGCAGTTTGGTGATCTCTTTTTTGCTAGTCCCCCTTCTCCTCCTCCTGCTAACCCCCCCTTACCCCTCTCTAGTTGTTCCCCTCACCATCCATCCACGTATCTCCGCTATAGCAAGCTCTGTTACAAGCCCTGGGTTCGCCCCATAGCTCTCGTAGCAGCGGCCCCAGCGGGGGTCGAGGCACACCGTGACTGCCGGGGCGAACGTCCACCGCACCCCCGTCGCTGCCACTTCCTGGAATGGGTGGGGTAGGGCGGGGTAGGGTGAGGTAGGGTGGGGTAGGGTGGGGCGGGGTAGGGTGGGGCCTGGCAGATGAGATCGTCACAATCTCTCAATTCACCTTAGCCACAGCAGCCCCAAAACACCTTAGCGACAGCTGCTCGACTCCATACAGCACCGGCACCCGCAGCCGCGTGTTGAGCGGCTTGACCCGTGCCCTTCACCCCAACTCACCTGGCTTAGAACCCTCGCCTTGACCTGCACTCTCACCTTGGCCACAGCGGCAGCAATCGCCTCTACCAGCAGCCCCCAGCCCCACGTGGTGCGGGAAGATGGTCGCTCCCTGCACGTTGTTGTGCCCGTGCACTGCATCTACCCCGTACAGCACCGGCACCCGCAGGAGGCGAGTGGTGAGCACTTTGGCCCGAGCCTTCACACATCCTCAACGCACCTTAGCCGCAGCAGCCGCTACTGCCTCTACAAGTGTTGCGTTCCCAGCAGCACCCAGCCCCACGTGGTGGGGGAAGATGGTCGCTCCTTCCACATTGTTGTGCCCATGCACCGCGTCTACTCCGTACAGCAGTGGTACCCGCAGGCGCGTGTTGAGGGCTTTCGCTTGGAAGTTATCGACCATGTCTGCCCACGCTCTGGGGGTGTTGGGGGCGTATTGGGGCCATGCGCCACCGCCACTGGCATATGACACAGCAAAACGCGGGAGGGAAAGCACGGGCAGGAGGGGAAGAATGACAAAGGGAGCAGCCGCGTGTGGAGCGCCTTGGCCGGGAAGTTGTCGACCATGTCTGCCCATGCTGTTGGGGTGCTGGGTGCGTATTGTGGCCATGCTTCTCCGCCACTGTAAAGGGGAAGAGGGAAGAAACAACATGGGAAAGGAAGCAACAGGACACAGGGAGGAGCGGAGCAGCCGCGTGGTAAGCGCCTTGGCTTGGAAGTTATCGACCATGTCTGCCCATGCTGTTGGGGTGTTGGGTGCGTACTGCGGCCATGCCCCTCCGCCACTGAGACGGGGGTAGGGTGGAAGACAAGAGCACAAGGACGAGGGAGGGGAGGAGCATGAAAGGGCAGCCGCGCCTTGGCTTGGAAGTTATCGACCATGTCTGCCCATGCTGTTGGGGTGTTGGGTGCGTACTGCGGCCATGCCCCTCCGCCACTGAGACGGGGGTAGGGTGGAAGACAAGAGCACAAGGACGAGGGAGGGGAGGAGCATGAAAGGGCAGCCGCGCCTTGGCTTGGAAGTTGTCGACCATGTCTGCCCATGCTGTTGGGGTGTTGGGTGCGTATTGTGGCCATGCCCCTCCGCCACTGATGGAATATAGGGGAAGGAGGCCGAGGGCGGGGGGGAAGAAAACAACATGGGGAAGGAGGGATGGGGAAGAGGAGGAATCGGGGAAATAAGCTGCCCAACGAGAAAAGCGTGCCTGATAATGACTCATTTTAGCAGAGGAGAGCAGGTGTGTTTTGAGTCGAGTCAAAACACAAGAGGAGGAATCGGGGAAATAAGCTGCCAAACGAGAAAAGCGTGCCTGATAGGATATGGTACACTGTGGGACTCATTTTAGCAGAGGAGAGCACCAGCGAAAAGACTCGCCTAAGAACCGATCCGATATGGTACGCTGTAATGTTGTCTCCATGTCTCCCTCCCAGCCCAAAGAAAAGGGCGCAGCAGGAAAAGGCTTGCTCTGAGGCAAGGGCTCACCTGAGAGAAAGACTCACCTAAGAACTGATCCGATATGGTACACTGTGATGTTCTCTCCGTATCCCAGCGCGCGTTCGTCTATCTGCATCATCTGCCCCACCTTCTCCTGCACTGTCATCTCGGAGAGGGATGGCACTGGCATAGTGGGAAGAGGGGCAGGGTTGGGTAGCAAGGGGAGGGGCACAAGAGTCATGTACCCAGCAGCAGCAGCAGCAGCAGCAGCAGCGGCGGCGGCGGCGGCGGCGGTGGCGGAGGCGGCGGCGGCGGCGGCAGCAGCAGCAGCAGCGGCGGCGGCGGCGGCGGCGGCGGTGGCGGCAGCGGCAGCAGCCCCAGCGTGCGTTCGTCTATCTGCATCATCTGCCCCACCTTCTCCTCCACTGTCATTTCCGCCAGTGATGGCACTGGCATAAGGGGGGGGGGGAAAGGAAGGGCGGAGGAAGCACACGAGATTCATCCAGCAGCAAGGGGAACGAGAGGTTGTTTTTTGGACGACTCAACAATCAGCAGGGGGGCAAGAGTCATCGCCTCGTGGTGACTTTTGAGTCGACTCAACAATCACGTCTCGATTCGCCTCTAAAGAAAGGGCAAGAGTCATCGCCTCGCCCCTACTCGCTCGTCTATCTGCATCATCCGCCCCACCTTCTCCTCCCTCCACTGTCGCCTCCGCCAGTGATGGCACTGGCATAGAAGGCAGGGAGTATGAGGGAGCAAGGGGCGCACGAGTCATGTGCCAGCAGCAGCAGCAGCAGCAGCAGCAGCAGCAGCAGCAGCAGCAACAGCAGCAGCCACGACTTCTCGTCTATGTGCATCATCCGCCCCACCTTCTCCTCCCTCCACTGGCATCTCCAGGGGCAGGTTCCAAACCAGGGTGGGCGGGTCTTGTGACATCCCAGGTTCTTAGTCGCCCCACCTTCTCCTCCCTCCACTTTCATTTCCAGGGGCAGGTTCCAAACGAGGTTGGGCGGGGAAAGGGAGGGTAGCTCGCACGTTCCCCATCCATCTCACATTCCCCACCGATCCCCACAGTTCCCCTTGTAACTACCTGGGATGTCCTGCGGCACACATCGCTCCAGTCCAGCCGCCCACGTTCCCTACCATTCTCCACCGTTCCTCACCCTTCCCCACCGTGCCCTGCCACTCCCCTTGCACCTACCTGGGATGTCCTGCGGCACGCATTGCTCCAGTCCCGCCACCCCTCGCGCATTCCCCACCACTCCCCGCCCCTCCCCAACATACCCCACCATTCCCCGCCGTTCAGCGCCGTTCCCCACCATTCCCCGCCGTTCCGCGCCGTTCCCCACCATTCCCCACAACAACTCTCCACCACTCCCCTTGTACCTACCTGGGATGTCCTGCGGCACGCATCGCTCCAGTCCCGCCGCCCGTCGCGTCCCTCCAAATCCCAGCCACGCGTCCGCCACGTCGACCACCGCGCACGCCGCCAGCACCAGCGCCGCCACCACCAGCGCCGCGCACGCCGCCAGAGTCCTTAGTCTCCGATTCCCCTTCCTAAACCCGCCACCGCCCCCGCTCCCGCCGCCGTAAGACCCGCCGAAGATGCCCCCAGCAGCAACGACGGACGTTGGAAATGGCTTCGCGTCCGAGCGAAGCAACGAGGAAGCTTCGTCGTGGACAAAGTCGCCTTCGTCGATGTCGCTGCCGCCGTCTTTTCCGCCGCGCGGATCGGGACGGACTTGAGATACGTACCTGCTTCCCGATACGGGACTAGAACGAAACATGCTTAAGCGGGAAAAAATGCTTCCTGCTGCGGGGATGAGGGCTGTGACCGCGGCCGCGGCACCGGCGGCAGCAGCGGAGGAGGACGAAGCAGGATTGGAGGTCGCAGGTGCGGGTGATGATGGTGCTGGTTTGAGGTCTGTTGCTTCTAACGAGAACTCTTGCAGCGAGTTTCGGCTTCCTCTGTCTTCTAGCGAAGATCGACTGCGATTCCGAACCGGAGAGGGGAAGGCATTGGCGTACATGAACTCACTTTTTTTCTTCCCTCAGATATACACGGAACAACAACAAACTTCGACTTCTGAGAGGACAAAACAACAAAAACCAGGCGAAGAATGAGGATCTCGAGAGGTTTCAAAGCACCTCACATCGATTCCTCAGCTATTCATATGAGATTGGTTTCTCCTGCTCGACGCGCCGCGATGGAATTTAAACGCCGCGTGAGACACGTGAGTGTGATCTCGAGGTACCGAGTGGGCCAACCTAGTTCGAAACAGCCGCTTTTTGCGGGGAGAGTTGGTATAGCTGGCAGGAAACTACAATCCTTACCTCGGTTGTGTCTTCCTCGGTTTTCTGTATGGGACAGCGAACAGCTGGCATAGCGCATAACACTTGAGCGAGGAACTCATAGGCAGGTGGACAATACCAGCAATAGTAGAACAAGTCACATGAAAAAATCAGTATATTATCGATATAAAATAGTAATTATACCATTTTATCTTTATATTGTAAGTTTAAGAAAACTGAATTTGTATTTTTCTTGAATTGTATTTTGTGTTGATTGGAGTACTTATTTATTTGAGTATCAAATTATGTAATCACATTTTTCTTGAATTGTATTTTGTGTTGATTGGAGTACTTATTTATTTGAGTATAAAATTATTTGAGTATCAAATAAATACTTTGTATTTATTTGATAGCTTAAGTTAATTATTTTGCCTACTATGTAAAAACTTACAGCACGTGTTATTTTCACCATGTATCACGGAAACTGTAAACCATGACTCTAATTTGAGGCACTGAATGGAGAGTACATTACCTCGTCAGCAGAATGCTGGCCGCTTTTGGTGTCTGTAAAGGTCCACGTGTACCCCAGTTGTGTTTCGGTCTGCTGAATCGGCAGTACAGCTGTCTCAGAGATACACCTGAAGCCAAGCTGAAGCCAAGCTGCCGAAGAATCTCCGACATTTCAGATGTTCGTTCAAACAGTTTGAATTCCGAGTCGCATGATACCCACGCGTCGGCCACATTGCGGCAACTCGTTGCCCAGCGATCAGGGAGCTGGTGCTGTGGGGGAATCAGTGGCGAAAACGCATCCAGCCACCAAGCCCACACTCCTTTGCGAAGTGAGGCGAGTCGCCCGCGGTCCGAGAAAACCATTCGACATTGGAAATCTGGATTCTGCCGCTAATCCCTTCCTCCCACCAACCCCACTCTTCCACTCTCACATTTACCCAGGTCACACTTTCCTCCCCTCCCCCCATTCTTCCTGCCCAGCATGCCACTGCATTGCTTGGCTTCGTCGATATTGACATCTGTCTTGTCGGTGTGGTGCTTCCAAAACGCAAAATAGGGCCCACTAGGTCTCGACTCACGAATAGGTTCTAGTGCTCCCACCCGGCCGCAACACACCATAAACTCCGAGGTCTTCACGATGTTTGATTTCGATGCTTTCTACCAACAGACCACTCTTGCGACCTGAGGCGCTCGCTTCTTAAATTTGCAACTCTCCGCAGACATCGTTTTCTTTCCTTATATCTAGTCGGTGCTCGACCAGGCATCGTCAGCGCGCTCCCCGTATCACGTATCAACGTCACTCGTTTGTCATATCTGCTCGCGAGCCGCACGAGGGTGTAGATAGGATTCCCCTGGGGTTCTTGAATGCTACTCTCCATCTCGGCGTTTGCATAATTGAAGCTCGTCTCGACGGTGATTCAGACCTTCGGCACGAATTTCCTTCTCGCGCCAGTAGTTCCTCCCACTGAAAATCCTATGTGAACGGGTTAGTGAGACTCAACAAAATCTTCGTTTCGCTGCCTGTAACTGGCGACGCTGCCCGTAACCGACGACGGCACAGCGCATCATCAACTCGATGACAGCCTCAGCCATGGCGTCGGCGCGATCGCGGCGCATATCATCCCCCGTTCCTCACTCCGCCGTAGCCCCACTCGGCCTTACCCTCCTGACCCCGTCAGCCCTGCTCCCGCTCCTCCTGCTGGTCGCCATCGTCGAATCGCCGTGGCTTTCCGCCTCTGCGGCGGGTCAACTCCCCGATGAGAGCACATCGTTCGGCGTGAGCACCGACCTCGGTGTAGCACCGGACATCGGCAGTGGTGGTTCCCCGCTATCCGTAAAAACGGCGTCTGCCACCGACGGCTCTGATCGCACGATCAGTCTCATGGCGATGACGGCAGCGGCCGGCACGGGGAAAAAGACTGGAACCGGAAAATCAGCCGGCTCTGGGACGGGTGTCGGCGCAGGCAAGGGCGCGGGGACGGGTGCGGGGACCGGCGGGAGCAAAGGAACGGGAACCGGAGATCGGAAGGTGCCGGAAATTGGGTCCGGCGCGGGGAAAAGTACTGGGACAGGTGCGGGGAAAGGTACGGGAACGGGTGTGGGGAAGGGTACGGGAACGGGTGCGGGGAAGGGTACGGGAACGGGTGCGGGGAAGGGTACGGGAACGGGCGCGGGGAAGGGTACGGGCACGGGCGCGGGGAAGGGTACGGGCACGGGCGCGGGGAAGGGTACGGGAACGGGCGCGGGGAAGGGTACGGGAACGGGTGCGGGGAAGGGTACAGGGACAGGAGCGGGGAAAGGTACGGGGACAGGAGGGGGAAAAGGAACGGGTACTGGTGCGGGGAAGGGTACGGGGACGGGCACTGGGAAAGGTACGGGGACAGGCGCGGGGACAGGAACAGGCACGGGGAAAGGTACGGGGACAGGCGCGGGGACAGGAACAGGTACGGGGAAGGGTACGGGGACAGGTGCAGGGAAAGGTACGGGTACCGGCGCGGGAACAGGTACGGGGACTGGCACGGGAACAGGCGCGGGGAAAGGTACGGGGACAGGCGCGGGAGGGAGTGCGGGGACAGGCGCCGGGGGGGGTACGGGGGCAGGCGCGGGGGGAAATACGGGAACGGGAAAGGGAAGCAGTGGAGGCAAGGGGAAGGGGAAAGGGGGGGGGAACTCAAGGGGCTCCGGATCTGGCTCGGGGAAAGGAACTGGCACGGGTGGAGGCTCGGGAACTGGTTCGGGAACTGGTTCGGGAATGGACGCTGGATCTAAATCCGGAAAATCCTCAGGGGATGGCGGAGATGTGATCCACGGAGGGGGGAGCGGAGGGGGAAGTGGGACGGGGAGCGGAGGGAAAACTGGTGGGGGAACGGGGAGTGGGACGGGGAGCGGGACGGGAAGCGGGACGGGGAGTCAGACCGGCGGCGGAGGGCAAGCAAGCGGTGGAGGGGGAAGCCAGAATGGAGGGGGAGCGGACTCCGGAGGCGGAGCGTCAGGGGGAGGGTCAGGTGGAGGGTCAGGCGGAGGGTCAGGCGGAGGGTCAGGCGGAGGGTCAAGCGGAGGTTCAGGCGGAGCGCCAGGTCCTATCCTGACAGCGGAGCAGGAAGCAACGCTGACGAAAGTGAACGAGGTTCTGTCGTTTCTGTACGAGAGGAAATTCTCGGGGGTTGCTACAGGCATCCGAATGAGCGGTGAGTTGCCGTACATCTCCTCTACGATCCTTTTCAGTAGTGCACTTTCATGTGCCTACGAATAATGTATTTCTGCGCTTGAAGTTCACATTGATTTCGTTTGTGTAACTGATTGTATTCATCTTTGACCCTGCACATTGTTCCATGTTTACAGGTATGAATGAGACGCTGATGAATACACTCCTCACCAAGAACATTACGATCTTTGCGCCAACCAATGGAGCCTATTTCCGCATGCCCAAGAACACACGCTTTGGTGGGCTGCAAAGGAAGAAGAGCATTCTCTGGCAGGTGATGGCCTATCACGTGCTGCCACGTCGGATGGAACTCGATGACATCAAGGCCCTCGGGAATGGATATCTGGTAAGTTTGTGAATTTACATCATTTCTAATATATAAATCACTTCCTACCTACACCTCTCACCTCGCACCCTCCATGCACTCATATCCGCTTTTATCCCTTTAACCTGAACATTGATTGCAGATGGAAACTCTCGACAAGCTACCATTGAAGAAGAATCAAACAGACTACTGGCTGAAGTTATATCGCACGGAGGACACGGAGGGCGCGCGCGTTCTCATCGGGAACATGTACTCCAGTCCGTCGATCGTCGTCCACGCAGTCGATACTGTGCTGCTGCCATCCAGGGTCAAAAACAATGGCACATGGACCTCGGTGTAGTGTAATGAACACACCATCACTGCCATTGCTCTTATTTTGTTTTATGTGTACGGTAGCCGAGTCTCCTTTTTGTCTCCCATCCCACGGATACAGCGCTGCTTCTGGCAAGGGGCAAGAATAACAGCATGTGGACTGCTGTGGGCTGGTGCAGTGTATTGAACATGTCCTCATGCGCATTGCTCTCATTTGCAATATGTAGTCGAGCCCGTAGATTGTCAACCATGCCGTGGATACTGATCTACTTTTAGCAAGGGTAGGAGGAAATTTGCATGTATACACTCGCATGTAATAAATGCAGTGCATTTGCTATTGTGGTGCAAGTTCAATAAGAGGATGGGGGAGGGGAGTGAATAAAGGGAATAACTTCTCTCGCTTTTCCCCAAAGTTCCCCTCCCTTCCCCACTACTCCCCCATTACCCTAGCACGTTCCTTACGTCCCCCTCCCTTCTGTTCCATTCCCCTTTCCGCCGGGGAAGTTGGTGTAGCTGACCAACCCCAGCCTCTATTATCTCGTCCTTGATTTTCAGCACGGGGACAGCAAACAGGTGGCCTAAGCGCACAGCATCAAATTGAGAAAAGGCTTTCAAGAATAGTGGAAAATAACAGCAATCCTATAACATCACTGTCATGTAAAGGTTAGCAACACGTTGTGTCTATTGTGACGCTGCGTCTACTGAAGCTCTTATTGTGAAACAATTTGAAGGTTGTATTGTGGTAAACCAATGTGGTGGAGATGTGTAATATGTTATGTAGCATACCTCAATGGTTTGGATTACAAAGCTTATCTATAGATAGATGCAACACCTTGAGTACCTAGTTAGTAAACATGTTAGTTAACATCTGTGATTAGCTTCTTAGTAGCCTATCAGCTCGCCACCAGGAATACTGTACTCATTATATATCTCATCGTAAATCGAGGCACTCAATGGAGGCAACCTTACCTTGACGTCGGCAAGCAGGTTGCTGGAGCAGTTCCACGTCACCCTAGCTGCTCTTCAGTCTGGTGAATCGGCAGTACAGAACACCTGAAACCGAAGTGCCAAGTCCAAAAAGTCTCTGGCATTTCAGATGTTCTATCTTGCGGTTTGAATCCCGTCGCATGATACCCACGGGTCAGCCACACTGTCCAGTAGGCGGTGCAGCCACCAATCAAGCCCACTCCACAGTAAAATAGTGAAGTGAGGCGAGTCGTCCGCGGTCCGGTAAATTTGATTGAGATTGGAATTCTGGAATTTGGTGAATCCTTGTGATTCCTCCCAACACCCCCTTCCTCCCCTTTGTGCCCATCCAGCTCATTTGTTCCCCGCCGGCCGTCCTTGCGTTACTAAGCGGCTCTGCCCTCGAGTCGGTATAGTCGGCGACGGAGACATCTGAATTGTCGGCGCGATGCCTCTACAGCGCGAAACGTTGGCAGAATCCAGTGCGCCCACCCGGCCGCCTCACACCGTAACCCGTCGACGTCGACGTTTTAGATCTCGATGCGAATTGCCAACAGAGCATTGTTGCGACCTGAGGCGGCGCACTCGCCTCCTGATGTCCGTGGACTCCTTTTCTTGAAAGATACGAGTCGCTATTAGGCCCCAAAAATCGTCAGCGCGCTCCTCTTATCACGTATCAACGAGATGTTAGTAGATTTCGATGCTTTTTACCTTCAGACACCACACTTGCCAGTCGCAGTGCGACCTGAGGCGCTCTCGCTTCTTAGATTCGCAACTCTCCGTAGATATATTTTTTCGTTCAATGTATCTAGTCAGCCGTCGACCAAAAACAGTCAGCGCGATCCCCTTATCACGTATCAACGTCGGTGGCTCGGCATTTCTGCTCACGAGCCGCACGAATGGTGTAAATAGAACTCGACTCGAGTTGTTGGAATGCCTCAAGTTTCTTTTCCATTTCTATCTTTGCCTAGACAAAGCTCCTTCTCAACGGTGATTAAGCCGACCCAGTATAACCTTCTGTAACGAAAGCTTGGCCTGTCACGCTGCTTCCGCCATAACCAGCGAATTACGACGCAACGCGTCATCAACTCGATGACAGCCGTACCCATCATGGCGAAGCATCCGCGGCGCATGTCACGTTCTTCCCACGTCAAACGCCACCGTCCCAGAACGTTCGGCTCATCTCCGCTCGGTCTGAACCCGTCAGCCCTGTGTTTCCCGCTCCTCCTGCTCCTCCTCACCCTCGTCTCGTCGCCATTGGTTCCCGCCGTCACCGCGACCTCAGCCGCCAGAACAGCAGGCGACTCGAAGCGGACCAACGTCATGACGGCGGGTCAATCCCTCGATAAAAGCACATCGTTCGGCGTGAGCACCGACCTCGTTATAGCAACGGATCTAGGCCGTGATAGCTCCCCGCTATCCATGAAATCAGCCCCTGCTACAACCGACGGCTCTGATCGCACGATCGATCTCATGGCGATGACGACGGCGGCCGGCAAGGGGAAGTCTTCAGGAACTGGAAAGTCAGCGGGCGCTGGGACGGGTGGCGGCGCAGGTGTCGGCGCAAAGAAGGGTGCTGGGACGGGTGTCGGCGCAGGCAAGGGTGGGGGGACGGGTGTCGGCGCAGGGAAGGGCGCGGGGACGGGTGTCGGCGCAGGGAAGGGCGCGGGGACGGGTGTCGGCGCAGGGAAGGGCTCGGGGACGGGTGGCGGCGCGGGGAAGGGTGCGGGGACGGGTGTCGGCGCAGGTAAGGGTGGGGGGGCCGGTGTCGGCGCAGGCAAGGGCGCGGGGACGGGTGTCGGCGCAGGCAAGGGCGCGGGGACGGGTGTCGGCGCAGGCAAGGGCGCGGGGACGGGTGTCGGCGCAGGCAAGGGCGCAGGAACGGGTGTGGGCGCAGGCAAGGGCGCGGGAACGGGTGTGGGCGCAGGCAAGGGCGCGGGAACGGGTGTGGGCGCAGGGAAGGGTGCGGGGACGGGTGTCGGCGCAGGCAAGGGCGCGGGGACGGGTGTCGGCGCAGGCAAGGGCGCGGGGACGGGTGTCGGCGCAGGCAAGGGCGCGGGGACAGGTGCGGGGACTGGCGGAAGTAAAGAATCGGGAACCGGAGAGCGGAAGATTGTGCCTGAAATTGGGGCGGGCACGGGGAAAGGAACGGGGACGGGCGCGGGGAAAGGAACGGGGATGGGCGAGGGGAAAGGTACAGGAACAGGCACGGGAACAGGTACTGGAATGGGCGCAGGGAAGGGTACTGGGACAGGCACGGGAACAGGTACGGGTAAAGGCACCGGGAAAGGTACGGGGACAGGCGTGGGAACAGGTACGGGAACAGGCGCGGGGAAGGGTACGGGGACAGGAACGGGGAAAGACACCGGGAACGGTACGAGGGCAGGCGCGGGAACAGGTACGGGAAAAGGCGCGGGAAAAGGTACAGGAACAGGTGCAGGAACAGGTACTGGGACTGGAATGGGAAAAGGTACGGGGACTGGCACGGGAGCGAGTAAGGGGACAGGCACGGGGAAAGGCATGGGGACAGGTGTGGGAACTGGTACGGGAACGGGAACGGGAAGCAGTACAGGCAAGGGGGATGGGAAGGGGGCGGGAAGCTCAAGGGGCTCAGGATCTGGCTTGGGGAAAGGAACAGGTGCGGGTGGAGGCTCGGGAACAGGTTCGGGAACTGGTTCGGGAATGGACGCTGGTTCAAAATCGGGGAGGTCGACAGGGGATGGTGGGGATGTGATCCGCGGAGGGGGAAGCGGCGGAGGGGGGAGCGGAGGGGGTAGTGGCGGGGGGAGCGGAGGGGGTAGCAGCGGGGGGAGCGGAGGGGGTAGTGGAGGGGGAAGTGGAGCAGGGAGCGGGGGGGGGATTGGGATGGGAGGCGGAGCAGGGAGCGGAGTGGGGAGTGGCGGGGGGATGGGGATGGGAGGCGAAGGGTCGAGCGGAGGGGCGAGCGGAGGGGCAAGCGGAGGGGCGAGCGGAGGGGCAAGCGGAGGGGTGAATGGAGGGGAAAGCGTAGGGGGAAGCGGAGAGGGGAGCAGTGGGGGGAGTGACATGAAGAGCGGAGGGGAGAGTGACATGGGGAGTGGAAGGGGGAGTGACACGGGGAGCGGAGGGGGGATTGACATGGGAAATGGACTGAAGAGTGACCCGGGAAGTGGATGGGGGGGTGACACAGAAAGTGGAGGAAAGAGTGACACGGGAGCCAGAGGGGGAAGTGACACAGAAAGTGGAGGAAAGAGTGACACGGGAGCCAGAGGGGGAAGTGACACGGGAAGCGGAGGGGGAAGTGACACGGGAAGCGGAGGGGGAAGTGACACGGGAAGTGGACTGAAGAGTGACCCGGGAAGCGGATGGGGGAGTGACACGGGAAGCACAGGGGGGAGTGACACGGGAAGCGGAGGGAAGAGTGATACAGGAAGTGGACTGGGGAGTGACTGGGTGGGTGGAAGGGGAAGTGGGACGGAGGGTGGAGGAGGCACTGGAGGGCACGCGGGAAGTGGGGGTGGGGGAAACCTGACCGACGGCAGTGGAGGGCAAGCGAGTGGAGGGCAAGCGAGTGGAGGGCAAGCGAGTGGAGGGCAAGCGAGTGGAGGGCAAGCGAGCGGAGGGCAAGCGAGTGGAGGGCAAGCGAGTGGAGGGCAAGCGAGCGGAGGACAAGCGAGCGGAGGGCAAGCGAGTGGAGGGCAAGCGAGCGGAGGGCAAGCGAGTGGAGGGCAAGCGAGTGGAGGAGCGGAGGGCAAGCGAGCGGAGGGCAAGCGAGTGGAGGGCAAGCGAGTGGAGGGCAAGCGAGTGGAGGGCAAGCGAGCGGAGGGCAAGCGAGCGGAGGGCAAGCGAGTGGAGGGGGGGGAAGTAAGAATGAAGGCGGTGCACCGGGCTCCGGAGGCGGAGAGTCAGTTGGAGCTTCAGGTGGAGGGTCAGGTGGAGCATCAGGCGGAGCAGGTGGAGCATCAGGTGGAGCGTTAGGTGGAGCTTCAGGCGGAGCTTCAGGCGGAGCTTCAGGCGGAGCTTCAGGTGGAGTGTCAGGTGGAACTTCAGGTGGAGCGTCAGGTGGAACTTCAGGTGGAGCTCCATGTGGAGCTTCAGGTGGTGCAGCAGACTCCGAAGGTGGGGCGCCAGGCGGAGCGTCAGGTGGAGGATTAGGCAGAGGGTCAGGGGGATGGCCAGGTAGAAAGTCAGGTGGTACATCAGGTGGAGCGTCAGGAGGAGCATCGGGGTCCAATCTGACAGCGGAGCAGCAGGCAACGCTGGCGAAAGTGAACGAGGTTCTGGCGTTTCTATACGAGCGGAAATTCACGGGAGTTGCGACCGGAATCAGAATGAGCGGTGAGTTACAACTTCTATCAGTTTTTGGGTATATAAATATCGCATTGCACTTCTGTTGCTCATGTCGGGTACTGCTTCTCATTTGCTGAACCCATGTGGTATCGCATTTACTTCAAGTTCATTTTTTTGTTTGTTTGTGCAAATGACGTCATCTTAAACATCTACGTTCTGTTCCGTGTAACCCCAGGTATGAATGAGACGCTGATGAATACACTCCTCACCAAGAACGTCACGATCTTAGCGCCAACCAATGGAGCGTATTTCCGCATGCCCAGTAATACGCGCTTTGGTGGACTGCAAAGGAAGAAGAGTGTTCTCTGGCAGGTGATGGCCTATCACGTGCTGCCACGTCGAATGGAACTCAACGACATCAAGGCCCTTGGGAATGGATTCCAGGTAAGTCTAATATTTTTTCCTTCTTTTTTCCTACATAATCTTCTTCTACACCCTCCTCCTCCCACCTTGACCTCCACCTCTCTTCCCCAATCACATCCTCCATACACTCATCTCCGCTTTTATCCCTCTACCCTGCAACTTTGTCTACAGATGGAAACCCTGAATAAGCTTCCGCTGAAGAAGAATCAAACCGACCGCTTGCTGAGGCTTTTCAGAACCAATGACACGGAGGGAGCGCGCGTCCTCATCGGCAACATGTACTCGAGCCCGTCGATTGTCGTCCACGCTGTGGACACAGTGCTGCTCCCTTCCAGGGTCAGGAATAATGGCACGTGGATTCCTGTGTAGTGTAATGAACATTGTTGGTCGCCATTGACATCTCATCGGCAACATGTACTCGAGCCCGTCGATTGTCGTCCACGCGGTCGATACCGTGCTGCTCCCATCCAGGGTCAGGAACAACGGCACGTGGTTTCCTGTTTAATAAATGGAGTGTTCCTGTACCGAGGGTCAAGACTCAATAACAGCCGCACGTGGACTATGGCGTAATACTAAGAGCGCTGCTGTACTGAAGGGTGATGCAATCGTGGTGAGGGGAGCGTAGACAATGTTCTTGTAGTGAAGGCCACAAACAAATGTTGCTCTGTTCGGGACACGTGGACTGGACTCCTGCGTAATAAATGGGAGGGACCTTCCTTTCTGATAGCGGCGCTATTGTGGTGATGGTGAATGCAATGCTCTTGTAGTGAAGGCAATGCGTAGGAACGCTTGTATGTACGGTAGTAGTGAGTTAGTCAACAACGGTACGGTATATTACGCTATCATGCCATGTGTCTATTCTACTCAGTCCTACAACGCAGCAGTACACCGGACAAATGGGCGTACAGGTACACGTTATCATATCACAGCGCTGGCTCCACAGATTCAGCTGCACGTTACTCAGCCTCAGCCACACATCGAAGTCAAGCCCCCGACCCCCCACATCGAAGCGCAGCACAAACGCAGACGGCGTAGGAGAAGCCATAGGAAGCGGCTACAGACGAGAGGACTGTCGAGACGAGAATCCAGGAGACTAGGACGAAACAGCACTAGGAGCGCCACTAGGAACGGCGGCTCGAGCTGGCACGAGAGAGTAGGTCTGTGGGGAGAGCGGCGGCTTGGACAGTAGGAACTAGGAGAGAGTGGCGGCGTGGGCAGTGGCACTGTGAGCAGTGGCGGCGGAGCAGCCTAGGCAGGAGTGGCAGCAGAGGCGGTAGCCTAGGGAGCGGCGGCGGCGGCAGCCTAGGCAGGAGTGGCAGCGGCACAGGCAGCGGTAGCGGCGGTGCCAGCCTAGGTAGCAGTGGTGTCGGCGGCCTAGGCAGCAGCTGTGACGGCGGCCTGGGTAGCAGTGGCTACAGTGGCCTATGCAGCAGCGGCGCCGGCGGCGGCCTAGGCAGCACTGGTGGTGGCGGCGGCCTAGGCGGCAGTGGTGGCGGCGGCGCTGCTGCTGCTCGCACGAATGGGGCAGGGGGGCGTGCTGGGCGACGGGTCCAAGGGGTGCTGGGCGACGGGTCAGCAGGGGGTGCTGGGCGACGGGGCAGCAGGGCGTGCTGGGCGACGGGGCAGCAGGGCGTGCTAGATAACGAGGCAGCGGGGGGTGCTACGGGGCAGCGGGGTGCGAGGGAATGAGGCTACAGAGCAGAATATCTAACGTGGGCTAGCTGGGTGGGCTAGCTGTTCTACAGCAGTGGCGGCGGCTGTGAAAGCTTGTGAAAGCTGAACAGGAAAGAAAAGCAAACCTGTGCCAACATGCCTGGGTGTTGAGCTAACTGCTCTTGAGCAGTGGTGTCTCAGTGAGCCATGGTGGTGAGGGGATGGACGGGACAGCAGCAGCTTTCCAACCACAGTTAAGGAAACGGGGAATCTCAAACACGCTGTGCAAGGGAAGTGCTGCATGTTCAGACAGCGTCAGCCCAAGCACCATACGCATCCACCAAGGTGCTGCTTGGAAGAATTATTCGTCTATTATCAACATTGTTACAAAGCAAAAATTAGTATGTAAAAGGAACTAAGATAGCCTATGCACTAGTGAACTTGGTCACGGCTTTTGTTCCCTCTGAAACAGCGTGCTTCGCAAGCTCCCCAGGCAGAGTCAGCCGAACAGCCGTCTGGATCTCGCGAGACGTAATCGTCGGCTTCTTGTTGTACCGCGCGAGCTTAGACGCCTCCGTCGCGAGCTTCTCAAAGATATCATTTATAAAAGAATTCATGATCGACATGGCCTTGGACGATATCCCCGTGTCTGGATGCACCTGCTTCAGCACCTTGTAGATGTAGATCTTGTACGTTTCTGTCACGGCCTTGCGAGCCTTTTTCTTCTCTTTCTTGTCACCGATGGGCTTTTTCCCCGCAGGAATGTCTTTCTTAGCGGCGGGCTCCTTCTTGGGTCCCTTCTTCGCCGCCTTCTGCTCTCCTTCTACCTTTGGCGCCATCGTAACAAAGTTTTCTCGAGAAACAAGTAGCTCACAGGGAAAGAGGGCCTTGGAAAGTGACACTAGGTGGAAGCACTGAAATGCGTTGTTGTCAAGAGCGTTGGATAAGAAAACTGACGTAGTTACCAAGTGAGATAGAGACGCTTGACGTACAAAAGAGCTGTCGTCGCAGAGACATATTTCAACAGTCTGGGCTGCGACGGGGAAGAGGGTCCGTGGCTAGAGTTGCGTGGGTGGTGTGTGGGATCTCGGGATTTGTTGCAACGGTTGTGGTTGTTTGTGTTTACAGAAATAAGCCAATAAAACGCTGGGCAACAGATCGAGACTTTCGATATTGGCCGTCGATGAGGTTAGCACGTAACTCGCTTAACCGTCAATAGCACTACCAGCTAGGTTCCGCTTTCGCTCAATTTCAGATCGTCCGATCTAATTCAACAGCGTTCTGCTTGCTGTGGTGCAAGGTGTGGTAACTTTGCGAATTTGATTCGTCGGGTGACAGTCTGTACAGTCTGCCTTGGTTGTAAACCAATCACAAATAGCACTTGCAAACGTTTCGGGATCGACGCAGATCAGGGTTCGCCGTTGATAATACTGTCCCCAAATTTCTCATCGACGACCAAGAAACGCCAACTTCACCGAACAACACGCCAATCCATCGCCAACATCACCAAACATGAGATGTGATGTGAGAAACACCACAGGTGCTGGACTAGGCGACCCCCCCACCATACCATACCACACCACATCAGAACGCACCACACCAACCAGTGCCCCAACCATCGCTGCTCTCCATTGGTCTGACCCCAATCAGTCCAGCCAGGATGCTCTGAATAAAGGGGCTCTGAATGGATCCTCATTACCATGGTTCCAGTTCCTCTTCCAAGTCTTGAGTTCCAGTTCCTCTTCCAAGTCTTGAGTTCCAGTTCCTTATCACATTCATAGGTTCAGTTTGCCTTTGGTTTTCGAGATTGAAGAGAGACATAATAATACAACTATTTCTCAAGACTTCGTTGAGGAGCTGCACACATCTTTGACCTCAAGACTGATTGAGCTCCATCTGCGTCTCGCTTTCAGTTTCAGCTATTCTTGAAGACTTCCCAGTCGTATCTTCGTGTGCGGTTAAAGTTCGTCAGTCATCATGTCGGGACGCGGCAAGGGAGGCAAGGGCCTTGGAAAAGGAGGCGCGAAGCGTCACAGGAAGGTTCTTCGCGACAACATTCAGGGCATCACCAAGCCGGCTATCAGGCGTCTCGCTCGCCGCGGCGGCGTCAAACGTATCAGCGGTCTAATCTACGAAGAGACTCGCGGTGTGCTTAAGGTGTTCCTCGAGAATGTCATTCGTGACGCTGTGACATACACGGAGCACGCGCGGAGAAAGACGGTCACCGCCATGGATGTTGTTTATGCTTTGAAACGCCAAGGCAGAACACTATACGGCTTCGGCGGCTAGCCAGATTTCTGTTAGGCATGTAGACGTTGTAGCCTTAACCATAGTTGCCAGTTAGCGTTGTCATCAATATTGATGTATTCAGTTATGATTGTACAAAGTAGTAACTAACGATATTACCCGCACCTCTGTGTGCCTTGCGAAGACTCTTACGTTCTGTGTACACAGCCCCTCTAGTCCAACCATGGTTTCAGTGGTTGAGTGACCCCAATGATTGCAAGGATGGTAAAATGGTTGTAAAGATGGCAGCTGGAAATATTGTACAGCACATTCTGGGAGTTTACAGTAATAGACAGTCATGTATGTTTGTTTCTCATTGGAGAAACACTCCTAGCAATCAGTGTCATATTGTTGAAACTATCTATTTGGAGCAGCAGAGCAGCTGACAAGCGTTTCAGGTTGCTTGTTCACTTTTGGTACATGTGTGTGCACCAGACCAGAGGGAGTCACATGCACTGCCTGTGTAGTACCGTAGGGAATTGTACCCACCTGCTTTGCTTAGGTTTGGGAATTGGGATATGCCTGGTGTGACGTGAATGTGAGGATACACTGCTATAGCTTGCACATCAGCAACTGCTTGTAGTGAATCAATCATCAGCTACTGCATCCCCTTGCATCAACAGCAGGCTTGCCCCAGGTAGGAGGAAGACAATCGGCCCGTCTTGACAGCTGTGGGTGGAACCCAGCAGTTCATCTACTCGCATAGTGCTTTGCTGCCGACACTTCTACCTACCGTATTGTGACTCGCATCACAAGCGTTGCTTTGGCGTAGAGTTTGCAGCACAGCACACCCGTCCACCGTCCTCTATCAGAGTTGCAGAGTTTGCAGGAAGGAAGGCAGTGTGGCGGGCGGCGTAGACAGACGGAACCCACTTAGACCATTTTAGAACCTTTTTCTATCCTGTTACGGTTTCTGGAAGAATCTGCTACCATCGCCGGCCCTTGCATAGGCATCAGCTCAGCGGCCAAGAGGGGCATTCATGAGGTCTATGGCTTTCTCGGCAAGCTGCAAAGGCACAGAGGAGATCAAGGGGGGAGGATGGAGGGGGGGGGGGAGAGAGTTGATGGGGAGGATCAGGAGAGGCACAGAGAGAGGGGAGAGGAGGAGAGTGAAAGGGGGGCGTTCACGAAGTAAATGGCTTTCTCAGCAAGTTTCACAGGCACCAGGGAGAAGAGGGGAGGGGGGATGGGGGAGGAGAGAGGAGGAGATGGGGCGAGAAGGTTGATTGGGAGGAGCATGAAGCGGGAGAGAAAGGGAAGAGAAGGTGAGGCGAAAACGAAGGTGAGGAGAAGGTGACACGGCTTTGAATCAGCGAGAAGGCGACACAGCTACGTGGAATAAGTGAGTTTTTGAGTTCACGAAGAGGTTTGCGAGGTCAATGGCTTTCTCGGCAAGCTGCACAGGCACCGGGGGGATAAGGGGAGTCCGTGGGGAAAAGCATTATGAGGCAGAGAGAGGGGAGGGCATGATGAGAGGGACAAAGGGGGAAAAAAGTGGGGGGAAGCGTGGGGGGAAAGGTGAGTTAAGAGAAAATGCACTTTTCACCTCACAGCCTTTACAGGAGAAGAGCAATGCTTGAGAATTCTCAAGAGCGATGCCTGAAAACCCGACATGGTGGGTGCCAGCTGGGGAGTGTTCGTCTCACGTCCTTCCCCATGCCTCCCGTCCATTCGACTCAAAATTCCCTGCTGGCCTTTCCTCCCATCCCACCCCACCCCACCCCACCCCACTCCACCCCACCTTGGATACGGTATTAAGCTCTCAGGCCATGGGCTCGATGGTACCTTCTAGTTGACTCAGAAGGTACCCACTCCACCCCACTCCACCCCAATCCACCCCACTCCACCCCACTCCACCCCATCCGACCCCACTCCATCTACCTTGGACACGGTTTTGAGCTCTCGGGCCATGGGCTCAATGGCCTTCCAGGAGAGTGGGCTGTTGATCTCCAGCGGCCACACCTGGAGGGGCGAGGAGGGGCGAGGAGGGGCGAGGAGGGGCGAGGAGGGGTGAGAAGGGGAGAAGGAGGAGGCAGGTAAGTCATGGATGGGGGCTCTGTGGCCTTCCAAAAGAGAGAGGGCTGTTGATTTCCAGCGGCCACACCTGAAAGGGCGAGGAGGGGTGAGGAGGGGTGAGAAAGGGAGAAGGAGGAGGCAGGTAAGTCATGAAGGCAGGTAAGTCATGGATGGGGGATCTATGGCCTTCCAGAAGAGTGGGCTGTTGATTTCCAGCGGCCACACCTGGAGTGTCAGAGGGGGCGGGGGGAGAAAAAGTGAGGAGACGACAAGGAAAGGAGGCTGCTGAATGGCTTTCCAGGAAAGTGGGTTGTGTTGTGGCGCTGTAAAGTGGCCAAACCTGGAATAACAACCATCTCCACACATCTGGACGCCCATCGCCACCCGTCTCCACCCATCTCCACTCATCTCCACCCATCCCCACCCACCTCCACCCATCTCCACCGCTCTGCACCCACCTGCACGCCCATAACAATGACGGGCCGCTTGATGAGCCCGGGCACCAGACAATCCTCCCCTGCCGCCTCCACCCCTGCCTCCTACATCAACAGCAATACGGCTCTAGAGCACCCACATGCACGCCTGTACCACCTATTTCCACCGCTCTGCACCCACCTGCACACCCATGACAATGACGGGCCGCTTGAGCCCCGGCACCAGACAGCCCTCCCCTGCTGCCTCCACCCCTGCCTCCTGCATCTGCAGCAATACGCCTCCATAGCACCCACCTGCACGCCCATCTGCACCCACCTGTACGCCAATAGCACCCACCTCCACCCATCTCCACCGCTCTGCACCCACCTGCACGCCCATAACAATGACGGGCCGCTTGAGCCCGGGCACCAGACAATCCTCCCCTGCCGCCTCCACCCCTGCCTCCTACATCAACAGCAATACGGCTCTAGAGCACCCACATGCACGCCTGTACCACCTATTTCCACCGCTCTGCACCCACCTGCACACCCATGACAATGACGGGCCGCTTGAGCCCCGGCACCAGACAGCCCTCCCCTGCTGCCTCCACCCCTGCCTCCTGCCTCTGCAGCAATACGCCTCCATAGCACCCACCTGCACGCCCATCTGCACCCACCTGTACGCCAATAGCACCCACCTCCACCCATCTCCACCGCTCTGCACCCACCTGCACGCCCATAACAATGACGGGCCGCTTGAGCCCGGGCACCAGACAATCCTCCCCTGCCGCCTCCACCCCTGCCTCCTACATCAACAGCAATACGGCTCTAGAGCACCCACATGCACGCCTGTACCACCTATTTCCACCGCTCTGCACCCACCTGCACACCCATGACAATGACGGGCCGCTTGAGCCCCGGCACCAGACAGCCCTCCCCTGCTGCCTCCACCCCTGCCTCCTGCATCTGCAGCAATACGCCTCCATAGCACCCACCTGCACGCCCATCTGCACCCACCTGTACGCCAATAGCACCCACCTCCACCCATCTCCACCGCTCTGCACCCACCTGCACGCCCATGACAATGACGGGCCGCTTGAGCCCGGGCACCAGACAATCCTCCCCTGCCGCCTCCACCCCTGCCTCCTACATCAACAGCAATACGGCTCTAGAGCACCCACATGCACGCCTGTACCACCTATTTCCACCGCTCTGCACCCACCTGCACACCCATGACAATGACGGGCCGCTTGAGCCCCGGCACCAGACAATCCTCCCCTGCCGCCTCCACCCCTGCCTCCTACATCAACAGCAATACGGCTCTAGAGCACCCACATGCACGCCTGTACCACCTATTTCCACCGCTCTGCACCCACCTGCACACCCATGACAATGACGGGCCGCTTGAGCCCCGGCACCAGACAGCCCTCCCCTGCTGCCTCCACCCCTGCCTCCTGCATCTGCAGCAATACGCCTCCATAGCACCCACCTGCACGCCCATCTGCACCCACCTGTACGCCAATAGCACCCACCTCCACCCATCTCCACCGCTCTGCACCCACCTGCACGCCCATGACAATGACGGGCCGCTTGAGCCCGGGCACCAGACAATCCTCCCCTGCCGCCTCCACCCCTGCCTCCTACATCAACAGCAATACGGCTCTAGAGCACCCACATGCACGCCTGTACCACCTATTTCCACCGCTCTGCACCCACCTGCACACCCATGACAATGACGGGCCGCTTGAGCCCCGGCACCAGACAATCCTCCCCTGCCGCCTCCACCCCTGCCTCCTGCGCCAACCCCATGCCTATGGGGTCCGGATGCTGGGGGGATGCGGGGGGGGGAGGCAGGGGGGAGGGGAAGCATAAGGGAAGGAATGGAAATACGAAACATGCTGCCTCCACCCCTCTGCTTCCTGCGCCAACCTCATGCCTATGGGGTCCGGGTGCTGCTAGGGGCGATGGGTGCGGAGATGGGTGGGGGGCGGCAGGAGGGAGGGGAAGCATGAGGGAAGGGACAGAATGACAGCCACAACATGCCGCCTCCCCCCCTGCCTCCTGCGCCAACCCCATGCCTATGGGGTCTGGATGCTGCTAGGGGTGGTGGGGGAAGGGGCAGGCAGGAAAAAACGGAGAGTAGAGGCAGGGGGAAGAGGCAAGTTAACAAAAGAAGGGGCAAGACAGTCCTCCCCTGCCTCCTCCACCCCTGCCTCCTCCACCCCTGCCTCCTCCTCCCCTGCCTCCTCCTCCCCTGCCTCCTCCTCCCCTGCCTCCTCCACCCCTGCCTCCTCCTCCCCTGCCTCCTCCACCCCTGCCTCCTCCTCCCCTGCCTCCTGCGCCAACCCCATGCCTATGGGGTCTGGATGCTGGGGCGGGGGAGAGGAGAAAGGGGGGAGGGGAAGCATAAGGGAAGGAATGGAAATACAAAAGATGCTCCACCCCACCCACCCCAGCATCCAGACCCCATGGGCCCATGCCACAGTCACACTCAGCCTACCCACCCATCCGCAGTACACTCACCACACAGCCACCAAGCCACCCACCAACCGACCCACCCGCATGATGCTCACGGCATAGTCAAACTCTGCCCCCCGTCGCACTGTTGCCAGCCCCGACCAGTCGACCCAAAACCCCCCTCATTTGAATCAGAGCACAGCACCCACGCATGCACGCATCCATCCCCCCAACCCCCCCACCCACCCGCATGCTGCTCATGGCATAGTCAAACTCGGGGGCCCGTCGCACTGTCGCCAGCACTGGCCCTATGAGTCAACTCAACGCCCCCATTTTGAGTCAGTTCACAGCATCGCATCACCTCACCTCAACCCCCCAACCCACCCGCATGATGCTCATAGCATAGTCGAACTCTGGCCCTCGTCGCACTGCCGCCAGCGCCGGCCCTCCTTTTAGTCGACTCATCAAAGCCCCTTCTATTGAATCAGATCACAGCACCCACGCATGCACGCACCCGCCCACCCACCCCCCCAACCCCCGTAACCCGCCCACCCACCCGCATGATGCTCATGGCATAGTCAAACACTGCCCCCCGTTGCACTGTAGCCAGCGGGGGCCCGCCAATGAATCAACTCAAAACCTCCTCTATTTAATCAGATTCACAACACCCACTCGCCCATCCGCCCACCCACCCGCATGATGCTCATGGCATAGTCAAACTCTGGTCCCCGTCGCACTGTTGCCAGCGCCGGCCCGCCAATAAGAGCCACCCCCGTGCCCTTGGCGCGCCACGGCGCGTCTGCTCTGAGAGCCTTCTTGGGAGGAGCCATGGGGTGCGTGTGTGTGTGTGCTGCACGATTGCAGGGGAAAGAGGGGCAGAAGGAAAGGGAAGGGATCTTAATGAGCCACGCCCGTGCCCTTGGCGCGCCACGGCGCGTCTGCTCTGAGAGCCTTTTTGGGAGGAGCCATGGGGTGCGTGTGTGTGTGTGCTTGATTGCTGCAAAGGCGCAGAAAAAGGAGGGGAAGGGAAGTGAAAGAGAAGGGTTGCCAATGAGAGCCAACCCCGTGCCATGACGCGCCATGGCACGCCTGCTCGGGCCATGGCGCCATGGCGCGTCTGGACGGCCGTGGAGAAGGTGCCCTTGGCGCGCCATGGCGCACCCGCTTTAAGGGCCTGCTAGGGACGCGCGAATTGCGAGCGGGACGCGAATTGCGCAAGGGACGGGACGGCCGTGGGGAAGGAATGTCCTCCCCTTCGTTATCTGCTCCCCACCCTGTCATTCCCCACCCTCCCCTCGCCAGCTAACCCTACAATGGTTTCGTGCGTATGTAGGAATTTGATTCTGGAGCTCCTGTTGCTCCCGCAATTTATCGCGCATTACGAAATTAAACCCACACGAAAAAGGCAAGGTGTTACGCCCCAGTACGAAGGTCTTACTTGGGTGGGCGGATGAACGAGAAACGCGGCAATGCCCTAGAGAATTCTAAAAAAACGGATGCACGGAAAAATGCGGAAACACCGCAGCGCAAAAAATGCGCGACAGCGACACGTGTGTTGAGACAGCGAAGGGATAAACGGTCGTAACTCTCTACCCCGGCGGTGCTAACCTCAGCAAGCAACAAGGAATTTCCTTATCCACTTCGCGTGGCATTGTGCATATCGAGTACAGACTGCTGCTTGCCTGGAGATTTTCAATACACCAAAAACAGAGCGGTTTGTAAAAACTCAAAAGAATGCAGGAGCGCAGTCACAGATGTACTGAATGCGGTTCGGTGAGGTGTTTCATGTTATGGGGGGGTGAACCTTAGGTTTGGAATGGCTGGATAGCTATATTCAGCAAAAAAATACTCTCACATCACCTGCATGCTCATGTTCACCGTTCTACGGAATGCTATCATATCTACTTGATGCTAGCAAGAAGGCACTTCACTACACCTGTATACTTATCCTACTAAAATGCATTAACATCATTGTTGCCTTCACCTAAGCTTTGATGACATTGTTACTGGCAGTAACTGGAAGCAGCACAGTATCCACCGCATGGACAATAATTAATGGGCTGGAATACATGTTGCCGATCAAAACTCTTGCACCGCAGGAGTCTTCAGCCTTGACGATACGCAGCTGGTTGTTCGTTTGGTTCTTCTTGAGTGAAGAGCTGTTGAGTGTTTCCATCTGCAAATAATGTTGTGGAAGGTGTAGGACGGATGTGAAATTGGAGGAGAGTATGTGGAGAATATGAGGGAGACGGGATGGTTGAAGATGTGAAGAGACCCAACAAGCATGGTTGGAAAAGTTGGAGAGAGGAACTTCACGGTTGAAACATGCAGGCTGCTAAGAGCAAGAGTGCTTTCCAAACTTACCAGAAATCCATTCCCAAGGGCCTTCATGTCATTGATTTCCATCCGACGTGGCAGCACGTGATAGGCCATCACCTGCCACAGAACTCTCTTCTTCCTTTGCAGTCCTCCAAAACGCACATTCTTGGGCATGCGGAAGAACGCCCCGTTGGTTGGAGCAAAGATTGTAACGTTGTTCGAAAGTAGTGCATTCATAAGCGTCTCAATTAAACCTGTAGAAGTCGGAGAAGGTTGGAGGACACAAAAATGGACAAAATTGCAGCAAACATTAGGATTGTAGAAGTCAAAGATATGGATTCTAAACACGATAGTGCAGTAAAAATGCATTCTGAAATACATGTAGCAACTGGATTAGTAGGAGGTGTTGCTTACCACTTCGGTTAATTCCCATTGCAGCTCCTGTGAATTTCCGTTCGTTCAAGAATCCCAAAGCCTTGTTCACTTCAGCCAACGCTGCTTGCTGCTCCACCGTCAGACTAGACCCATCCGCTCCGCCTTGCGCTTGGCCTCCAGAGCCCGCTGCTCCCCCGCCGCTGTTACCTCCGCCTCCAGTCGATTGCCCTCCGCTCCCCGTACCGTTCCCCTTTCCGCTTCCGCCCCCATGGATAACTTCCCCGTTATTCCCAGCAGTCCCCGAGGTATCCGTGCCTGTCCCGGTCCCCGCGCCAGATCCGGGGCTTTTGCTTCCCCCCCCGGTCCCCTTCCCCTTGCCTGGGCCGCCTCTTCCCTTTCCCTTTCCCGTGCCCTTCCACGCGCCTGTCCATTTCCATGCGCCAGTCCGTGTAGCTTTCGACTCGCCTGTTCCTAAATTAATGATCTCCGATGCGCTTGTGACGGGAAGCAACGGCGACGCGACGAGGGACAGGAGGAGAAGCAGAAGCGGGAGCAGGACTGGCAAGGTTAGGCCGCGCGGGGGTTGGGCGCGGTGGAGAGCGGCGTGAGTCGAACGTGATTCGCGGCGGCAGGTCGTAATGACGAGAGGGGGGAGGCCCCGCCGCAGATGCCGTTTGGACGCCATGACCATCGTCGCCATCATTGAGCTGATGACGCGTTGAGTCTTAGTCGTTTATCTCGCACTTGTAACTGGTAGAGGTTGTGACTTTCGTCTGAATACGAGTCCTGGCGACTCGGGGGCTTGAACCACACTACTAGAACGGGAGCGCGTCGGAAAAAAATTGTCGATGCACTTTGAAAATGATAGCTTGGAGAAATAACTGAGAGGTACCTTGCAGGTTCGAATCGTTTGAACACCCTTCATGCTGCTCGCGAGCAGAAATATCAAGTGACTGACGGTTGATACGTGGGTGCGTTGACAATGTCTAAGTTCGCCTACTGACAGTGGACACATGGTTACGTTGGCAATGGCTGCATGAAAGCTGTGAGCAATACGTATCAAACAGCGATAGCTCCTTGACCCAAGGCGACGTGAAGAGTGGCGTGTTAGCTAGAAGCAACGCTATCAATCGTCGTGAAGCGAATGCGGGTTATGGTGCGTGTGGGGAGGAGTACTCGAAAGTCAAATCTGGTGGACCTGTGCATGCGAAACTGAAAACGTCTCGCTGGCAACCCTGAAACGAGCAATGGAACCAGCTGCAGGATGGCGGGGCAAGTGTTTGTTTTCAACGGCTTTCGGCTTCAGCGCGCAGCACCGTTTATAACCGTGACAAAACCCATAAAAACCGTGATAGATGAGTTTGAAACAAATGTTTTGATGCAGGAACTGGAGGTTGGCATTCCCTGAACCAAACAAATTTTCCAAACCACGGGCGACTCGATTCATCGCGCCGCTGCCGGTCAGGTACGGGAATGTGGGATGAGCGCTATGGAGGAGGTACAGTAGCTGGTCTGTCTGACGAGAGGGAGTTGGCTTGGCGTTGTCGGTGGCATTGCCTTCTCGAAGTTCGACCTATATCGCTTTTGACCGTGGCGTAAAGCTTTACCGTGTCCTAAGGGCGTGTGACATTTTCCTAACTTGCCCGTCCGGACAAGACATCGTCCGGACATTTGTAGGGTTACCTCGTTCGTTAACTCTCGCAGGATTTATCGTTAGTACCCATGCGACGTCGCAAACGATCGGACTTCAGATGGAACTTTTTGCATAAATTGCCCTCTCAAATTGTCCGGACGCGTACCGTTCGAAAAACGGACGGACGCAACAGTAACGCGATTTCACTGGCCGACGAATTCTTCTCCGCGTGTCGCTTGGAAGCTACCTATCTCGTGATGGCGTCGTTGTCCTGGTTACAGTCTCGTCAGTATTCTAAATTTCGTAAGTGTGAAAAAGTGTCATCACCTACGTCCGGACGAGGCTCAGTCTGGACGTTGGCCTAGGACCGTCCGATATTCGGTAATCGAACCGTTCTTGGACAGTTGTCTGGACACTACCTCTTTTAGAAAATGTCACACGCCCTAACGCTCTAAATATTCGAACCTTGGCAGATGTTCGACTCTGACGCACCACGTCCGCTTCGTAAAACTGACCAGTACACTGGCCCAAGCCAAACATTGTCAGAGGCTGGCTCGAAAAGCGTGCCCTACCTTTCACCCACCCAACCATCCCCCTCCCCCCCACTCTTCACCTCATGTTTCTTTGCTACCCTCCCTGCTCCCCTCGGCCTGGCCACCCTCAGCTTTGGCTTGGCATTGTGGCTGGGTTCGCAAAAACATTGGGCCAGTGGAATGCGCCTCCTACTGCCACTGCCACTGCCCAGCTTTACAAATGCTCCACAGCGTCACCTCACCACAATGCTCCACTCCACAGCATCACAAACACAACACTCAAACAGGGATACTCGCGCAAAAGCGCCACGCCAAAGCATAATGTTCGCGCGAAAGCGTCTCCCAACCCAATGCAGAACTTCCCCCCACCCACCCCATGCTTGCTTCATGTAGCAGCAGCACCCATTCTTCACGCCGCGCAGTGTCGTTGCTTCTTAGAGACCACCCTTGCTTCCTGTCTTGTTTACAGCTTTCCAAACAACATCCCTTAATACTAAGCCGAGTCGCTAGTAGAACCCCTAGATACTGAGGCATCGTTCATGATGCTTGCCGCACGTATCACGATGGTCGGTGATTCGGCATACCTGCTCACCACCCCTCGAAGGGTGTTACTATCTCTATTCGAACCACTGCGGTACCTCGTACTTCGTCTTCCGAGCTATCACTTCGTTTGCATAGACCAAATTTTTTCGACGCGCTCTAATTCTGTCACCTTTTTTTCGACGCGCTCTAGTTCTAGTAGTACCAGTGTGGTTCAAGCCGCACCTTCGGCAGGTCGCGTTCACACGAACTCACAACCCCTACCAATCGCAAGTGAGACTTTTGGGGCGCCTCAAAAGCCGCAGCTTCGAAAGGTCGTGTTCACACGAAAGTCACAACCCCTACCAATCACAAGTGCGACCGTTCATAAGAGGCGTCCATAAACGACTAAGACTCAAAGCGACATCAGGTCAATGGTGGCGATGAACTCAATGAAGGGGATGGTGGCTATGACGGTCATGGCGTCCAAACGGCATTCGCGGCGGGGACGCCCCTCTCTCGTCATTCCGACATGCCACCGGAGATCACGCTCGATCCACACCACTCTCCACCGGGCCCAACCCCCGCGCGGCCTAACCCTGCCATCCCTGCTCCCGCTTCTCCTGCTCCTCCTGTCCCTCGTCGCCGCGTCGCCGTTGCTTCCCGCCGCCGTCGCTGCCACCGCCACCGCAGCAGCGGCATACGCATCGAAGCGAACGAGCACCGTGAAGGCTCGGAGACAATCTCTCGATATAAGCACATCGTCCGGCGTGAGCGTCGACCTCGGTGTAGGAACAGAGCTGGGCGGTGCTGTTTCCCTCCTTCCCGTAAAGCCGTTTTTCGTCGACGGTTCCAGTCGCACGATCAAGCTGGCGGCAATGACGGCAGCGACCGGCAAGGCACATTTTTTCGGGAGCCGGAAAATCCTCCAGAACAGGCGCGGGCGCAGGGAAGGGTGTAACGACAGGCGCGCGGAAGGGTGCAATGACGGGCGCGGGGAAGGGTGCAGTGACAGGCGCGGGGAAGGGTGCGGGAGTAGAGGAGCGGGAACAGGGAAGGGGAAGGTTTCGCCGGGAACGGGGACGGGCGGGAAGAAAGGAACGGGGACAGGCGCAGGGAAAGGAACGGGAACGGGCGCGGGGAAAGGAACGGGAAAGGGAAAGGGAGCGGGCGCAGGGAATGGAACCAGGACGGGCGTGGGGAAAGGTACGGGGACAGGCGCAGGGAAAGGAACGGGAACGGGCGCGGGGAAAGGCACGGGAAAGGGAAAGGGAGCGGGCGCGGGGAATGGAACCTGGACGGGCGCGGGGAAAGGTACGGGGACAGGCGCAGGGAAAGGAACGGGAACGGGCACGGGGAAAGGTACGGGGACGGGCGCGGGGAAAGGTACGGGGACGGGCGCGGGAAAAGGAACAGGAACGGGGGCGGGGAAAGGCACAGGAAAGGGAAAGGGAACGGGCGCGGGAAACGGAACCAGGGCGGGAGTGGGGAAAGGAACGGGTTCGGGCGCCGGGAAAGGAACGGGGACGGGCGCGGGGAAAGGAACGGGGACGGGCGCGGGGAAAGGAACGGGGACGGGCGCGGGGAAAGGAACGGGGACGGGCGCGGGGAAAGGAACGGGGACGGGCGCGGGGAAAGGAACGGGGACGGGCGCGGGGAAAGGGACGGGGACGGGCGCGGGGAAAGGGACGGGAACGGGCGCGGGGAAAGGAACAGGGACGGGCGCGGGGAAAGGAACGGGGACGGGCGCGGGGAAAGGAACGGGGACGGGCGCGGGGAAAGGGACGGGAACGGGCGCGGGGAAAGGAACAGGGACGGGCGCGGGGAAAGGAACGGGGACGGGCGCGGGGAAAGGAACGGGGACGGGCGCGGGGAAAGGGACGGGAACGGGTGGGGGAACAGGGACGGGAACAGGTGGGGGGAAAGGAACTGGGACGGGCGCGGGAAAGGGAACGGGGACGGGCGGGGGGAAAGGGACAGGAGCGGGTGGGGGGAACGGTAAGGGGAGCGGCGCAGGCAAGGGGAATGGGACGGGGAGTGGCGCAGCCAAGGGGGGTGGGACGGGGAGTGGTGCAGGCAAGGGGGGTGGGACGGGGAGTGGCGCAGGCAAGGGGGGTGGGACGGGGAGTGGCGCAGGCAAGGGGAATGGGACGGGCAGTGGCGCAGGCAAGGGGAATGGGACGGGGAGCGGCGCAGGCAAGGGGAATGGGACGGGGAGTGGCGCAGGCAAGGGGGGTGGGACGGGGAGTGGCGCAGGCAAGGGGGGTGGGACGGGGAGCGGCGCAAGCAAGGGGGGTGGGACGGGGAGTGGCGCAGGCAAGGGGGGTGGGACTGGGAGTGGCGCAGGCAAGGGGGGTGGGACGGGGAGTGGCGCAGGCAAGGGGGGTGGCACGGGGAGTGGCGCAGGCAAGGGGGGTGGGACGGGGAGTGGTGCAGGCAAGGGGGGTGGAACGGGGAGTGACGGAGGCAAGGGGGGTGGGACGGGGAGTGGCGCAGGCAAGGGGGGTGGGACGGGGAGTGGCGCAGGCAAGGGGGGTGGGACGGGGAGTGGCGCAGGCAAGGGGGGTGGGACGGGGAGTGGCGCAGGCAAGGGGGGTGGGACGGGGAGTGGCGCAGGCGAGGGGGGTGGGACGGGGAGCGGCGCAGGGAAAGGGAATGGGAGCGGAGGGAGTGGAGGGGGCGGAGGGGGCGGAGGGAGCGGTGGGGCCAGAGGGAGCGAAGGCGGAGCAGCAGGCTCTGAAGGCCAAGCGACAGGCGGTGTGGCTGGGTCTGACCTGTCACTGGAGCAGCAGGCTAGGATTACTGAAGTGAACAGGGTTCTGGGATTTTTGTTCGAGCGGAAATTCACGGGAGCTGCAATGGGGATCAGCAGAAGTGGTAAGTTACCTACATGTGTTTGACCCGTCCTTCGAATCGAAACCATTTTCTCTCCATTTTGTATGTGATCCGTCTGTTTGTTGCAATTCTGTTCATTCCTGTACCCTGTAACACTGCCCCGAATTCTCCAGGTTTAAACACGACTCTTATGAATACTCTACTTACAAACGGCGTTACAATCTTTGCACCAACCAACGGGGCGTTCTTCCGCATGCCCAAGAATGTGCGCTTTGGCGGGCTGCAAAGGAAGAAGGGAGTCCTCTGGCAGGTGATGGCCTATCACGTGCTGCCACGTCGGATGGAATTGAGTGACCTCAAGACCCTTGAAAATGGATCTCTGGTGAGTTCTATATTCTTGCTTTTATAATCCTGCATGTTGCCTCACTTAGACAAACCCGTTCCCATTAAGCTCCACTCTCACCTCTTCCCCCAACCTGCTCGTTACATCTCTTTGCCTTTTCACTCGACGCCTCCAACTTCCTCGCATATTCTCCATATAGTCACTTTTATCCCTCCGCCCTACACCCTCCACGACCGTATTTCCAGATGGAAACACTCGATGGCTTTTCACTCAAGAAGAACGAAACCAACAGCCGGCTGTGTATTGACAGGGCTGAAGACTCCTCCTGGGGTGCGCGGGTTCTGATCGGTAACATGTACTCGAGTCCATCAATTGTTGTCCATGCGATCGATACTGTGCTGCTTCCAACAAAGATCAAGTGCAACGGCATCTGGACAACCCCTTGGTGAAGTTTTGAGTCGACTCAAAACATGTACTCCAGTCCAGTCCATCAATTGTCATCCATGCGGTCGATTCTGTGCTGCTTCCGACGAAGATCAAGAATGACGGCACGTGGACAATGCCTTGGTGAAGCCAATACTGCCACTGCAGCGAAAGGCAACTCCAGTGCGGTGAAGACTGCTGGTTAGTATGCCTTTTGAGTTGACCCAAAAGGCTCTCCGTACCTGATCCATCGCTATCGTGATCACCACCCACTCTGGTCGTCTGGTTCGTAAAGTAAGCCTGCCGTACCAAGTCAAACTCTTCGTCCAGTGCCGCATGGCCCAGCCCTGATGCTTTTGAGGGTGTTGGCTGTGAGTGGAGCTTCGGCAGCGACGTGATGTGGGGCCGAGGAGAGGGGGGAAGAGGGGAGGGGAGGGAGAGGGCAGAGGGGAGGTGGAGAAAAAGAGGAGAGAGGAAGAAAAAAGAGGCGAAGGGAGGGGTTGAGCGAGGACTGGAGGAACAACCAGCACAGGACATCCACCCGCTCTGGCCGTCGGGCTCGGTGAAGACGGCCTGGCGCACCAACTCACACTCCACTGCCAGTGCCACCTGCAGCAGACATTCTACCTCTGAATCAGTGGCTGAAAGCACTAATAGTTGGCAGTGGATGCACTATTGGAGTATAAAATGTATAGCACCCATGTATATTAATGCAAGTTTACCCATTTCATCATATGACGAGTATGGGGTTGCAATATCGTTGATGAACGTACATGAATGTACAGTTCGGTATTTCTCGAGCCTCACCCCCAACCAACTTCCGTTAGGCTCGGCTGTCGGTGCCACACCACAGAACCTACCATTTCACCACTACCACCCGTTCACCACAGCCAAGCCAAAGACTGCTCCAATCGCCAGCCGCTTTCTGGGCTTGGGTTTGCCCCAGACTCGGAACCACAGGTTCTGACTCGGCTTGGAGCCTCCCAAGCCAAGCCAAGCTCCCATAGCTACCAGAAGTCCAGGCAAAATTGACCCTTCACTTTCCAGGCCCCACCCAAGTCGGGAAGGCCAGCAAGCAGCTCTCCCAACCCAACCAGCTGTACGAATTTGGAACACTGGAGATGCAAGGACGGACGGAATTGAAAGGAAACCAGCAATGGCGAACAACGCGGATTCAGCTGAGTCGTACAACGAGACGTCCCATCCACGGCCTGTCCAGATGCGGCCTCGGCTCGAAAAGCATCCGTACCGAGCCGGCCGGCTTGTGGTCTGCGGGATGCCATGGATTTCGGTTCGGCATTCCGGGGTGTTGGACTAAATTCGAGCAAATAGCAGCCACACAGCTTCTCAAGCCCTCAAAGTGAACTGACTCTAGAATCATTCGAACCTCTGGAATCATTCACGGGTGTTCTTTCCGGCGCTTTTCACCAGTGAGTGACTGAGTATTCGTGCTTACTTGATAGTATCAACACGCTTCGGAATGGCTTCTGTGTCTTCTCCTGCTGCTGCTGCTGCTGCTGCTGCTGCCAGCAGTTCGCAATCAGGGGGACCAGCAGTGTCGGAGGCAGTCATTGTGGGTGGAGGATTGGCCGGCCTCGCAACTGCTATTGGCCTCCGGAACATTGGGATTGACGCACAGGTGGGGTGTTGCCTCGAAGCTGGAACCAATAGGTAAGAGGGGTCGAATCAGGAAAAAACGCTGGAAATCAGGAAAAACAAATGTGAGAATCAGCTAAGATTGTTGAAATTATGATGTGAATAGCTTTTCATCATGATGCATAGTTACCATATCAGTCCTGTTTCTGAAACTTGATCCTTACTGTATTCCCATTGTGCCTGCACAATGCAATTTAGAAATCATGCTTGACATGAAACATGAAACATGTATGCACGAGACGTCTTAAAACATGTATGTCACCATTGCATCTAACATGTCATCATGTTTCTGGTCGTGCGCTGTGATTGCAGATGGAAATGTCTGTGTTACGTACTTATCCGTGTATTTCGCCTCATGGCATTTTAGGCTCTACACACCATCCATGCGACAACATGAAGAATTGAGTTTCACATGTCATGCCCTGCGATGCCATGCCATTTCATGCCATGACATGCCATGCCATGCCATTCCGTGCCATGCCGCACGCCAGCCCATGCTACACCTGAGCCATATTCCCAAATCCAGGTGTACGAGGGATGCGATGAGGTGCGAGGGGAGAGCTTTTGAGATGTCCCGAAAGCCATTCCAACATGCCATGCCTCATTCTTTATGCCACATGACATGCCCCATTTCTAATGCCACATAACATGTATCATGCCACATCCCCACGTGCAGGTATACGAGGCACGGGACGGGGTGGTAGGCGAGGGAACCCTCATCACTCTCTATCCCAACGGACTCAGGGCGCTCAACAGAATCGACCCTGCCATTGTGCCCCAGGCATGTGATGGGTGTGGTGTGTGTGTCGGTGATGCTTTCATGGGATAGTGAGTAGCAGTCGCATGCATGCTCCCTCTCTTACCCAACGGGCTCAGGGCACTCCGAATTGACCCTGCCATTGTGCCCCAGGCATGTGATGGGTGTGGCTGCATGTGATGACGATTGCTATGTGTGAGAGTAATTTCTGCATGTGATGGTGATTGCTGCATGTGATGGTGATTGCTGCATGTGATTGCGCTGCGTGCATGTGATGGTGATGCCGACATTTGTTGGTGATGCGTGCATGTGTTGGTAATACCGTTGCTTGCCTCCTGTCTTTCCCCCATTCCCTTCCATCTCCTCTTTCCCTCAGCTCATATCTCGAGGAGTACCTGACCCCACCATTCTCGGCCGCTCTCCAACCGGCGATATTCTTTTTCAGTGGAACCTCGGGTCCAACATGACTGCCCGCTTTGGATTCCCCCTGCTGAACATCCGCTGGCAAGAGGTGCTCGACGTGTTGCTCGGGATGCTGCCAAACGATGCCGTCCATGCTGGGCACAGGCTCGTGGGGTTTACGCAGGGAGAGGAGGACCATAAAGAGGAAGGGGGCAGTGAGGGAAGTGGCGCAGGCACCAGGATTGGCTCGGTGAAATGCGTTTTTGAACAGATTTCCGGCGGTGAAGAGCGGTTGCTGGAGGTGGAGGTGAGCAGAAGAGGAAGGTGAGCTTCATGACGAAATGTAATTTCGCGGCTCAGGTGGAAAACCCACCTGTGGGGGTACCGGGCGAAGGCATGTCCCTTGGGGACTGCCTTGCCATCCTGGAGCCAGCACTGGAGCTCCCTTAGATGGAGCATGAGAGTGAGTAGGATGTGGGGAGGGGTTAGATGCGGAGATGCATGCTATATATCCACGCGCATGTCTGTACTCGCTCGGATCTAATACACGGACCGCTGGAGGAAGGTGAGGGATGGTTTTGTGTGAAGGGTGGGATGGGGGGGGAGACGGAGTGGGGGAGTGGGGGGGAGGTAGAGAGGTGGCAAGGCAAGAAATGTATTAATCACACGATCACGAGAGTTCTCGAGAACTCTCAACGACACTCTCTTTTGATCACACGATCAAGAGCCGTGGGACTACTACCTCCTCTTTTTCTTCTCTCCCGTCCGCCATGCGTCTGCTCCTGCTAGGTGCAGACGGCAACCACTCTATGCCTCGTCATACCCCTTTCCACCGTGCTTCACCCCTCCTTTTGTTCCCTCCCGTCCGCCAATCCCCTTTGCTGCTGGCGTTCACACACGGACACCCTCTCGTGCTCTCCCATGCTCTCTCCCTCGTCATGATATGGTACCTACTAGTACCTCTTTCCACTACTAGTACCTCTCTCCACCGCACTTGACTGGCATTTCTTTCCCTGAACCTCCCCATTCGCCAGACCCCGCTGCTGCTGGGAGCAGACGGCATTCACTCGGAGGCACGGAAACAGATGCTGGTGGGGACAGCAGGCGAGGGAGTGAGTGCACGGGACAACGGCAGAACCCATTGGAGGGCCATCATCGACAGCTCCCTCTGCCCCCACCCAGTGCGTGCCCCCCTACCCGTTGTGTCCCCTCTGCCTGCACCCCGTATCTGCCCCTCTTCCCCCACCCTATGTGCCTCTCTGCTCCCACACCCTGTGTGCCTCTCTGCTCCCACACCCTGTGTGCCTCTCTGCTCCCACCCGCTGTGTCCCTCTCTACTCCCACCCAGTACTTGCTCCTCCCACCTAAAGTGCATTGAGTCGACTCAAAACACGACTCCACCTTCCCTTCTCTTCCCAACATGCAGATGGTGCAGCCACGTCAGGTAAACACCATAATCGGTGTCGATCGCACTGCAACCACTGGCGATGCTGGAGCCGGAAGGCTCTACTGGTCGCTCGCGCTCGTTGATTCCGCCGATCCGACGGTCAGCAGCGCGCCGTCCAGTGGGGGGGAGGAGGCGAGGGAGAAAATTCTGCGGGCTTTTGAGGGGTGGGATGCGGTGGAGAAGCTGGTGAAGGCCACTTCTTCTGAGCTCATTCGCGAGAGTCGCGTGCTTGACCTCCCTCCCCTGCCCTTCTGGGTCCATGGGAGGGTAGCGCTCATGGGAGGTACGGCTCTCACGGGAGGTATGGTTCTCCTGGGAGGTACTGCAGTGGTGATGGCGTGTGGCTTGTCATGTCATGTGTGGCTTGTTATGTATGGCTTGTTATGTCATGTGTGGCTTGTTATGTCATGTGTCGCTTGTTATGTCATGTGCGGCTTGTTATGTCATGTGTGGCTTGTTATGTCATGTGTGGCTTGTTATGTCATGTGTCGCTTGTTATGTCATGTGTGGCTTGTTATGTCATGTGTCGCTTGTTATGTCATGTGTCGCTTGTTATGTCATGTGTGGCTTGTTATGTCATGTGTCGCTTGTTATGTCATGTGTGGCTTGTTATGTCATGTGTCGCTTGTTATGTCATGTGTGGCTTGTTATGTCATGTGTGGCTTGTTATGTCATGTGTGGCTTGTTATGTCATGTGTCGCTTGTTATGTCATGTGTCGCTTGTTATGTCATGTGTGGCTTGTTATGTCATGTGTGGCTTGTTATGTCATGTGTCGCTTGTTATGTCATGTGTCGCTTGTTATGTCATGTGTGGCTTGTTATGTTATGTGTCGCTTGTTATGTCATGTGTCGCTTGTTATGTCATGTGTCGCTTGTTATGTCATGTGTCGCTTGTTATGTCATGTGTCGCTTGTTATGTCATGTGTCGCTTGTTATGTCATGTGTGGCTTGTTATGTTATGTGTCGCTTGTTATGTCATGTGCGGCTTGTTATGTCATGTGTCGCTTGTTATGTCATGTGTGGCTTGTTATGTCATGTGTCGCTTGTTATGTCATGTGTCGCTTGTTATGTCATGTGTCGCTTGTTATGTCATGTGTGGCTTGTTATGTCATGTGTCGCTTGTTATGTCATGTGCGGCTTGTTATGTCACGTGTCGCTTGTTATGTCATGTGTCGCTTGTTATGTCATGTGTGGCTTGTTATGTCATGTGTCGCTTGTTATGTCATGTGCGGCTTGTTATGTCATGTGTCGCTTGTTATGTCATGTGTGGCTTGTTATGTCATGTGTCGCTTGTTATGTCATGTGTCGCTTGTTATGTCATGTGTCGCTTGTTATGTCATGTGTGGCTCGTTATGTCATGTGTGGCTTGTTATGTCATGTGTCGCTTGTTATGTCATGTGTGGCTTGTTATGTCATGTGTCGCTTGTTATGTCATGTGTGGCTTGTTATGTCATGTGTCGCTTGTTATGTCATGTGCGGCTTGTTATGTCATGTGTCGCTTGTTATGTCATGTGTCGCTTGTTATGTCATGTGTGGCTTGTTATGTCATGTGTCGCTTGTTATGTCATGTGCGGCTTGTTATGTCATGTGTCGCTTGTTATGTCATGTGTGGCTTGTTATGTCATGTGTCGCTTGTTATGTCATGTGTGGCTTGTTATGTCATGTGTCGCTTGTTATGTACATGGGAACAACTCTTCCACTTGTATTCCCCGTTTTCTGTGGTACCGTGCTCAAGTGCACAGGCAGAGGTCAACTGCTTGGTTCTTGATTCCACTCCTGCTTGCCCTCTGCCCTCCCCGCATTTCCCTCTGCCCTCTACCCTCCCGTGTGTCCAGATGCGGCGCATGCAGTGACGCCAGCGTTGGGGCAGGGAGGCAATCTGGCGTTTGAGGATGCGGCTCAGCTGGTGGAGTGCCTCCGGGCAAACTTGCTTGTCAGGTGGGTGCTTGTCAGGTGATTAACTTGTATTGTTCACTCGCAGGCGTTAAATAATAATAATAATAATTAAAAAAACAAAAAACCGTCTCCCCCCGTTGTTACAAAACAATCCCATAGGTGTAGAAATTTGTATTTGACCACAGGAATGTTTTTGCATGTTCAGGTGTAAAGTTCTTCACTCTTTCCAATCCCTCCGCTCACGGGTGGGTATTTGGAACGCCCTAAAACACAACCGCACATTCATCCCTACCCCTTCCCATCCCCATTCCCCTTCTCCTGCCCCCTCCCAGTGATGCTCTTAGCTCCTTCCAATCCATCCGCATGTCACGAGTGCAAGCGGTGTCAGCACGGAACACTGCCCAAACAAAGAAGGTGTTTGACAAGGAGAGAGAGGGGAAAGAGGGGAAAGAGAATAACGCAGCAGGTGGTGATGGAAGCGAGGCGAATGCAGCGCCAAGGATTGAAGAGGTTCAAGCGGCATCGGCTGCAGCATCGGCACGGGAGGGGCGTGATCCTGACGAGGAGCTGTATGGTTATGACATTGTGGTTTTGGAGTAGGATGTGCGAGTGTTGTGCAGTGATTTGTTTCAAGATGTCTCATTACAAGTGGGGCAGGGTGATCCTGACTAGGACATGTATGGTTATGACATTGTGGCTTGACAGGAGGATTTTTGTGTCGCAAGTGTTGTGCAGTAACGTGCCCTTGCTCAAACAGAGAAACAGAGTCATATGGGTACATGCGTGCATGGAGCTAAAACCTCTCAAGGACCCTTCAAGACCAGACGATTCAAGAATTATTGTCAAAAGGAACTGTATCATAGGAGTACAGGTAATGATAGAATTCAGAATCTTCTCCTCCCTTTCCTGCCGCCGTTGCACCTGCCGCTGCTGCTTCAGAACGCATGGAGGTGAAACCCCTCAAGAACCCTTCAAGACCACTCTCAGTTGGAACCCTCAAGGGGAAGTGTATCATAGGAGTACAGGTAATCATAGAACTCAGACTCTTCTCCCCCTCCCTTTCCTGCCGCCGTTGCACCTGCTGCTGCCTCAGTTCCCTTGCTGCTATCCCTCTCTGTGCCCTCTTCTTCTTTATCCTCGTAGATCTTCTTGGACGATGCGACGTTCTGTGAGACCACGGCTTGCACACGAGGCATGCGGATGGACTGGAAGGATTGCAGCACATCACTGCAGAGAGGGTGTGAGGGGAGATAGAGGAGGGGGATGTTGGGACGCATGTGGAGGGGGGGTTGTGAGACCACGGCTTGCACACGAGGCATGCGGATGGACTGGAAGGATTGCAAGGCGTCACTGCAGGGAGGGTGTGAGGGGGGATAGAAGGGGGGAAGGGTGGTGTATATTCAGTCAACTCAAAACACACAGGGACTGAAAGATTTGAAGGCGTCACTATTGAAAGGGGGAGGAGTGGAAGGAGGAAACGGGAAGGAAGAGGAGAGTGTGTAGGGGCTTGAGGAGGGGGGGAAGTGGGGGGAGGGGATGACGAAACAGAGTTCGAAAGGAATCAGGTCACCTGCAATCCACCATCTAATGCAGCAACAACCACATGGCATGCGAGTGCGCGTACCCGACAATCCACCTGGCAACCCATCTGGCATGGGGATGCGCCCACCTGACAACCCACCTGGTATCACACCTGGCAAACCACCTGGCGACCGGGTTGCGCCCACCTGACACCCCACCTGAGAACCCACCTGACAAGCGAGTGTGCCCGGAGGCACTCCACCAGCTGAGCCGCATCCTCAAACGCCAGATTGGCCCCCTGCCCTAACGGTGGCGTCACTGCATGCGCCGCATCTGGACACACAAGCGGGTGAAAAAACAGGAAGGCAGAGGAGACGTCGAAAAGAAGCTGTCGAGACAGGAAGGCAGACGAGATGTTGTGGGAAACACGTGCAGACAAAGATTGTTTTCCTGCCCCAGCGATGCCTCACTGCACGTGCCGCATCTGGACAGACAGAGGACGGTGCAGGCAGAACGCAGAGGGTAGTCCACTGATTGCAGCCAAAAAAAAAAAAAAAAAAAAAAAAAAAAAAAAAAAAAAAAAAAAAAAAAAAAAAAAGCCCCCTCTAGCAGATGTCGTACCTCCCAGGAGAGCCGTCCTCCCTTTGACCCAGAAGGGCAGGGACGGGAGGTCGAGCACGCGGCGCTCAAGAATGAGGTCGGGCGGAGTGGCGAGCGCGAGCTGAGTCACCACATCCCACCCCTCAAACGCCCGCAGGATCTTCCCTCGCGCCTCCTCCCCTCCACTGGACCGCGCGCTGCTGACTGTCGGATCGGCGGAATCGACGAGCGTGAAGGCCCAGTAGAGCCTCCCTGCTGCGGCGTCAGAGATGGTTGCTGTGCGGCCGGGACCCACCATGGCCAGGATGTGGCGAGGCTTGAGGAGCTGAGGGATAAGTTGTGGGATAAGGACCGAGACGGGGTTTTAAACAGGGTTGAAGAAAGTCCCAGTAGAGCCTGCCTGCTGCGGCGTCAGAAATCGTGGTTGTACGGCCGGGCCCACCATGGCCAAGATGTGACGCGGCTTGAGGAGCTGAGGAGCCACGTGTAAAAAGGGTATTTTTGAGACGTCTCAAGAAATCGTGGTTGTACGGCCGGGCTTCTTCAGTAGGCCCACCATGGCCAAGATGTGACGCGGCTTGAGGAGCTGAGGCAGGAAGCTGGGGGACAAGGAAGAGGGAGGTGAAGGAAGAGAAAGGTGGGAGGAGATCAGAACAGACAGGGCAATATGGAAAACAAGACAGCTGAATCGAAAGTCAAGGCTCATGTAGAATAGAAGTTGAGACAGGGATGCACGCAGAGGCGCACATACAGAAGGGGGAGGGAGAGGCACACATACGGGGTGCGGGCAGGGGGGCACATACTGGGTGCGGGCAGAGGCTGCTGTCGATGATGGCCCTCCAGATGGTTCTGCCGTTATCCCGCGGACCCACTCCCTCGCCTGCTGTCCCGCCCAGCAGCTGCTTCCGTGCCTCCGAGTGAATGCCGTCTGCCCCCAGCAGCAGCGGGGTCTGGCGAACAGGGGGGTGAAAGAAAAGGGTGAAATGCGGTGGAGAGAGGTATCATGTGTGGGGCTAGGGCATGGAGGCAAGAGATGCCCTTTGAGTGGATGCTGCCTGCTCCCAACAGCAGTGGGGTCTGGTGAACAGGAGGGTTCAGGAAGGGAATTGTGCGGTGAAGTGTGGTGGAGAGTGGTACCACAACGAAAGAGAGGGCATAGCAGAAAGAGTGGCGGTCTTTGCGTATGGCGGGTGAGCGGAGAAAGAAAGCGAGGGGTGACATGCGGTGGACAGAGGTAGTGCTGAGCGGAGGAAGTGCTTCAAAAAAGGGTTGGAGTGGCCAAGAGAGAGGAAAGTGCCCAAGTGGTTCCTCGCATCAACCGTGTCTCCCCCCATACCGATATTGTCTGTCACCAACCCACCTCCACAGGTACAAGATGCTCATTGTCACACGAAACTGTGGAGAAAAATCTTCCACCGCACCCCACCCCCCTCAGAACCCACCTCCACGCGCACGAGATGCTCGTTTGCCACACGAAACAGTGGAGAAAAAGCACTCCACCATGCCTTCCCCCTCCGCCACGCCATCCCTCTCCACCGCACCCGAATCCTCCCCATTCCTTCCAGCCTCCTCCCTCTGCGTGACCTTCACGAGGCGGTGGCCGGTGTGTACGGCGTCGTTTGGCAGCATTCCGCGCAGCACGTCTAGCACGTCGCGCCAGCGGATGGAGAGCATGGGAAGGCCGAAGCGGGCCGTCATGGTAGCACTGTAGCCCCACGGGGCGATGACTTCACCCGCGGGGGAGAGGAGGAAACTCGCAGGGTCCGTGACACCTAAACGAATCAGCTGCAGGGGAGGAAAGCAAGAATGAAAGAAGAGGGTGTTGGAATCAGCGCAGCACGTTCAGCACGTCTCGCCAGCGAATGGCTCTCGAGACATCTGAAAAGTCGCAGCACGTCGAGCACGTCGCGCCAGCGGATAAAGAGCATGGGCAGGCCAAAGCGGGCAGTCATGGTGGCACTGTAGCCCCACGGGGCTGTGACTTCACCCGCGGGGAGGAGGAGGAAACTCGCAGGGTCTGTGACACCGAGAGGAATCAGCTGGTGATGGAGGGATGGGGGCAGGGAAGGGGGCAGGAGAGGGTGTCTGATTGAGAAGCGCGATTTCTCAACGAATGGACTGCATAGGAAGGATGTTGGCGGTAGCGGGCGGTCATGGTGGCACTGTAACCCCATGGGGCTGTGACTTCACCCGCGGGGGAGAGGAGGAAACTCGCAGGGTCTGTGACACCGAGAGGAATCAGCTGGAGGAGGGAATGGAGGAAGGGGTGGGGAGAGGGGGAGATGAAGCAGAGGGAAGTGGTTGCTGGCAGGGAGAAAGGAAGGGAATAAGAGGGTGTTGCATGCCGTGCAGCACGGCCTGCCAGCGGATGGAGAGCATTGGAAGGCCGAAGCGGGAGGTCATGGTGGTAATGTCCCCATGGGGCGATGATTTCACCCGCAGGGGACAGCAGGAAGCTGGCCGGGTCTGTGACTCCCAGGGGAATCAGCTGAAGGCGGGATGGGGGAGGGGAGGAGGAAGACACGTGCTGTTGGATTGGGAAGAGCATGGGCAGGCCGAAGCGGGCGGTCATGGTGGCACTGTAGCCCCATGGGGCGATGATTTCACCCCCGGGGGAGAGGAGGACGCTGGCTGGGTCTGTCACTCCCAGAGGAATCAGCTGGACAGAATGGGGGAGGGGAGAGAAGGTTGAAAAAGGGAGGGGGCGTGAAGAGCGTCATGAGAGGATGCTGGAAACAGGAAGGCTGCCGTTAGAAGTGGGCGATTAAGGTGGCACTGGGGCGATGACAAAACCACGTGATTGAAGAAGTGCTTTGAGACGTCTCAAAACACTTCTTCAAGCACTGGGGCGATGACAAAACCCGAAGGGGCTAGGTCGAGACTGGTAGGTGGTCTGTCACTCCTATAGGAAAGAGATGGAGAGAATGAGCAGCGAGGAAGAGGAAGGAAGGGGGTGGTGCCCTCACATAGGAATCAAGAGATGCAACCGTTACAGTCACATGCAGCTGATCCTATCACACACAACTACTCACTACCTCATGCAAGCATCACCGACACACACAGCCATGACTATCACGAATCACATGCCTGGGGCACGATGGCAGGGTCGATTCTGCTGAGCGCCCTGAGCCCGTTGGGGAAGAGAGAGATGATGGTGCCCTCCCCTCCTCCCACCTCCTTGCGCGCCTCGTACACCTGCACAAAGGTCATGGGACAAAAAACAAGAATAGGACGCGCGTTGAGCCCGTTGGGAAAAGAGAGATGATGGTAGTTCTCGCCTCCTCCCACCTCTTTGCGTGCCTCGTACACCTGCGCGCCAGTTTTGAGACATGGTACGTCACTTGGCATGGAATGATGATGCGCGTAAAGCATAGCATGACATGTAGCAATGGTGCTAGCATTGTCGCAGTGGTGGTGCTGCTGGCTGGTGTTTGCACAGTAGCAGTGGTGCCGACACTGTAGCACTGCCGCTGTAGCAGCAGTTGAGTAGAGAAAGAACATGTGGAACCACACAAAATGTGCCGACTGGAATCCCAGCTCGCTCACCTGCGCGTCAATCCCAATGTTCCGGAGGCCGATAGCCAATGCGAGGCCGGCCAATCCTCCACCCACGATGACTGCCTCCGACACTGCTGGCCCCCCTGTCTCCTTGCTGCTCGCAGCAGCAGTAACTGCAGCAGCAGCAGAAGCGGAAGATGCAGAAGCTGAAGCAGCGACACCCCTGCTGCCGTGGTTAGCACCAGGAGCAACAGCAGACGCCATCACTGCACGAATAGCTCTCTTAAACCTGCTGCTACAGCAGCCGCTCTTGCCGTTTCCGCAACCGTTGCTGGTCAAGCAACCCTCACAGAAGCTGGTGGAGAGCACTATGGGGGTTCCAGGCGTGAGACGCACTGCCTGTGATGCTTGTGCCTTGAATCGAACAGCCTGAAAACGAGGATTACGACTCCGTAGTGCCTCTGGTGTACGCAGTATACGCGGTGTAGAGTGATAGGTGAGCAGACACATGTTTCTGGCGCCTGCTATTCCGTAAGCACTTGACACGCCAGTGGCAGTCATAGCCGATGCCTCCTGGGAACCTGACGGTGCTGGACTTAGTAACGCTCCGGAGCACTATGCTATATCCCGGAACGACTCGAACCGGAGACCGTCGCGGAAACTCTTATTCCAGGCTTAGGACCTTGAAGCCCGCTTCGTGCCATTGAGAGACATAGCGTGCCATTGAGAGACATAGCGTGCCATTGAGGAACAGAGGGCCTCGGAACGACGTCGTTTCGAGCTATGATGGCAAGAAACCGGAGCAACTGAACGCCTCGGATTGAGACTTTGAGAGCGGATATGATCCTGGACGTCCAATCCCGATTGAGACCGTCCGAATCTTGAACGGAAGGACGGAATCGACGGGCGACGGCGAGTCTCCTCGATATGAACGTCGCCTCGAGCCATCCGAGGAACTGTATCGCCTGGGTCAAATCGCCACTGGATCGAAATGCTCCCTATGGAGCCGCGAGCAAGGCGGCCCGTCGTAAGCTCGCGAAGAACATCACTGCACATGATGATGACGCACGCACCTACTTATCTCCCAAGTCTTTCTCACTGCACAGACTAGAATTTGCGCTGTGACTGTCGCAATGAATGACGTCAGCGAAGGGGTATTTTTGGTCTCGGGATTGCCGAAACAAGCCGACTCGTTCATTTCTGAATTGGACTGTCCATCTACAGTAGTTTTGACAGATACCTAAAATCTTCCACGTCAAGTCAAAAACTCGACTAACGTGCCTCGCAACTTGGGCCGCGGGCTTGCGGCGACTGTTACAGGCGGCTGAACAAGCATATGCATCCTTGCTTTCTAAGAAGTATATGTCAACACCATGACCGGCTGTATGTTGGCCTTATCCAGGTTCTCCCTATAAGTGGCTTCGAGGCTGGACACCCCAAACACGTCCAGCAGCTTCCATCCGTCGAGCAGCAGCGGCATGCGGATGGGACCGTACACCCGATGCGCATTGAACACCAGCGTGTCGTTGCCCACTGGGAGCCCCAGGAAGAAGAGCCCTCCTGGCTTGAGAAGACCCTTGATCTGCGCAGTTGAACGGGGAGGAGGGGATGCCAGGGAATGGGAATGCATGGGAAGACATGCGATGACAGGACATGTGATGCGCATTGCATTGAACACCAGGGTGTCGTTGCCCACTGGGAGCCCCAGGAAGAAGAGCCCTCCTGGCTTCAACAGGCCCCTGATCTGCGCAATGGGGAAGGGGGGAGGAGATGCCAGGGAATGGGAATGCATGGCAAGGCATGAGAATTTAGGACATGTGATGCGCACCAGTGTGTTGTTGCCCACTGGCACCCTCAGGAAGAAGAGTCCTCCTGGCTCCAGGAGACCCCTGATCCGTGCAGCAGCGAGGTGACTTTTGAGTTGACTCAGAAGTCTCCTCCTGGCTTCAGAAGGCCCCTGATCCGTGCAGCAGCGAAGGGGAGGAGGGAGGAATGTGGGGGAATGGGGGAGATCCCAGGGGAATGCGAATGGATGAGTAGTGAGAAGATGGTACGAGCGTTGAGAAATTGGAGACCAGTGTGTTGTTGCCTACCAAGACACCCAGGAGGAAGTCTCCTCGCGGATTTAGAAGGTCATTGATCTGTGCAGCCACAAGGGGAGGAGATGGAAAATGGAAAACAGAAAATGACATGAGAAATGACATGGGAAAGGACATGGGAAATGGCATGTGAACATATGACGTTTGGGAGCATTAGGCTTGGGAGGGATGGCAGAACGTGGTAAACGGGGATATGGTAAATGACTTCCAGCGAATGGAAAATGGTAAATGACATGATGCATGACTTCCAGTTCCGGGGAACTGGAACATATAAGTATTGGGGCATAAGGCTCGCGAGGGATAGCATGACGTGATGGGGACTTGCTAGGCGGCTCAAACGGCTCAAACACGTCGGAAGCACGGTTATGCAGACCGTATCATGGAAATCCGCATCCCATAGGACCGAGGCACCTAAGCAAAATTACCTTTGCCATTCTCTGCAGATCCCCATTTGGGTTTAGCGGATCGCCATATCTCCCCAGCCCATCGTGCTCCAGCGACGAATACGAAGCTACCACGTCAAACGTCTCATCTGTAGCGTCCAGCTCAGCAATATTCCACAGCCTCAATCCGGGATAATCTGCAACGGGTTTGTTGAAATCAACGGTCGTGATCGACCCAGCGTTGAACGCCAAGAAAATCCCCTCAAGCCAAGGGAGTTGACTCCCTACCACCAGCACCGACTTCCCTTTCACAGGGTACGCATCCAATGCCTGGTAAAAACTTTGGGTAGCATTTTTCCCGTAACTTGAAACTCTCAGAGATCTCTTCTCTGCCTGTCGCCGTTTCTGGTTAATCATTTCGGTCGTCCAGACAACCTCCTTCGCTCCGGAGTCGTCCAGATCCGTCCCGAGGAAAGCCTCAACGGTCCGGATCGAGCCGTTGACTGTGAAGGCATCGCGGACGGACGGTCGGATGTACGTCCAGGGGATGGGTCCCTGGAGGCCGTAGTCCTGAATGTGGAATCTCGAGGGTTTTCTAGAGTCTTGCTGGTTACTGGCAGTGATTGCGCAGTCGTCAGATGGTCGGCTCGGATTGTCATTCCACGAAGCCGTGTCTGCACGGTGTTTGTACACAGGGACAAGGTGGGACCGTTGAGGACGCGCGATGAGACTAATGGTATGAGAACTTAAAAAAAAAAAAAAAAAAAAAAAAAAAGAGTAGGGGTTGCTCCCAAGTTGACTCTGAAAGGTACTCGAAAGGAGCATGTGATGGTAATACCGTGGGTGCGGTGACGTCTGCCTAGTGGATGTGAGTGGAATGAAGAGCAACGCGGGCGTCGGGGCTTACAGCATTGGCTTGTGATTATAACGGTGGCGATCAGGACTGCTGACAAGAGTGCCGTCTGCTGCCAGTTCACCACTTTCGCCACACGCTCAGCTGCAGTTACCATGACGAATGACTGATTACGAGTGTACTTTCTGTGTATATCGCGCTCAGATTTATCACTGTTACGTTACGCTGTCGCCTCAATATTGAAGTGACCTTGGCGCCGTTGCAAGTGCACACGTCGAACTAGTTTCGAATCACTTAATTGGACGCGCGAGTCGTTACGATGACTGCTGCATTGCTGCTAAGTTCTACAAGGGCTCCCTTCAACTACACCGATCTTAGCACTGTACCATCTGACAAATCTACACGCCGCATTGTGATTGAACTCAAACTGCTAGTTTAGGATTCGTGCACTCCTCTGTGAAGCTCTGCCCGCTTGTCCGAGGTTCTCTCTCGCTTCCCGATTTGAATCTGTGACTACCGATCGGTAAGTGTCTCTCTCCTTACCTGTATCTACTTAGTAGGGGAGGAGATGGTACGCATCACCTAGGAGGAAAAGGAAACAATCAAAACAGGGGGCCTGGTGTGGTGTACGGAGAACAGTGCCGAATCCGTGCTTCAGCACCTAGCCCACGCGCCAATTTTCTGACATCGTCCATACGCTTTGTAAAACATGCTACGAAAGTATACTAGTCATAACAATACCACTACAGATATTATGAACCTATGGGGCGCACAAAATGAACAACACCAAAATTTTCAGAGAGGACATAGAACCGCTGAATGCGTTTAGGGAAAATTTTATGCTCTTATTGGTTATACGCAATCCGTACCATTTCATTTCTACATTAACATTGTTTTATTTCAGAATATTTTTTGTTTCTGCTTTTGGATGTGAGTATACTCACGAGTATATGCCGTTCTTCGTGGAACTTCCAAAAGAGGCCGCTCTTGCTGGAGTCAAACGCCACGATGATGGTTATGGCGGCATGGGCGCCGTTTGCGGATGGCAGGTGCAGCCACGTCAATTCCACGTCAGATTCTTTACTTTCACTTTTCTTGAATCTCCCGCTTTTTCCGAACCAGGAAACGCTTGCCCTTTGGCTTCTGGTACGGTCAGCAGGTTTGGAGACGACTTAAAAAATTTGAGAGTTTTACGTAACTGTTCAAGCAATTGACAGACCGTTGTTTTGATAGTCCGTTTTCGTTTCATAGTGCTACTTGTTCGATTCGAGTGAATTCTCCAAATCCGCCCATAACTTACTGATGCTGTCGATAACCTAGTGGGAAGAATCATCGTCGTCACCACTTTTGGGTCCCTCTTCCAACACTGGGTGGAGGAGGGGCATCACCGCTCCCCCGTCACACTTGGGAGTTGTTTGCTTTGAGGCGTTTAACGAGTGCCGGCGAGTTCTGCCAGCCCCCCAGAAGGGGGTTTCGCGCTGCTCTCTGGGTGGCGGCTTACGGTCGATAGTCGGGGAATACCAAAGGAGATTTCTTCTAAAACCTCGAGCCGTTTTACGTATTACCAGAATACACGTGCAGGGTCTACCTCTGTAGTCTAGATGCACGGTAAATAAATTCGGCATTCTCCGGACCTCTGGGAATACCAGAAACCGTTTTGACGAGCTCTGTTTGTCTCGACAACTCTCCAAGGCTCCTACTATCAAGGGCTCCAAGTGTTTTGGGGACTTGAGCTCACTTTTCCCTCCTCGAGTTCTCCCTTCCACCTCACTTCGAACTGGGGTTCTGCAAAACATCCTCCCTTGGCCTTTTTCCCAGCCGAGGCCCTGACCTCATCACATCCGAATCCCGAGGCTTGAAGGGGCGACCAACATCAGAGCAGCAACACTTCCTGCTTCCTGCTGTGCTGTGCTGTCTGCTTCTGTTAGGGTTCCCAAGCGACGAAAGAGAAATTGAGAATGAGGAAGCTCAAACCCCCGTCACCTGAGAAGTGATGGCATGAGCATGTCGTGCTTCCTGGGCTTGTGCCGCGTGAACCTCCTGGTTCGGCTGGGTGGACTCCCGACACATTAGAACCAAACTTATAACCAGTGCTAGCTCTGGCCTTAGCACATGTCCTATGCACGACGAACGAGGTGTTGATCTATGGCCCACCAGTGACAAGTAGATTATTTCTAGACATTTCAATGTAGAGGTAGCTCGAACTAGTTTGTGCGCTCCGGCTTCAGCTCCATGTACGGCATTCTAGATGTGACACTCCAACTAACTACATATTTGTCTACATTATTTTCGTAATAATTTCGTCTAATATAGTCGCCTTCGTCCAACATTACTTAGCTCATTCCCTGATCTGAAACGCGTGAATAATTGCTCTTCGCAAAAAATCGGTTTTCGCGAATGTTCGCGGTTCGAGAAAGCTCGTCGCCGCGGCGAGGCTCGTGTTGATGGAGGCTCGTCGATGGCCAATGGAGAAGCGCCTTCCTCCAACGGCTACATGCAAGCGGCCGCCGCTCCTCCCGCTCCTCCCGCTCCCCGACCCAAGCTCCCCTCTTCCACCCCCTCCCCATCGGCTAAAGCGCAGCTTTCTTCCGCCAAGCCACAACCCGCTTCCGCTAAAGCGCAACCTTCATCGGGCAAAGCGCAGCCTGCTTCCGCCAAAGCACTGCCCTCTTCCGCCAAAGCGCAGCCTGCATCGGGCAAGGCGCAAGCTTCCCCCGCCGCCGTCTCAGCCGCCGTTGCCGCCGCTGCCGCCGCTTGCGCCAGTGCCAGCGCCGCTGCTGCGTCGCCGGACGCCGCAAGCGCACCACCCGGGCCGTCCGCCGCCGCATTCTCTGAGGCGCCTCGAGACTCGCCTTCTGTCGCCGCCTTTTCCGAAGCGCCTCAAAGATCGCCGACAGCAGCAGCCGCCGCCGCTGCCGCAACGGCGGCACCGGCGCGGGCGGCGACGCCATCGCCGCCATCTCCGCCATCGCCGCCACCGCCGCCGCTGGCTCTTCCCGCGCCGCCGCCGTCCCCTCCGCCGCTGCACGTGCAGCTTCAGCTGCTGCACTTCCCGTACTTGTCGGAAGCATGGACGGCTGAGGAGCAACGGCTGCTGGATCAAGGTCTCGCAAGGTGGGGCACTGGGGCTCGGATTGGTTGGTGTTTTTCAAGATAAAGAAAGATAGCGGTGAAAATGCAGAGGAGAAAGCCATTAGAGTTCTGCTGCACGTGCACGGGTTAGAGTTCTGCAGGAAAGTCGCTGAAGGGTTTCGTTGGCTGCGCGATAGAGTCGTTCGAGGGTGCGACGTCGCACGGCAGTGTCATCTTAGAGGCACGGCCGTGTCGACTGATTCGCGACCGCGTCACTCGATCCCCCGTCACAACAGGTCGGACGTGGTCGTTGCGAACACGTACTTTCGACATGAAGCCCGCTCGATGAACGTACTAGCTCGTTCGGTGAGGAGCCGATTGGCTGTTTCAGTGTGTACGAGCCATTACCGCAATCGTCAATGCCGGCTCCTAGTTGCCTAGAACCCTAAACCCGCTTGTGTTCTGTTCTTGGTAGATTTATGCAGCTTGCGTGCGGTATTGTGAGCGAAGGTCAGTCACAGTGACCGTTGGCTTTCGATCTCCTTGGCGACGCGCGAATGTAGTGAACGACATCTAGTAAACGAGAGTGGACGATTGTCCTGCCTTTGAGCGACATCTACTCCATGGCTGTCCAGTTACAGGGGAGAAAAACCGTGTGTATGCGAACCAGGGTTCCTTTTGTTGGAATCCGTTGCCACCCACATTGACTTTCGTGAACCCATCCGTTCCAGTTCCCGCGAGCATTTACAGCTTCCTTCTAGCGCTCTCGTATAGCCGAATGTCTTCTCTTTTTCCCCTTCCTCCCCTGCCCCCTCCTCCTGCCCACAAACTCCAGGTCTCCCCCTCTCCAGGACCTCGGTAGGTAGCGCCTGCCCCCCTCGCCCACCGCCACTTCCAGTTCGCGCGTTTACACCTTATGCTCAACCTCTCTCAGAGCCTAATGTCTTCCCATCGTCCCGTCCCTGCCCTTTCCCTTTTCCCCCTCCGCCTTCCCCACCCCAGGTTCCCCGCGGGTCAGTTCACCCCCGCGCAGCCCTACCTCAAGATCACGGCGTCGGTACCGGAGAAGTTTTGAGGCGTCACAAATCCTCCCTTCCCCCACTTTCTCCCCAACCAACCTCTTGCTTCCCTTTTTCCCTCCCCCCCCCGCCAGGTTCCCCGCGGATCAGTTCAACCCCCCCCAGCGCTACCTCAAGATTGTGGCGAGCCTGCCGGAGAAGACCGCCCGGGACTTCGCAACTCTCCAGGCAATGATATCCGATCCTCCCTCCCACCCTCCCCCCCACACCCCCCCACCCCCCATCCCCCCACCCGCCTCTCCCCCCCCCCAGGTTCCCCGCGGATCAGTTCACCCCCCCCGCAGCGCTACCTCAAGATTGCAACATCTTCTGCCGGATAAAACCGCCCGGGACGATTCAACTCTCCAGGCTATGATCTCCCATCCTCCCTCACACCCTCCCCCACACTCCCCTCCACCCCCCCCCCCGTCCTCCCTCCCCCCCCCGCGCCCCCGCCCCAGGTTCTCCGCGGATCAGTTCACCCCCCCCCAGCGGTATCTCAAGATCGCAGCGAGCCTGCCGGAGAAGACCGCCCGAGACGTGGCTCTGCGCTGCAAATGGCTGCAGGTGAGCGAGGTCGCACCTGGGGGAGGTGATATCTGCTGAAAGTTCACTTGTATCACGAGAAGACCGCCCGGGACGTGGCCCTGCGCTGCAAATGGCTGCAGGTGAGGCTGCACCTGGGGGAGGTGATATCTGGTAAAAGTTCACTTGTGTCACGAGAAGACCGCCCGGGACGTGGCCCTGCGCTGCAAATGGCTGCAGGTGAGGCTGCACCTGGGGGAGGTGATATCTGGTAAAAGTTCACTTGTGTCACGAGAAGACCGCCCGGGACGTGGCCCTGCGCTGCAAATGGCTGCAGGTGAGCGAGGCCGCACCCGGGGGAGGTGATATCTGCCAGGAAAGGCCGCACCTGGGGAAGGTGATATCTGAAGCGGTGGTTCGATTTTTGAGGCGACTGCCTCAAAGCCGCAAATGTGGGAGGTGATATCTGGTGCATTCTTGTCATAAAAGCACCCTTGCAATGCCTTTCCTTTCCTACCCTTTCCCCCCTCCCCTCCCCTTTTTTCCTCCCTCCCCGTTCCCCTCTTCCCTCACCCCTCATTCCACGGCCCGGAATCAGCCATAATAGGGTCTGCTGCGGAATCATTCCACAGCAGAGCAAAGTACTTTGCTCTGCTGCCGGCCATCTCCTCCCACTCCATCCATCGCACCCCCTCTCTCTCTCTCTCCCTCCCTCTCCTTCTCCCGCTGTCCCCTCTGTGTCGTCTGATTGCTCGCCCCTGTGACACAGAGGAAGGAGGCAGGCAAGAGGCGGAGGGCGGAGGAGATCACAGCAGCCAAGAAGCAAAAGGACAAAAAGGCAAGCGGGCTCCCTTCCCCATCTCTCCTCTCCCCTTGTCTCTTCTTGAGTCGACTGAAAGAAAGAGGGCGGAGGAGATCACAGCAGCCAAGAAGCAAAAGGACAAAAAGGCAAGCGGACTTCACTCCCTCTCTCTCCCCCTCTTGACTTTTGAATCGACTCATTAGTCACCTCGTTTCGAGTCGACTCAAAGGGCGGAGGAATCACAGCAGCCAAGAAGCAAAAGGAAGAGAAGGCAAGCACACTCCTCCTCTCCCTCTCTCTCACCCTCTCTCCTACTCTCTCCCTCTCTTTGCCTTTGCGTCTCTCACTCTCACTCTGCGTCTCCGCCTCTTTGTTCCTCTCTGCCTCTAAACTTCTGAACTGCGCTTCTCTTCGGTTGTTTATACTCTCGTTTCCATCCCCGTCCCACTGCAATTTCACGTCCTCACATTTCCGTCGTTTGCATTCAGGACAAGGACCAGCAGCAGCGAGTGCAGGCAGCAGCAGGGGAACCCACACCAGGAGGTGGGGGAGGAGCAGCAGGGGCAGGCGGGGGAGGGGGGGCAGGGGGAACAGGCGGAAGCACTGCAGGAGGTGGGGCGGCGAGGGCAGGGGGGCAGGGTATGGTCAAGGCGGAAGCTGCAGGTGCTGGGGACGGTGCTGGGGCGAGAGGGGCAGGGGGAGGTGTATCTGGTGGAGGTTTATCTGGCGCAGCAGCAGCAGGGGGAGGTGGCGGTGATGGGTGTGGTGGTGCCGACACGCAGACAGACGGTGCTGACAACAGCGGCAGCTTGCTATCCGGTACGTGTGGAGTTGAGTGGTGGTGGTTGTGATGGCTGTGCTGCTGCTGCTGCTGACACGCATACAGACGGTGCTGACATGACAACAGCAGGGGATCTGTCACCCGACAAGCTACTCGAGCAGAACGTGGGGCTCATCTCCAAGCATCAAGTCTCAGGTTTGCAGCTACTCCACGATGAATCTTGAAGCAGAACGTGGGGCTCATCTCCAAGCATCAAGTCTCAGGTTTGCAGCTACTCCACGATGAATCTTGAAGCAGAACGTGGGGCTCATCTCTCAAGCATCAAGTCTCAGGTTTGCAGCTACTCCACGATGAATCTTGAAGCAGAACGTGGGGCTCATCTCTCAAGTCACGTGAGGTGAGGGTGTTTTTGAGACGTCTCAAAAACACCCTCACCTCTCGTGGGGCTCATCTCTCAAGTCAAGCAGACACGTTCATTCCCACTGCCTCTCCCCCCTCCCCCTCCCCCCCCCCCTCCCCCCCCCTCCCCCCCCACCCCTCCTCCATCACAGGGGATCTGTCACCCGACGAGCTACTCGAACAAAACGTGGACCTCATCTCTCAAGCCCCTTCGAGGCGCCTCTAAAGTCGACCCATTGTGTCTCCTCTCCTCTCATCTCCTCTCCTCTCATCTCCTCTCCTCTCCTCTCATCTCCTCTCCTCTCCTCTCATCTCCTCTCCTCTCCTCTCCTCTCCTCTCCTCTCCTCTCCTCTCCTCTCATCTCCTTTCCTCTCATCTCCTTTCCTCTCATCTCATCTCCTCTCCTCTCCTCTCCTCTCCTCTCCTCTCCTCTCCTCTCCTCTCCTCTCCTCTCCTCTCATCTCCTTTCCTCTCATCTCATCTCCTCTCCTCTCCTCTCCTCTCCTCTCCTCTCCTCTCCTCTCCTCTCCTCTCCTCCCCTCTCCTCTTCTCTCTCGCAGGGGATCTGTCACCCGACAAGCTACTCGAGCAGAACGTGGACCTCATCTCCCAAGTCAAGCAGACACGTTCATTCCCACTGCATCTCCTCTCCACCCCCCCACCCCACCCCTTCCCCCACCCCTCCCCTCGCAGGGGATCTGTCACCCGACAAGCTACTCGAGCAGAACGTGGACCTCATCTCTCAAGTCAAGGCGGCACTGGCGGCAAACAAGGTGGGCATGCTGTTGCCTGGTAACCAGGTGTTAAAGTAACTAGGTAGCCATGTACCAGTCTGATATCACGAACTCTAAGGACTTGAATAATGCCTCCACCTGCCTCCACCTGCCTCCACCTGCCTCCACCTGCCTTTTTCTACTTCTAGCTGACGAGGAACGTTGTCTCTTAAGCTGCTAACTAGCTCCTCCTGCTGTTGCTGCTTCTATGGCCTTCCCACACCCCTGGCAGTCGCAGGAGTGCAATGGCCTCCTGATTCGGCTAAGAGACAACATTCTCTCGGTTGTTCATGGGTGAGTGCACGCCCTATTCCCCCCTCCTCTCTCTAAGGATATACACTCCCCTCCTTCACCTCACACGCACACACACCGCTTGATTCGGCTGAGAGACAACATTCTCTCGGTTGTTCATGGGTGAGTGGACGCACCCACAGAACAACACTCACTCACCTCCTCCACACCACTCACCCCGTCCTTCACACCACACACCCACCTCCTGATTCAGCTGAGAGGCAAGATCCTCTCAGTCGTCCGTGTTATATTCGTGCCTCCCATCCCATCCATCCCCACACACCACACCTGCCTCTCAGGCTCAACAACATGCCCTCTCACCGCTTCACACCACTTGCTTACCACCTCCTGCCCCCTCCCCCCCCCCTCTCCCCCCCTCCACGCACTCGCACACGTGCGCGCGCACGCGCCCACACACACGCCCCCCTCCTTCACCCCCTCCGCCTCCGCGTCCCCCTCCCAACACACGCACACATGCTCACACTACATCCGTCCTCGCTCTGTCCTCCCCTCCCACCCAATGGCCTGTCCTCGTTACAGGACGACCTCAACCTTGGTACAATTTACAAATGATCCAGCTGCTACCTCTCCCAGTCAATTCTATCTTAAACCTTTCTCCTCCCCCCCTTTCACCCACTTGGCCTGTCCTCGTTACAGGATGACCTCAGTCCCCGGTACAATGAGCCAGATGCCACCTCTCCCAGTCAAGCCTAACCTAGACCTCGCCTGCCAAGTCCTCTCGCCCTCCCCATCCTCCTCCCTCATCCCCATCTCCATGCCGCCTGGCCTTCCCGCAACAACCATGCACGCTACAACCTTCCCCGCTACAGCCGTCCACGCTACAGCCGGCCTGCCAGCAGGAACAGGCCCAGCTGCTGCCGCTACACCCATGCTGGGGGCTACAGGCATGCCTGCTACAGCCGGCCCTGCTACAGCCATGCCAGGCCTCCCCGCTACAGCCATGGGGGCAGCAGGAATGGGAGGAATGGGAGGAATGGGAACCATGGGGGGCATGGGAACTATGGGGGGCATGGGAGGTATGGGGGGCATGGGGGGGATGGGAGGGATGGGGAGTATGGGGGGCATGGGGGGGATGGGAGGTATGGGGCCGATGAGGGGAGCGCCTGGCATGCCCATGGGTATGCCCATGCCCATGCCCATGGCTATGATGCCTTCCATGGGACCGCCACCAGGTGCAGGAGCCATGTCACAGTGATGACTCGTCCAGTGCCATCCGAGTTGCAATAGTGCCAATGCCAACCGTCGCTCTCAACCGTCGCTCACAACCGCCTCTGCCAAGCGCCTCTCATACTGCTACCGTACCTCTTCCTGCCATACAAAAGCTCCACACATTCCAAGCGCCTCTCATACTGCTACCGTACCTCTTCCTGCCATACAGAAGCTCCACACATTCCAAGCGCCTCTCATACTGCTACCGTACCTCTTCCTGCCATACAAAAGCTCCACACATTCCAAGCGCCTCTCATACTGCTACCGTACCTCTTCCTGCCATACAAAAGCTCCACACATTCCAAGCGCCTCTCATACTGCTACCGTACCTCTTCCTGCCATACAAAAGCTCCACACATTCCATCTCTTTCCTTGTTCTCGCTAACAGCCCACTCATCCCCTCCGCTGCTTACTTCCTCTCACTAACTCCGGGTCTCCTCCTCCCCCCTCCCCTAACCTCCCCCACTTTTTTCACAGCTATCTCGCTCCCCTCCCCTCGCTCTCCACCCACGTCCCTCCCTTTGTAACCTCATCTCCCTCGCTCTCTTATCCGCTCACACTGCTACCTCACTGTCTCTCCGCTAAAGGCTATCTGCTACAGCTTCCTTCCAGCCCTGGGGTTTGCCTCGCATGCTGCATGCTGCAGAAGTCACGGCTCTGGCCAGGGCAATTACCGCTGGTCTGAAAACAGCAGGGGGTTGGGTGGGGGGTCTCGGGTGTAGACGGTTGCGACCGTACAGTTTTAGTGCTTCCGGTACAGAGGAGGTGGTGGGAGCGGATTGCTGTGCGGTGCATGCTGCGTGCTGCAGCTATGTTGTCGATGCAGTGTCATCACCTTTCCCTGCACTCCTGGAAGCGAGGCCATATGGTTAACACTGGGACGGGTTTAGTTACTACTGCTCTGCTAGGATTTAGGTAACTCCCAAAGAAAGGTTCCCTTGATGCTCTTTGTCAATGACACGGGGAGAACCATTTGTCATTATAATTCAATGGGATGCAATTTGTAACATGCATGTTAACAAGAAGGTTGTAGTGTAGGTCTCTTACCGACCTGTTTGGCGGTGCCTTCATTGCTACACATAGACTCAGCCCGTTGGACTATTTTGGCTGCCAGCGTGGCAACGAGGTCCAAGCTTGGTGTAAAGAATGACGTGTAGCGAAGAGATGTTCAGGCGCAATTGTGATCAGCATGGACTCAGGTCCGCAAGATCCGGAAGGTGGCCACAGAAATGGTTGATGCTTCGGAGATGCAAAACTGAATCTCCTCATCCTACGGTACAGGTCGAATGTGAGCCTCCGTATCGGACGGTTTACATTGCATGTCACGTCACCCTTGATGCTCGATGTTTGTATGTTGACCCACCCTTTTCCACTCATTTGCATACCTCTCCAAACCTCTGTTCCCCATCTCTCCATATCTGTTGTTGTCCTCTGTTCTGCTCCCCATCTCTGGACCTTGAAACTCTCGTGGGGAAAAGATCAACCAGGGCCGAACATTGCCAGAGGGGTGTTCAAAGTAGAGCCGGTAAATCTCGACCGTAGGATTTCAGCCCAGAGCTGCCCAACCGATTTGGCGAACAAGCCGAACCGGAAGTAAACGATATTTGCTAGAAGAACCAAATTTTGTATTCATGTTTTTATTGAGGTTTTTGACCTCCGTCTACTACAGCGCGCGCGTCGCCTTCTTCTGGAAGTAAAGTTCGGCGGATCAAATCGTGAGTACGTATAACATATTATATTCTGGGTGATAAATATCACCTACCCGATCGTAGACGCACTGGAAAAAAATATATTACCCATTCGGAAACAGATGCGACTCGGGAGGCATCAACCCTAAATACCAGGAAGTTATCCGTTTTAGGGTTGACCCATCCCGAAAATGCATCCAGGTTCCCTAAGAGTTGTAGTTTTTTTTGCTGCCCTTAGAGTTTCCAGTACAGTCGGCTCGCTAAACGACACGCGAGCGAAAATGCGAGCCGGTACATGCCACTAATAACATAATTACGTGCAATAAAGGAAGACCCTATGTTAATCCCTCTATGCGCAGCGGTTTGGGAAGTTCCGGGCCTCTCGGCTCCTGTTTGATCACCCCTCTGGCACTGTTCGGCCCCTCGTTGATCTTTTCCCACTCTCGTGCTCCAGTTTGCATCCACCAGGATTCAGAACGTGATGCAAGTTGAGAAGAGAGGATCAGGTATCACTGTTGTGTCTCGAGCTTGAACGCGGCTCTGTAGGATGTAGAAAGATATAGCAGGGTTTGAGTGCGGCGTGTATGGATCCTTTCTGGGGCTTGTGGCAAGCCCAAGGGACAGACACAGAATGACGTGACGAGTACACCAGAGCCAGAGCCGCCATCAAGGGGATCCGCTGTTCAGGCTTATGTAACCACACTGTAACAACGGCATCACCATGTGCTGGTCAGCTGCCATTGTTTCTGGAGCACAGAAACAGACGCGCGAGGTTCAAAATTCGTAACAAGAGTCCTTTTTGGAACGTGCGCTTGGTTTTCATGCATCAACCTCTCATCCATGCTCCGCATTATCCCTGCGATGCTGGTCTGGTCGAGACAAACTGATCCAAAGAATTAACCTAAACGATTAAGAAACGTTCCAAAATCTTACTTTTCTGACGAATGCAACGCGCATTCCAATTTCTGCTTGAACTCCGGACCAGATAGACCTCCAATTCGGCCTGTATCCTGATTTCAAAATAGCTGTGGCCACGGTCGTGTAAGGTGCTTCATCACTGCTGTCAAAGGGGATTCATTGTCCGTCAGAGAGCGACCATTGCGTGTTTGACGTGGAAGCGACAATGCCGGGAACAATCTGCGTTCAGGGTACGTTGTTGAAACCATGGAGTTTTTAGGAAGCTCGAATTCTGAGTGAACCACGCGTGTCGTTCGGTTCAAGAATTGTATACGCGAATGCAGGCTGAGAACGGTCGAGAATGGTCGAAAACTGTTGCCTCTCGCTCCAGCCGCTACTTTCAATTTTGTCGTTTTTGCGATTTCTCATATTCCATGTGCGCAGTTCTGGAATGCGTCAACGTGCCAGGGAATCAAGGTAACGCTTCGTCAGGCCGCGGAGACTTTGAGATAAATCAATGGTCGTTTTTCCTACGTCAATGGCTCTTGCAATTTTGCTTTTTGATGCCGCGGATTTTGCGTCTGACGTGAATTGGTGGTGGCTCTGACTTGTGTGGTGCATGCACTGCTGTGCTGGCGCTCTCTATGCATGTGGCGCTTTCTCGTGCACGGGATGCGTGGAATGCGTGGGATGGGTGTATACATGTGGTGCGTGTGGTGTATGGTGCCTCGGTGGGAGCAATTCATGACATAACAATGGGCATGCTGTATGCGTGATGGGGTGTGTGTGTGCCACATGGACCATGGCTGTTGGTGGTTTGTTTCATGCTGCATGATCGACATGTTTTCATGGCTCCGGTGGTGCACGGGTGGAGGATTCTGCAGGCGATCAGTTCTCCGTGCAAGGTGGGTTGCCCCTCTTTCCCAAAATCATGCCTCTCGAAACACGCGCGTTTCAATTTGTGAACCACCTGTCTCTCAACAACAACCCCAACCCCACATACACACTGTTCCCCCCAACCCAACCCCTCACTCTCCCCCTGTCATGGATCACCTTGCCATCTCCCTTAAGTATAAATTATAGGATTCAGTTACTTGCTTTGACTTCCTCTCAATCGCCTTTCTGCTTCCAGTGTCGTCTTAGTTATGTGAATGTAGTGTATATGTTCTATATTTAACGCTACCAACACAAGCACTAATCCCTCCACTAACCCCTTTGTCCAGTCGCGGTCGGATCAAAAATTTTCTCCACGGCTCCCCAGTTGTCCGTGAAGGCATCTCTGGGGGATGCTCTACTCCTTCCCGCCTTCAATGCAGAGTTTTGAGACGTCCCAAAAGCACTGATCTCTCTTCTAACCCCCTGTTGTCCAGTCGCGGTTGGATCGAAGGTTTTCTCCACGGGTCCCCAGTCATCCGTGAAGGCATCCCTGGGGGAAGCTCTCCTGCTGCCCGCCTTCAATGCGGAGTTCTCCTTGTACGTGCCCTCCACCACCGCCCTCCAGCACATTGCACCGCACTCCACCACCTTCCACCACTCTCTATCACTCCACACCACAGTCCACCACGTTCAGGCACTCTCCGTTGCACTCTGTTCACGCGCTGGCGGGATTCTGTTTCTCCCTGCTCCCTCTGCTTATTGAATCATCCCTCTGGTGTTCAAGTCAACCTGCTCAGCACTGTTCGTCGTTGTGCAATGGATGCGTGTGAGTGTGAGTGTGAGTATGAGTGTGAGTGTGAGTGTGAGTGTGAGTGTGAGTATGAGTGTGAGTGTGAGTGTGAGTGTGAGTTTGTGCGCTGCCTTTACTCCGTAGCCACCCATCCACCCTCTTTCCCTTTCTCTGCACTCTTTATGTGTGCGTTGCACGTGCATACATGTGGAATGCATGTGGTGCACGCACACGTGTGCTGCACTGCACGCGTGTGACGAACGTGTGAACACATGGTATGCGTGTGCTGCATGTGTGATGTGATGTGTGTGCTGCACTGCAATGGTGCATGCATGTGCATCGCCGTGCATGCAGCGCCGTGCTGAACCTGGTGGATCCAGTGCTCCTCTCGCTCCTCGACTCACACGGAACCATCGTCACTCAGACCTGTAAGCGTCATTCGGCCCTGGAGTTAAGAATCACAGTGTTATCACGCCTTGACCGAAATGCAGCGCCGTGCTGAACCTGGTGGATCCAGTGCTCCTCTCGCTCCCGACTCACAAAAAACCATGCTCAGTCAGACCTGTAAGTGTCATTCGCCCCTGGTGTTGAGAGTCGCAGTCCTGGTGTAAGCCGCACTGCAGACGTGTAAGCGTCATTCTGAATTGGTGGGGTAAGAGTCGCAGTGTGGTCACGTCACACCTCTGTTTCCCTCACAGGGAAACATTCTCAGTCAGACATGTAGGCATCATCCGCTGAGGTTGTTCCCCTGTGATTGCACAGACATGTAAACATCCTCAGTCGGACATGTCTAGGCATCCATCCATTGTCGCATCACTCTGTTGCAAGCAGTAAAGACAGGATCCACAGTCAGACATGTAGGCTGCGCCCTTGTGTTAACATAATCTGCGATTCTTCTTCCTCCCTCATGTATGTATCACTTGACTTTTCGCTCCCAGTGCTTTAGCCTGTTTCTTGTTACCATCAGTTGCCCGAGTCCGTTTCCCTATTTCAATTCGTACAGAACGCTTCATGATCCCCTTGTGCGCGCCACAACATCTCCTTTCTGCCACGTCATCCCCCTCCTGCCACGTCATCTCCATCCTGTCATGGCATTCACCTCCTGTGCCACAGCCCTCAGAGTGCCTGCCATAGTGGAGAAGCGGTTTCGAGATGAGATGCTGACGTGGACCAATGGCGCGCGAGTTCATGTCAAGTCGAGCTTCATGCTGACAGGGATGGAGAAGGCCAGAATCGCATCCATGGTATGACAAGCTATCAGCGTGCTATCCGTGTGCTGCCCCATGTGCTGCCCATGTGCTACCCATGCACTATGCGTGCGGTACCCATGCACTACCCATGCGCAACGCCGCTACCCATGCGCTTCCCGTGCGTTACTGTGCTACCGTCTTGCTTCCCCACGTGCTCGTTCGCCCAGCATTCACCTCCCTCTCTGCGTTCCTTGCTTGGCAGGTCCGGCAGCAGGTGGAGTCACGCCTGCCAGGCGAGGGTGCAGGAGGCAAGGAAGTTGATGGGAGCGTTTAGTCGAAGGGAGTGAATGGAGAGGAGAAGGAAGCGCAAACTCATGGGCTCGGTTTGCCTTGCATTTCCGTCCCTCACGGCCTTCCTTGCATGGCAGGTCCGGCAGCAGGTGGAGTCACGCCTGCCAGGCGAGGCTGCAGGAGGCAAGGAAGTTGATGGGAGTGAAAGGTCGATGGTAGTGGATGGAGAGGAGGGGGGGAAGGGGGAGGAAGCACGGAAGGAACAGGGACGGGAAGAGGATGGAAAGGGGGGCGGAGAGGAGAGGGGAGATAAGGGAGTAGAGGAGGGGCCATTGGAGAGGGGAGGTGAGGTGGGAAACGAGGGGGAAAAAAGGGAGGCGGGGGACGTGCAGTTGACGCATGCCTCTCCCTCACCCTCTCCTTCTGCCTCTGCCTCTGCCTCTGCCTCTGCGACCCCACCCACCGTTGTCACGCCCACCCTGTCCCCACCAAGCGTCTCCCTTCCTGCCTCTGCTGCTAGAGCCACGTCATCACCATCAACACGAGCAGCAGCCGCGGCAGCAGCAGGAGGAGCAACACTACCAGCAGCATCGTCCACTCTAGCACGGGTGGCACAGGAGGACGGGTTTGTGGTGGATAACGAGGCGCCTTGTAAGCGGGTCAGAAGGCGGCCGCGGGCAAGCCTGGGTGCAGGCTTGGGTCCGCGGAAGGTGAACCTGGAGTGCTCTGCTGGGGGAGGTTTGGCAGACGCTGCTGCTGCAACTGCTGCTGCTGCTGCTGCTGCTGCAGATGGTAGTGGTTGTAAATCTGCTGCTGGTGCCGCTGGTGGCCCTGCTGGTGCTGCTGCTGCTGCTGCCAACGACGCTGCTGCTGGTGCTGCTGCAGCTGCAGTTGCCGGTGGGATTCATTCTGGTGAATTCTGTCTTGGGCCGGGAGGGGACGAGAGTGGAAGGGGAGGAGGGGGATGGGGAGCGTACCACAGACAGAGCGCACAGATGAGGAGAGCTGCTGTGAGCAGACAGGGTCGAGCCCAGCCACAGCCACTCTCCTCCTCCTCCACCACCTCTGCTGTTGAGGAGGGCGGTACACAGCCTCAGCCACAGCCACAGCCACATCCATTCCCCGTCTCTTCTTCCACCACCACTGCCAGCAGCAGCCCGCCGTTCAGCCGCCGCTGGTCTACAGGAGCGAGCCATAGTGCCACTGGGGGGGATGGCAGCACGTTCGGGTCTTTCACCAGCTCTGGCGTTGTTGAGACTTCTCAAAAATCGCTCGCTGAAGGGAACGGCAGCATGTTTGAATCTTTCACCAGCTCTGGCGTTGGGAGTGCTGGTTTGCACGCATCAATCAATCCAGGTGCAGTTACTGCTGCTGGTAATGCAGGCTTGGAGATCCAGACTAGGGCAGGTTCGGGATCCGATTGTGGAGCAGGTTCGGGTGGTGAAGGGGCCTCAGGCTCGGGTGTGGCTCGGGAGATTTTCTTCTCCAAAGCTGCAACTGTTTCAGCTGTTCCTACGACCTGGATTGGCAGCAGCAGCAGCAGTGGTGGTGGTGGTGCAAGCAGCTGTCGGCTGGGCGATTTCCTTTTTGGCGCAACGCGAGAGGCGCCTCCTTCCGAATTCCCGCCCCGTAGGTTCAGTGACGTGGGGTCGCTGACTCAGCTGATGTACACGTGGCAGCAGCAGGGCGTTTCAGCAGCCAGCTCAGCTGTCAGTGGCGGTGGTTGTGGCGGCGGTGCCACCACCAGCAGGGGTTATGATGGCAGGGGCAGGAATTTCAATGGCGACCCTGGTAGTGGCGGCAGTGGCAGTGGTAGTAGCAGTGGTAGTGGCAGTGGTAGTGGCAGTGGTACTGCTGCTTCTGAAAGCAACGGGCAGAGGGCCACTCTGCGCCCTTTCCCTGGGCGTTTCAGTGATATCAGTGGGTGGCGGAGGGGCATGGGGAGGGGCGCGCTAGGGAGAGAGCAGGGGGAGCTTGCGGGGAGGGGGGAGCGCCTGGTGGGGATGGCGGGGGTGATGGGGAGGGGGGACGGTGTGGGGCGGGGGGAGGGTGCGGGAAGGAGGGATGGTGTGGGTAAGGGGGAGCACCTGGGGTTGCTGCTGCAGCAGTGGGCAGAGGATGACCGGTTTTGGGAGGAGGTTCGCCGACAGCGGAGGGAGGGGCAGGGAGGGCAGGGCAGCCAGCGTGTGTTAAGGAGGGGCCAGGGCGCTGGTGGTAGTGCCGGCAGTTTGAGAGCACTCGTGGGAGGCCCAGCAAGGTCGGAAGGGAGTGTAATGGCCAGGTTGGAAGGAGGAGGAGATATGAGAGGAGGAAGACGAGGAGGTGAGGAAGGAGAGGAGCTGGGAGGAAGAGGAGTGGCGATTCCAGTGGCAGAAGTAGAGGCAGCTGCTGCTGAGACGGCCGCAGTGGGAGGAGAGGAGAGGGACGGGACGGAGGAGGAAGGAGTGGAGTCAGGTGGAGCAGTGCACCAGGGTTTAGGAGCAGTGGTGACACGTGCTAGTGTCGACGCAGGAGCAGCGATGAGTGTGACAGCAGCAGGCAGGGCAGCAGGCGGATCACCGGTAGTGTCACTGCTAGAAGTCCCAGCCACTCCAGGAGGTTCAGCAACCCAAGGAGCGGCAGCAACGGCAGGTGCATGTGACACATCCAGTATGCATTCCAAGGAGAGGCGGGGCGTTCACAGCAGCAGCAGGAGGGACAGCAGCAGGCGAGACAGCAGCTGCCCCAGCAGCAGCGCTGCAACCGACGCTGCAACCTACGGGCAAACCGCGTCCCCTTATAAGCAGTCTCCTTGTAAGAGCTCCCCGCTGAAGCGACGCCCGCGCGCCAGCCAAGGGGCTGTGAACCAGAGTGGTGAGATGGTGAACCAGAGCGGTGGGATGGTGAACCAGAGCGGTGAGAGGGAGTATGGTGGCCGATGGAGTGTCAGCAGTGGGTGGACTGGCACTGGAAGCTCTAGCAAGAGCGGCTCTTGCAGAGACTCTGGCATTGTTAGCCGTAATGCAAGTCTTTGCAACGGCAGTGGGAGTGCCAGGAGAAGAGACAGGAGAGGAGGGAATGAAGAGAAGGAAGGAAGGAAGGGGGAGGGAGGGAAGGCGGAGAGGGAGGGGGAGGGGGGGGAGAGGAGGCAGCAGGTGGGGCAGCGGAAGGGGGTGAGGAGGGTGAGGAGGCGGGCAGTTGCGGAGAAGGTTGGGGTGGTGGGGCAGGTGCAGCGGTGGATGGATGGCCTGGGACCTATCGCCAAGCGTGTGAGTGCGAGTGTAGCAGGGCAGGCAAGCGAATGTGATTATGGTGGGGCAGGTGCAGCGATGGATGGATGGCCTGGGACCTATCGCCAAGCATGTGAGTGTGGCAGGATGGGATGGGGTGGGATGGGATGGGATGGGAAGGGATGGGATGGGATGGGATGGCATGGCATGTGGGTGTGTTGTGACATGGGGATAAGCGTGGTGGGACAGGTGCAGCGGTGGATGGATGGGCTGGGACCTATTACCAAGCATGCGAGTGTGTCAGGATGGGTTGGCTCATAGCAGCAGCGCTCATGACTCATTTCTGTCGACACTCATCCACACCCACCACATGGCCCCCTCTCAGGTGCTCGCCATTGGAGGGGTGGCGGTGCTGGCAGCAGCGGTGTTCATACCGCGACGTCCCAGGCAGCATGTGGAGGCACTGACGCCCCTGCAGGTGGCGCAGCGCATGAGGTGAGAGTGTTCGGTGTGCATTTCAGGTCCCCACTTTGCTTTTTCCCCACAGTCCATTCTGTCCAATTGAAGAAAATTGGTTATACCTGATAGCTTGGTTTAATGTTTTTTCCTACCCGTTTGCATTAGCTGCACTACACTACAGTACCGCAACAATTCTTTCCAAGACCTTATGGTCTTTACTCCACAGATTTCCCTCTATGAAGTCGCTGCAGCATCTGGATGTTGATTTCTTCGTCTTTCTTCCTCTTTCTACTTTTTTTATTATTCTCCCCCTGTTCCCTTCCCCTCCCCTCTCTCCATACCCCCGCTCTTCTCCGCAACCACACTCCCGTCTCTCTCCATACGTGGTCTGCCACACAACAATGGAATGGACTGACTCCAATTTCTGCCAATTGGCCCTCTCTGCTTCGACCACCGAAACGGCCTGTCACGGGCTTAACGTGCTGAAACGTCGCCGTTCCGAACTGGAACGTGTGCCACTGCCACCCCGTTTTGCATCTGGCGGTGCATCAGGAACGGGAGCGCCAAGGAACTGGACGGAAAGTAAGGAAGCGTCGCTGCAGGTGTAACAAACAAGAAATGACTGACATACATATTGTATGGATAACTGGATGCATGAGTATTCAATGGGCACAGGGTTCCAACATGTTTTCAATGCCGTGGGTGGGAGCGTTGCTGTGCTGCTCCCCTGAATTTATTAGTCTTTCTTGCTCCCTTGCACTCGTTCAAAGTCTCTTTTGAGTCTTGGTTTTTTTTTTTTTTTTTTTTAAATAAACCCGCACTCAGTGAGATGTGGTTCTCTTGCTGAGCCTGCTCTGTGGTTGTGGATTTGAAACCTGGCAACACTCTGTTTTGTTTAAAAAAGCATGTGGTTGCCTTGTCTGAGGTGGCAGGGTTTGGATCGTGCGACCAGGAGACACCCTCTGCTCCCTCGTGCCCCGAGCCACCTTGTGCGATCCCAACTCCGAGTTCTTCAGACGCAACCCCGAGGTGAGTGAGATGCACGTCACTCACAGCTTTGAAGTAGAAACCCTGCTGTTCATGTTGCTGTGGGGCGTGTCGTGTTGTTTATTCAAACAATTTCAACTCCGAGTTCTTCAGACGCAACCCCGAGGTGAGTGGGTTGCATGTACAGTCTTGAGATAGAGACTGTTGTGCTCGTGTTGCCCTGCGGGCAGGTGTTTATGCACACCTTGTGTGATCCTACCTCCGAGTCCTACCTTTAGTTGTTCAGCATGCCTCATGGGGTGCTTGCATGCCTCATGGGGTGTCTGTTTTTGAGGCACCTAAATATCTAATAACATTTTTTAGGCGCCTCAAAAAACGAGATGGGAAGAGTATTGCTTGCCTCATGAGGTGCGTGTCGTCGTGTGGTTGTGGTGCAACCTATTATAGATCGGACACACATCCTGTAACTTCGTCAGGTTGCAATTTGCACTGTCTTGCTAAGTTGCCGTGCATCACTCCCGTGTGCCACCAGGTGTGCGACGTGAACAAGATCTACTCGGGCCAATGCCTGCTGCTGCCTTAGCAGCAGAGCACATCGGTCGTGACTCGCCTGGGCTGCATAGGCCTATGAACGCTGCTCAGAGCATACTGGTTGCATCGCATGGGCAGAATGGCCCACATGGGTACATGCTTCCATGGTCAAATTCCTGCATGGGTTACATGCATGCATGCATTGTTGCTGCCTGCATTCTTACATGCCTGCATAGTTTCTGCCTCCATTCTTACATGCCTGCATGGTCACATGGCTACATGGTTACCGTACATGGTTATCATGCCTTCTTTCTGCTGCCCTAGGAGCACACAGGTTGCATGGGTTACATAACCAGATGCCTCCATGCCTGCATGACTTCGGACCACATAACCGATTGCACCACATGGTTACATGGCCAAATGGTTACCTTGCCATATGGTTACATGGGCAAATGGTTACCTTGCCACATGGTTACATGGATACCATACATGGTTGTATGGCTGCATGCATATACCGTATGCTCGCTTGCCGAACGACTTACACTGCATCTGCACAATTTGCTACTGGATGTATAATTGATATCCCTAGTTACACTACTATTGTCATATCTAGCAGGCTCTGCCTTTCTAAACCATAAAGCCGAAAGGCGAGCCGTAACAGCATTTAGAAAATATAGCTAGGTGGAGCAGTGTTGTGCGGTAGTAACTCCTACACCAGCATGAAAGAAAACACCGCAATTTACTACCAGTATGAAGATGTCCCCCTCACAACCTCGGCTTGGGTGACGTGACGGCTCAAAAGTATTACCGTACAGCTGTCTTTTGAGATACCGCCACCACCACTGCCGTCACCACCACCACTGCTGTTGTTTCCCCCAAAAATCCACAATAAGCAAGGCGATGAGGTGAGTCCACAGTGTGCCAGTGTGCCATTTGCCTTTGGACATCTCTTTGGGCTCGCCTTGGCAGCTCCAGTAACACCTCTTTGCTCGTATGTCTTCAGGTGCCGCATCTGCTGCTCACCCTTTGAGAGGATGGATCACAAACCTCTTAACCTGCCTGCGATACAATCACAACTGTCGCCTGTTCCCCTCAACACAATCACGCCTGCACTCACTCCCTTGAACACAATCACATCTGCCGCCCATTCCCCTCAGCACAATCACATCTGCCGCCCATTCCCCTCAGCACAATCACATCTGCCGCCCATTCCCGTCAACACAATCACATCTGCGCACACTTGCCCTCGCTGAGCTTGTTCACCGCCCAGAAAAGACGGAAGCTGCCCTCCAGCTCGCCAGCTGGCAGGCCCTTATAGGTCACCTCTACCTGGAAGCTGACTGGCTGAGAGGACTGCTCCCACGTGGCCTTGACAAGATCAGCCAATGGGATTGCGGCATATCCTGGTGGGGGCATTAAATAGAGGTGGATCAGTAAGAAAAACCAGTGGCTGTGCCTTGTAGCATCGCATCTCTTAATTTTCCAATGATAAAAGATTGATGGCCTACGTGATTGGCAACAGACCAGTGTCGTATAGTGGGTACAACCTATAAAGGGTACATCTTATAACGGATACAGCCACTAGCAAGAAAAGATGGGCAAACACGGGCGGATAGGGCTACTACATATTGACCTATAGGGTCGTCCTTGTTGGTCTTATCATAGTTGGAGTGACTTTTGAGTAGAGTCAAGAGTCACCTGGGTGCACATGCAAAAACATGGGTGGATGGATAGAGCTACCACGTACCTATGGGGTCGTCTTTGTTGGTCTTATCATAATCAAACACGGCTGCTAGTAGATAATCCTTCTCGTAGTAATGCAGTGACTGGTGCTCCAACACTATAGCGGGTACATCCTGTAAGGTGTAGCAACGGGAAGGTGAGTGGAAGGGAGGGGGAGTGGGACGGAGGTGGAGAGAGGAGGGGAGTGGGAGAGAAAGAGGGAGATTGGAAAAAAAGGGTGATGTCAGTAAGTATGCTCGTGGTGAGAACCTCAACTAAGACTCAGGTGCCAAGCTCACTCACGTTTAGGATTAGGTGCACAATAAGTCAACCCAAGAGGAATCTGCCTCCATTTAGGTTTACAATCTGCTCTAGACAGGTTGAAAGGTTCAGAAGTGGTTCCGAAATTAGCTACAGACTACGCAGTCAACTCGCAACAACAAGAGCACCTGCAGAAACCAACACAGAAGAAATGTTGCCAACACAACCCCTCCCTCTCCTGCTACCCCTCCCACCCCTCCCACCACTCCCACCATCACTCCCACACTCCCATCATCACTCCCACACTCCCACCACGCCCGCACTCCCATCATCACTCCCACACTCCCACCACGCCCACACTCCCACCACTCCCACCACTCCCATCATCACTCCCACACTCACATCAGCGCCCCACACGGGGTTTAGAGTCTTGTAGCACTTCTTGGTTATAGCTTTCGCATTGAAACTGCTGCTGACACACCCCTCACAACCCCTCCCAGCCCCACCCAGCACTCCCACCACTCCCAGCACTCACATCAGCGCCCCACACGGGGTTGAGAGTCTTGTAGCACTTCTTGGTCTGAAACGACTTGAAGAGGTTGGGACCCACAAAACGGATGTAGCTGAAAGGAATTGTGTGGGTGGGGGGAAGGGCGGAGAGGGAGGAGAGAAAGCAGAGAGCAGAGAGCAGAGAGCAGAGAGCAGAGGGTAGGGAGAGTATGGGCGATGGGGGAGGTAGCCGCACGGCACATCAGCGCCCCACACGGGGTTGAGAGTCTTGTAGCACTTCTTGGTCTGAAACGACTTGAAGAGGTTGGGACCCACAAAACGGATGTAGCTGTGAGGGGTGTGTGTGTGGTGGAGGGGGGAGAGAGAGAGGAAAGCGAAGAGGGAGGAGAGAAAGCAGAGAGCAGAGAGCAAGGAGAGCAGTGGCGAAGGATATTGTGTGTTTTCAAAGAACGGATGCAGCGGCAAGACAGGGCAGGGCGTGGTGGAGAGGGCAGGGCGTGGGGGAGAGGGCAGGGCGTGGGGGAGAGGGCAGGGCGTGGGGGAGAGGGCAGGGCGTGGGGGAGAGGGCAGGACGTGGGGGAGAGGGCAGGACGTGGGGGAGAGGGCAGGACGTGGGGGAGAGGGCAGGGCGTGGGGGAGAGGGCAGGGCGTGGGGGAGAGGGCAGGACGTGGGGGAGAGGGCAGGACGTGGGGGAGAGGGCAGGACGTGCGGGAGAGGGCAGAGCGTGGGGGAGAGGGCAGGGCTGGGGCAGGACGTGGGGAGAGGGCAGGACGTGGGGGAGAGGGCAGGACGTGGGGGAGAGGGCAGGACGTGGGGGAGAGGGCAGGACGTGGGGGAGAGGGCAGGACGTGGGGGAGAGGGCAGGACGTGGGGGAGAGGGCAGGACGTGGGGGAGAGGGCAGGACGGGGGGGAGGGGCAGGACGTGGGGGAGAGGGCAGGACGTGGGGGAGAGGGCAGGACGTGGGGAGAGGGCAGGACGTGGGGGAGAGGGCAGGACGTGGGGGAGAGGGCAGGACGTGGGGGAGAG